GGATATCCACCGTTGCCGTTTCGTTTCCTATAACCCACAGGCGATAAATGCACTTGCATTCTCTCATCCCCCGTCAGCAGATCTAGCTGGACGTGGCGTACCCACCCTCCGACTCGCGATCGGTCGTGCGAACGGTGATATTGAAATATGGAACCCAATGCGCGGCGCCTGGTTCCAGGAGACCGTGCTGCGCGGAGGCAAGGATAGAAGCATTGAAGGACTTGCATGGACGCTGGATCCCCAAGAGGATGGGCCCGATGGCTCCAAATTACCGGGAAAGCTGCGTCTGTTTAGCATTGGATACTCCACGGCCGTCACAGAATGGGATCTTGAGAATGGCCGCCCGCTGCGCCACTCTAGCGGAAACTATGGAGAGATTTGGTGTCTTGCTGCGCAGCCTCGCTGGCAGGCAAGCAAGGGCAAAGATGGAAAGGCCCTTCCTCCTGCCGAGGGCGAGTTCACAGGTCAGCACCTCGCCGCAGGATGTGCGGATGGCTCAATTGTCATCTTGTCTACTGCCGATAACGATCTCAAATTCTTGCGCCTGATGCGTCCCTCAACGAAAAGAGCGCGCGTCCTGAGCGTTACCTTCCAGAACCGCAATACTATCGTCGCGGGTTATGCTGATAGTTCTATCCGTCTCTTTGATATTCGCACTGGCCAGCTGCTGCGCACAATCTCTTTGGGCAAAGGTCCCACCGGTGGCCCGAAAGAATTGTTGGTTTGGTCAGTGAAGTGTCTGCCTGATGGCACGATCGTTTCTGGTGACTCGGCTGGTGAAATTCGGTTCTGGGATGCAAAGAACTATGCTCTCTTCCAACGGATACAGGGCCATCTTGCCGATACTCTTGATGTTGCAGTGAGTGCCAACGGAGACACTGTTATCAGTGGCGGTGCCGACCAGAGGACGGTCGTCTACCGCAAGAAGGAGGGCGAGAAGGGCGACAAGAAGGGTCGCTGGGCTGAGGTCATGCATCGTCGCTACCACACCCACGATGTCAAGACATTTGCCGTCTATGAGACAAAGGATATCAGTATCGCTGTGTCCGGAGGTATGTTCACCTTGGTTTACTCTGAGTTTGAGGTGTTCTAGCAATGCTAACTTGTTTCGTTCAAAGGTCCTGATGCAACACCGGTCGTTCTTCCTCTGCGTGAATTCGGAAAGGAACACCACCGCAAACTTTCCAGTCTCCCGCAGATTCCCCAGCTCACCTCCGCGCCGTCGTGTCGTTTAGTTATGAGTTTCTGGGACAGAGAAGTGAGCTTGTGGCGTGTGTCTCGAGGCCCTGCATCTTTGCATGAGAACATTGATGGCCAACGGCATAGACTCGTTGGAAAGGTCCTGATCCAGGGCGAGGAAAACATCTCATCGGCTATGCTGTCCTCGGATGGCAAGACGCTTGCCGTTGCAACCATTGCCGGTGTCAAACTGTTTTCTCTCCGCCGGAGAAAGGGCGACGAGAAGGGCGCTCTACGCATCCAGAAGATCGAAGTACCCAAGGTGCTTTCCGACGAAGGTGCTCGCCTTGTGACCATTTCCCCCGATGGTCGATGGCTTTCAGTTGTTCGCCCCAACAGCGACATTTACATGGCAAGAATCCAGCAAACCTTTGTATCTAATGAGAAGCCCCATGTGATGCCACAGTTTGCGAAGCTCAAGAGAGCCACACGTCATGTACGACACGAAAAGGCATCCCACGGAACATTGGGTGACTACGAGAGAACGATACGGTCTGTGGTGTTTTCAGATGACAGCAAAGTTTTGGCGAGTGGTGATATCTCTGGCTGTGTCGACACCTGGGTGTTGGACACGGCGGCAGGACCCGCGAACGGTGCTGTCAAACGTAACGGAGCCGAGGATTCTGACGATGATTCATCTGATGATGAGGACGAGGATGTCGTAATTGAGGGCGAGCGCTGGACTACCGCTGCCACCGAATCACCAATCCCTCGTATGAAGTCTGGCATCACTTTGTTGTCCTTCCGTCCCAAGTCCGCCCCCACACAAAAGCTTTTGGCCAATGCCACGCATCAGTCTGGCGAAGCTCGGCTGATGGTCCTCACAAGTGAGCACCAGCTCATCGAATTCGATGCTCGGGATGGTAAATTGTCCGACTGGTCAAGACGTAACCCCAAGGCATACCTCCCTGCAGAGTTCCGAGGCGTTAAGGACCGAGCTATGGGCTGCGTCTGGGATATCTCCGAGGGCCGCGAGCGCCTCTGGCTCTACGGAGCATCGTGGCTGTGGATGTTTGATCTGCTCCAAGACTTCCCCTCTGCCGAGGAGGTTAAGGCTGGGACTGAAGAGGGCAAGACCGCGGGTCAGCTTGCCAAGGCATCGAAGCGCAAGCGCGAAGCCCTCGACGACGACGAAGAGGAGCGGAGGAAGCACAACACCGGTGCCGGTGATCGAATCCCCCACTCACAGATGGATATTCACTTTGGTACCAAGGTCCGCAAGATCGTCGGCAGCGATGAATCGCAGGGAGAATGGATTCTTCTGGACAAGGAGCGTCCCCGTGTCCCAGGCGAGGACGATGAGGCCTACGAGTACGATGAAACCTTTGCAGCCACTAATGAGACAACCCTCGCCCGTCTACGACGTGGAGATGGAACTACTATCGAAACTGAAACCCCACAGAAGGGATCACGGAAGCAGCAATCACTCCCTAGTGCCAATGGCGCTGGCGAGACCCCGAAGAATCAGCTAGTGGAGACTAATGGCGCATCAGCCCAGCCTACACGTCGGTGGTGGCACACCTATAAATACCGTGATATCCTCGGCATCGTCCCTCTCAATACCCTGTCGGATGACGGTTCCGACGACCAGAGCCCAAGTGGGATTCTGGAAGTCGCAGTGGTGGAGCGACCTATGTGGGATGTTGAACTGCCTGGTCGCTACGTGAAGGACTACGAGTGAAGCAGAGAGATGTGCAAGGGCTTTCTGTAAAAAATTAGAATGCTGCTGATTCAGACATGTAATTTGGTCATTTGAGCATACTTGGAGGAGCGCATGTTACCGGCGCGTTATGTACAGGGATTCTGAATTGATGATTATCCTCCCCAAAAATAAATTCCCTATACATAACTAATGAACGTTCAGTATATGCTCTGTAGTGTCAAACATCTTGAAGTACAAAGTCGGGACAAAGGAAGAAGCTCGGGATTTCCAAGGTTGCGATGACGATCCAGAACCACCTAGTGCGGGGCCTTAGGCTTAAGCCTCCGAATTCAGGCTCGGGCTCAGCTCACTTGACATTTGAAACCTCGTACACCCTCAGCCAGCTAGTCTTTCTGAAAAAGCCTTTGACCCACTGCTTTACTTGTCTCTGTGAATCCCGAATCTCTTTCCGATCCGCTTATCGGCTTATCGTCTGCACGTCAGCTCCAGGGCTGTGAAGTCCGACACATCTTCTTCCTTCCATAGACCCTCTGCGAGGGCCATACTTTGTCATAAATCAAGAGATCCTATATTTGCCAGAGTATAAAGTCTCAAAAAAGAGAATCCATCAAGGGGGCCAACAGCAGAACTACAGCATAGGTCCTCCCAAATCGAAGCCAGGGCGGGGCCAACTGCTGCATCTCGAAACAAGCAGGCAAACACACTGCCCCTTTTCAATAAACAGACCGCATATCCCCCTCTAGATTCAAGTATCAGCTCTCGGCTGCTTCGAACTCACCTCCCAGGACATCGACTGCCATCTCAGATTCCCACAGAAACCTGTCCTACGCTTGTCCGGCAATAACCGCATAAACACAGCCACCATGGGCCTCTCATACAACGTCTATTTGACTGCCAACAAGATCTTTGGGTGTAAGGGATGCAAGACTCATTTGGCAGATTTTAATGATATCATGAGTCGGGTATGAGAATTCCTCAAATCCTATTCTTCCTACACACACTTCCTACAATGAATACCTGTCCCTAACATATGACTTTTGACTCCCTAGAACTTCCGAGGCCAGCACGGGAAAGCATATCTCTTCAATAAAGTGGTCAACGTCACGCAAGGCGAAGCTGTAGAGCGCAGCATGACGACAGGTCGACATATCGTGCGCGACATCGCCTGCAGACAGTGCAAGGAAACGGTAGGATGGAAATACGACAAAGCATACGAGAGCAGTGAGAAATATAAGGAGGGAAAGTTCATCCTCGAGGAGGAGCTATTCTGTGTCGTTTGTTAGTGGGAGGGATACTTCCTTCCGCCCATTCGATGGCTCTCATGTGTATGAATCTTGATCCTCGATTTATACACCTGATGGGCCGGCTCTTGGTTTTATGATAAGAACGGAATTGCATTCTTTGAGCATTCTTGTGTTTTTTTGGTTTTTCAAGATTGAAACTTGTGGGTTTCTTTACGTTCTCTTTCTCAGCTTTGGCGTTTGCGAAAGGCGTTTGCGAAAGGCGTTGCAAGGAGTATCTGATTTTCTTTGTTCGGTTTCTTTCAGATGGAACTAGGACTAGCCACACATTTTCAAAGCAGGACTTGAGTTTATGTCAGGCTTTCTGGCGATGCATCCTTGGAATACAGTTTTTGATGACTTATCTCTCTTCGACGTAACATCAGAGATCTATAGGAGTTGACGGTCTGCTCGGAGTAGCACCTCAAATTCTCTTAGAGATATTCTGTCTCTATCCACAAAATACACACATCTATAGAACTAAGCCTTCGAGAAGGGGGTCAACTCCATCTGTATCCTATTTTCGGCGTCACTTTCAGTGGAGACCACTGTGGGCATAGTGTACCAGCCCCACCAGATGATTCGCACAGAATCCCGAGATTAGAGAAATTAGTCAATAGGCGGTTCATTCTAACCCATCCGGATCTGTCTGCAATTTGATCGTTCGACATCGAAGAAATTTAAGGAATATCCACTATCACTGCAGCATAGACCGACTCTGAATTCCCCCACCAAACCCTCAAAGTACGTAAATTTCTGCTATCATATGTCAATTGCCAGATTTTTTTTATAAGAGTTGAAAATTGAGCATCGTCAGAATGACTTCCGCTTCCTCAGATTCTGGTATGATGCAGGCGGTCGTGTTTCACGGCCCCTACAAGGTTGCCGTTGAGCAGATGCCTATTCCTAAAGTGCAGAACCCGGAGGATATTGTAGTCAAGGTGGGATATACTGCTCTTTGTGGAAGGTGGGGTTAATCTATATACCTGTCTTACGAAAAGGCCTTCAATGCTAATTTTCATGATATTCTACAGTGATTTGCACTTGTTCCGTGGCGTGGAGCCTGCAGGAACAGGAGGGTTCATCATGGGCCATGAGTTCGTGGGCGAGGTCGTTGAGATGGGCAGCGCCGTCAAGACTCTCCAGAAGGGTGACCGGGTGGTCACTGCATTTACTACTTCCTGGTAAGTTTCATGCTTAATAGATACTTGTTTTGCAGCGTTGTACGAACATTGCGTTGATCTCACGATAGTGGCGAATGCTTCTACTGTAAGCAAGGGTGGTCTTCTCGCTGTGATAAGAATGTTCTTTTTGGGTGTGACAGCTTGAACGGTGGACAGGCTGAATATGTGTGTTTCTAAACATATTATGCTTTTGCTCTATATGCTGATATTAAGACTGAACAGGCTCGAATCCCGAATGCAGACGGTTCCGTCATGAAGGCCCCCGAGGGCGTTGACGAGAAGTATCTGGTGCTCATGGGAGATATCTTCCCCACAGGCTGGTTTGCAGCCAACAATGCATTCAAGAACTCGACCCCCGAGCAAATTGCTGAGCAGACAGTAGTTCTGATTGGATGTGGACCTGTTGGTCTCTGTGCGCTCATCAATGCTCTGGAGTACAAGCCCAAGCATATCTTGGCAGTCGACTCAGTCCCATCGAGACTGGAGCTTGCCAAGTCGCTCGGTGCTGAGCCGTGGAACTTCCAGCTAGACCGGGCTGGTCTAGACAAGCGTGTTCAGGAGCTTACAAATGGACGTGGTGCCGATGCTGTCATTGAAGTCGTCGGGTTGAGTCCTGCCTTGCGCACTGGCTACGAACTGCTGCGCCCTTGGGGAACTATTAGCAGTGTTGGTGTCCACAATGGAGAGGTAAGTATATTTGGCTTTGGATTTAATATTGGTGCTAACGAGGTACTCAGATTCCCTGGGACGGCAATGACGCGTATTCTAAGAACCTCACCGTCCAGATGGGGCGATGCCCTGTTCGGTCCGTTGCTCCTCAGGCTCTAGAAGTGCTCAAGAAGAACCAACATAAACTTAGGTGAGTGGGATGATGACTGGTCTAGTGGTGCCAAGTGCTAACACAATTAATAGCTTCATGGCCGATAAGATTATGCCGCTCTCGCAGGCGGTGGAGGGCTATGAGCTCTTCAATGCGATGAAGGTACAGAAGGTGATATTCCAGGCTGATAAGTAGAGAATATATATAACCAAGAGATAATATTAAATAGAAAACCCAATAGCAGTGAGTTGGATTTTTTGTTTTAAAAAAAATTATATTAAAAAAGAAGAACAAGAATGAGGCCAAAAAAAAGAGAGAGAGGCAGATTTTCATACTCGGGTCTCCGCTTAAAGCAAAACACTCAACGACTTCAACTTCACTCTTTCACCTTTCACATCTCCATCTCTTCACCTTCTTTCTTCCTCCTCTCCTCTTCTCCCCTTCTCCCCCTTTCTCTCATCGGCTGCTTTCCATAATCATCTTTCTTCCCCCTCTCTTGATCCGAAATTCTGCCGCTTTCCCCTCCCATCGATTTCTCCACTTCCTATCTCCCTCTTCTGTGAGTCCACACTTCTTTCTAGCAGTTTGATCGTATTTCATGGGGTTTACAACCTAAGGATTTGCGCATCGAGTGTCCCATGCACACTTTCTTTTACCTTTATTACAAAAACTGACCTTGCCACTATCTGAACGTGAAGTCTCTACCGTCCGCATCTCGCGACCGTACGATCTTCAAGAAACCTATCCCACCACTCCCTTGACCTTTTCAAATCGCTTCTCCCACCTTCATCGATTTCCGACAAAAATGGATTCTACTGAGATTCACCAAGCCGCCGTCGTGGACGAGCCCATGACCGACAACTTCAACGAGAACCACGCCGACCAGGGTGACGTCGAGGCTCCCCTTAAGACCGAGGAGGAGTACGCTATCGCTGAGCTGACTCTGCGTGCTATTGTGTCTTCCAAGGAGGCTGGTGTCATCATCGGCAAGGCTGGCAAGAACGTCGCCGACCTCCGCGATGAGACTGGTGTCAAGGCCGGTGTCAGCAAGGTAGTTCCTGGTGTCCATGACCGTGTCCTGACTGTTACTGGTCAACTGCGCTCGCTTGCTCGGGCCTATGCGATCGTGGCAAAGGGTCTTTTGGAGGGTGCCCCGCAGATGGGCATGGGTGGCATTGTCTCGAACAACGGGACCCACCGTAAGTGATATCTTTTTTTTTAATTGCCCTCGATATTTGATTTGGAGCTTGTTCTTCTGTATGGGGAGTTTAAGAAACCCATACAGAGAGGCCGAAAATTCTCATTCCGATTCGAGCTTGTTCTAACTTTCTCTAGCCATTCGCCTTCTGATCTCCCACAACCAGATGGGTACCATCATTGGACGACAGGGCCTGAAGATTAAGCACATTCAGGATGAATCGGGTGTTCGCATGGTTGCGCAGAAGGAGATGCTCCCCCAATCCACAGAGCGCATTGTTGAGGTCCAGGGTACCCCCGAGGGCATCGAGAAGGCTATCTGGGAAATCGGCAAGTGTCTGCTTGACGACTGGCAGCGTGGAACTGGCACCGTTTTCTACAACCCCGCCGTGCGCGCTTCTCTCAGCGGCTCACAGCCGCTCAACAACAACCCCCCAGCTGGAAATGGCTACCAGAACAACACCAACAGCCGTCAGTACAACCGCACCGGCAACGGCGCCGACTTCAGCGATGGTAGCTACAACCGCCGATCCAACTCCGATGCTGGAAACCGCGGCTACCCCCTAGTTACGGAAGATGGCGAGGAGATCCAGACCCAGAACATCAGCATCCCTGCGGACATGGTTGGATGCATCATTGGCCGGGGCGGAACCAAGATCACGGAGATCCGCCGAAGCTCTGGTGCTCGGATTTCGATCGCCAAGGCTCCTCATGACGAGACCGGCGAGCGCATGTTCACCATCATGGGAAGTGCTCAGGCTAATGAAAAGGCCCTGTACCTTCTCTACGAGAACCTGGAGGCCGAGAAGACTCGCCGCAGCCAGCTTCCCCAGGAGTAAATTCCCCGGGATGATCCCTGGTATGTGTGTGCGGATGAGACGGTCCTAGCAGGGCTCCTTTGTGTTCTCTGACCTTACGACTTCTTTGGAGACTTGTCGGTCACGATCAGCGGCGGTCATGTGCTAGCGCTTCTTTTATTTCTTTTTTATTCCTCTATTTCGTTTGCTTTAGGTCTTATTTTGTCTCTTGATCTTCTTCCTCGGCTCTCTTCTGAGGTTCTAGCCTCGCCACACGTTTTATTCACAAAAAGGCAAAAGTTCTCTGCGATGGATGGCGGGTACACATGCGTATTAGATACCAAGTTTGTGTGGTCTTCACTGACCATTGTGCGTTGAATTGAATCGCAACCTGAATGTCTCTCAGTCCTAACCCTCAATTTTGTCAACCACAACACAGCCTCACCTCCATTCTCTCTCTCTTGCTTACCCACATCCAGCTGAACTGTCACCGCGATGTCCCTAATCCGTTCTTACCCCGATTCCTGAACCACAGACCTCTCCGCCACCATCCCAGTCTCTACCTTCTCCTTGTCCTTTCCATCGTTCCACCTTGTACGCCGTCAGTCCATAGCTGGCGGCGTATATTGATCCTTGTCTTTCCTCCACTCTTATCACCTCAACTTATGTACCCTGTTCTCGTTCCCTTCCTATCCCTGATTTACTGCAATGCTACCACCTTTTACCCTACCCTCTCCTTATTGCGGTGTATCTTGATCCTTGAAAACGAAACCTCGAAATAATAAAAAAACGCTTCTCGTCTCCTAATAACCCCCTTTCATGTATCTCTCTGCGTACTATCTTGGCTGTTGTTCTAAAATATGAATATTTGGTGTTAAATGTCAATGGGACATTAACATTATCTGAATCTCATGAATTATTCCAGAAACAAGGTGGGTAATTATATATATCTAGATGAATTCTTCAGTTTAACCATCGGAACATATTTACACATGGTCTGTCCAACTAGTTTGTAGTTGGATAGTATGATGTCAGAGCAGTTTTTCCTACACCACAGTCTATAAATTAATGGACAAGGATACTACGTAGGTATCATTCTGTAAGACCAAGGGAGGGCTCATTATATGCCTATATAGATTGTACACATTACTACAAAGCAATAAAAATAACAAGCTCTTGAATCTCATTTCATTCCATTCAATCGTTATGTAAATGCTCGTCTGTGGCTTACGGACAAAAGAGACAAAGAAAAAAAAAAACAACCTACGGGCAACAGACCTAGATATAAACACGTACCCGCAAGTGCGAAATGCGACAAAAGAATAAACAGGAAAAAAGGAAACAAGGAAAGGTAAATGACATGAAACTCCCAGGGCGGGCACACAAATGAAACAACACCGCCCTGTAGAGTATTATGGACAATCGACGCCGCTAATGGTAGATTTTGTACATGAATTTGACAAATCACCAGTAGACATTAATATGTCAACTGTGGTGAGATGTATGCCTTGCTGTCGGATATTCAATATTCACCACAGACAAAGATCAGGGAAGTGTGGACATAGAATAGAAACGGGGTAATGTGCTGGCAGCGCGATGGACATGATTCCTTCTGGAATCAAATAACAGAGGAGATTCGTTAGAATGCATAGCGCAATGCTGTGCGGACAGGGTTTTTTTTAAAAAAAAAAACTTCAAACTGCCGTGACCAGTGAGACATGCATATAACAAGCAAAGTCCTTTCGAAAGATGGGAACGAGAACGCCGGATGTCGAAGCAGATGTCCGAAAGAAACAGGATCAGATGCGGGGTCGCTGCGTAAAAAGTTCAAAGTGACGTAACCGGATATGTTGACGGTTGGCATGGTAGCAGACATGAATAGTTGTGGCCGTTAATCGATGCTGTCGTCGAGGTTTATATTGTTGGGGGTAGCTGGGACACGGTTTCGAAGGCCGAATCTCTGTACTCCCAGGCTGTTCGTTCGCAGTCGTGGGGTTTGGATTGGCGTGTAGCTGGTTGCCATTTTTCTTGATGGGGTCGAGATCCTGGTCTGGGCCTGTTCTATTTGGTGGGGCGATCGCAGACTTTCTTCGACGGGAGATCCCTGTAGGTTGTTGGAAGAGAAGCTGGGCGTTAGGCCATAGCGGCGAGACCCGGCCTGGATATTGGAGCGGGATGTCGCAGGGGTGTATGTAGCAGGGTTGATGTAGCTTCGACGAAATGAGAGACTTGATGAGAGAGTCGGTGTTCGAGGCTGTGAGGATTGCACTTGTGGCTGGGGCACTTGTGATGATTGGTATTGCGGGGAGCGGGGTAGGTATCCGAGGCCGTTCTGGTCCTGCTGCACACCGGAAATGGAACGTGACACAGTGTGACCTTGGGAGAAGCGTTGGCGAGGGGGTATGGCTTGTGTAGGAAGCGGTGTGTCAATGTCTGTATTGGCTCTGGAGACTGAACGACTAAGTGGGCTTTCAGTCTCCCCGGTTTCCTCGCCAATGGTCTGCCTGCGGCTGCGGAGAGAACTTGACATGCGATTGAGACGAGTGGTTGGGTTGGACATGCCGGGAGATGGGGTTGGACTCTGCTTCATATCTGTCGTGTTTCCGGAGCTGGCATTGGCCATGGATGCTCGACGTGCTTCCAGGCGACTGGGGATGCGATTCGTGCTATGGCGCCGCTCAATTCCTTCGGGCTCGTGGTTCCCATTTCGCTGATACGTGGGTATGGACATACGAGCATCGAACCCCGTGCCGTTCGATAATTGGGGTTGCTGCAGAACTGTCTCGCGACTGGACGACGGTCGGACATTCTTTAGCTGCTCGTCCGTCAGGGCTAGACAAAGCTCGGTCAGGCTACGGCATACACTGTCTGCTTTGCGACGTGCATGTCGTTCTGGCGAGGTGTATCCTCCTCCATTCACAACAGAGGCGGTGCCCGACGGAGCGGTATTGACGCCCAACGCAGTGGAAAGGTTCAAAGCATCGGTTATCGTTGCTTCGAGGGAGGCGTACACGTCACCGTTTAAGACAAGTTTTGCCTTGGCCAATGCGGATTGCAGAATCGGGTGCACCGGATTATGTTCAGTATCTGCAGTTGAGATGCTGGTTCTGCGGCGTTGCTTAGGCGAGGAAGATAAGGCGGTAATGGCAGTGTTTGCAGTCCGCGGTCTCTCATTGGTAGGCGTGTACATCGCCGCCGAAGATGACGAAGGTAGCTTCCCTGTCAGTTCCAGTTTTTTGATCCGATCCTTGAGATCATCCAGTTCATCCCAAACAGTGGATGGGGCCGTGGTGGACAATTCCGACTCGGTTCCATCAGCGCGCGATCGTGCTGTATCGGCTCGCGGCCGCCCAGTCACTTCAGACCCAGAAGGTTGCCGACTGCTTCGGATTGTAGAGAGCCCCGAAAGGCGATTGGTGCGCGGATCATTTAGAGACGCTCGACGCTCCTTCTCCTCCGCAGCAGTCGGTGTGCGCGGTGAAGCGTCGGGGCTTGTGCGGCTGAAGCGGCTTCGTGGAACGCCGACAACGGATCGCGCACCAGATCCCAGGGTACTGTAGCGGAAGCGACCGGAGTCGTCTAGCGGGTGAACGGATGACGCTGGAGTGTGCATGGCGCTGTAGGGAGCGGTGGGGGATTCATTTTGGAGATGCAAGGGGTTGTCAATATTGCTGTATCGCTGATCGGGTGAGGGGGTTTGTTCAGTCGTTGGCGACCGTAGAATCTGGCTAGAATAACCAATTCGTGACTAGTGCATATCTTCTCGTTAGTTGTTGGGAAGTCGCAAGAAGGGGGTGGGGGAGGGTTTCGGTGGACGTCATGGTAAATGCCAGAGCGACCAGAAACGCGGAATGCGAAATGCGATCGGCTCCAGCCCTGTGTTGTTTTTTAACTTACCCGTCTGAAATCTGAGCGACCTACCGAGTCGCGTCGGCCAGAATCGGTTCTCGCAATATTTAGGAAGACATCCTCGTTCTTTGGGCGGCCCTCGTCCATCGAGGACTTGTCCTCGACCCCCCGATGAGTCCCGTTTAGACTGTTGTTTAGAGATCCGTTGAGAGAGCGTGCATTTTCATTTAAGGTTCTGGTTGCTCCAGAATACGCCAGACTTGATGGCATTGTTCTTTTCACATCAGGGCGATCTTGGTACAATTCGTCCTGTCTGGGCCTCTTAGAGGCATAGGGAGATTCAGAAGCTTGGGGGCTGGGTGCTCTGAAGCTTAGGACGGATCGCCGGGCGCGGTGCAATAAGGAGCGCTTGGTGGTTAGATTGGGTGTTTCATCGGTGGGGCCTTCGAAGCGAGTATGCAACGACAAAGAACGCGAGTGAGGGAAATGTCGGAACTGTTGGAAGTGCTCGGGATCGTAGTCATGATGTTGATTGACCTGGTTGGGCTGGAAATGGTCACGGGAACCTGCAGCCATCTGTACTTTGTACTCTGTACAGCGTACGGAGTAGCAGAGTACGGAGTACTTTTGTGAAGTGTAGTGCTGACGATTCTGGGGAAAGCTAAGACTGTATAGTTCCGACGGATTGGAAATATGCACAGTTCATAGGTATGTAGTCAATTGCATGTCAGTAAGGACCTGTGACTTGACATGTCAGAATATTGTGCGGGTATACACTGTGGGAGAAATTTTAATATTGACGAGCTCTTTTTTTTGTGGTTTACTTTTCTTCTTGAAATCTTAGATCCCTTGGAATGGTCTGTGTATAGTATGCTGATACTAGTACATACTATAACTATAGTTACTACTGGTTGCTTATTCTAATACATCCATAGATATATTACTATGAACATGTACACAAAGTAGATATACCTACCTAGGTACATAGAGAGGGAAAATACCGAAGCGAGGAAAAAGAAGAAAAAAAAAAAAAAAAACAAATAAAGCAACCGTGGTTCAGCCTTAATGGCGACCACGGTTCCTTTGAAACAAAAATTTGAATTCTGACTACTCCGTATGGAGTACATACAGGTTATATAGGCACCTCCAGAGGTACAGGGGCTCAGCAAGTATGCCCACCTAGACAGTGCATAAGATCAGTGCTGATGTGGTCACTATCCTTCGTTTTTAGCTGCTCTAAACAAAAAAATAACAAATCATCTGTATTGTTTACACAGTAAACCGGTCCCCAACATTAAGGCCCATTCTAAGTATTACCCTATAGGTAAGGTCTGAAGATTTCTTCTAGGATTGTTAGAGGCAAAGACTAGAAGGCTCGATACCAAGTCATTTCGGGGAAGTGTTCGAATACTAGCTCGACAAGGTCATTAACTCCTAGCGGAAAAGTAATCTTCTGAAGCCGAATAAATTGGCGACTCTCATTCCCCCACCACGTTGGATGACCCAGTAGTGTAAACTGTGCCCCGATTTTTTCTTGATCGCGTTATTGTGTTGGAACAGCCGTACTTTGCGGAGACCGGCCTGGCCGGCGTAAAGCCGTAGATATTCGTGCTCACGAATGTGCGTCACGAAATCAAGATACCCTGCATGAGGGTCATCCCAGGTTGTGAGAATCGAGGCTTGTATCGAGCGAACTTTTTGTAGCCTGAGGTAGAACGAGTTTAAATAATTAGTATATTCATGCTACTATTTTTAATTAAAAATAGGAACATACTCTTGGGGATTAATCGGCTTGCTCTGCAAAGCCAACACCTCTGGTGATATCGCTCGGTATGCTGCTTCCAAAAAGTTGTCGTCTTCCCCAATAGCTTTCACTATCATCTCGTAAGGGACACGATCAAAATCGAGTACAAACTTTTTTTTAGAAAGGATGAAATTCAGAAGTTGTTTCAACTAGGATAACCTAGTGAAACTCTTAGTAGCCATCGAGTGTAGGTGCTATTAAGGTCGTACATACCTCTAGGACTGGTGGTATGTCACAAAAAGAAACCAAGGAGTCTTCATCTACTGGACTCGAGACCTGATCGGAAATTTCCCACAACAGTCTTTGCACCCATAGCTGGTGATGAAATCATCAAGACAACGCCTACACACAGGACTCCATGTGTGATCAGTAGGCTCGAAATTGCAGCAGGGTTGACAGTAGCAACGTCCTTTTTGGCCGCCTCGATTTGGCTGTATATGTCACGATCTACGACTATCACATGCTTTATTACATGTTGATGATCGTTTGCTACTTTCTTGATTTACTATTTCTTTTGTTTGTTCTTCAAAGTGCGAAGCCTAATCGGGAATGAGAGGTTTGTTTGCATGTGAGATCCTCTAGTATAAGAACCCCCAGGATCTCTCTCTCTCTCTCGTCTATCTTTGCTTTTCTGATTTAATGCACTATTTCTTATGATTGACCTGTCTCGTAACACGATATAGCGAGGCTCGCGTGGCTGGCCCTAATGCTGGAATCTCCAATCCATAGTTAGAGAGGAGAGGAGAGAACTGATTGAATGTTTGAATCCAGATGCAGAAGGTGTGAAAAATTCATTGCTTGACACTACTTATTAATCGGATGGTATACGCTATACCATACGTTATAGCTGTTAGCCCTAGATATTGATGTTTCCTTTGCTTTATATCTGTCATGTTTTTTATCTTACTTCCTATTCCATATGTGCAATAGGTACGAGGATTAAGTATGTTTATGTGACTGTGGTCTGAAGGTTTAGGTAACTATAGGTGGTGACTGGACATCCATAGATGGATAAATTCTTACACCCCTACCCATATCACCCTGATTATATAGTATACTACCAATCAAAAACCTATGGATTCATATATATTAGTTACATATCTATGTACATACTATGTACATAGTAATAAGGTGTGTACGGAGTACTTCAGGTGGGTATACCTGCGGTGACCTCTGTGGGGTCAAATGGGGTAGCGTCCACTACTATATAATATCACTACTTTGTAGGTCGAAGATTATCTTGACGACCTTCGTGGGAAATTTTGAAGGCTGCGTTCGAATATAAGCTAATAGATGGGGAGAAAGAGAAAGGTAGTCGAGGGGGGGGAAAAAAAAAAAAAAAAAAAAAAAAAAGAGAAAATGCTCACACCCGGGATCGATCCGGGGATCTTTCGTTAAGTTCTTAAATAGTACGAGACGAACGCCTTACCACTGGGCCATGCGAGCTACTTGCGCACGTCTTTTTTCGAGTATCTGTATATACTTTTTTCGAGTATTTGTATACGACAAGATAACTAACTATTGTGAGTAACTGGGTACATACACGAGGTATTGATTCAGATAACCCCTCAACGGTCGGTCGACCTCGGGACCATTAATCGAGTCTTGACATGGACGTTTCAAACCCAACCACTTTATACGGGTTGTCGTGTACTACCTACCAAGTATGTATATATACCTCCAAGGTTAGTCTAAAAGGCCTACATATGTATATATGCATATAAGAAATCAGAGTTGGGCATCTTGCAGGCCATATGAATCATTCCGATATAGAATCCTATTATAGCTTCATTGCCCAGGATGTCAACATTGGGAGAAGCAGGCTTGGATCACTCGGAGACCCTTCATTGGGCTCTACTACAGTATATATGTGTCAAGCTCAATATATTATTGACTGGCATCGTTCTATTCCGATACACTGCTTTCAATTCTCACCAAAATGAGGACTAAAATGCAAAGTGGGCAGCTTGGGCTAGGAAAAGTACTTTGGGTGCAGGTTGTTTTTGCTAATTTAGCCTTCCCGAGGTCAATTAAGTACAAAGCAAAGAGGTAGTGCGCCACTGCCTCAACCTTGGACTATGACGATGACTAGGGCCATGTGCTTTTTTATAATCAAATATGAGCTATACTTGGATGAGAGATAAGCAAGGTACCAATAAAGGGGTGTTTGGTGATATATATGTCCTAGTGTAGTGTGCCTTCCAAGGTTCTGGCCGATATCCCGAGGTCGCCGGAATCCCACGGTGAACGGATAAGGAACAGTTAGTCTGCCATAAGAACGCCTTGTCTCCTTCCAGGCTAGGTAGATCCATGGATAGTGTGATGTAAGCTGAATCCTTCCTGGGCGAATTTGCTCAGGCGGGCAAATCGGGGTTGCCACTTAGCCATGACAAATCCATTATGTGAGCATAGTTAATTAATACAGAGTAGGGTCAGACGGAAATCTATTTGTGGAATAGTCTGAAGAGCTCTATATTATACGGAGTTGCTGGTGAACAAGAAGTACCATTCGCAAGATCAATATTAAAAGACGAGACCAGGAGTCAACCTGTACTCCGTACGGAGTACGGAGTAGTTTAATTGAAGATGTTGTATGTGGCCAATGGAAAATATCCTGCAAGTCTGAAACACCAGAGTGCCAACTAAATGCAAGCTCATATTGCAACTCAGGATGTTTATTTTTAGAACCTGGTGAAACATAGGTACTTTGTACTCCGTACCCTTCAAGATTTGAAAACATAGAGAAAAGGGGGGTTCATCTATTTGGTACTTGGATCACAAACTAGATGAATATCCTCTCCAGACTTGGTATATCATAAACTGAAGATCCAGTTTCAGAATTGTTACGCCCACGTGGAAAAAGCCGATCATTCGTCATTCCAAGGATTTCTTGAAATCATAGTGGACCTCAAACTTCAATAACTCTTAAGTCCTTCAAAGGACAAGTATGGAGTACAAAGTACTTTGTAGGCATAATACTTAGATGGTATACATATTTCAGGTAAACGGAGTACTCCGCATAATCTTTCTAGATGAAATCGAATAGATTAAAACAATGTTTATATAAATTGTACCCCATAGACACGATCTAGAGACAGTCCAAGAGGCTGCCTAGATCCACTAGTATCCCACTAGTGTCAATTTGGCGTGTTTCATACTGCGCCAAACCCAGATCCATGGGGGTTTCAGGATGAGAATTCTCCTCTCGGTATCCTCTTGGTATCCTCTTGGTATCCTCCAATAAGAGATCTCTGTTGTTCCTATTTGGGGATTGCCCCTAAAATGTTGAATGGTCCAATAATATCCTTGTCTATACATGGATCAGCCAGCCCACCGTTCACCCGTGCCGTTCGCTTTTATTCGGTGTCAAGTTGCCTTGACCTTTTTCTAAGGAACTTGTACAATATAAAAAAAAAAAAAAAAAAAAAACCTCAGTGGAGTTAATCGGGGAAATCAAATTTGGAATTCACCGAATAAATATCGACTATTCTCTCCCTTTCGGGTTACTACGCACAAGCATATCTCCACCGTATCCCGTCTCCAAAGATCCCCCTTGTTATAAGCCGTATATTTTATACATTTTATATGTGTAACAGATGGGGATTATCTTAAAAGATCTCGGGATAATAGGAACTTCTAAGGTGGGGGAGAAAATAATATAGTGTATAGCCTGTAAAAGAATAAGATACACTAAGGTAGGAAGAAGCACACTCTCGAGCCTCTCATTTACGTTCGTTTGACGCCGACTAAACATTCCTGGGCGGCTAAAATTAGAGCACAGGACACTGATTGGTCCCCTCTTTGGTATTGTATAATTTCACGGAAGAGATCTCTAAATAAAAACACAAAGGGTCCAAAAACCCTTACACTCTGTTTTTTTTTTCCTTTTTTCCTTTCTACATTTGTTTCTCTCTTTTGATTTCCCTGGAGGAAAACTACTTTCTATACGCTTTCAACCTCTCTATATCATATTATATTCCTTTTGATCTTGGGGAATTCCATTCCTTATTCCTTAGAGTGGTGTATGTGTGTCCTCTCTTTTTATCATGACATTTATGACACTTCTTCGATATATACATATGTATATATCGTGTGCACATCTTTTTTTCCCCTTGTGATTTGCATAATCGGATCATTAGTCTCAAAGCCCTTGCATCTCACCTGCCCTAGATTCAAACTAATACTGTTCCCCATAGAGAGAACCCCATTTGCGCAGGCAGCAAGTGCATCTTCGAATCCCCGAATGCCATTTGAGCCCCTCGGGAGAACCAGATTGAAAGGAACCTTCTTTCACAGTGTCGACTCGGACAATGCCAGTGCAGACCAGCCCATCGTCCTTTCCGGACTCATTTCCGTCTTTCATGTCGGTGTTTGGCGGTCCCCTCCCACGATACAAAGAAGAAGCAACCATTCATTCTCTCCAATATCCAACCCATGTCCCTGTCAATACACGTCTACTTCCTTCCCCCCACCGTGAAAGTGTTTCGTCCATGACCTCGGCATCAACCGAGTCCTCCCCGACTACAACCATCTCGCCCTTTGATTCGCCCGGCGGGGGTGATATCTCTCCGAGCTCCTCCCCAGAATCTCCCTCCGCCATGCCCGTCTCATACCCAAAGTTCATGCCATCCACACGGCCCGTGGAACTGCCTCCGCGCCTTGCGCCTGTCGGTGAACCGCGCCTGTCGCCCTCCACTCTGTCACCGCCCACCCCTCATATTACGCGCCCAGACTCCCCAAATCGGCGGGCGCGTAATCTTAAGAACTTGTCATTGCGAATGCCGCCCCCATCTCACTCTCTCCCACCTATCGCTACTTCATCAGTGACAGAGACAACCTCAAAACACCACTTTGATGCCCCGCCAGCTCTCGTCCCGATCGCTCCCAAGAACACGAAGCGTCGCGCCGCCAATCTCACCATCCAGACCCCCACATTCAATAAACCATTCTCTAGTATTTCTACTGATGCCGTACCCCCAACTCCATCTCTGCGCCACGCAGAATCATCGCCATCGCTAGTATCGATTACATCGCCCTCATTCGCTCCACGGGGTGGCATGCAGCTTCCCCGGCTAATGTCACCTCCTGGTATGCGCCGCTTGTCTAGCGCATCGTCTGAGGATGCGGTGTCGCCTGTCACCTTAAAGCCGGTTGATGGATCTGGCTTCTCTCGCCGTGTTCTTCATGGCCTAGAAGAAGAGGATGACCGCCCGGACTCGCGCGAGTCAACCCGCAAGAAGGATCGTGGCTACCCAGATGGGCCTATTCGGATTCACGACTCTGGTGTCTACCTTTATCTAGAACCAACAGCAGAAGAAGCATCCAAATTCGACGTGGTTATCAACGTCGCCAAGGAAGTGGTGAATCCGTTCAGTACTACCAAGGAGGAGCGGAATGATACGGTGATGAGCACATGGCGGAACGCCTCTATGGCCTCGAAACGCTTCTCCCGTGGCGAGCCCCAGACGGCGATTTCAGAGATCTCCTTTAAGTCTGCCTGGGAATTCCAGCCTTCGGATTCTGAGCCGCCAACCCCTACTGTCTCAAGTCCTACAAGTCTAGGCCCGGAGTACCTTCATGTTGGTTGGGACCACAACTCCGAAATTCTCGAAGACTTGCTCCCTCTTTGTGAGCTGATCGACGACCGGATCGCTGAAGGAAAGAAGGTCCTTGTGCATTGCCAGCTGGGCGCTAGCCGCTCAGCCTCGCTGGTGATTGCCTACGGATTGTACAAAAACAGACACCTGGATTTCAACTCGATGTACGAAGCAGTCAAGGGACGCAGCCAGTGGGTTGGCCCGAACATGAGTCTCATCTATCAGCTGACAGACTTCCGCGCCAAATTGCTGCGGGGATCTACATCGAAGCCCCCACCTCAGGAGTGGTTCGTCCAAACCGGCCGACGAAGTTCAGAGCCCCAGGTTGCACGAGCTGAGCGTCCAGCGTCCAATGAATCCAGTCGACCGCCCTTCCGTGGAATGTCGCAGGCACCTTCAATTAGCTGCCTGTCCATCCCAGAAACAAAGCCGATGCGTCCTACTACGAGCGACAGCGGTAGCTACACCAAATTCAAGTCCTACTCGCCCAAGCGAAGCCTGTCCCCTCTCCCCCTCCCATTCCGACAGAAGTTCCAGTCCGTGGAGCCTGTCTCGGGTCGGCCACGAGGGTTGCCGCGCAGCGTTAGCAGCTGTGACCCGCTCGTTCAGACTCATGTGTTTGTACGTGATGCCCCAGACTCTGGTGTGTTTTCGCCGAGGATGAGTGAATTCCTCTCGCCAGCTCCTATGGCACCACCATCATTTTACCGGATTGATCGCTCCGCAGGCCTGCGTGCACCTTCCATTCCTTATGCCAGGCGGTCTGCCATCGAGCCAGCAGACCCCCGTTCACCTCCATCCGGCGGTGAGCCCCTGATCATGAGATCCATTGATGAATTCTTGTGATTTCTGCGCCTTGTGTCCCTTGAGACCAGGCTTGAAACGATTCCATGACCCGACATATTTCCCGATCTTTTTTCTGATTTGAGGACCATCTGCTCAGTTACCCCTGGGGCCTCCAGTGCAATCCTTTTATTTCCACCTATTAATTTCTCCCACTCATCTCACTCAGATGACTGGCTTGATGATACTCATGACCAAAGCAGGCTTTGCTGTCTCTCATCGCCATTTTCCCCAGCTTGCATACTTACTGCATATTCTTTTTGTCATTTGAACCTACGGGTCTTACAACGCCATTCCTGGTCACCATCGCTTGAACCATTTCCTCTTTTTTTTTTTTTTTACCATTGGCGTCTTGGGTGTCCAAAACGGACAAATTTTGATACCAAGGCCAGGCCTTGAAAGATCGAAACAGGCTTGTCTGCTTCCTTTCGGCCTGGTATCTGTAATACTATCGGAGGATCCTGTCTTTTGAGTTTTGCTTTACACGACTTTCGTCTCACTTGCGCTTGGTTATTTCGTGTTACTCTCCTGTCTTTCCGTCTTGCCGCTCAGATGAGGCCCTTGCTTCTGTGCCTTTCTTTGTGTTTTCAGCATTCGTGTGGTGGAGCTGCTTGGTTATTCTTGGACCTCCGGTATGCTTTATGGGTGAAAGATGGCATGATCAATACTCCTTTTGCGCAGTCTCACAATAGAGATCGATGTTAAGCTTGAATTATTTCTCGTAAATCTGTAAACACTACATACACATGGCATCAAGTCTAGTTCTAGTAGATCTAATCGTGGCTCCAGGCTGTTTGTTGATTAGAACGGAGATAGCGATAAGCCCCCAGAACCACCTCCAACCCAAATTTTTCCTTGCGCATCCTCTCCACGCTCGCGACAATGGCTGAAGAATCTCATCCGGCATACCTCTCGCCCAGCGAGCTGGGCACAAAAGACTAGTATGTGTCCTTCCCAGCCACTCCCTCTTCCCTTGCTGGACACAGACCGGAAATCCACGAACCCCGCTCTACCCCTCCATAAGTGTTGTATACAGTGAACCAGCCACAGCAATAGATCAGTTGGTAGCTTAATTGAGCTATAAGACTGCATCTAATACCCAGCGCAATTTTCAAACCCAAACTAACAATCCAACCCTAGCTGGGAATCCTACTACGCCCGCACCCTAGCCCACATCTCGCACGAAACCCCCAGCAACGACACAACCCAAAATGACGACGATGCCGCATCCACAACTTCCGACCTAAATGAAGAAGACGATCCCGGCACATCATGGTTCTCCGAGCACAACGCCCCGCAAAAAGTCCTTCACTTCCTCACGCGCAAGTCCTTCCCCCTGTCGCCGCGCAATACACTGCACAAGAAAGGATCCCGCCAGCCAAGTGTCCTCGATCTCGGTACTGGCAATGGGAGCATGCTCGCGCTGCTGAAGAAGAAGGGCGGGTATGCGGGACGTCTTGTTGGCGTTGATTACTCGCGCCAGAGCGTTGAGCTTGCGAGGGAGTTGCAGCGCGTGAGAGGGCATTCGGCTTATCGGAGTGATTCCGAGGATGAGGATGAGTCTGATGAGGAGGAGGAAGAAGCAGATACTGAGACTGGAGCTCAGACAGAGGCGGCGTCTAATGACTTGTCGCAAGAAGATACACCCATCCAGTTCGAGGAATGGGATATCCTCGGCTCGAAAGCTCTTCTTTCTGAGACTGGCCTAGAACTATCACCCTCTTCGGAGGAAACACTCCCCTGGTTCCCGTACCAGGAAGGCGGGTTTGATATCGTGCTTGATAAGGGGACGTTCGATGCTGTCTCGCTGGCTGATGATGCGAAGACCACCCGTGTCTGTGAGAGATATCCTGATATCGCGCGGCGGTTGGTGCGCCGCGGTGGGTTCTTGGTTGTTACTACGTGCAACTGGACTGAGGAGGAGCTGGTGCATTGGTTTACTGGTGAGCGGACGAGTGGGGATCGGTTGACGGTTTGGGGCCGTGTTGAGTATCCGAGGTTCCGGTTTGGTGGACATGAGGGACAGGGGGTTTGTACGGTGTGTTTCCAGAGACTTGGGGATGCCTGATTCATACTCTCGGGTGGACTGAAACCATGCGAACTATACCCTATGCAAAAAAGGTGGAGTGCAGATAGCCAGTATAGATATGTGCTGAATATAGTACTGAAATATTTCAATTACTCAAGGCAGGTTCTCTATTCTATGCTCATCTACTTCATACTGATCTATTTAATACTCAATATCCTGCCATGCACGCAAATAAGACACCGCTCAAAATGCACCGAATCACCATCAAAAACTACAACAAAAACTACAACCTACAAATATCTACCCCCTCTTCAAAACAGCAACAACACACCACCTCTTCTGATTCTCCACATTCTCCCCATCCCTAACAGGCCTCCACTCCCTCCTCACCTCCCCCCCACCCTCCGCCCTCGCCACCAAATCCCTCTCATAAATCCTCTCAACAACAAACCCATCCTCAACAACCGTCTCCAAAAACGCAGCGACAATCGCCCGCCCCGTATGGAACCCCGCAACAACCCACACCTTCCCACCCGGCGCAAGGAACCACTCCATCGTGCGCGACAGGTTCTCATGCTGCGAGCGCATCCAGAAACAATCCGCCGCGACGATGCGCGTAAAGGCGCCTTTGTTTTCCGCCGAGAAGGCGTCGTCTAATACGCCCCATTCGTGCGGGTGCAATGATACTTTCCGCGTGACGGGTCGCTTCGAGAGATTGTGCGCGAAGTTGAAGGCGATTGCGCCGCTGAGCGCGGGTGAGGACGGGTGGTCCGTTGCTGTTACTGTGGAGGCGTTGGCTAGCGCGCAGATTATGGATGGGAGGGCGGCGCCTGGTTAGTATGGATATGTTAGTTTGGGCTGGGATTGGGATTGGCATTGTAATTTGGGTTAGGGTTGAAGGTTGAGAGGTGCAGTATAAACTGTGACGAGTGTTAATGAAACCCGAACTACCACTTACCAGCACCCAATTCGAGCACACTCTCGCCTTTGATACTCCACAATTCCCGGCTTTCTTTCTGGGCTTCTGTTTCTGTTTTGCCCGGTGCTGCGGGTGTGTCCGCTTCCTCGACGCCCTCTGCGACGACCATCCCCGCGCTCCAGAGGAAATGCGCGAAGAGCTTGCGTTCCTCGTTGACTTGGTTCACCGAGCCATCTGTCTTTGCTGGAACTGTGGTTTCCCCGGAGCGGTTCTGGCTTGAGCCTGGGTAGCTGGGGACCATGATATTGAGATCGCCATAGCGCGGGGAACTGTAGAGGAGGTGTTGGCCTGGATCGCCGTGGAAGGAATGTACATCGTCCGGGAAGAGGTGGGGGAGGAATGCACCGAAGAGGTCTTCGGGGGCCTCGTCCGAGTCGCTGGCATCTTGATTTTGGAATTCTGGTGCTGGGGCGGGCGTGTTGGTGGGTTGGTGGCGGCGGGAGAGGGGCCGTAGACGGGAATGGAGCATCACTGCGGTTGAGGGATTTTTTTTTTTATAGATTGTGTATGGAGATACCTATGTTGTATATTGGTTTGGTATGTGGTATGCACTCTGTATGATTGAGAAGTCAATTGGCCTATTATGTGAGGCCATTGAGATCTGATGTTTATCTCTTATCATTTCCAAATGAAGATTTTCTTATCAAACCTCTGAAATATGTTTGCACTGTTTGAATAGTGATATATTAGGTAATATTACCTCCGCCTTTCAGCCTTGGAGGTCCGACCACGTCATGGGAGGAGCACCAAACTGGAGAATAATGCAGCATGAAATATGATATTGACATGCATTGAAATTAAAATTCTTTGATAAAAATCATTCAAGAAATAATATCAATGATAGCTCTGGGTACAACATAGCTCTAATAATTGGATCGACAATCCCAATTTATCCCAATCCAATAATACTGACAAGAAAGAATGTCCCGAGTGTCTCAGCCGCACAGGAATGGGCCAGGAACCTTCCAAGGGAATCTGCCAAAAACAAGTAAAGATCAGGGGGGTGTTCAGAAGCCAAAAATAAGTGCTCGTGCGCAAGAGGCCAGTGTGACGGTCGGAGTAATGATCCTCACTTGCAGGCGTTAGCGTGCAAGATGGCGCGACTTGGTGACCTGAGCGATTACCTAACTGTGAAGTTGAATGATAAGCCACAATTGCCACATAAATGTATTTCTGGGAACCTTGGAAGCCCTGGAGGGACTTTGGAAGATTGTACTTAAATTATATAATTCTACTCCGTACAATGTCCCCCTCCGGGTATCAACGGGCATTAGGTGATGCCATTTGACTAAGCCATCTTGATGACATCATTGGTTCCACTTCATCCACTCACTTCCAAGTGCTAGACCGGTCGATGCTATGCAGGTGATCTGGTCGATACATGGGTAACTGGTACTTTCCAAGTCACTAGTGTTCAGGTTCTTGCCCTTATCAATGCGCAAGTCATCATGGCCCGGGTGGGCATTAAGTAACATGATTGGTACTTGTGTCCAAAGTCCAACTGTTCTCATCTTGTGACCCTAGTTTTGATCGTCAGGCAACTGGAAATTTTTTTTATAAAAATTGTTTATATAAGTACTTTTATTAAATATTCTGACCTCGGGTATATAAAATAATCCATTGGGGTTACAATGGACTTTATAGCCAGTTGAGCCTGGACCCATCCCCCTGTGCGGAACGCCATCCGAGCAGGGCCGCTGAGTATTAAAGACCTTTTTTTTTTTTACTTAAAATGATTATGCCCAACATTCGCCATAGCAATATTCAAAGGGTTTCACTATATTACTATATAACACCATATCTCTTTATTCGGGTACAGTGGATCCACTCTGCTATCACATCACAAGTCATTGCAACGCACACACATAACACAGGAAACATAGAATGTATTAACATAAATCAGAGTATAGATAGTAATAGAAGCAAATAGGCATATATAGTAGTCTTCAAATATATTAGTAAATTACCTAAATCCGTATGTGTGACCGGTGATCGCCTCTCTGCCCCCCCGCATGCTCAAAGGGAAAGGCCCCCGCAAACCTGAGTGATTTTGGCTCATAGCGGCCCTGACTCTTTCTCTCCTTCTTTCTCCTCTTTTTTTTTTTTCCCTTCCACCTTTCTTTTTTGGTGCTCACCTTTTTTTTTTAATTCTCTCACTCTCTCTCTACATTTCATCTTCTTGCATTGCTCTCCTTCTTACCTATACATCTTCATCCCGAGTCTCCGCCTTATTTCACCTACTCTAAATTGAGGGCAACTCGTGTTTTAGAGGATTTTCAATTCCATTGGAAGCTTCCTCTCAATTATTATCATGGCCTCATTCAAGGTAAGTGTTCGGCATTTCCACCTGACCACATGCTTTTTTTTTTTTTTTTGGGAGACCATACTAATCTATCGGCCCCTTTGGCCATTCATAGGAATTATCGATGTCGCGTCCTCTCCCCAATACTAGCCAGCGGCATCAACACGCGCATTCGATCTCGCTAGGTGCCCTCAATCCAAACCACCGTGTAACTCGCCGAAAGAGTGTTACCGCCGCCGCCGCCAATGCCGCCGCTGCAGTTGCTGCCTCCATGGAGGGGGAGGCCACCTCCCTCCCCATGGGCGCGCACCGCCGTAGCCTCGCAGGCCGCAAGGGAGTAGAGTCTGGCTCCATCGGAAACGTATCTGGATTCAGCTCCTATCTCTCCCGCAGTATCAACAGTCCCAGTCAGGAACCGCCGGTCGCCCGCAAAGGTTCTCCGGGATCGGACCACTCCGATGGAAAGCCCAAGAACCGGAACCGCCGAGCCAGCGAGGGTGCTCAACTCAAGACCGAAGGGAAGCGTGCCTCAACGGCCATTCGTTGCGATCGCTGCGGGAAAGGGTATAAGCATGGCAGCTGCTTGTCGAAGCATATGTGTGTATTCCCCCTACCGCTCGGCCGTCTTCCTCTAGTTCGATCGGGAATATGCACCATGTCGGCTCTGCGCAAGTCGCCCTCGTGGTTATTCAACTCCCTTTTCGTCACTGCCCCTATTTCTTCCCCCCTCCAAATCATTTGATTGACCTGTTTTTTTCTCTCGTGGTATCTTAGGTGGGAACACGACCCAGCATGGTCCGTTACTTCGAAGCTTCTCATCTCCAAGCACCAGCAGGTTCAACTGCTGGAGGCCGCCTCCGTTTTGGTCACCATGAACCACGATGACCCTCCCGATGAATCCGCCGAGTTGGAGTCGGAGTTGTCGTCTGGATCGCCCGACGCCCTGTCAGATATGCGGGATGGTATTAGTTCCACGGAGACCACGCCACCCCCAATGGACTCGGAGGAAGACGACGACTTCGAGATGTCGGGTATGCCGACCCAGTGGACCAAACGCCCCAGCGTCAGCGGCGCCTCCGGTTTCTCTCGTTCCTACCAGTCCATTCCCTCCAGTTCGTACAACGACAGTGCTCCGCTGCACTCGCCTACCTTCTCCCACTTCCGCCACTCGAGCATCGACACCCGTCCCTCGACTGCGGACACACGGTTACACGAGGATGATGAGGCAGATCTTGCCGCAGCCATCGGCCTGTGCAATTTTGGCACTCCTCGCACGGGACCTGTTTCCATGGCCCCCGATGTGCCGCCAGTGCCTCCACTGCCGGCGCGCTACTTGGACTCAAGCAGCCACCCGAGCAACCAGGGTCTGTTTTCTCCTCAATCGCGCCCTACGGATGAGATCGCTCGCCGAGACTCTGAGACCGACATCTTTTTGGCCCGGTCCCTCAACCCGTCGCTGTCGTACAAGGTGTCGGATGAGCGTGGAGTCCGGACTGGTGCCGAGGATGCCCAGAAATCCCGTCAACGTCGCAACGCCGATGTCGACTTTGGTAATCGCTCCGCACCGGCCGATGATGACGATGCCGGTGTCTTTGGCCACATGGAAGAGTAGATCTCCCAGTAGCCATACCCTTCCCCCTCCCGCGCCTGCGCGACTCCGAGCCAGTCTTTGGGTTAGATCGGCCTATGCCGAATAATGACCCCTTCACGATGTACGAGCTTGAGCGAATTTTTTGAACCTTCTTGTTTACATGTTTACAAACACTCCAGATGGAGAATAGAGCCAATGTTCAATAACCGTCCAGAGCTCTTTTTCTCAACGGAGTCTTTCACAATTCTCGGGACCTTTTTTCATCTTTTGAGATCCCATGTATCAATCATGTCTCCTTGGCCCGCTTTTTGTTTTTTTTTTCTCCCTTTTGTCTTGTTTTGCCACGACTTATTCTGGAAACCCCTATAAATGGCCTACTCAGTATGGCCGGCGCATATTATCATCCCTCCCATCAAATACCTATATCCATAAGGACATGACATACTGTTTTCATGTCCTCTATGCTTCTCGTTTGTCTTTTTTTTTTGTCCTGTTTTGGCCTTCTCACCTCGCACATATATACCAAACCCACAAATTCTACGATCCGCTTCCCTACTTTCCCACATGTGTATCTCGTCCGTTCGTTCCTCTCCATTTCCTAATCCTCTTCTATCTCTCTCCTGGTCCCTTACTCTTGTGTACTCAATTGACCCTCGGACGGGGCATACAATGAATATATCTCATGAACGTATATTGTGTTAGAATGTAGATCTGTCATTTCCATATCTGTCTCCGTACCTGTATATCAGCGGGGTATCAAAGATATTAAAGACCCACTACGGGGTAAAGATCCATCTTTTTTATGGAATCTTCATATATTTCGTCATAGGTGAAGGCATAGGATAAACAGGTGTTGAAAAGGTGATTGAATATGAATTGGTTCTGTATAGTGAATCTCTTCGGGGAGGATTTCGCCATTGCCTCTTTCAGGCCAGTGGCTGCAGAAACATTCATGGATATTTCTTGCTAATAATCCATTACATTGATGCCATATCAAAACCGCGGGATATTGTCGGTATTGAAACTAGCCAAAATAGATCTCTCTTCCCCTCTTTCCCCTCTTTCCCCTCTCTTCTTCCTCCGCTTCCTCCGCTTCCTGCTAAAGCGAATTCTATATAGGTTTCACTAATAGATGTCTTTCTATATGCCTTCCCGAGAGACTGTACAACCTCTCTTTTACTAGTAAGGAACACTGATACCACTTTCTTTGTAGTTTCTACATCCAGTCTCAGTCGACCCAATCGCCTCATTTGAAAACGGACATGCACCCAACAATTGAAGTAATTTCAACCCTACTGTCGGGCAGTAGTAATATCTTACACATGTCTAGTCCAGGCTGAAATAAAATTATTAGCAAAAGTCATGTCATTGGAGTAAATATATTGAGTCCCCGCTGAAGTACCCTTGAAATCCAGCCTGTCTTTCCCATGTATGTATACTTCGTGCCAGATAGTGGGCGAGTCTGAGGGATTGGGTATTGCTTGGTAGTAATATTGACATTGTTTCTTATAAAGAGATATAGCAGTGAGGTACATAGTAAGTGCCCAATTGCAAGTATAGTAGGGGTAATAAAGCCGAGGGTGGAATAAATGCCAATTAACAGGGATTGTATACATTAGGATGAAAATAATGGTAATTTGCAATATTTAATGGACAAATCAAGTAAGATCGAGACACCTTAGTAAAGCAGATTGGTGGATAGGAAATACACTGCAAACTATCAATCTGCTATACCGGTGTCCGCCATACCTTGTAGAAATAAGGTAAGCAACGATCTATATCACCCACAGCGTTTTCGTATCCTCGCGGTGAAGTCTTTAGCTTGACCATCCCATCATACTTAACAAAATGCCCCCTAGTTTAATCTCAACTAATTTGTGAGGCTCAATGGCATGGTCAGGTGAAGAGACCGTCCCCTGTGAGATGTAAGTCGATGAAATTGTACCATGTAAAAAGGGCAATGAAACTAGGCAACAACTATACTGGTCTCTTCTAGTCATTGGGTGTGTATATCAGCGTTGCAGATGATACTAAGCTCTAATTTAACAAGGGAAAGGATACCATGTGCTCGGAGATTACAACCAGCAGGGGATGGTTGCAAGAGTGTTGGGTGTGAGGCTTAAAAAATAGATATGGACTATTGAGCAATAAGAATAACCCGAGCTAACATATTAAGCAAGGAATTAAACACAATGAGTATAAAAGAGCAAAAATCACAAAAAGTCAAAGGGGTATTAGCGCTCGTTCTTTGGATTAGCTGCCTCCACCACAGCCTCCTCCACCACCTCCTCCTCCACAACCACCGCCGCCACCGCCGCCGCCGCCATCTAAACATTCAAGTCAGTATATAATTTCATATATCGAAAGCAATGAAGAAGACTTACCACCACCGCCACCACCACTCGATCCGCCTGTATAGAAAACACATCAGCATCCATTGCAGTATATCGAAGTTCAAAAAGAGACTTACCACACCCTCCACCTCCACCTCCACCACCACACCCTCCATTACTACATCCTCCATTACCAGTGCCTGCTGCACAGTTACCTGCGCCTGCACGACCACCTTTTGACATATCAGTTTCACTTCTTCCAAGGTTCTAGAAGGGTGTAGGAAGAACTTACCACACGTGCCGGAACAGCAGTTCCCGATGGCGCCTGGAGTAACATTCATGCAGCTAGGGTTACATGCATACGAATCACAATTGATGGATGGGTCCATCATATATGGTCCATAGTATGGCACCACAATGGGGTAGCCATATGCATAAGGTATGAAGTATGGATACTCCTCGGGCTGCTTAGATTTGGAGGTGGACCCTTGACGGCTACGCTTCCTAGCACGCCGGGCAGCCCTCAAGTAGTCGCTCTGCAGACGCATTTGTCTAACATACGCAGACTGCCCGAACGGAGTGTTCAGATTTGTTGGCCGGACAGCGTTGTGTGAAGAGATATGTGGGTTCTTGTTTGGATCGGACGAGATATCAGAACTATCGTGCAAGAGCGCTGCAGCGGTTCGCGCGCGAGAGACTGAGCCCATGGGGATCAACCGGTCATACAAGTCTGGTGCTCGTGTCGCTTCGCAGTACCAGCAGGTGCATTCGCTGTATATGCGGCCATCGGTGGCGCGGCGGTACATCTTGCTGGTCCAGGCAAAGCCGTCGGAGAGTGCTGCCTCGTCGACTTTGTCGTCGTGGTCGATGAACACGCGAGTATAGGCGCGTGTTAGCTTCGACGTGCTGTATTTGTAGTACTTTGATGGGCTGAGCTGATGTGTGTGCCAGGCCAGGTCGACGTCTAGTGTGGGTACGGCCATATGCCTTGGGTTGTCGATCATGATCTGGAAGAACACTTCGTATTTTTTAATCAGCCGTTCCATGGTCTCGAAGACTGTCGGTGAGTGCAGCCAGTCGAGTTTGTCCATTTTCTCCACGAAGGTCCCTTGTCTGATCACAGCCCCCACAAGGTCTAGCGCGAAGGGCCCGAGGTTCTCCCAGTATCGGGACATCATTTTTCGGAAGTGCATTTTCTCAGTAGAATGGACAGTCGTATTGTAGGAACCATATGCGGTTGATAAAACTTTTCTGTCGCGTAGCTTGGTCTCGAGTTTCTGCCTCAGTTGGCTGATATTCTGACACCAATCCACTCGACCATCAGTGAATCCCATCAAGTCCTCTCCGGCAGCCTGGATGATCCGTGTGGGGAATAGCATGTACTGGGGCGCCCCAGTATTAACTCTAGAAGGCGGGCCCTCGGGAATTCCACGGATATTGGTGAATGACCCGGGCATAGGGAGGCCTTGGTAGAGAGCTCCTTCAAGGTCTTTTCGAAACTTCGCTACCCTGAGCCGGCCATGGTCGATCAACTTTCGACAGTCGACGCATCTCATCTCAAATGTATTATCGGCGTAGCCATTTCCAAGTTTGAAGGCGTGGGTAACAGTCTCTCCAAAGTGAGCTTCTGTCCACGGGGCAGTGTTCTCCTTTTTGCAGTGCGGGCAGTCGACTTTTTTGTTCGGCGGGTCGTGCAGATTATCCCACTGCAAGTCAAGTTTCTCCTCGAACAGCCGCTGGCCTTCTTCAGAGACTGTGTACTCCATCGTGTGGTTGTTGATGCAGCCATCTATCGCTTCCCATGGAAATCCCGTTGCCCAGGTGCTCATTTTACCGTATCGAATGGAATCCTCAAGGAAGCTCCGGGGATTCAACATATGAGAATGCCAGACCATCAAAATATCTACAGAGCAATCAGCCAACTGCCTTTTCACCTTACGATTAATACACTTACCTAGCGGAGGTAGATTTTTCGTGCTCCATGCAACTTCAGTATCACAGATGACGATGTTCTCATACCCGACATCCTCCAAGTCATCCATAGTTGCCATCGGTCTTGACCGGGGAGGCCAGCAAACCACCACTTGGCGTACCGATCAGCTGCACGCGCTACATATACGGCCCAGCGCTTTTCACTAATACGAGCCCGCGCTTCGTTCTGTGTAGACGGGAATTTTGCAGCCTCGGCATCGTAGAGGCCAAAAAGCCCGTTATGACTAGAGATAGTATCCCGCAGGTCCGCGAACACAGCCAGAAGCTTGAGATGTGCAACACACTGGTCGCGAGTGACGGATGTCGGACTATATATCTTCAGGCCCAGATTCAGTTGTGGCAGTTCTAGTTGTGGCTGCTCGACTTGATCGGCCGAATAGGAAGGTGGCCGTTCAGTAGAAGACTCGCCGACAGCTTCAGATTCATTGAGTGCATCTTTGGGCCTTCGATCTCTTGACGTCATGTCTGCGTTTGGCAGAAGGTAGTGTGTTGTGAAGAAGATCCAAGTGTTGACGAGTCAAGTCTGACAGGTGTGGTCGGGTAGCCTTTTATATCGAATACCTGGTACCTCACTCGTTCCCGAGAACACCCAGACAAAGACAAGCCAGCATGGCACTTTTATCGGCCTTTTGACATTCCAATAACCCAAGATGGACAAGATAAACGAGTTGCATTAAAGATGAGTGCCACTAATTGCCCGGAAGGCTCGAAATCTAAACCACATTTAGCCAAGCCTCCACTAAATACGAAGCTTTGAGTGGAGAGAATATTTCATTTTTATTTATCCATTCACTCTCTAAGCCAATAATTTGAAAACGCCTTCTTCATTCTTATACCGGATTGGATATACTGCACGGGGCGAAGCCGGGCGCGGTTGCACTGCCTTGCTGCCTTGCCTTCACCTCCAGACCTCAAGGCTTACTTCTGATCGCGTGTGGAGATAAGCTGTATGCTATACACAGGGGTTTCTAGTGTCTTTCTAGTGCCTTTTTTCATGTGCTTGTACTACTGCAGCTATTCCGAATGGAAAATATCTTTCTTAATATACAAATCAGCCCCATTCACTTGATAGACAGCCAATCATGTGTCACGTGTTAACGGGGAACATGGAACCATATCCGGTCAGGTGATATGCCCCTCCGCGCTGACTCATCGAGTTTGCGGGAAGAAGTGCGCTCACCGATTGTGGCAACGAAGAAAGTCGAGACGGTTATACTGGAGAAAGACAAAAAGGGAAAAGAAAAGAACCGAATCAAATTGCACTGCTCGGATAAAGAACCCACCCGTGCGTCTGTGAATCCGTCCGAAGCTCTCTCGTCGTCCGAAACCGAGATCTCGATCAAGAAGAACGTTATTCAGCCTGGCTTCTCTTGGGCAATCCAACGGCATCGGAGAGGGCCAGGCCCAAACTCTTGAACCGATTGCGAACATTGATAATGCTTCTATTGGCACCAGTCCCGTAATGGCGGGTGTAAATCAGTTGCCTGTCTCAGTTGCCGCCGACGGCGTGCATGGTCGCAAACGCAATATGGCCATTGCGGGGATCGACAGTTCCCCGGGAAGTATTGAGGATATGGATGATAATGACGCGCGCGACGAGAAGAGACGTCAGCCGGTGAAGCGCGCTTGCAATGAATGTCGACAACAGAAAGTATGCTTAACATTACACGGCAAAATCCACGGGGTCTTTCAGTTCGGCTAACCTTTTGGGATTGCGACAGCTTCGATGCGATGTTATTCAAGACCCATGGGCCGATTGCTCGAGGTGCCGTCGGCTGAGGCTCGATTGTAAAATCGAGTCTAATTTCAAACGGGTTGGAAAGCGCAGCCGCAATGCGGAAATGGAGAGGGAAATAATGGAGCTCAGGAAGCAGATTGCTTCTGGCCAACCTGTCACCGGAGTGTCACAGCAACGAGCATTGACTGCAGGACAATTGACACCTAAGCAAGAATCGAATCAAGTCAGTCCTGCAGTCTATCAAACCCCATCAGCTATGTCCGCAGATCAATACATGGGATCTCAAGAAGCTGTTGCGTCCCTCCTGGATCTTCGTTCGGGCTTCGATGGTACCAACTTCATGAGGAACGGTGGACAAATCAGACGAATTGAGGACGTTATGGTTGTTCCCGAAAAAGTGACAGAACTGTTTGATATGTGAGTGCTCATTTGTCAAGTCTCCGCGATTGATCTAACTTGTTCCTGCTAGATTCTTCACGTACTACCACCCTTTTCTTCCTTTTCTGGACCGAAATCAGACTCCCGAGGAGTATCATAACTCCTCTTCATTGCTTTTCTGGACAATACTTAGTGTTGGTGCGCGGCGCTATCAAGGCGATTCGAATTTGTTGAATTCTCTCGCTGGTCCTGTCAGCCGGCTGGTCTGGAGCACTCTCGCAGATATCCCTCAAAGCTACCATGTTGTGAAGGCTCTCGCTCTACTATGCTCATGGCCGTTCCCTACAAGCAGCACCTCAACAGATCCAACCTTCATGCTATGTGGAATGATGGTACAGGTTGCTATGCAGCTTGGTCTCCACCGGCCTTCTCACACTCAGGACTTTAGTAAATTCCGAGTGGAATTGATCGAGGAAGAATTGAGAGATAAGGTGCGAACTTGGGCGATTTGCAATATTGTTGCTCAAAGGTATGTCAAACCCATAGTCCATTGCTGTTCGCATGTGTCTCATGTTTTACTTTGCAGAGTTTCCACCGGCTACGGACAGCCATCATCTACTCTTTACGACTGGACATTGTCCTCGAGCGATTCGCTAGACCCGAACTTCAAACTTCCTGACGATATAAGGCCAAGATTGGAGATCGAAAAGTTTTGTGACAGGGTCACCCGAGCGCTTTATACAAATCGACGCGATCCTGTGGGATTAACCAGCGACCATGAACGCTCAACATTGATTGCATTTCTATCGCGAGACTTTGAGGAGTTGGAAGAACAACTCCAACCGCAGAATGACTGTAAGCTTCCCAAGTTCAAGTGTGGATGTATAGGATGCACAACTAACGATGCCAGGTATTACTGACTTGTTCCTCCGTGCTGCTAACCTTCATTTGCACCTTTCGGCATTCTTTGACGAGCCAACCACTAAGAATTACCGCGAACGCGTCTTAGCTTTGTATGTCGCAACGACATCATTCCTCGAAGTTGTCCTCAACCTCGAGACCGAGGTTGGCCCAGTCCTCTCTTACACCCCATACTACGTCTACCAGATGATGGTTGCCGCTGGTTGCACTCTTCTGAAGCTGTGCAAGAGCTTCTTCGCCTCTCACATAGACATGGAATACACCAAGAATCTATTCAACCGTACAATCTGGGCCATCCGGGGGTGTCAGCGTCCAGCAATGACCTACCCGAACGGCTTGCTGAAGTGTTGGCTCAGATGTGGAGATTGGGAGGAGCGACTCAACGGTCTAGCAACAGTACCGATGTTGACGACTCCCTGCGACTCAAAGTACGCTGCCGAATGAGCATGTCCCTACTTTTCGACTCTGTGTGGCGCTGGCGGGAGGATGCCAGGACTAAGGGCCGGAACATCGAAGGTCAGTATTCCTTTGCAATCTCAGGTATATATATACAAAGTCTCTAACCTTTTATTCTAGCCTATCTGAAAAATCCAACAAATCCTGACTCAGGAGCCGATTCTTCGGCTACTTCATCTATCGGGCCTGTACACACATCTACAATAACACCCGGAATCTCTGGGAATGACCCAAGCCTTGCCCCGGCACCCATGTTATCCCAGGCTAGTCTTGGGATCCAACCACCCACAACTCAACCTACCGGACTTCCAAGTGGTTTCATTGAACCTAATTACGAAGTCTTTGATCCATTGAACTGGTTGCTTGACGGTTTGGTAGACTTGCCTTATTCATACTCCACAATGGGTGGCTTAGAATCCCAGGGCATTGCATAGATTGGCCGGCCTAATATGCCTAATATTTTCTTGGCGTTATTGCTGGCTTTTTTCTTTTTTTGCGTGGGATGCGTTGTCTGCTTGTATCATTATACCACACATTCGATCGCTGATACTTCGCAGGGAGTTTGTTTGTGCTTTGCATATCTTATATTTCTCATGGGCCCCTTGTACAATGTCCTTTCCAATATGATGCTATATATTTGGCCCAAAATCTCTAGCTTAAAAAGAGCAGCCTGCGAAGGGATATAGCGGCCTCTGCTCAGTTTCAATTAAAATGCGAATTTTGGCCTGATATCTGCCTTGGTGCCTTCTTCAAATCCAGCAGAAAAGTAAGATGCCGGAAATACCATTACAGAGCCTATATGTATTCCTATCAATTGGCGAAGAGCACGGCGTCCAAAGTCTTCAATCTCGCTCCTTAGGGGTAAGCCGAAGCTTAATACCAAGAATACACCGGATCCTACGTTCTGAAGAAGGTGTACCCTCGCTAGCTGGTATATAAAGGATTTTATTTATACCAAACAGTAGTGAAAGTTCTTCGACTCGTTCGAGGATATTGGCTGCCTTAGTCTTAGTGTTCGAAACTAGGACCTCCTATTATCGAAGGCGTATATATAGGCTCGTTCGGTCGATCGGGATACTATATTTATCGTGTAGGAGGCTTAGGATAGTATTATAAGTGATATATACCTACCTTGACAGAGAAGATCAATAATCTCTTCTCTGTGGGGCTCAAGATCGACCTATAGACGTATCGCGACTTCAACGCCGAGGATAGGAGGGGTTTACACAGTTGGAGAGGCTTCAGTGGTAAGGATAAGAGGGAATTGTACAGTCGGAGCGGCTTCAACGCCTGAAGAAGAGATAATTTGGAAATTTGGATAGTGTAAATAGCATCAATTTCAGGTTAACTAGGGTTGAGATGATACCGCTCCATTTACAATACAGTGTATAGGGCGGTGGCGAAAACGGTCTAAAATCAGATACTATTCAGGCATTTTCAGGCAGCAATGTATATTTTAATTGAAACTGAACAGAGGCCGCTATACCCCTTCGCAGCAGACAGTAGCCTCATGCAAATAATTATAAAGTCCGGACTCCGGTAGGTGACGTATATATATCACATTGAGTTATTTTCGTCGCTTGTTGCGATCTTAGATTTGCTCCGTAGAAGCAAGTTACTCTTTCCTGCTGCATAAACCTATATATTTTCAAGTCATCCTGGCCCTTCTCGTCATTTCTTCCTTTCCACATTGCTTCTTGAGAATAAGATGGCTTTCCTTTATATCCTCAATTGGACCGAAGAGGTGAAACCTCGCATTTCGGCTATAGTTCTGTGCCTACTTGTTCCCACTACCTTTTGCTCTGTAATTGCAGCTGCTTTGATGTATACTTCCTATCTCATGGCTAACGTTGGTAACCTCTCCTCTGCTCACAGTTGACCAAAGTGCAAATTCACAAGATATTAATATGATTTGCTGAACCGGCAGAATGAGGTTCCTTTCCCCGCATGCAAGGGCTATTTCTCGGTCTTACACCAGCAGTACAAGTTTGTCGTGGACGGGCCAGGTATAATAAAGAAAGGCTATGAACAATTTAAGAATGGCTTGTTCGAGATCCCGCGCACATTCCGCTTTGGTCAGGTCATATTATGCCAGCCGGAGTTGATTGAAGAACTAAGAAATACACAGAGCACTCTTGTTTCCCCAGAGCCATGGATTGACCAGGTACGGGTTTTGGGTGGATTCTCTATGTGTAGGTTAACAAATATTCTACAGCTGCTTCAAATCTCTCATGTTATGCCTGGATATTTTCCCGCGGGAATGGGATGGCCAAAAATTGCTAAGACTACTCCTGGTTTGATTCGTGCCACAGTCTACAAACACTTGCATCGATACATGCCATCCATAAACCAGGCAATTATCTCGCAACTTCAGACGCTAGAATTCAAAGATGGGGGTGAGTTTTGCCCACTTTACAGGCGAGATGGTCTCTCATGCTTTCTACTAGAATGCAACGTTGGCTGTTTCGACTTGGCATACTCGATCGTAGCCCGCAGTGGCAGTTTTGCTCTTGTCGGCTCGCGGCTTTCTCGGAATGAGGAATATCTCAAAGCTGTCAAGGATCACATCCTTGGAATGATAGTGACCACTCGTGTACAATTCCTTGTTCCAGATTGCTTGAAACCGTGAGTGAGATGTTTGATTGATTTCTCTTTTTATGGACTAAGACCCAGATAGCTACATTGGTGGCCTCATCAGCCGCCTCGCCACTTTTAGGACTAGTTGGGATATGCACGCCTCGCGTAAGATTATGCTCAAGCACTTCGATGCACGTGCAGCAGAATATCACGCCGAGATATTTAGTAGAACTGGACCTAGTGAGACCAATCTCGATGACTCGGACAGTCCGGTATCGCTACATCCCCTGCCCACTCCCTCTAATGAAGACATGACTGAACAATCTATAGGTTGAAATATTCCAATGGCTGTATGAGAGCAGTGTCCTTCGGGACCGATGGACATATTCAGAGGTGATAGGTGAAATGTTGCTTCTACAATTTGCATTTATCTACACCACGTCCTATGTTCGTACTTCGTACGCATGCCATAATCCTGTGTAATCTGCTAATTTAACCACAAATAAGGGACTTTATGGCGCCCTGGTTGAACTAGCTCGACAACCCGAGTATATTGCACCCCTGCGCGAGGAAATCGATTTGATTTTCTCTAAAATGGGACCAACTGTTCCAGCATGTGATGGTATGGTTTTGACGGACAGTTTCCTAAAGGAGTGCCAGCGGCTGCATCCCCCTTCAGCGCGTATGTCTATGTGATATCACCCATGGGGATTATGCATGGCTAATGCAATAATATGCATATTAGTCTCGGCTCATCGGGTCTGCGTTAATGACCTCAAACTTTCTAACGGTTTGTTCTCGCACATACACTACCAGGTCACCAAAGGAAACATCGAGCTGATTAAGTATGGAATGGAATAGGGACTACCCTGAAGCAAGGGTCCCACGTTGCCGTCCCAAGCGGAATCATCCAACGATCCAGCGAGCACTATGCGAATCCCGACGCATTTGACGGTTTCAGGTTCGTCAAGCGTGCAGCTGCTGGAGCCAAGGACACCCGGCTGGTAGACCTGAGCCCTAACTATCTGGTTTTTGGAATGGGTGCACATGCCTGGTAAGTCTTGGTTCTGGCTGATCTTTTTATTTCTATATATTGGTTTTAAATCCAACCGCCCGGGTCCCGTCGGCTGACTTTGGCTCGTGTTTGTAGCCCTGGACGATGGATGGCTAGTGCCCTCATGAAGCTCGCCTTCGCGCATGTATTGAACCGGTATGACATAGTCTTGCCTAATTCGGCTTTGATCCCCCTAACTGGATCGCTTTCATTTGAGGAGTTTTATGTGCCCAATTTCGGGCTAAAGATTGCTCTGCGCCAGCGCTAACAAGGATATCTTGGGGGAACCGGGGTGGGGGTACATGCCAAAGGAAGCAGATAGAATTCGGATTATGACTCGGCCGAGATACTCTCATTTCTATTTCAATTGACGTAGTGCTAATATAGTATCGAAGTAAAATATACAAAGTGCATAAATTCATAAATTCATAAATTGCCTTGTGGCTGTCTACTCCGTGTGGGTGGACTATCCGATAAGCTGATAAGATCTCGACTCCGCTTATCCCCAACTGCTTCTCAAGGTCAACTTCATCTCTTCATCCTTGTTGCTTACCTGAAGTTCGAAATCATGGCTTCATCAACTTCCTCCAAAAGATCTCGGCCTCTGCTTATTCCACATAAGCGCGCTCTTTTACCAGCCAACAGGCCAGGCCCCAAAGTATACAAAGTGCTCAATCCTAGCGCCATCCCCGCAGAGACAAGGATCAAACAATCATACGAAGAAGCCACTCAAGAAAGAAATATGCCCACAAATCTAAATGAGCGTAATAAAATCAAAGTCAAAGATGAAGAAGACTACGAGCCCCAGCCCCCGCGCTTTGAAGTCTCATTCTCTATGCCGCCACAGCCCTTCCTCGACCCGCCGACTTGGGAAGCGATGCTCAAGCACAGCCGCGAGAAATTAGCAGCACAGTCAATAAAAGATGAACCAGATTCAGGGGCAGACCAGGAAGATGAATCGGCGGAGCGGGTGAGACAACGAGTCACGCGTGAGACGGAGTATGGGTCTATGGCTATTCGGGGGCGGTCAAGTGTACGTGGACGTGGGAAGAGGGGAAAAGGGAGAGGCAATGTTTACTGGGGTGGTAGGCATTGATATTGATGGATTCAGGATGGGCTGGATGGATTTTAGATACCCCAAGGTTAGTTAATAGGCCAGATATGACTATTTGAATAGCCGGCTGCCTTAGAAAATACAAGACCCAGGCTTCATCATTCAAATATTATCTATCGTTCTTGACTAGCATCTATTGGTCAGTATAATTTGATGCTAGCTTGATCTTGCTTCTATATAGCGCATCTAGGTTCATGTGCTGATATAAATATGAGCTCATTTACATCCAGCCAAGAGAGTATTACTTCATAGGCCATCTTGTGTCACACAAGTGAAAGCAAGGGGCAGCTTGAAGTCCTTATTCAGCCCTGGACTGAGGAACAGGTCGGAAAGTCGATACGGATGCTAGTTGGAAGGAAACAAAACAAGTTGATGGTATACATCTGGGAACAAAAGTTAAGATAGACAGGAATAAAAACAATAGAATCATCATCATGGGTTCATGCTTCATAATCATCATATATCTCATATCAGCAAATCATCTCGGGGCATCAAAGGAACTTCAAAAACAAACAAAAAAAGCAAATGCATCGTAAAATCGTCGGGTAAGTGTTTGAAATGCGTGAAACACATCCAATCATAAATATGGGTAAGAACTTGACATGAAACGGAAAACAGAACATCATCTAAATCATCTCATATCCACATCAGCTGAAGTACTGGATGCCACGTAGACAGGGCCACCAATACTCTGCTTGAGGGCTTCCCTCCGAGCAGCCCGCTTTCTCTCGTATCGTCGCTGGCGTACACGCCGCAGTCGATTCCGCACATTACGCCACGACATTGACCGGAGTCGCAGTCCCCAGCGAGAGAGAGCATGGAAACGGGTTGGGTTCAATGGGGATCCTGTTCGGAACATGCCTTGATCAACCAAGCTACCATTGCTAGCCATTCCATTGAACAAGCGTTTCATTTCTGGGCTGCGGCGCGCCAGGGAAGGCGGGCCGTCAAAGATGACGCGCCGCTGGGGCAGGCCTAGAGAGTTGTTTACAATCACGGACTCATCGGGGGGCGGCAAAGCTTGCCGTGTCGGTGAGGGTTCTTTCTCTGGGGAACTGGGTACGTCTTCCCAGAATCCGCGGGGGCGCCAAAACGGATATTGACGACTGTCCATTTCCATTCCTGCGGTTCGGTTCTTGGCTGATTTCATGGAGAATGACCGCGCTATATTGTTGAAGGAATCCGACCGAGGGCGTGCACTCCAGGTACGACGGACAGAACTCCATCGCCGACCAAGGCCTTTGCTTTCATCTTGGGTGTCATGCAATGGAAGCGAAGGAGGAGGTTTAGTGGGGGGCTTTGGTGGAGGACGAGGGTTCGTTAAAGGCGAGTTGACATTGGAAGTTTCTGTCTGTGGTGGATTGTTGGGTGTGCGAGGGGGTTGAGGAAGATCATAAGAAATACCAAGCGCTTGGTAAGGGCGCGTCGAGGAGGCTTGTACCCGAGGGTCAACAAGCAGCAGCGATCGATTGTTGTGTGCGAACAAACTGACGGCTGTAGCTTCTTGGATTTCGATAGGTCCCGGAGAAGACGATGGAACCGAGCCTTGGGTAAAAGGCAAAGAGGGCGGACGCAAGGTTGTCATATCATCGGAATTAGCAAAGAGGGCGTGCATATTGGGAGCCGCGAGTAGCCCATGGCGCTCAGGTGAAGCTAAAACGTTGTGACGAGGCGGGGACACCGGTTGATGGTCACAACGCTTTTGCTTCTCGAGGTCCATGGCCAAGTCATGGCTCCGTAGACTGTCTGAAGTAAGGGAAGTTGCACGAGAGTTATTTCGGCTTGTTGGTGCAGAAAGCGACGAGCTTCGGGGTGGTATGGTGGGACGCTCCGTGGGACGACTTCGCAGGCTGTTGGAGGACAGAGAAGTCGCGCGAGAATTGTTCTGACTTGTCGGCGCAGACAGTGATGAGGCTCGGGGTGGAATGACAGGTCGGCCAATGGGATAACCCCTGGAATTGGTCTCGTGAGATCGAGTCGACACTGGATCAGACACGATGCGTCTCTTCTGCCCTGGGATATCTGTGCGGCCCGTTGACGTCGGAGGACGACGGCTTGATCGCTGAGAGCCCAGCTTGGAAGAAACATGACTGTTAGGACGAGACCTGAGAGATGAACTTCTCTCCGGTATGACCACCACGTTGATAGTTTCGATATTGGGCTGTATTGCACTGTTGGTAGTCTTGGCCGAGAACGGCAACTCCGATATTCCGCTTCGAACATCCTGATCAGAAATGCGAGCGGCCTTGTGAATCAGGCGGTGATGGGATTCAGGGATGGAGCCATAAGATGTACGCTCAGATCTTGTGATGGGAGAGCTGGCAGACCGCAGAGAGCTTCTCTTTTCGGTATGCCGGAGCACCTGCTGGGCTCGTTTGGGAGAGTCGATTATCATAGCCTCGACGGTGGATGTCGAGGAGATGACCGATAAAGGACGGACGTCTGGTCCATTGCCTCTTGCTAGACCCTCTGGTGATGACGACCCAATATGCTCAGGTGACTGCTCCATTGAGGTACTTGCTTTGGCTTCATGCGCACCATTGATACGGTCTCGCAGACTTTTTTCCTTCATCAAAGAGGCATCCAGGTGCTTTATATCCAGCACATCTCTCCCAGGAGTTGATTTATAGACCGATTGAGTGTGATTATGTGCTGACTTTCGCTTGCCGGCTAATGGTGTTGGCGACCCATCGATCAGGCTGGCGGCCCAATGCCCATCAAAAGACTCGAATCCGGTATCGCATTCGGTTTCGTTGTGTTGTTGAGAAGCAGCTAACGGAGATACTTTTAGATTTGGAAACCGTGAAGGATATCCATTTGAGGCGGGTGGCTTTGATGGTTGCCTCCTCTGTTTTACAGTCTGGGTCGCGGTCTGAGACATGCGGACCGGGGTGTCCATATCCTCTTCCGATGAAATATTCTCCAAAGCTGTTTGAAATGAATCGGCTCGGGAAGACGAGGAAAAATAACTAAACTGGTTCAAGGTAGGACGCTTGCTCGAGTTCGTTTGAGGAGGCGTCACGTCCGGGGTCGGAGGCTTAGAGGGACGGCGAGGGGTCAATACCCCAGATGTTGGTATGTTTGGCAGAGAAGAATTCATTTTCTGGGGTGTTCGTTCGTCAGCCACGAGTTCTTCGTGGCCTGCACCCGGCGGTGTCAAGGGAAGCGCCGGCGTCGCAATATGTTTCCCATTGTGATCCGGGGAGACCGGTTGGATGACTTCGATGCTAGGAACGATTACACCCCGCCGAGGGAGCGTCTTGTGAGACCTTAGGTGTGGGCGTTCGAATGCCTGCGAATCCTCCGATGACCCCATCACTTCCACGCCTGGCATCTCGGAAATAGCACACGCACGGCGACTTGAAGCATCCACGGTCGCTCTTATGGATTCGATTGGCGGTTAGATACCTCTGGGTATCATAGTACTGAGTAGGATGTCTCGTTCAAAGTGTCCCAAGGGTCGCATCGCGTGCGAGCACTTCGCGACCAAGATGCGACCAATGGTCAAAGTCAACGGATCCTAAAGTCCAAAGGCGTTGCTTTGTCTCCGTATGATGCAGGGGGGAAAGCCGACCGTCCGAGGTACATTCGAGTCTCCCACAAAGGACAAGTGACTGTTTAGTATAAAGTACGAAGCACGGGTATATGCCCTCACAAATGAAACTCCGACTCGGCCTGTCTCTGTGCAATGTGAGCTGTAAGGGTGGGGATGGACAATATTGGCGAGTGGCTGGGGGGTCTAGTCTTGAGCCCTCTTGTCCCCGCGTTTCAGCTAAGTATGCAATAAAGAATAGTTATTCAAATAACTTAGGGTGAAAGAATTAGAGTAAAAGACAGTGTTCGAAAATGCTCGCGCGAAAGGTTAAATAATATGACGAAAATGATGTTTTCAGGCCACTGTTTCCCGCTGATTAGCGCCTGTTTCCTATTCAAGTAATACTGATGCCTTGCAGCCTTATTTAGACTTTAATCACACTGGTGATCACACCGCAGATCCATCACACTGGCTTCTAGGTATGGGGGTCTCGAATCCTGATCCTTCTATGACTAAGAATTGGTTTCTTGTTGAGACTTTGATATACAAAGTAGATTTAGTGGGTGTGGACCAGTGTGGTTACTGCATCCTATAATGTACGATGTATATGCTTGACCTCACGTACAAATCGGGAGTATGTGCAGTAAAGGAACTAAATATGTCAAAAAGTTCCTCGGCCAGGCATACACAGTACATACATAGAGCAGTTTGAGATCTCATGGCCTCTACTTGGCATGTTGGGCCCTTGATGCAGGTCTCAAACATGCATACATACATTCCAGTGTTAGAGAGGAATGGGATGCACATACTTATTTCGGGACTCTCATAAATGGAGAACTACAGATCTCAAGCAGCTCGGCACTGCATGACGTATTATGATACTACATCATAGGAAAATACGGAGTACATAGTGTCTCGTAGCATGGTCTTTTATACAATTTCTGACTCTTATCTCAACTTCCGCAATCTAAAAATCGATCCTTTATACTTGACTGATCTTCCCTTGGGCGTATAATGGATTTCATTCTCTTATTCAGTGGCTCTCGTTTTGGGAGATATGGCTTATATTTGAAAGTGTACACCTGGCTGAAATTGTATTGCGAATACATCAAGGATGAGACAGACTTTCGAAAACTTGAACCCTATGAGAAAAATTTTCTGTTCGACATCCATTCATGTTATCTAGATAGCTATTGCTATAGTATTTACAAGGAGCCTGAGTTGGTGAACATCTAATCTGGGGTTTCCCTATAGGATCGGATCAAACAGTAGATTCCACAAATAGGTGGAGAAAAGAAATAAATGATAAGCTGTCATTAGAGTAGTACTCAGTACGTCGAACTATAATAAATATATGCTCATATTAAGTAGGATAGACTCTTGTGAGTGAGACTGGTGTCTGCAATAGAGAAAGTCCAGTCTCAGTGCCGGGGCTAGATTCTACTCAAGTAGTCTTAGAGACCTCGACATACCTGTGAAGTAAACCTCAAGGTACCTCCAGGGCTAGGTCATTCAAAGATTGTTACTAAGCACAGAAATGCCTACCTAGTTACCTAGGTGGGTAGGTAGGGCCCGGGCCCTCCATGGTGGCTACGTTGTATGCATCTGTTGGCCTCATTTAGCAGTTTTCTCTTATATGACCCGATCTACATATCCATGTGGAGTCTACTAAGTGTAATATATCAAGATGTTCCTGAGACTTCTATGTCATAAACATGGCTCCATCTCATAGTTCTCTGTGCATTCCTTGTTGTATGTTTGCTTGGTGCATTATGCAGGTTCAAACTCAACATTCTAGAGAAGAGTTGAGATCCGTATCTTTTTGCTCTCCGTACAAATAAGAGACTCCGAGTTAGCAAATATTCTCATGGCAACACATACATCATAAAAGCCAGCGAATTCGTTTGAATGGGAATTCCAAGTACAATTTCAAGCATGTGGCAACGGGTGATGACGATATCAATCTCCACAAAAGCCAGGGTTTAAGACTTTTGGAATCAGGTCAGGTAGCCAGCATTTTGTATAAAAAGTATTAACTTGATGAGGAGATATTGACTAGGTATAGTAATACCTCAATATTCCAATATTCCCATAAAATAGAGAATGTTCTGCACAAGTTAGTTAGGAGTTTCTGGCCTCTGGTTTCTGGTTTCTGGTCTTCTGGTCTCTGGTTTCTGGTCTCCGGTCTCTGGAATAAATGCTCATTACCCTGGTCCAAAAAAAAAGAGAAAGAACTGAACTGTACAACATGAAGAAATTCGAATAATATACATAGATTGAGCTCATTACCGCAGTGGATCAGTGGCGTACCATGACGTCCCGAGAGGTTGAACCAGGATGGCTGTCTAGCCTTGGCAGATGACATCGCAAGCCCAAAGATCTCTCATTTCGTCATAGCTCTCCCCCGCCATCATCTCCTTTCTCCCCTTTTTTTCCCTCTCTTGATCTGTGGGCATTCCAGTTTTGATTTTCTCCCTATTCCTCTTGTTTTGTGATTTGCAAAGTCCTCCAGTGGGGTAAATCTATTCTTCGATTTGTTTGAAACGCTTCCCACCTTGAAAATCCCTTCAATCGCCAACATCCTTTTCTTCTATCCCTCTGTTTTCCTTTCTTTTCCGAAACCCAGATATATCCAGCATTGTTGATGAGTCACGATTATTCTTCGACATCATGAGTACGATACAGAATATCAAGAACTTCATTCGCCATGGCAAGCAAGCCCGCCTGGTCACCCCTCATTCCGAGCCCACGACCGACGTTTCCACCATCCATGCAGAGCAACAACGCCAACCGATAGGCCAATATTCACCTGCTCTCGAGGCATTTGGCCCTGAAGGTCGAGCCAATGCCATACACAAACCTGACTCTCAGGTCCGGCAGGATCGCTCTGTCGAAATCGAGCGTCTAGTGGCAGAGGAGAATTTGAACCGATCGAAGATGCCCAAATACCCCGGTTTAGAGCGCTGGATCTTGGTAGAGAAGATGGGTGACGGCGCCTTCAGTAACGTCTATCGTGCCAAGGATTCGACAACAGAATATGGCGAGGTGGCCATCAAGGTCGTCCGCAAATTTGAAATGAATAGCAATCAGGTAGGTTTTGCCGCAAGGTGCCTTTCTTCTTTTTCCTGGATTTTTCTCCCTGGTTATATGGTCTGCAATATGTCCACACACATGGCCAATACGTTCTGTAGAACGATCCTCACTATCCAACGGTCAAAAAAGTTCCCAAGGCATCGGAGGTGCGCAAACAATTCTTTCCTGGTGCTGGATTTGCTTCCTGGCAATGGTAACTTACGTCTGCCGACGAAACGATATACTACCTGATGCACAAGGCATCCTCATGCCACTGCCTTGTGCATGGCTGCGCAATTTTTTTTCACCTTTACTGACTCTTGTTCTTTTAATAGCGGGCGAATATCCTCAAAGAGGTTCAGATTATGCGCAATCTCGACCACCCCAACATCGTCAAATTGATTGACTTCTCCGAGTCACGGCAATATTACTATATCGTCCTCGAACTCTGCCCCGGGGGTGAATTATTCCACCAGATTGTCCGGTTGACATATTTCAGCGAAAACCTTAGCCGCCACGTTATTCGCCAGGTTGCGGAAGCGATTGAATATCTACACGAGACATCGGGTGTCGTTCATCGGTTTGTCATCCCGTCAGTGGAAGCTTGCTCTTGCGAAAGTTAACATTTATATCAAGTGACATTAAGCCGGAAAATCTCCTATTCTATCCGACTGCCTTTGTTCCAAGCAAGAATCCAAAACCTCAACAACCAGGGGATGAAGACAAAGAAGATGAGGGAGAATTTATCCCCGGGGTTGGTGCGGGTGGTATTGGCAGGATCAAGCTTGCAGACTTTGGTCTGTCCAAGGTGATTTGGGATAGCCAGACTATGACGCCTTGCGGTACCGTCGGATATACAGCCCCAGAAATAGTCAAGGATGAGCGCTACTCCAAAAGTGTGGACATGTGGGCCATGGGTTGTGTGCTCTATACACTTCTCTGTGGATTCCCTCCGTTCTATGACGAGAGCATCCAGGTTCTTACTGAGAAGGTGGCACGCGGCCAATACACCTTTCTGTCGCCCTGGTGGGACGATATTTCCAAGTCGGCTCAAGATCTGATCTCGCATCTCCTCACCGTGGATCCCGAAAAACGGTTTACTATCAAGGAGTTCCTTGCGCATCCCTGGATCCAGGGTACCGATGAGGAGACTACCGCCGCCGCAGACGCACCCCCTCTAGCAACACCCTACCTCCAGACTCCCGAGAAAGGACCACAACAACTCGACTCCGCCAGCGCCGAACATGGGCCCTACCAACCCGCCAGTGCCCGCTTCCTGGATCAACCTTCCATTACATCAGAGCGCCGCATGGATTTCAGATCTCCAGGCGCTTTCAACCTCCGTGAGGTGTTTGATGTTGGCTATGCAGTGCACAGACAAGAAGAGGAAGGAAAGCGCCGCGCGAACGTGCGCCAATCTAACCGCAGTGGCACGGCAGGATTTCAGTCGGCACTCGGTGCTCTTAACGAAGACTATGACGACGAACCCGAATACAGCCACCGTCTCGGAGGCCAACCGCCAGCCAAGGTGGCCAAGAATCAAGGGGACGTGGCCGGAATGGAAGCCAAGCTCCGATCCACAAACCTCAGCGCCCAAAGCAGCGCTGCACAGGCACGGCAACCACCCAACCAGACAAAGCCCAAACAGGGCTACGGGATGCATGACGCCAATGTCGCTAATGCTGCCAAGACATCCATTCGCAAGCATCAGCAGCCGTTTGAGCTTACTCTGAACGGTTCCACATTGCTTGAAAAGCGTGGCCGTCGTAATCCACCGGTGGCATAGACAGGATGTATTTCTTCCATCAGGGTCATGATGTGATGTTTTCATAACTTCTTTGCACTTTGTCATGAGCGATATGTTCACGGTTTTTCTTTCATGGTCATTTTGTCTTCTTTTTGTTCAAGCTGTTTACGTATTATCGGATCGGTCCCGGCGAGGAACCTGCATGCTACATAGTCACGATTGGAAAATGGGTGAAGTGGGTTTTCTTTTTCGCTTTCTCTTGAGTTATCGGGCAGCTTGCTTGGACTGGAATGGAGTTCTTCCTGGTATTTTTTCTTCGTTTCCTTTCTTCTCTTTCTTTATTTTGTTTTGCTGTCGTTATCATAGGGACTATGTCCATATTTATTGAGGTTTCGATAAGCATATTTTTCAATATTCCAAGGTTCCAATCCAAGGTTGGAACCTTGGAAGGGTTTAAACATTTGATATAATCTTTCTTTTGATCTTCAGCGAAGTCATTCCGGGTTTATTTGGGAATCTGATAACATTGGGGCTATTTTCATTCGTACGTATGTAGCAGTATGAACCGGATTCCAGGCTGCGGATGGGAATTTCCTGATCGGATTTTGCCTCGCAGCGAATACGGTATTTAGCCGCAGCTGTAAGACGGGTATACGGAATATCCATGGTTTGTGGTCCTTGCAGATCCGACCTCCTTTACATGTCGGTCGACAAGTTCATTGCCAGCCACTCCCTGATGAGCAGGTATCTACCCGAGCTCTGTTCGGGATGTCGTTGGCTGCATGTGGCCTTATCAGGTCAAGGAACTGTCCCCACGGCATCCGTGGTTGGAGGAGCGCTTTTAATGCCGCTTAGCTGTCCGCGAAGACCACAAGCCCGTTTTTCGCCTGCGTCACCCACGGTGCCGTGCTGTCCAAGGCTAAATTATATTCCACGTATCCTACTTCTCAAAGCGCCTCGTCTAACCATTGCGTTAGCGACATAACGAATAGGCACGTATTGTCTTTATCTCCAAGTCTCGCGTCGTTCTTGAAAGTCCACATATCGCTCTTCAAAAACATTATAGGAATCTGGAAACCTAGTAATATGTCACTGCGGTCGCTAGTAGGCATGTAGTTAACCCGAATTCTACAGGCATCGCAAATAACAAGGTGGGCTGCATCATTCATGGTCATAGTCTTAAGCGGTATTGTAATGGATCTTGGGTCCTCGTAGCTACCATCCGGGTAGACTACAGAGCCACTCACATAGTGTCCTCGCCGATGAGAGGTTTATGAGATCTTTCCTGATCGCGCGGTTGTCTCTTCCCTTCAGAGATTCAATGGCCTCCTGTCTCGAAGCAAATATGAATAAAAAGCGGGGTAAATATCCATATCCATATAATCAAGGTGGACGAGATGGTTTTCAGTGTGAATAGAGACGGCACCCTAGAGTTTCCTTCGCATTTATAACCTGTTATAATTTAAAGGGAAAATTGTTGTGCTTATTTTCGAGAGAAAACAGTCAGCAGCAGGCTACATATGTACATACACATGTAGTCGAAGTTGATCTTTAATCAACACTAGCTCTTCATATAGAAAATTCAGGAATTATTTCTTGACTAAACGGATTTGCTGCTGATCTGCACATTCCTCATATCACAATAATTATTTGTACCGTACACTATAGGGCGCGCCCTTCTATGACAAGCCAGACCATTGGGAGCCCCGCATTGGGCTATGCTGGGCTCTATTCGATCCCCGAGTAACTAGGTGGGGATCGGACCTCTTTAATCCTAGAATTTTTGCCATACTATTACCTAGTTACCCCAAGGAGTTATCCACTATTTGGTTTATATTTCTACAATATACGTTTGAGAAAGGCTTGCTCTGCAAATCGAGAATAGTTAAAGGAGAGATTCGACCCAAACGTGCGGTCTAAGGCCCTGACTCTTGGTCATTCGTGTCGTCAAATCGTCTCTACATTACCAGCATCAAGATGTCTATGACTATTGCCGCCATTGTTATAACCAGTGTGGCGCTCTTGGTCCATTATATCTGCCGCTCTCTGCTCTTCAGCCCCTTAGCGCAGATCCCAGGGCCCAAGTCATTTGCCTTGACGAAATGGCGACTTGCTTCTGAAGACTACCAGGGCACACGCACCCGCAAACTCCATGCGCTTCATGGAGAATATGGCCCGGTCGTCCGGGTGGGTCCAAACGAGGTGACCTTTAACAGTCTTTCCGCGTTGCGTTCAATATATGGGGCCGGGAGTGGCTTCGAAAGGACCAAGTTCTACCATATGTTTTCGGCATACGGACGCCAGAACATGTTCTCGTTTAGTGCAGTGAAACAGCATGGGGAACGGAAAAAGATCTTCGCCAATGCCTACGCTAAATCTACAATTTTAAAAGGGGAGACCGCCCACATGATTGAAACCAAGGTCAAAAAGTTCATTAGACTTTTAGAAAGAGAGAGAAGCAATCTATCTACCGATATATTTCCTGCATTGCATTACTTCTCCCTAGACAACATCACGGAGTTCGTCTATGGCGACTTTGGGAAAACGGCATGTCTCGACGGCGTGGAAAAAGACCGCGCTCTTCTTCACGATATCATGGCCACTGGTAGTCGCAGACTTACATGGTTTACGGTCCATCACCCGAACTTCACGGCCTGGCTTTACTCGAGGACCGGGATAATGGGCTGCATTGCTCGCCAATTCTACCCGATGCAGGGGCCAATACCATATACCGATATCAAACTATACGCAATGAAGGCTTTCCGGTTATTCTCTAGTGCTTCAGCCGAGGAGAAGACAAAACAGTCATCTCTCATCTCGAAACTCTGGAAGCATCATCTCAGTCAGAAAGAGGGCGGTTTAGATGATCTTGATGTTGCGTCTGAATGCGCAGATCATCTCGACGGCGGTATTGACACCACAAGTGATACTCTCATGTTCGCAATTTGGTGTCTTTCTCGGCCCGAGCACAGAAAGTTTCAGAAGAGACTTATTGACGAAGTTCAAAGTCTATCAGAAAATGAACTTAACACGGATGGGATACCACGAGTAGAAGTAACCGACAAGCTAGAATATGTGAATGCAGTGATCAAAGAAACTCTCAGGCTTTTCGCGCCACTCCCAGCATCAGAACCAAGATCGCTACCAAAGGACACCACAATTGATGGCTATCTGATCCCTGCCTATACAATCGTTTCAATTTCGCCATATACTCTGCACCGGAACGCAGAAGTTTTCAGAGACCCTCGGGCATTCAATCCAGACCGCTGGCTTGACCCCTCCCAGGACGCCGCGCAAATGAGAAAGCTCTTCTGGGCTTTCTCCAGTGGAGCACGGATGTGCATTGGAATGCAGTAAGGCACTTTTTGATGAACAATGCGATACGCGGTTGCTTACTTTCATCAGTCTCGCCATGGCAGAGATGACCACATTTTTGGCGGCACTTTACCGCAAATATATAACACAACCTGTAGATGATTTCGACATTATCTCGCCCGGCATAACAAGCCGTTTTGAGGTCTTCTACGACGAGAATTGCAGTGAGATACGAGTAAGTTCTATCTATACCTAGAATTGATATTTTGTGCTCACTATAGTTATTCTTAGGAACATGAATGCCGAATTGCATTTATGCCTCAGTGATATCTAGAATCGTGAACCATCTTGGTTGGTCATTACAAGCTAGGCCGTCTGCATCCCGAACAAGAAGGCTCATAGTCTGAGTTGGAGACTGAGAATAGAGACCTGACTCTTTTGGAAATGTATTACGAGGTAGTGGCTATTCGTCTGTGGGGCTTTATGGTTGCCTTGTTGTCGGTGTTTTAAATTTCCATGGCCTAATACAATACTGAATAAAGAGGACTTGTTTTTTGTTGCTGATTTGATCCTAACTCTGTTCCTGACATCCATGCCACCTGCAAGTTGAAAGATTTTCACGAGTTCTGATTAGAGTAAGAATTAACAGGAGAGAGGACCAAGTATAGTGCGACAAACGAATTTTAATACAGGCCCCAATACCAATCTGTTTTCTTAAAAGCTCCAATCACTCAATCTCAACCTTTCTAATCTCAACATCATCCGCTTCCGTCTTCGGCACCTCAACAATAAGAATACCCTCCTCCAGCTTGGCCGTAATCGCATCCGCATCTATCTTCGGCGGGTTCGCCCGACTGCCCAGTCGCACCTTGCGCTCGAACGCCCCAACCTTTCGCTCATCCAGCGCAATCGACTTAATCAAGTCCTCACCGCCAGGGCGGTTGATCACTCCAGTGACGCTGAGTTCCACTGTCTTTGGATCGTAGTTGATTTCGATATCTTCCTTCTGCGCGCCAGGCAGAGGCACGTGAATCACAAATGCCTCAGGGGCATCGAAGAGATCAACCTCAGGCCTGAATTTCTCTGATGCGGGGGCAGGGGATTTTTTGGGTTCTTGCTGACTAGGTTCCTCACGGTCCTGGGACGCTTGAGGAGGCTCGTTGCCCCCTCGCCCGAAACCGCCATATGAGCCATACCCACCCCATTGTCCTTTACCAGGCCCACTGTTCTGGCCGCCGTGGAATGGCCCCTGAGGGTTGTCCGGATATCTCTGACCTGCGCTTTGGGGATCACCCGGATACTCATACGGTTGACGGGCGTATGAGGGCTTGGATTTGTGGCTATCACCTGGTCCAGGGTAGGGATACGGCTTGCGAGAAGAGGACTTGGGCTTGTCATCATCCCATGAGGCAGAGTAGGGCTTTCTACCATCTGCCGGACCAGGGTAGGCTTGGGGCTGATACCATGGAGGGCCCTGGTATTGCTGATTGTGGCCCGGGTAAGGGTATGGTTTACGGGAAGTGTCGCCGGCTTCATTGTTGGCGTTGTTGCCCTCACCTTCATCACCGGGTTGGGCCCATTGAGGCGGGTAGGGATTATTTGGGCGACCACCTCGACCGTTGCCCGACTGGGATGGCCATGGGTTGGGATAAGGATGATCGGCTTCGCCGCGAGGAGAGAAGAAATGGTGAGATGGGCCCTGATCTTCCGCATTGTTATTAGAGCCCCAAGACGGAAAGTATTGATTGAGATTGCGCAGAGCCATGCTTCAAATTGAAATGCAAGTTCGGTTGGAATGTGTTGATACGGTAGTGTTAACTGGACTTAATGAGAATCTACAACCGTGTTAGAGCTGTCTTTTATAGGGAGCGCTTCCAAGCAGGCAGCCATGTTACAGAATGTACTTAGGGACCTACATATGTACATATGTAGGTGGTGTGTTATGGAGTGTCTGGGCATGTAGGTATGTAGTAGTGCATACACCAATTGACTTTGCCACAATGTGGTAGAGATGGATCTGTGGCGCCGCCAACACTCTAGGGCTGAATCTCGGGAGTATCCAAGCCAATTACAGAAAGAAGGAATTACCCCACTAGACGGCTATTGGTACATATAATAAAGCCCTACTATGTATGTCCTGGCGATACCCGGCCCAATGCACCCGGACTCAACCCCATTGGGGGTTGGGCATCATGCATCTAATGCAGAAACCAGTCTCTGTTGGTTGCAATGCAAATTTCTTGACATGGTTACCTTTTACATGAATTTATTTGCTCGCTCTCTCGATATTTTGTTATGCTTTACTATGAGGAATTGCTCTTTGACGAAATGAGGACATGGTGGGGCTAGATAGAGCAGTGAAAGCAATCGCACATTCCACGTGACATCGATTCTAGAGGCACCTTATCATTATCGACGTATTTTTGACTTGATGTTTCTACAATCAGCTTTAGACCTTACTATCCTAAAAGCTAACGAAACGGTAAAAGTTCCGACCTTTCTACATTAAAGATAATAACTAGAAACTAGTGGATTACAACATCGCCCGTCTATAGGCACCTGGGAGGTGCTTATTACCCGTCCACGGTGGGCGGTGGGCAATTAGGATTTTTGGGTGCTTGTCTATAACGGCTATTACCTCTCAGGACTCGCCATAGTGACATAGTATCCCTAGTGATGGGATGAAAAGGGACAGAGACAGGAGGAAACGGGGAGCTATCTATGCTAGGATCTGTCAGATGAGGCCTGGCCCCTGTGTTGGACTACTCCGTATGGTGGAAATATATGGGTCCAATCAATGGTATTCAACTCTCCGTATTGCTGTATTGACTTCCTGGCAATTTATACTGTCCTGATTACATAAGAAATATTACTGCATACTTAGGATTAATAAATCCTCCGGTATCCTGGTGTATCTGCGCCGACACCCTGTGTGTGCCTCAGGCACCCAATAAGAATTTTTAGAAAGCAGCCGAAATTATGGAGTAGAATAGTTATCGTTTATATTCCAGCCGCAACTTCCGGTTGCTTGCATACACTAATCTCGGAAGAAGAATGCAAAATGACTATCAAAGTCGCCAAGGTTCTGACTTGTAAAGCGGTAGAGAACATTTGGATATTTCTATATATAGCATGCGACAGAACATTGAATACAACAGGGCATACTCCGTAGAACTGTGAAATGACGTTTTTTGATGCCTTTCCCCTTTAAGTCTAGATCAAACTCGTATCTTCCCGTCAACGCTCGTCCCATTCCTGTTGCTTTTCAGCCGCACACTGCAATTTGCTCTAGTTTCAACTTTGAGGATCGAAATTATTTGATATTACATCCTCTATAGTACTCTCCAGGGCTGTACTTGTTATTCTTTTATAGAGTGGTGACTCTGCCTATTCAATTCATTGGCTTGATAATTGTCCGAATTGCTCTCTGTCCTTTTCCTTTAATTTGACCTTTAGTGTTGATCTTTGCCTTGTTCTGCCTTGTGGGGGTGGCCGTGCCCAAGCGGGCTTATGTGGTGGCTCTGTCCGGGTCTACCTTCCACCTTTAACTTGGAACGAAGAAAGCGTCCACGGGTGTATCTGCAATGACATTCGTGCTTAGATTCACAAAAGTGATCACCCTAAAAGGATTCACAACATACTACTTTCGGCGGCCTGGGACTAGAAGGTTATCTGTTGTGATAGTCTAAACCAGCTTCGCCAAGAGGGACCCTGCGCTCAAACAGGCTATGTCTGTCCTTGGACAAGAAGGAGCGCTAATGCAAGCCACTGGTTTTAAATACAGTATTATTTCAATACATATCCAACGAATTAGATACAGAAAAGGCTCTAGAGAGCTATACACTAATAATTGATTAAGAATAATCATCAGTATTGACAATACTAAAAAAAAAAAAAGCAGATAAGTGCATGTACATTAGCGCCAGGGTCGTGAGTACAAACATAGCCCTGAGTGTAGGGTCTCCTATATTAATAATATGAATACCCCCAGGACCATATTTCCCCTTCTGTCTGTTTATCTCACGTCGGTTAGGAATTGAGATCCAGCATTTTCCAACCCAAGTCATTACATACCTCCTTCTGTCCTATACTCCTCGTCTTTGGTTGATATATATCACGCGCGTCTTCTACTATTCTTAATCAACTTTCGTTTGGTATTTTGTTTCTTTCTTTCCTATCATGACTCATAATGGATACGCAGTACGCAGAGCTGGCGGCTGCCTTCGACAACTAGGAGAATGTTCTACCAGCGCAGGGAGTGATCCTGTATCATCTCTACTTCTCTTCCGATGCTGCCCCATCAATACAGTGTGTAACGACAAATACACGGGGATCTGTTGTTCGAGCGAAGAAGACTGCAGACCCAAAATCAACCCAGCACAATGTGCCAATGCAACCTGGAATCTTTATCAAAACTATGATGGCGGATATTTCTGTTGTGACCAGAATCAATACGGGTTTAATAGGACTCAGGGGGGAGTTGGGTGTGGAACGGAAAAAGAGCTTCAGGATGCAAGTAGGACGTTAGCAACCCTAGTCTCACTTGGTAAGATTCAAGTCCTGTTTAACTTTGCATACACCCAGTTCTGATATAACTAGGCACGACCCCAACACCGAGTAGCTCCCTGATATTGAGCAGCGCGACCGAAACACTGAGCAGCTCCCTGACATCGAGCAGCTCATTGACATCAAGCAGCTCACCGACATCAAGCAGTTCCACAAAATCGAGCAACCTCTCAACATCTAGCAGCTCCCCAACATCGAGTAGCTCCTCCAGTTCAAATACTGGCGCAATCGCAGGTGGTGTGGTTGGTGGTGTTGCCGGGTTAGCAATCATTGTCGCCTTGCTTTGGTATTTCATGCGTCGTCGCCCACAGAAGCAGCCTCTAGCGGAGGTGCCCGTCACCGAAGCATCAATGTTGCAGCACAATTCTCTTCAGTCCCCGGGCATACTGGGCGAATTAGACGGCCAAACTTCTGTGTCAGAGCTACCTAGCCACAAAGGGGATACTCTCCACGAGTTGCCGGAATCTGGAAACAATCGATGAAAGGATTCTCTGACAGAATGCTAGATGATGATTTTTGTCGATGATATACCCGGTGTTTGGCCATCTTCGCTCATCTAACATTTCTACCTTGTCTTTACTGTTATTTAATCGAATGAATTTGGGCAGAGACATGCCTGTGGCCATCGTATTCCCGATCATTAGGGTATCATCATCGCTATCAAAAGAAACCCAGCCTGATTTACCTCATTTGTCCTATCACACATTTACACATCTGAGATACTGCCAAGATTTTGTCCTAATAATAGACCCCATGGTTGAAACATCCAACCTCTGGCTCAAATATATTATTAGAGGTATTCTAACTTTATCCCAAATCCAGCATTGCTCCCAAACCAAAACAAAAAATAAAAAACATAAATACCTGCCTCACTACAGTCAGCAGCGAACGTTGTACATATATAATCTAGAAATAAGGTATATATGGTGGATCAATGTAAAGCAAGTCCCGAAAACTTTTAACTTTGTATTGGTTCGTCACTGAGAGAAGCGTCCACTGATCCATACGGACCACGCAATTAGAATGAACTTAGTACTAACGTCCACGGATGTATCGATTTACTAATTTTTTACGGCAGAAAAAGTAAGATTAGATTCTCAGGAGCAATCGAGAGCATCCTAATCTGAATGTTGGCCTATTTCTGAGCTCCTGTAAGTACCCATGGTTAGTTTCTAGGAATATTAGATTTTTCTGAGCTTAAGACTATCTCTCTAGCTGAGGAGAACTACCCGGGGACCTATCTACCTACTCTATATGGTTTAATCATCTCTTCGATTACCTTACAATGTTTGACTGTGCTTTTCGCAACCATCAAATCGACAATACTGGCAAGAGACACGCTGCCCATGACATCAAACACAGCTACGGTGGCGCCTAATGATTTACCAATCCAGTTCCGCAGATCCCCCGCCATCAAGGAATCAACCCCATAGACCAATTTAGAAGCAAAATGTATTGATTAAATAGAAAACGTGCGGTTGAGGGTAGGTTGAAACACCCCGGAATGTAACAAGTCTGGCCCTGCATCGCTCACCTTGGGTATGTCACCCACCCATTGCAGACCAATGTTTCCGAAGCTGTCGCCGTGACAGGGGCAATCATGAATTGGCACAGACGGAAAGCTACTTCTTCTCGGCCTCCATATTCCTGTCATACTAGATAAGCCATACCGCGCGAGGAATGCCCACCGAGTGTTTTCACTACTTACATGTCAAACTTGGCACGGTTGCCCGCCTTAAAGCAAAGGGCATAATCGTCACTGCTCCAGGTGACTTCAGAGCCTCGGTGAATGAAGAAAGTATCACCAGCTTTCATGGTAACCTGTTTGCCGGTCTCATCCTCCAGTTTCACAGTTCCTAGATCGACATCAGCCTTGCAGTCTATCAGAAACCATTAGATATTCACCGACCTCTTAACACAACACCGGTTTCATCGGAAATATATTTCGGGAGCGTTTCGGGAGCAGCATCGGTGTTTTCGATAAAGAAGAACGATCCAGTGAGTGAGTTCTCAGGACTAGTTCCTTCCTTTGAAGTGTAAACATCGTCTAAACACAGACGGGAATTAGATCAGTGTACGTCTATCTCCTACAGGTAGGTTCATACCGTAGAGTACATGGTCATTCCAAGGAATCTTTGGAATCTTGAAGAGCTTCGCTTCACTAAGATGTTCGAAAACCATATTGGAATATATGTAGTTGATTTGACTGGTTGCGATATGTGTATAGATATCTCGTGTCAACAACCATTTTGTTTTGAGCGGACGATGAGGAATTTATACAGGCAGCACTCGGAACATGACGGCCATTCTGAGAATTGTCAATTCTACGCTAGCGAAAAAGCAGGATAGAACTCACAATCATGACACACACTGTTACAACTTTCCGCGTTGTTCGTTGAGGCATGAGTTGTGCGAAACAGCGCGATTTCTAAGCATTCTCCCTCCTTCCAAGCTTGTCCGTTCTTGCTTCCTCTTCCCCTCAATACTAGGACACTACTCATACATGTTTTCTGATTTGACCGGAACAACTTTCTCCTCTGTGATTGCGAGAATATCTAGATACAGGAATAATGGAAAATCCCCTCATTTGCCAGTAGCGGCTTACACTTGGGCATAAGTACGCGAATTGATTAATGGGGGGGAGGCGCACCGCCCTGCTATCCGCCATGTCTACGCTAGCGGTTTTTGGATATACACTTCCCAAATATTGGATATCTCTCCAGCTCTTCTAGTTTTTCCCTTGGGGGAAATGATAACTTGTTGAGCATGTGAGGGAAACCCGGAAAGGTTCCGCCATGAAATGAACCCCTGCAATCATATATATACATGAAAATGATGGACGGCAACTGTTTGTCTCATATTTATTTTGCTCTGCTGACTTAGGGACTTTGAGGCTAAACAAATTTTAAGGTTCTACAAAAGAAGCAAAGACAGAATCACTCTACTTCAAGACACAGCGGTTCGTACTGATAATTACTCTCCAGAGCTATTTCACTTCCAGTCTTCGTCACCATACTTACAAAACCGCGATTCGTTTCACAGAGGAACCATGACGGTCGACAACAAACTACATGTTCTCGTGGTAGGCGCAGGATTCGGGGGCCTGGGCTGTGCCATCGCGTGTAAACGACAAGGATTCGACGTGACAGTCTTCGACAAAGTGGCTAAATTCGCGCCTATTGGAGACTCCATTGGATTTGGGTGCAATTCTGCGCGTCTCTTGAAAAGATGGGGTCTCCTCGACGACATGTTACCCTTATGCTCGAAGGTAAAGCTTGCTACCATACACGATTACACTGGCAAGCTTTTAGCAACAGACCCATCTCAGGGAGATGCGGAGGAAGAGTTTGGAGTGCCATCTTTGATCGGGCACAGAGGCCATCTGCACCAAATAATGCTCGATCATGCTGCTAAGCTCGGCGTTGATGTGAGACCTGGATCAGAGGTCGTGGATTATGACTCTGCAAAGCCGAGCATCATTCTCAAATCCGGGCAAGAGATTACCGGAGATGTTGTTGTTGTAGCGGATGGTGTGAGAAGCGTCGGAAAGACGGCAGTCCTTGGGTACCATGATAAGCCCCAGCACAGTGGCTACGCAGTTTGGAGAGCATTCGCTGATGGAACCGCGCTTCGCGATGATCCGCTTGTGCAGAATCTTGTGAAAAGTATGTTCCTTTATCTTTCAACGTTGAGTTCATTCGGCTTACTCATTGAACCAAACAGATGACAGCCTTGGGCTCTGGATTGGACCTGATATCCATGCTCTGGCACTTTCTTTCGACGGTGGATCGCTTATCAACATGGGCGTTACTCACAAAGATGACGCCGATATAGAGGAGGGCTGGCGCGTCCCTGCCAAGAAGGAGGATGTTATGGAGTTGATTCGCGACTGGGATCCTGCATACAAGAAACTATGGGAACACACGCCCCCAGAAAATATTCTTGATTGGAAACTTGTTTATCGACCCTGTTTGGAAAAATGGGTCTCCGATACTGGCTTAGTTACGATCACGGGAGATGCGGCGCATCCGTTCTTGCCCTCATCTTCCCAAGGTGCCAGTCAAGCCATTGAGGATGGTGCTACCATCGCTCTGTGCCTTGCAAAAGCTGCCAGCAAAGCGAATATTCCGTTGGCACTGCATACTTTCTTTGAGATCAGATACGAACATGTGGCTGCAGCACAGCATATGGGCATTGAGCAACGAGATGAATGGCATCACAATCATGAAGATGGCCAGCTGACAAATACTCCGGACTTCTCTAAAGGCATGCTGAAGACTAGATCTTTATGGGGACACGATGCGGAGAAAGTAGTGGAAGAAGAGTGGGATGCTAAGTCAGCCTTAGCCCGGGAAAAGTATGGTGTCTAGATATGACTTTGTTGTCCTATCTGATCAGACCTTTTCAATATCATATTATCATAGTGTTGCCTAGCCAGTCAATCCAAACAGAGTTATAATCTTTCAAATTGTGTTATATTTTGTAGCTGTGGATGTACCAGAAGGAACAATCGTGGGACAACAAATGAACTGTAGGTCTTACATTACATCGCAGTGGTTCGAGCTTGCGCCTATCACACTATACTCACTACATCGGCCCCTAGAGAATTCCGTAGAGCTGCACGATTCGGTAATAAAAATGTAATAAGCTAAATGAATGTCCCAAATAAGGAATATTTTAAGGGGTTGAAAGTCTAGACAGCGCCTTAGCAGGTTCAGGGGCACGATAGTGGGAGACTAGATATTAACTTGTGTCTGCGATTGTGGTTAATCGGAAGAATATGGCAGCCTAAGGGGAAATCGGCGCCACCTGCTTTTGGAAAGGAAGTCAACTCTCATTTCAAAAATGCTAGGTGTAGAGCGATAGCCGAGGTGTAAACTAACGGAACTAGCCCTCGCGGAAATCCTTTGAGATGACACCATCTCAGTAAAATGGATCCAATCGTATCCCCACACTGTGGCGTTTACCCCGGCTTTTTCCCGGAAAGTTCTATGTTGTAGACTCGGTTGCCAAGTCGTTGCGGGGATAACTCTAGGTAGGGATCCTACAGGGACTCGCTCTGGAGGAACAGCGTTAGATTCCCATACTGTGAGACAAAAAAAGGGGGGAAGAGAGTGGGGATCTATCTTCGGAGTATAATAGGATCTATCACATATCTACTCCCCAGCCCCTTATAGGGTGCCTCAGGCATTCAAAAAACATAAACATGGCCCTAAAGCCAATGGTGGCTGTTCTGCCTTTCAGGTACACGACCAAAATTCTTGACCTAATCTTGTAGATTTCATAAAGCCCTTTCTTATCTAGTTAGAGGAATCTAATTTACATCTTTTAGGCCAGAAAATCGACCTCGTTAATCTATACTCTCATAGAAAGCCGTAACGCCACAAACATCCAGGGCTTATCAAATTGATCGTAGGCCAACCAGCAGTTAATCCGCCCTTCGAGTATCCCCCTCCTTTTCCCATACGAAAACTATGTTTATCTCTCATGTCTCTAGGGTTTCCTCTAGAGCTATCTTATAGAATTACTAACTAGTCGGCGCGCTATGACTGCCATTGAATCTCCACTCATACTTTCCCCGCATTAATTCAATCCAATTGTGGACCCTAAGAAGTTGCCAGCAATGACCATTTATCACTGTTACAAGAATATCGCTGCCAAGATGATCCGTGAAATATTTTATATCAAGCATGGATCCCATAAATGACCCTTGACTAACCGTCGGTCTGTTTGCTGTTAAAATCTTTATCCGACTGTCGAACGATATACGCTATGAAGGAATTCAAGATCAATGTCCCCCAACTGGGGCCACGACTCACCATTGCCTTTTCCATTATCTGCTGCACTCTTACTATGTGTAACTATTCTTATGATGCCGCGATGATCAATAGTCTCTATTCGATTCCCAGCTTCTCAATATGTAAAGTTGACTATATCCCTGCTGCCTTGAATTATAGCTGACTTTAATTTCGCCTAAAAAAGACTTTAAGATGACAGCCACATGGAGTGGCTTGATTGTTGCCATGATGGGGATTGGGTCCATTGGTGGCCTTCCACTATCAGCTCTATCTCTTGACAAGCTCGGCAGAAAATGGGGTATGGCAATTGGAGCCACCATTCAGCTCGTTGGAGCGTTGGTTTCTGCCCTGGCACACAACAGTAATCGCCCTTCCTCTCTAGGCCTCGAGGAGGCTACCAATTAGATTTTTTCTCTGAACTGACTTTCGTTCAGTCACGGCATTGTTGATTGGGCGCTTCCTGATAGGCGCCGGCTTGATCATCAACGGAACGGGTGGCCCGTCATGGATGATGGAGATATCACCACCATCCCGTCGGTCCCTCTTCACCAATCTCATGCTGGCCCTCATGTCGATTGCTGGCACTATTGCGGCAATTGTCGCGCTGGCAATCAATGGTCATGACACCGAGTGGGTGTGGCGTGGTCCCCTCCTGGTGAGACTTTCGTCCCGTACTTTCAACATCAGACTCGATCAACTGACCAAATACTTTTAGGGAGAAGTTGCCCCTCCGGCTATAGGCCTAGTTCTTCTCATCTTCACTCCAGAGAGTCCTCGTTGGTTGGTTTCTAAAGGAAGAAATGAAGAGGTCAGTATCTTTCCGTGTTGAATCCGAGCCTCGCTAACAATTACCTCAATTAGGCTTTCGACATCCTTGTCCGTCTACACGCCGACGGAAATCGCCAAGATACCGTGGTCTGTCTGGAGTTTGAAGAGATTGTGTCAGCCGTCACATACGAGCAGGAGCATGCGGGATCTTGGAAGAGTCTTGTCTCGACCAGTGAGTACCCTGTCAAAACTACGGTCATGATCATTATGATTCAAGCTGACATGCTACTTCCCATAGAGTCTCAAATACATCGATTCTCGCTCGTAGTCCTTAGTAACGTCATCCTTCAGGCTTCGGGATGCAGCTTTATGTAGTATTTCTTCACCTTGGTAATCTCGTAGGCGGGCGTAACCGAGACAAGCACCCTTCTCTACCTAACACTGGGTATTTGCCTATGGTAGGCCGTGTCCAACCAATCGGGTGTTCTAATTATTGCAAAATTCGGACGTAAAACTGTCATGCGTAAGTGGACATTGGTCATATTTCTTTGGGAGCACATAGTTGACATGTCCCCAGTTTTTGCCTCCGTCATCTTGACTCTGTGCTTTATCCTTCTCACCATCCTTATGTACAAGGCGTCAGTAACTGGAAACACAAAATATGGCATCGGCGGCACAGTCATTATCTTCATTTTCCAATGGACTGCCTCCAGCTCATGGATGCTTCTCGCCTACTCTTACCCACCCGAAGTTCTCACCTTTGCCCAGAGGACCCGCGGTCTTTCCATCAGTCAGGCAGTTGGTTACGCCCTGGTGACAATGTTCTCCTACTGTCTACCTATAGCAGTAAACAATATCGGTTACAAGTGGTACGCCATTCTTGCTTGCTTGAATGCCGGTATATTTTTCATCGTCTATTTCGTCTTTGTGGAGTACGTACCATCCTATCCCTCAACCTCAGATTGGGAAGGAAAAAAGGTTATGACTAAAAGCTAATGCCCTCATAGAACTAAAGGTAAGACCCTCGAAGAGATTGATATTATCTTCGAAGGCGCCGAAGCTTTCAACGCCCGTCAGTTGGGAACCAGCGTTGGTAAAAATACTACAATCATTGAGGGTATCGAACCTACATCAGCGAGCGGCTATATGCCTTCTCTCATCAAAAGCGACTGAAGTGCGAGCTTTATGTGTACTCAGTCAAGCACAGGAGCTTTCCTGATAATAGCGCACTATTCAATCTTTGGATCAGAGGACAGCAAGTGCATTTATCAATCTCTAGCTGTTTGTTGTTGTGGCAAATTCTGGTGTCCACTGTCCTAGTTTCGCCAGCATCGCCTGTACAAACAAGGGGATCGTACTCCATCCATCAAATATGCAAAGCCACCGTTGTGGCCTATAACTTTTCCAGGTGTACTGAAATTCATATTGACATCCATATTGAAAATCTATGCTTAAGCAGTAGTAGTATACGGCTCCCTATGGGTCCTAGTGCTGGGCTAAGCGGGCCTATCCCCGTTCAGTCCTAGCGGGCCGCATCAGCCAAGCCGGAGGCCCCCCAGACTGGGCCCCGGGCAGAAGCCGGTCCTTAATTAATCTACTGTCTCGCTAGGAAGGAAGAACTTGCCTTCATTTGGCTCTGTTGGAACGGCCCCATTGATAAACACAAACTCGTGGTTTTCCAATACCTCGCGGATCTTTACTCAATTTAGCCTCAGGCTCAGGCTTGGGATCAGGCCACAATTCAGTACAGCCACATACCGGTCTGCATTTCAAAAATCTAATAGTAGTGGTCAGTCCCTGTTGTATAGTATGGCCATCAGAAAGAATTTCCTTGAGGAGCCAGGACCTTGGAGCAATTTCCCCTGTTATGGAGGGAAAGGAATCTTATCGTTCAATATCGGGGCTTACGGCTTCTGTAACAATCGAAAATGCGTCAGCCTATTTAAATCTCCACTAAGGCTTCTACTACTCCGAGACTCAAGTGGTATCTGCCTACCCATTTGTGGCTAGGGCATACGGAGTACGGAGCCGGGATGAAATACAACTCCACCTGCATTCTTTCATCAGGATAATATTTTTTAGCAGTTTCCAATTGGCCAGTGAACTTTGATTCACCATATGCAAAATAGATAAATTCAATGGGTGTAAGTTATACACATTTATAATAATGCGCTTTCTTTTTTATTCATGGATACATATACTTGCGGTCCTCGTCCTGTGTCACCGTAATCCGAGTCGTGCGTACGATTCCGTCGTCATTTGCACCATTTTGCAGGTACTCCGTGGATTCAGATGGCTTCAGGGGATCCAGCTTGTAGTAGGCATTACTGGCTGTGGTTCCCCTCAATCTGCTTTGATCGCTCGACTTCCCGGTTCCTTCACTCTCCCAAGCCCGCTTAGATGTGTTCCCTGAGGTAGACATGCCGAAGACCCTCTTCATTTTAACCCCGAGTCCTGTTTCCTTCAGGATCTTTGGAATGCACGGCAGAGCAACGATAAAAAAGCCACATGTCATTTCGGCTGTTGCCCAGAAGGCCAGCGGCGGCAACGTCCAAATAGCATCTGCCGCCTTGCCATGCGTGATTGTGGTTTCGAGCCGGAAGACTGCGGAAATACATGCGCTATGTGTTTCTCGATATTAGCTCAATAATCGAAGCTATTTTTGTATATTAGCACTCACAGCAAGCCGAAGCTAAAGATAATGGAGACACCCATCCGCTTTCGCCAGGTCATCTTGAGACTCCAGATAGGTTGTTGTGGCAAGAGCAGAATGGCCACATCGGAGATCAGCTGAATGCTAGCGGATGCCACTTGTAACTTGTACAAGTCAAAGCATTTGCTAGTCGCCAGGATGGTGATATCCCAGATTGCACTGTGAGGAATGCACTGCATATTCAAGGAGACCACGATGCCAATTCCAGCTGTAATCTGAACAAAGATAACGATCACACACCCCCACCAAAAATAGCCCTCGGATCTGTGGCCTCTTGGAGCGAATAACCGGCAGCATCCTATCATAATGGTTACTTTCAACAATGGTAGAACAATTGTATAAAAGACACCGAAGAGAAAGACGTACTTCAATCAGATCAGTTGAAGAAATTCCTAGTGTCTGTGTATCGGACTCACATATTGAATAAGGATCATATCCTTCAACCGAATATTCCATTGGTGAACGAAATACCCTGGTGTACTAATTAGACCTATCTCCGCATAAAGTGCTCCCCAGAAGCATCCCTAGGTAGCTTTTAGTTTCGGATAATGAGTTATTTCTTCGACGACCAACTGACATATGCACAAAGGGTTAAAGCTATAGAATAATTCAAAGTTAGTGATACATTAATATCATAAGGGAGTATGGAAGGGCTCTGTTTATGCTCGAAAGTTTTGCTGGAGAGTATAACGCATACCTTCTTCAATTTGCACCTTTCTTAATAACCAGATGCGACCATAGGCACGTATAAAAAGGCATATTGTAGAAACAGCAGCACATGCTGATAGTACTCCAATGGCGAGGGCGTTGTTATTTGGCGGATTGTCGAAGTTCGGGGTAACGCCATCTGGCGGCGCGAGGGCAGGGCCGTTGAGATCCATTACAAATGATGAGTGTTTTCTGGAGCCAGTTTAATGTCCATCTGGGCTTGAACGACCGTTGAGGTTTTATAAATGGACTAATTGGTTGCTTATGGGCCCCTGTCTTCGTCAAACCAGAAGCCCAATTGCGATCTTCAGGAGTGACGGGACAACGGGTTTGCCCAGGTGTGTTCCAGAGAAAGCTCAGGCTCTGTTAACCTCAGTGTAAACGTTTTCTTGCAGGGATTTGATTCCTCTTGCAGTCGGTTTACCCGTTTCAGACAGGGGTTTGCCCATTATTGTAATAATCCCGCACATGTGGCAACGAAAAAAGAACAAGATCAACACGGATGCAAACAGGCTACCGAGGAAGCCTGGAGTTGGGTCACTAAAAACAATTGCAGTATAGAGCAGCGTTGGATCACTTTTTTGGGGGCCAGAAGCTGGGGAAATAAATCAACCTGCATGTACGGAGTACAGAGTACGATAGTACCAACTAGTTCGGTGCTTATTTTCTTTTTCTCTCACAATTTAATCAATAATCCTATGAAGAATGTTTTTAACGGATATAAAGCACAAACAAAAAAAATCCCAGAACGTCTCGAATACGTACTCCCCCCAACAAAGGTACTAAATGGAAGGCGCTACCTAACAATAACATTGACGAGATATATACCCTTGCAACCAAAGTGGTGTCATAGATCCACTCTACTCCTACACTAAACAAGATGGGGAAACTCGAAATATATCGGGCCCACATGCAAGACTCGCTGTGAACTTTTGAGCTGGGAGAGCTGGGACAATGTTTTCCGCTGTCACGGCTGGGCGTCCACCTGCTATTGGGAGATTGCGTGGTGTGGGTCAAGAGCTAAAGATACTAACGGGAAATTTGCTAAAAGAAAGAAATTATTTTCATGGATAACCCCTGTATGTCTCAGAATCCCTGTATCTTTCACAAGGTATTTTGTCGTGCCTGTTCTGCGTTATTGGTCCTTATTCTCGGTGTAGGAGTGGGGGTAATTGCCGTTGACAGACGACAAGGCCTATAAAGCTTGGAATTGCATGTTATGCACGAAGTTCACGTTTCTCTCCTTTTACGTCTCCCTGTGCCTATCATTGTTGTCCGATCGCCCCGATGCCTAGGCAAGACGTTTTTCATCTTCACCCTTTGGGGTGGGAAAATGATCCGGAGGAGGAGCGTTTCAAAGTCTCAACCCTCGACTACTTGACTGTTTGCACCTACAACAACTATGGCCTTTTCTTTCAGGTGGAGGATGCAGATAAGGCTAGAGTCGCTGATGTGCTGAAGACTGGTCTTGAACGTACTCTGAGCCAAGTTCGACATATCTGTGGTACCATCGAGAAAGACCCTTCCGGTGGCCACTCATTTGTGAAGAAGAAAGATAGCACTGTACGCTTTGTGGTCCAATGGCTAGATTCAGATTCACCAGAAGACAGCGCCTATCCAACCTTTGACGAAATTGCAAAGGGCAATTTTTGTACTTCAGTACTAGGTGACCTCAACCGATGGAGTATCCCTCCGATGACATACGGCGAAAAACCAGAGGCTCACCCTGATAGCAGCCCAGTGGTTGCAGCATACAAGGTTAACTTCATTCGGGGTGGACTGGTCTTCATTATGCACCATCACCACTTCTCTAATGATGTCATGGGTTGGGCTGGGCTCGTCCACCAGCTAGCTGAAAACTGCCATGCAATTGTCAACCAGACGCCCTTCCCCTTATGGGACTCTGCATGCCTTGATCTATCACGTCTCACAAAGCCCATTGTGCCTGAAGGGTCTATGATCGATGGCCCCCCTGCGCCTGAGCGTCATCCTGATCATGTCGCGGCCGAAATGCTGCTCTTCCACCTGCCTAAGAGTAAGGCAGCGGAGCTAAAGACACTCGCGACACCGACAGACGGATCTTGGATCTCCACATACGATGCATTCTCCGCTTTCATATGGCGCACTATTTCTCGGCTTCGAGCCCCTGTCTTTAAGCCAGATCTATCAGCCCCATTATTGTGGATAGAAGCTATCGATATGCGGCGACGGATGCACAGCCCCAAGGTGCCCGCACGGATGCAGCATAATGTTATGACTGGAGCTATCTCATCCACTGCTCCAGTCACTGCACCTACAGTAGCAGAGGTCATTTCTGAGTGGCCGCTATCAAAGATAGCTTCTTATATCCGCCAGCTGACCAACAGCATTACACAGGAGGCTCTGGATCAAATGCTAGATGTAGTAGCCACAGTTCATGACAAGACAACGCTGAATATCCGCATTGACTCGCACCCGCCCATGTCAATTCTCCAAACAGATCATCGCGATGCCAATATTACAGGCGCTGATTTCGGCTTTGCAAAGCCCTTTACGTACCGGCATCTCATCGACTGCTTGACACAGGGCGTCATCATTATCTACCCATCGCGTGACCCGTCTCCTGAATCAGATGAGGGCCCCGAGTTTTCAATCTCTTATGAGACGAGCGTGAAGCAGGCCCTGATTGAAGATCCAGAGTGGAACAAGTATTTCGAATACCGCGGTGTCGATGCTATTGACGCTCTCCAGCAAGATTCCTAAGGGTATAATGAAGACCGACAGGGAGAATTCTGTTTAGTTTGGCCTCAGTTGTCTGAGCTCCTGTGTATATCGTCAATATAGATTTGGAGCCCCTGCAAATTGGCTTTTCCGAGATATTCCTAGATATTGTAGAACCAAAAATCGAGGGCAGGATATTTTTAGAAACTTAGAGATGGTATTGTAGAGGAAAGGGTCGACAAGTCGAGTGGTGGCATAACTGCAGAATAGTAATGCCAATAAATGCAACTCCACCGTGTATTTAGTATTTACCTCCCAGCTAGAGTCGAAACAATCCAGATCAACCAACACACTGATGACGCCAGCCCTTCGTTGAAGGAGACAACGGTCAAGAGCATCTGATGAGGGTAGCGCAGTGAATTTTATTGCCTAGGTGAGGTTACCGACTTGGCTGCTTTCCCGTTACCGAGCCAGCTCCAAGGTTTGCTCAGGAGTCATGCCCAGTGCCCAGGTGCGCGGTGGGGCCGGCCCCGGGGGAGCCCCGGGGGACTCCCGGGGGCCCACCCGTGGACGATTTTAATGATTATGTAAGACCCACTGTTGGGCACCTGGGCACACTGGGCACAAAAAGGGCAAGGGGTGAGTGAGCAGATTCGCCATGCAGTAGATCGGGTGTAACTTTTCATCGGTCCAGGCACATGATACTTCTAGGAATCAATCCGAAGATGGTTTGCGCTCTAAAAATGTCTATCGTTGGATCCTGACACCATCCCTAGGAGTCGTTGTTGCAGTGCGAGATACCTAATCTAAATATATCACCTCGAAGCGGTAGTCTCATGGGTTAACTAGCGGGTTTCTAGCCATTGGTTTCGACGTGGACTACCAAGAAATCAAGCAAAAGTTTTCAAAAATAGTAGATTTCACTAATTCCTTCATAGCATGCCACACATTTTGAGGCTCTGACGTACGTAAAAGGCCGGACCCATCATGATCGTATGCTGAAGTCTCAAGCCAACTCACGGAGCATACCGAAATCCTTCCACGCCCTCCAACGCATCCCGTTTCCCTTCTTCCACAAGACGGTTCTGTCGGTTAAGGTAGAACGAGAATCCCAGGGTAACAAGTATATACAGCATCTGCATCGCAATCGTAGCCCACATACCAGGGAGGTATGTCTGCAACAGCAACAACATTAGTATCAATTAAAATACTCTTGAATTTATACTCACCGGAGCGTCCTGGGTCCTGAAAATTGTTGACCCCGTAATTCCACCGGCAGCCCCAACAGAAATCATAGCAGCTGCAATAACACCCCGTTTCTCCACTGTGGCAACCTGGCTCTGTCCATAGGATAGCGTGCTCGGTACGTTTGCCTGTGTCCCGAAGACAGCGAAGAACAACCCGAAATAACGTACGCCGGGTGGGCGGCAGTACAGAGTGATCAGAAGTCCAACGACCGCGAAAAGGGCTTGGATGACGAGGACCAGCCAGCGGATTTTATACTTATCCGAAAGCCAGGCCATGAGTAGGGACATGATAATGGCGAATATATAGGGCGGGGATGACAGTATCTGGGATAGGGCATAGCTAAACCCCATTCCGTCTCGGAGGATTATGGGCTGGAAGTAGGCGATAGAGTATACGCCTGACGCTGCGATAAAGTATTGTATAGAACTAGGTCAGGTTAGCATACTCCTTGTTATTGAAAAAGAGATGAAGATTTACTAAACAATCAACTTCCAATCCCGCATCATCACAAATGCCTCCTTCAGCGAGGGATGTTTGTACTCTCTTGACTGTTTGTCAATAGACAGGCGAGCAATCGCAATCTCTTTTTGTCGTGGTTTTAACCAGCTTGCCTTGTCAGGGACTTGATAGAAGTTAGTTGTGGCCCGAAAATATTCGCTTGTTGTAACTTACACTGCACAAGGAAGAATGCAGCGGCAATGCCGGCCACAATCGTTGCGATTCCCTCAATTATGAATATCCAACGCCAACCTTGCGCATATATTCCATCCCCAACTCGTATCAGAGAGAATGCGTAAGCAAGGATCGGTCCGAAACCAGAAGCTGTTAGTGCCGCCATGTAGAACAGCGAGACCCTAGTGGCCGTTTCATATTGCCGGTACCACGAACCGATAATAAAGACCGCACCCGGGAACACTACCCGCGTGTTAGCACGAATTGTGTGAGATTGCATATATGAGTACATACATCCAGCCTCGAAGATACCAAGTAGCGCACGACACACAGTCAAAGTGGTCCAGCTCCGAACGAACCCCATTCCCAGAACGCAGGCTCCCCAGGATGTAATCAGGAAGCTGAGCCAGATTCTGGCACCAACGCGTCGAATAACAAGGTTCGATGGAATCTCAAATAAGCCGTATCCTGCTAGAGTCAGCCAATCGTCGCACCGTATAACATATCACACCTACCAATGAAAAATACCAACAGCGCAATGTTATACCTTGACCTGGTAGGGGTTAGTATCTAACAGGTATAGGGAACTAAGATCCATATGCGATCCATAGCAGCTAACCCTTGTAATAGCTGAATGTCCTCTCCAAGACCAGCAATGTATGCTGCAGATATGTTCGTTCGGTCCAGTAACGACAGCGCGAAGACGATGCATAGCATCGGGAAAACGCGCCAATCGATGGCTCTCCTATATCATCGTTAGTATTTCAATTAGAAAGCACGGTAAGTGATATCCCTACACCAGCGCTTTCTCCTCCTCCTCGGTCCACTGCTGGACACTAACCCCTTTCTCGCCCTCATTCGAGACGGCAAAGTGAGGTTTATCACCGGCCTCCTCAATATGCTGGGCTTCGCTGTCCTTGTTGGTCATCCTGGGCAAATGATGCTGACCACGTTGGTCTGTTTACACGAGATCAGAGAGAAGACGAGACTTAGTTTCCTTTTAATGGCCGATCACAGCCTGAAGTAGCCTGGCTCATGGACACTAATAGATTCATGTCTACCCTCGGCCTAGCGGTTATGTCTCTGCATCGCTTACTTGCCCTAAACCTTATATAGATTACAGCCATTTAGTTAGTTCCTTACTCATGAACTTGTCGCGGACATTGATAGATCCATGTCTACCCTCGGGTTAGCGGTTATATCTCGGCATCTCTTACTTGTCCCCAACCTTATAGAAATTGCAGTCAGTTAGTCGCCTACTGATGGGCTTGTCACGGTTGTATTCCAACTTGTTTTCCCCGTGGGTGGTACAACACAGGTACGGCTGCAGGTGGGCTAGACAGCCCTTGACTCCGTTTTCAGGTCAAAAGACACCATCCTATACCTTGAGCCTAGCAATTTCTCGTTGATAAACAATATATGCGAAGGTTTATACCGTATTTCATATGCGAGCTCGACACACGGCTGGACACCCCAAAACATATAGTAAATGCAATAAACTACAACTCGACGTCTTAACAACGGTATTCTATAAAGAGCTTTCTTAATGACTTAGTACATTTTAGATGATATATATATATGTATGTAGCTTCTCTGCGGAGTGCAGAAGATATTTATGGCTCTATAATTGTGATACACATATTTCTAACTTTGAGCAACGTAATTCTCGTAGTTTTGAAAATTCTTATCAACACCTACTGACCAGTCATGAGATAAAATACAAAATGTTGTTGTCGAAATATTGTGTTTCGGGGTGTCCAGCTCGCCTGTGAAATACGTTATTCAGGCATATTCAGGTAGTCCTCAAACGCCAGGCATTCGGCCATAAGCTATACACCTTCAGACAATGTGTATAGTTGACCCTACGGCTGTGAGATGCTATTTACCAACAATGCTGATAGAGCATACCACAAAGTAAATGCTAGTAACGCGGTAGTGGTAGGTAGTAGGATGATATTGCTAATACAAGGCTTGTCATACCAGCATCCCTCGGGCCTTTGTAAATGAAAATACATCCGGGGCAGGTATGCGGGGTCTCGGTCACTACCTATGTACCTAGGTATGTACATAGGTACCGGTACTGCCGAGAAAGCGGGGCTCTGTGGCATTTTGCGGGGTCCCCAAATGTGGATGCAATGGGAAATTTGCGGGGGAACACAGTCGGACGTGAATATAAGTACTGGTAAGACCCTTGCGTGCTATTATGGAGCTGCCTTTTCAAAGACTAGGCAGTCTAGAAAGGCCGAATACGTGTGCAGCAAATTGCACAAGTTGTTGTTGAAAAATTGCTTATGCAATATGGAAACTCAACTTAGAATTAAGAGAGGAAAAACACAAACTTGGTATCTTGATTGGTACATATGTATCTTTATGTTCAGGTTCCTACGCAACCTGGCGATGATCGCTGGATTATGATATAATGAGGACAATCCTCTATCCGGTCCATATATTCCCGCAGTGCTTTGTAACATGTGTCAATTCATTGGTCGAATCATTCAGATCGTAATGGCAAGGGGACGAATCCATGATATATTGATATGGTGTCCTTTTTTTGGTCGTGTTCTCATCTTGCACTTTCAAACACAAGTAGAAGGCTGTGTAAAAATCGACAGTATGCAAGACAGTTTTGGCACACAGAAACAAGAGATTTAACCCGTTGCTTCTTAAAGAGCCTGCCTACCCCGAGTCTCAATGGGTAGGAAACACATGGCTACAAAGGAAGCCAGGATCAACGCGCCGGATGCATAGATTGGCGCGTTGGGGTTTGCATCACCAGCATAGATGGCGACAAGGGGAGCACAAAGACCGGTGATACGGTTCAAGCAACTGGAGATACCAGTGCCAGTACCACGGTTCGGAGCGGGGAAAGTCTCTGGGGTATAGGCAAATAGGACACCGTACATGATGTTCTGGAAGAAGGCCTCAAGACAACTGCACAGGAGCTGGATGTCGGAGTTCGTAGATGCGGTAAAGCAGAACAGCAATACACCGGTGATCATGGTGGAGATAGCCATGGTGCCCTTGCGGCCAATGTACTTAAGCTCAACTGTCCAGCAAGCCAGGAAAGAGCCAGGGAGACCAACGATGGAGGTGATAGCGTAATTGCGGTAGGTTGTGTAGTTCGAGTTGGTCGTGCCACCAGATTGGGAGAGGTACTGTGGCAAGAAAGCGTTGAAGAGAGGATAGCCCATGCCGATGGTGGCCCAGCAGAACCAGAGCAGAACGGTATTCCAGCCCATGCGCTTGTTGGAAAACAGGGGTGCAATGCGCTCCATTGAGAATTTGGAGAAGAAGCGGCCCACAATTTGAGAGTAAGAGAGTCCTGTCTCCTTTTCGTGCACCTCGGCATGACCACCAATTTCGTTGAGAATCTCGTTGGTCAACCAGGTCTTGACGCCGTTCCTGTGGGCAATGCCATGAATGGAGTTGACGGCTTCTTCCTGGCGGCCACGGGAGAGCAGGTACTTGGGCGACTCGTACAGGTGGAAAACGAAGAAACGCAGGATAAACATGACAAAAGTGATGGCACCCAGAGTGAGGACTAGGTAGCGCCAGCCCATGTTGTTCTCCTTGGTGCAACCTTCATGGCTAGAGCAGCTGAAGTTTGGGATAAAGGCCCACGCAAGCAGACTACCAATTAGCTGGCCAACGGGCCACCAGACGCTCAACATGGTCAACAAATTGCCGGAGACAAAGGGGAGGAACTCCAGGAAAAGAGCACCATCGACAGGCAGGTTACCACCTATACCAAGACCCAAGCAAGAGAACAGAGCACATGTTCTGAATTCATGATTAGCGAAATATACATAATCGTTGTTTTTATGAAAACTTACCCGATCCAAGTAGGGCCACCACCGGCAGCTAGACCAAATGTACCAGCCAAGAACAGAGTGGCGTTGAAAGCAAGACGACGACCAACAATATCAGAGGCAACACCCCAGAATGAGGCACCAATACAGAGACCCAAGAATAGAGCGCAAGTGGTGAAACGCACCTCCGTACTGGAGATCCCAAATTCGTAGGAGATGGGGGTTAGCGTCAGAGCAACTCCCTACACATGGTTAGATTTGATTTGTGTGATCGGCTTGAGTTTGATTTCCTACCTGAAGCCAAAGGTTGTCTGCTGTCCAACCAAAACCACAAAGAAAGAACAGTTCCCATTGATATCGACCCATGCCGATATCCTGGAGAGCTCTGTTGATCACCTTTGACTTGCCTGCATCGTCGAGTTAGATCAAAGATTCAATTGCATGGAGCTTCCACACAGTAAGTAGTGTAAAAATCCAGGAGAAACATACGGTCATAGGCAGAGTCATGGGTAGCTGAGGTAATATCAGCCTCAACTTCGGCACGAAGAGCTTCAAGGGTCAGATGGGTCGAGTCATTGGAGCCGGCAGCACCGTTCTCAGAGGAAGATGCGCGGTCCGAGCCCTGGTCAGACTCTTTATCTGCCTTTTCCGAGAGGGGATGGGCAGGTGCATCGGCGAGTGGAATGACAACGCTCGGGAAGTCTTGATGGTCCGTTTTGAAAGGGTTAAATTTTTGGATCCCCATCATGGCGAATTTATATGGCGCTTTGGAATAAAATTTTCAACTGCCTGGGATTTGCTGATGTCTGTCGAGTATGTCGCTTTTCGCACGTTCTATTCCGTTCAAGTATCGCTGGAAATTCCGCGAGGGGCCAAGGGTGAATCTACAGATGTGGGGAGGAGCTGCAATGGGGTGATATATCGTGGATCCGGGGGCTTGTTTTGTGTGGGTCAAAGTGGCGCAAGGACAATGGTCGATATACTTTGTATACTGCTGTCGAGGATTTCAGATGGGCTTGTCGCTTTCGATGCTAGATTTGTCGCAATCGTGGGTGATATTGTTGCCGCCAGGGTGTTGCAGGATCGTTTGCTACTGAGGAGCGGATCTGAAGTGCCTCGTGCTTGGCCTTTGCTGTTGAAATAGATTTCTTTTGCTTTTTTTCACAAGGTGATCAATACTGGAAATGATCCAAAAGCGTGAACCAAAAGCTCTGCTGCGGGAACATAAAAATGAAACGCTAAGAGACGGAGCTCTAGCAAGATGTGTCAAGGGATTCAAGGTAAGCTTGGGATAGCTATACCTTGTCCAAGATGATTTGAGAGAGAGGGAAGTTTGGGGATTGACAGGAGAGGAAAGAAGAGAAAAATGGAAGTGAGGTGGGATTCTAGAGTCGCTATATACTATTGGGATCCCAACGACAAAACAATATGATTCCTGTTCTTTTTTTTTTTCTCTTTTTTTTTTTTATTACCAAAGGTTCTTTAGTATGAGATGCCATAATTGGCCAAGGCCGAAAAGCGGGACTGCAAGTAAAAGGATGAGACTCCGTATTCTGATGGACTGTAACCCGAATACTAGAAAAAGGACTGGCTCGGGCCCGGAACTGGGGTACTCGGACCCTTTACGGAGTATATCTGAACGTATTCCGGTTGCCATCGGCGAGTACAATAATATGTTGTACTATGTCCGTACTTTGTACTTTGTAGAATAATAAAGGATCTTCGGATTTGGACACCGCCCTACCTATTATTAGTGCGCTACCATACTATAAGGCTAACCTGAATATCAGACAATATATAAAACTTATCTCCTCTTAGTTTCTTGCAAATTAGGCTGTTGAATCATACCCTCATACATTACTTTGTACATTTCAATATTGCTAGTTTCAACCCTTTTATGACCGGCAGTGCCGGCAGAATCTAATGGCGGTCCGCGGTAAAATAGAAGGTCCCACTATATCGTCCATAGGATGTTGTACAAATAGGCATACGTATTATATTAATAATATTGTTGGCGTTAGTTAATAATTCACAGCCGCACAGGGAATAGCTTAAAAAGAAGCAGCATAAGTCATCCATGTCCACGGTTGTGAACGCCACCACGGCAAGTCCGATATATACTATTCAGCCTCAGGGTTTTCCCTACTCTACCTCTATACCTCTCTGGCTATTCCGCATACAGAACTCAGACAGTCCCGTACGACTATCGATCGCATGTGCAAAATTTGTACTTTGTAGAAACATATCATACATACAGGGTCGGAATGAACAAATTTGACTATGGACCTGAGCCGAGACCCTATTGGCCTCCACGACCCACTATGAAAATTTTTGCAGCGAGACCACTTTACCTTCTCACTACTCTTGTTTGGGGCAAAATACTGAGATCAAGATACCGCATGCGTGCTCGCGTGCTTAAATGTCACCCCTCTATTTTGCTCTTATTTCCCAGGATATTCGACATGTTTTTGGTGTTTTTTCCCCTACAGTATACCCTTGGAACAACAATCCTAGATCCTTGCGAACATCAAAAACTAATACGAGAACAATGTAGAACAACATTCATGCTAAAAGGCCGTGAATCTTGGCCGAGGTGCATCCATGCCGCATTCAGATCAGGGGAATTCGCCTTGCCCTCGGCCAATCACAACCCTTTAATACTGTAATTCTTCCAAGATTGCTTCCCACGGGATAAATTACGGCCACTTGCCATTTCTACGTAAGCCTAGTAATATCCACTTAAGCCCATCATTTGCTTGTCGGGCACTGCTCGTATCCTCAACTTGGACTCTACAGCACTGTGGAGAATATGTAAGTGGCTCTTGGCTATGATATTTATGTGTCACATCCTAACCGGTTATTTGTTTCCTCTCAGTGGCCTGTTCTTGCAGTCAATCCGGAAACTGCGAAGTCTACTCCGTAGGATAAACTCCACTGAGGGATGTCCTCTCTTTTTACTTGCCTCTTTATATTGGACTAGCCCACTATGGGCGGGTCTATGTTGTACAAATAAATTCCCTCCCGCCCATAGCCCTGCGTCTTAACGATTCAAGGGGTCACTGGGACCCCAGGAATCGAGTGAACTCTCGATAGATTATCTTCCAAACACACACTGCCCGGGGCAATGCATGTATAAAAGAATGAGTTTGAGAGTAGCCATGTTGTAGATACTTTGGACATCGTACATTTTTGTCCCTTTTAATTTGCGAACTATGTTGTACATAGTAACCCGGAAGTGTAATTACACTCGGGTTCGACTGTGATTGACTGGGCCTCTGAACAAATATCGAGCCCCACACTGGATGGAGCACACTACTTTTTAGTGTATTATGGTGTATACACTAGCCAAGGGATTGGTTGTGCGATTTCTCTAGGCTATACGTTGTAGAGTGCTGCAAGAAATTTCAAGTGCTCTGCGCCAATCTTGAGCGCGATTAAATAGATGGAGGTTCATCAATATCGTTGTATCCTGTGCAAGACCAATATATGAAGCAGATACCAGACCCGCTAGTACTTTATTCTATACATAACGAAGGCCTACTCGGGCAAGATATTACGCGTCCATGACAGTCAATCCAATGGGGTATCTCACCTTGAATAACAGACCAAACACCACCATTTTGCTCGGTCAATAGAAAAACATATCAATCCGCCGTCAACCAGCTTCACATACTTATCCAGTAAACTATGGCCAAATGGGCATATATATAATTAAATTGGCAGGCAAGTCCTCGTCCAGTGACTGTGGCTGTGACACCAGGAATAAGGAAATACTAGGAATGATTGAACTTTTCGATCTGATGTCAAAAGTTTTGCGCAGGAATTCAAAATGCATGGAAACACACGATATAAGATATTAATGCATAGGCGGGTTGTGCTATAAAATACACAAACTTATTGCATATATTTCTATACATATTGTCTTGCTATAAACTATACACATGTAGGCATTCCTTCTTCGTGATGAATAAGATACTATAGTTCCTCGGTGCGGTTAAGCAGCCATTCAAGGTGACGATAAGACACGCGAGGCTGGTACTGCGGTTGCATATGACCAGACTGGTAACTCTGAGCCCACATCAAGCCACGCTCATAGTGTTGAACACCCATGACACCCTGAGGGCCGTCAAAGGAAGATGCATAATTCTCCGCAAAGACATCGGCGTACAAGAGATCAGGCAGTTTGATATCGATGGGGGTTTCTGGCTTCGACTGGAAACCGAGATGGCCGTTCCAGGTCATATTTTGGATGGACAGGAGCGTACCGTTGGTGATAACAACCATGTCAAAGTCACCGTTTGAAATGAGAACACGGTTAGTAGCCTCGATCACCTGCGGCAAGACGCTCTCAATCGGGTTCGCGGAAATGTCGCCTTCTTGCTCCGGGCCGGCGTTGCCACCGACGTACACGGGCTCTAGTGAACATACATTCCAGGTTATCTTGGGTGCGTGTAGCGCTCGCTTGACATCTGGGCGATCGAAGTAGACGGTTGCTCCAGGTGCTTGGTAGTCGAGTGAAGTGGGGAAGGCGAGAACGTCCCAGAGGAGTGGGCACATCAGGTTGATCTCGTAGAGATCGAAGCATGGGTTGATGTGGAATATTTCCTTGTAGACGAGATCAAACAGATCACACTCGGCGTCTGAGCTGTAGTTGAACATCAAGGGCGGCTGGACTTCGGGTGGTGGGAAAGTGAGGTACTTGTCGATATATTCCTCGTATCCGCAGGATTTGTGCTTCTTATCGAGCTCAGTCATGAATGATGCGTTGAAGTTGAACAAGTTCGCATTTTGCTGGACAAGAGGCACAACGGCAACCTCTTGCTGCACATAGTCGAACTGTCCAATGCACGGGTCATATGCCAGCGCACCTTGGTAAATAGTCAGAGTTTATATCCCAGCCTGTTGAATATTCATGATAACTCACCACCTAGATCGAAATACTCCTCGTCGTCTTCGTCGAGCATCGCAGCTGAAATATAGGGCACATAACGACCAGCATAACTCTCACCAGTGACATAGATCTTGAAGTTCTTGATTCCAAAAATCTTCTGGAAGTTCTTGAAGAACTTGACAAAGTCCTGTGCTGTCTCCTCCTGTGAAACAGCAGTCGGTGTGCCGATAGAGTAACCTGTTCCGACAGGCTGGTCGACCCTGCGATATGTTAACAAATTTTTGGATGTTTGTGCAGGATAACTGCTTACCACAGCACATTGGTCAGGTTGACCCAAGAATAAGGGTTCTCCAACGGGGCAAAAGTACCAGGTTGCCATATGAACCGACCAGTCTCTTGCAAGAAACTCTCCATCGAGCTGCATCCAGGGCCACCGTTGAGCCAGATGGTTATTTCATCTACAGGCTCGTTGATAGTAGGCTGAAAGATAAAGAAGAGCGCTCTGGAGCTATTGTGCATATCAATTGGCACCAGGCCAGAATACATCTCGCCGACATCGTACGGAACATCCGGCAGGGAGTCCACCCGGTAAGCTATGGGTCTAGTAGGATTTTTGCTGCTAAAAATGATATAACTCGACACTCACGCTTAGTCTTTTTGTTCAAGAAACGGTAATCCTTCTCCGGTTTAACATGTTTATGGCTACGAGCCTCCTCAACTGCCCGTTTGGCCTTCTCCTGTGGTGCACGAGCATTCTGTGCAAAACGTCCGTGTTTGGAAGCAGTCACAAGATCTGATCCCAGCGAAAGGGCTAGGAGAGCAGATGTCAGGACTGATTTGAGTAACATCCTGGGTCAGTCGGTATGAATGGGCCAGGAGCAAGATGGAATGTCTCTGTTATCCCAGAGGAGGGGATGCAGCTATATACTACTTCCGAAAAGGCCGACCAATGGCCCCTAATCGTGTGCTCGAAAGGTCCATTTAAATTAATGAAAATCCACCTTACCAGGCCGAGTGATTCCAACTGGATGATTGGAAGAAATCTTTAGCTCGGATGATGCTTCCCGGGGTCCCTGCGGTGTCACCCCTTGCTCGATAGAAAGTCCACAGATATCGGCTTCGGTCGCCTCAGGCGGGATCGGGAAAGATCATTTTCATGGCTGCTAATCTTGCTGCTAGTTAGTATTGTTCCTGACTTACTCCATGTGCCCTGATGGTATTATCTGCGGTTTTGGATAATAGGAGCGATGATCTCATAAATAGCTAGTACTGCAAGAATTCGGCCGCCTTGTGCACAGCTATCACTAGGACCGGACAAAAGACGGATTCCGGTGAGATCGACGGTTATCTATCACTTTAGGATACATAATAAACCCCCTGTATGGGAGGCGGGGACAGCTCGCAATTGGTCTGGCATGCTTCTTATCCCGGGTAAGCATCGTGGCCTCCACAGTATCATGCAGCCCCGCTTAGTTGATGGCAAGTTGGGCATAAGTGGTCTGCAACGGCTGTACCGGTCTGATAGGCGAGAAATCCTCTTGATAATAACTCATGTCGTATTGCTCAGGTCTCCGATCAAAAGCTCACATCATGCCCCTAACTCTCTGCTTCTGTGGCTAGATTCGACATGCCAAAAAATTGTGTACTGCCGTCGAAATGTTCATGAAATAAATGCCATAATTATACACCAGTGTCTGAGCCTGGATTCCCTCTCTTACCCGGCCCTTCGCTTTCGCCCCAAACCCCAAGCATATCAAGCTTTCCATCGCGATCACTGGCTTGGGATTATTTGGCTGATCAGCGGGACTTAACCCCTTTTTGCCGAGGAACAGAGGCCAACGCGATCAGTATACTCGATGAATATACATGATTTCTGTTTAGTTGTTTTTATAGAGAAAAAAAAAAGTCTTCTACTAGATTTTTATTTGTGTAGTCTACCGTATACAAGATACGGAAAACAAAAAAAATGGACTTGCAGGGAATCGAACCCTGGACCACTCCCATGCTAAGGGAGTATTATACCACTAAACCACAAGCCCAATTTGATGGAAGGTGCAGCCATTTAATCACTGATGATCTTATAACATATGTAGTACATATGTGCTTGACATGTAAGATCCTGCGACCTACTCCGTAGGACTTCCAAGTTTACATTTTGAAAATATTCGAAATATCTTGCTTTCTGAGTTTCTAGCCTTGGGAAGCTATATGAAGTTTGCGTAAATTTATAATAACCGATGATACTTCGTCAAAGAAAAAAAAAATCTTGAAACATGATCACAGATATATATTTATTTGCTCGCGTTGTTCCCTGGCGTGCTACCTTGGGCCAACAATAATTGATATCCATACGTTACTTCAATCCCTTTTGAGCTGTGTAAATATATGAAAATACAATTCGATCCAATCTAGGTACCTACCAATGGTCAACGTTATGCCCGGATGTAGGCAAGTATAACACTTGGCATGCGTTTTGGGTAATCAAGTTTCACTGAGTTTGGAAGGTCGGAGATTGGCCACTTTGCCGAACTACTGTCATAGCCATGGATAGCCGACGGATATGTTGAGTTACATCCTGTACACCGATAAATACGACGAGTACGGGCTTGTCATTCTATAAAATTTTTGCCAACAAAGTGATTTTTTTTGGGTCATATACCCTGGTATGCTGCTCAACTGGAAAACAAACAAACCAACAAGATAGTTTTGGGATTCCCCATCTAGTTGCAGGTATAGAGTATTGAACAGGCATATATAATATATAGTACAACACTACGTTGTATAGACAAAGAAGGTCTGGTTCTGGATGTGATAGACCTCGGGATCCACTTATTTCCGTGCCCAATGACCTTGCGGCCCGAAATTTTCGCGCCCTTAACAATTACATAGCAGATTACATGGCCAGTGAAAGTCCAGGAAACCCACTTGAACACCAATGGGAATAATTCCGTAGAAAATTCTCAGGGCCACTTTTGCATATGACTCCCATAGAAGTTTCGATTGCTAATATGTAATTCTCCTCCTTCAAACTCCTCCCCAGACACCCCGGATCCTCAATTTCAGAAATCTAGGAATTTTTCAATGCAAGTGGGGAATATTGGAATATAATAGCTCTTTTCACATAGAATGTCTACCAGTGTCGGGTCTGCCAGCAGAAAAATTGGCGACCATGCACTTGAAATGAACCCCCAGAGCACCACAACAGCCCAAAGCACCACAGCTTTTGACGAGAAGACCACTGTTCATACAGACAATGAGAAATTTGATACGGAGGCTCCACCAGAGCAAGAACTCAGCCCAGAAAATGTATACCGGACAGCATCTACTGTGGCACCGTCTCAAAGGTCAGCCAGAAGAGACCCCGTTAGTCGAGTGACTACAGACGCCGAAGGCAACACATATCCGGAGGGGGGGCCTCGAAGCCTGGTTGGTAGTCTTGGGCAGCTTCCTCGGCCTCTTTGGATCGCTCGGCCTGGTCAACACAATTGGCACTTTCCAAGCATACATCCAAACCCATCAACTGAAGGAATATAGCTCAGGAACCAATGGTTGGATTTTTGGAATGTTTGCCTTTCTCACTTTTTTTTGTGGAGTACAAATCGGTCCCATCTTCGACGCCCGAGGCCCTCGTCTTCTTGTCTTTGCTGGTTCCGTGATTGAAATGGCCATGATCATCCTCGTCGGCTTCTGTACTGAATACTGGCACTTTATGCTGGTTATTGGCGTGCTGGGTGGAGTGGGAGCGTCTCTGATTTTCACACCCGCGATCTCGGCGGTCGGTCATTATTTCTATGAGAAACGTGGACTTGCAACTGGCATTGCTGCCACCGGTGGCTCTGCCGGAGGTATTGTCTTCCCTCTCGTTCTAGAAGCCCTCTTTCCCAAGATTGGCTGGGGCTGGGCTACTCGGGTCGTCGCGTTGATCTGCCTAATTTCGCTATTAATTGCAAATCTCTTGATCAAGTCTCGACTCCCGCAGAAGCCATTTTCCAAGGAGAACGTGCTTCCTGACTTCCGGATCTTCCGAGACCCGCGATTCGTACTTACCACCGCCAGCGTCTTCTTCATTGAGTGGGGTCTTTTCGTGCCAATTAGTTACATCTCATCCTACGCCCTCGACCATGGTTTCTCTACCAAGTTCTCGTACCAGATCATTGCCATCTTGAATGCCGGCTCATTTCTTGGCCGATGGTTGCCCGGCTTTTTCGCTGATTTCCTTGGTCGCTTCAACACATTGATCGCGACGGTAGCGCTCTGTGTGCTCTGTAATGCCTGCCTGTGGCTTCCTGCTGGAGATAGTAAGGCTCTATTGATCGTTTACGCCGTTCTTTTTGGGTTCTCAAGTGGCAGCAATATCAGCCTGACTCCAGTCTGTGTCGGCCAACTCTGCAAAACCGAAAACTACGGCCGGTATTACGCAACTGCCTATACCATAGTGAGCTTCGGGTGAGTGGTTTTTCCTCGTGATGTCATTTGCGTATCCATAACTAACATACTTTTGCCACTAGCACTCTCACCGGAATCCCCATCGCAGGTGAGATCTTGGCACGCTGCAATGGATCCTACTGGGGCCTTATCACCTTTACTATCTGCTGTTATGCGGCTGGCCTTGCATGCTGTACTGCCGTCAAAGTCATTCAAGTTGGCTGGCGTCACCCTCTCTCGATCTATTAAAAATTTGGCTTCGGTATCCGGGACTCCGACGCTGATTGATCTGGTAATCTCGACACGATCTTATGATTTCAAAAATGAGCTTAGATAGAAAGATTTCTATTGGTCCTTTGGCTTGCATTATCTATTGAGCGTTCGTGACTGAATGATTTGCTGTATATAGCTACTAGTAATGTCTATATTTATCAATTTTCGATTATAATTCTTTAGTTCATTGTAGTCCCACTAAGTCGGATAACGTTTCCGACATGACCGGTTCGGCCCTTCAGCCGTACAAATACCTCTCGCAATCGAACTGGTGTAAACTAGAAATAAAAGGGACGATTCGCCCCATTGAGGCGATATAAAAACCATGAATGTTGGTAACTCAGGTTCAGGTTCCCTGCAGGGCTGAACAGGGCGGAACACGTCGCATAAGATATCCGACAGGCACCGGATCTATGTAAACATCTTATCACAATGATGTCCCTGTACCTTATCCAGCCATGGATTTCACCACTGGGAATGACTTCCAATAGGAGCAGTCTCAGCTCTTACCATGGAAACCATCAAGACATTGAAAGTTAAACCAAAAAACAAACATCGACATCACCCCTGGCCAATCCCCTCGCCGTGATGACATCGAGTGTTCATCAATCCATCACCATTGAGTTTTATAGACTCTTACTACATATACGGCATGGCTCTCGTATCCCATCCTAACCTCCTTTTTAATCCGGGACTTTGCTTTCCTTGCTCTCGTCTCGAACTCATCTGGTGGGCATTTGCTGCTTTGCTTAACTTGCTATCCAACTTCTAAAGGTAGAATTGTCCTCTATATCAGCTCATTCATCAATACGACAACACACGGAACAACCGGCGAACTTGCATTGGCCCCTGTTTTCCCCAACTCGGCCACATTTGTTCAATCGCCCTGCACATACTTGCGTTGGTCCGAATCATGTTTCCCAAAAGATGTTTGATTCTACTGGCCTGCTCCTGGACTCTCCTGCAGAGTGTCCTGGCTGTCCCAGATGTGGCACCAGAGCAGCGCGGCCTTGAGGAGCATCGTCGAGAAGAGCGTGACTTTGGTGGCTTGCAGGAGCGTCACAACCATCCTGATCTCGAGAGTTCGCTACTTTCTGTCTTGACTGAGGAGTTAGCTACGACACATGGTCCGTCACCACCAGAAACCACTGGGGGAGGAGGTGGTGGTACAGTCCCTGGTGGTGGAGGCGGGACAGTCCCTGGCGGAGGTGGTGGTACAGTTCCCGGTGGAGGAGGCGGTACAGTCCCCGGCGGAGGCGGCGGTACAGTCCCAGGAGGAGGTGGCGGTACAGTTCCTGGTGGTGGAGGCGGTACAGTCCCAGGAGGAGGTGGCGGTACAGTTCCTGGTGGTGGAGGCGGTACAGTCCCTAGCGGAGGAGGTGAGCAAACTACTCCCTTATTTTCCAAAAGCACTCTTCTGACTCTCCCTGGTATCCAAGGCGGCACTACACCCCCTGGCGGCAGCGGAGGTACGACTGCTACCGCAACTGGCGGCGTTCCTACAACCGGTGGTGCTAGCTCAACAACCGGACCTGCTCCTTCAACTGGCGGCAATGTTAGTCCTCCCCCAAGCGGCAGCGTTGAAACATCATCCACCGGCCCCGCTTCCTCCCCCAGTGGACCTCAGCCATCCTCTCCCAGTGGACCCCCACAGCCGTCCTCACCTGAAGTGGTTACTACAACTACTAACACTATTCAGCCTCCATCTACTAGTACAGAGCCAAGTACCACAACTGCTCCCCCTGGCGGCGGTGTTACTACCCCACCTCCCAGCGTTAGCACGCCGCCGGTCTGTCCTTCTCCTCCCCCAGTACCTGTCTGTCCTCCTCCTTCCCCACCACCTGTCTGTCCTCCTCCTCCTTCCACATCCAAGGAGACTACCGTCGTTCCAGTGACGGTTACTTGTCCTGCCGTCGTAGTGAGCACCGCTGTTACCACTGTCACTGTCACATCTGGTTCGGGCCTGGGCCCGACAACAGAGTGTTGTCCTTGCCCCACTGGAGGTGGTGGAGGCCCAAGTGCAGGTGGAGGAGGTGCCGGTCCTAGCGGAGGGGCTGGGGGAGGTGCTGGTACTAGTGGAGGAGCTGGAGGTGGTGGAGTGAGCAGCACTGGGGGAGCCCCCCAAGTAGTAGCACAACAGCCCCAGGGAGCATCTCTAGCGTGGTCTCCTCAAGTGGCAGCAGCGTGACAGCCTCATCCACCAGAACTCAAACCAACACCCTGACCCAGACCCTGACCCGAACATCGACACCCCTCATCCCAAGCAGCACTAGACAGCGTACCATCACCACAGGCTCGTCAATCACACCGGCTACGCTCGTGACTTTGCCCACAACATCTGCAGCAAGTGCACCCCCTTCATCGCCGGGGGCATCACGCGTCACCCCACGAGCAATTATCAACCCCGATGTTGTTCGCCGACAGATATTTAGCAATACAACAGCGACGGCGCTCTTCACCAACTCGACCGTTGTCGTGAATGCCACGACCAGTGCAGTGAACCTCACTCGTATTGTGACTCAGACTGCTACTGAGCCTGCACCTGCTTTCTTGCCTCGATTTAATCGTGGGCGGAATCGTGTTTAGATTGTTTGGTTGAATCGAGGAAGAGTGGACCGAGATATTGGTTGGTTGGTTTTTGATAAATGTTAGATCGGTTTGGTTATTTCCAGTTTTTGATACTTTTCTCGATAGTTTAAGACTAGTTTAATGTATTTGGTGGTAATATGATGTTGTTGATGTTTGCCAAATTGGCCAAATTGTGCCTATGGCGCCTTTGGATTTGTTTCTTCTACCATTAATGAAAGTAAAGATTTTACTTTTGGAAGTTCTGCTACAAAAACCCACAGACTGTTAAGTCGTGAATTTTAATACCTTGCCACAAGCAAGTCATGATCCACTCTCTCAGATTTATCTAGTCAGTGGATTTTACAAGAAAATACATGTGACATAGCTTAGGTGGATATCTAGAAGGAAGAAACTATCTGGGTTGTGTGAGCAACAAGGGTGAAGTTCTATCATCTGTTTTTTTCTAAAACAGAAATACAAGTTGGAATGTAGAAGCAGTGAGCAGCAAATACACTAAATAGAAACGAACATTCTCTAAACCCCCTGTTATGCCTATAGCCCATACTCGATTTTCACCTCCCCGGAGAGCTAAAACTATCTGTGATGATGATGATGACGACTGTTTTGCTCCTCAAACTCATCCTCGTCAGAAATATCTTCGGCATCGGGTTCCCATTTCATGGGTTGTTGCAGAATGCTGGGGATGCAGCTGATAAGATCATCAGCAACGTCTTTGTCAGTCTCCCGGTCGTTATGCTTGCTGAGAATCCTGATCGAGACGGGCAGCATAAGCTCAAGGTTACGGCACAACCGCTCAAACTGGGGATCACGTTCCACAACCGCACTTGAAATAGCGATAGCCATTTCGGCAGCATTGTCCTCTAGGGTGGCAATGACATCGTTGCGACGATGAGGTCCGTGCCGAAGATAGTAGATGGCATCGTGCACACATGTCAAAATGAAAATACGTCGCTCGTTGTAGGGATCATCGGCTAGTAGCCGTTCAAGATTGTCACGAAGCATTGTAGGCAAATATCAGACTGGTGACCGACAGATTTGCAAGACTTGTTACGATAAGTGCTTGAAGTGTGGCTTGGAAGTGGAATTTATTAAAGATTCCTGGACAGCTAAGGTACAGCCAGGTAGCTAAATTGTCCGATGATATGGAATCCGATGAGAAGGTAGTGGGGATCGGGGTTATTTATGCATTTGTATAGAGTATGTAATTGGAACTGATTCGATTCCCTGATTGATGTATCTGACAAAGACAGTAATTGTAACAAAGGTTTCATTTTTATCCTCCTCAGGAAGAAAAGGTCGAACTTTTGGCTCGGAAGACTCCTGGTTATACTTTGAGAAAGAAACTCTTCCCTCCACCCTACTCACAAAGAGACTATTTATGTTCCATCAAAAGAGATAAGAATATCCGCGACAACGGCTAATCACTTTAAGTTATTAATTCTAGAAAAGAGCCTGATAGGTTTTTTTTCTCAGTTGCATACGAGTCTAAATACTGGGGGACTAGGCAGAGCTCACAAGCCGTAACATTTATCTGGAAGTATGAACATTTCCGTTAGGTCTAAATCCATTCAAATAGATGGACTCGGATAAACAAAGAGAGAAATACAAAGGATAGAGCATGGTAGTTAAACCAGGCAAGTAAAAAAATGCAGGTGACTATGTGCGGCACCAAACAAAGGATGGATAAACTGCCGGGTAGGTGCGAAAACCGTGAATATTCTGCTCTGTATTCTCATTGCATATGTATTCTTCGAGAATTCATATATATTACTTGTCAGAATTATATCAGTAGAAATTTTGATTTGGACATGTTTTATATAATAATGTGTCCCCTCGATTTCCAAGGTAGGTACAGCTAGAATCATTTTCCGTTGCTTACTACTTGCTAAGGAATCCCTGAGGTATGTAGGTATGAGGGAATAATTATAAACTATGGAGTACATAGTTCTAGACTTGAAACAAGATCAAGTATGTGTATACTTGCCTTTAATTATGACTATCTCCAAGGTTATCAGGTCCAACTGATAAACTGATAACCTTCCAAGATTGGCCCCCACAAGCACTTAAGCCAATAACGCAACGACCTGCCTGATTGGTATTAGCTTCAGATTGGGTTCTCCACATGATCCAATACGAGCCGTCCCCCGCGTTTAGGTAAAGCAAAGATCGACAATCTTGCCGAATGATTTCGTATCCGAGCACATCTACAAATGTACGTACTTTGGACTCAAGCTACGCACATACATATGTAGTCATGCGGTCTATACTATACTCGTCTAGCCGCGGCTTCCGCCGGGCAACAGAGCGATAGTCTGAGTGGAGGGACGGTGTGCGACGCCTCCACGGCACAAATGTACTTTGTTCCGGTTGGAGCTGCCTAGAAAGGCTAGTGATATGCGACCTTGGAATGAAGGCCGAGGATAAGATAAGTGTAATCAAGTGGATCACCGAGATCAGCTATATGAGCCCGGTTCCTCAAGACGAATGACTTTCTACTCATTATTTCCTCGATTGCTGACACCCTTACAATAAACAAAGACCTCATTTCCCTCGCCTTCTCCCCCACCCGTGGACCATCACCCACTTCAACTCTACTTAGATGGCGGTTGTCTTTATCTCTCACTGTCCCCAACGGCTTCATTGGCATTCTTATACTATATCTCTGTGTCAAGCTATTCGCAGAGCCAGTAGAAAAAGTATCCGGACGTCTAAACCCGTTCGCTAAAACAATTGTCGCTGTCCAAGAAAACGTAGTGACAAGTCAGAACAATGTCAATCGATATCGTCCCGCTGACTCAGGCCGATATACCTGGGGCTGTAGACTGTGTGCAGAAAGCGTTTGCCGACGATCCCTATTTTCGCTGGGCGTTTGATGATCCATCCAAGGTATGAAATATCTTTTTCCGCAAGCAATGTCTGCGAAGAATTTGTTGTGGCTTTCAGAAAGACATACAAAAAGAAAAGAATGAAACAGACCGAAGCGAATATCGAATCAAGTAATAACAGGATCTGACAGTTTAACATCCAACGAAATGCAGCCTCTCTCGCTGCTCATTTACAGTATGGTATCAGCTGCAATTGCCCCATCTCTGTCGCCAAGATAACTCGCGCCGCCAATGAAACCAAGAGCGATGCCGAAATCCACCTACCAGCCGGTACTGTGGTCGGCGTTGCCTGGTGGTACTCACCACAAGCGCCTTCTATGGCACAACCCTGGTCTGTTTGGGCGCAGGACTGGCTTCTTTCCTTCCGCCAGCTCATCTACAATATCCGCTTCCTTGGCCGCGGTGGTTTGAATGTGCACCGGTATTGGATTTGGAAGAAAGTGCAGCAAATTGCGCATGATACCATCTGGCAGGATCCCCGTGGGTACTATTTTTGTAATGTTGTCTGCGTTGATTCAAAGGCGCGTGGTATGGGAGTGGGCAAGAAGCTCATGGAGAACGTGATGGAGAAGGCCGATCGGGAGAATATGCCATGCTACCTCGAGAGCTCCAAGGGATACCCAAACGTGAGTATTTATGAAAGAATGGGCTTCGAATTGGTCAAGGAGATTGAATGTGCGGATGGGAAGGATGTTTGCAAGGTATGCCCTCTTGGCTGGGATATTTCTTATTTGATGACTAACGCACGCTATACCAGCTATATTGCATGATTCGCAACCCCAAGTCGAAAGAATAAGGCTGTGATAAGCTTGCAAAGGCCGATATCGTTCATTAACCCAGATACACAGGGAAATCGAGTGACAGACATGACTTAATTAGTAGGATTTGAATCGCAAGCATTTCCGTAACTGTCATCTTTGAGTGCTTTAGCAGCGTGTGCAAGATAATGGAAATAATTGAATATAACTTTTCTGAGCTTAGTTTTCTCAGTAGTGTTTCTTCTCCAATCAACATCTCACTTTTCTTGTTACACGGTATTTTGTGGCCTGAGGCCACCAATGTGGTCAAGACCATGTAGTCAGTTAGATCTCTCTCCCTTTCTCTCCAGGTCCACTCCATTCCCAGAGGACCAGAGTCCTTCAACACACCGCTCAATGTTATCGATAAACGCCTGCAAGGCGATGGCTTTCACCGGCTGCTCGATGCAGCAATTGAACGCCCCCCTTGCAAGGGGTTCAACGCAAAACAATGATTGCATGTCGCAACAATTACATGCACAGCTGGCGAGAGACATAAATTTGCATCTCGTGCAAATTACGTTAAGAAAATACCGATGGTCTTATGACTAGGACTAGGAAGCATATGCTAGCGAAGGATACGATGATACTCCCTGCAATCTACGGTCTTCAAGCTCCTGGACATCCAGTGCTCTGAGTTCATTACTACAAAGGGGTGCTCTAAAGCTACGATATAAAGCAACATGTGGTCTGATGGAACCCATAACATGCACACTAGAATCTAGATTGAATACAGAGTACGGTGAGTGAAATTTGGCCTAGGTAAGCCGCTTATAATGTCTGAAGCCTTGTTTTTAGGATTAGGCTAACTATGTACATATAGAAGACAATATTGGATCAGGCCCATTTTCCTAGCAGTCCCATCAACACCAGCCCACTGACCAAGGAAATACCACCAGTCAAAACTTTTCCCAACTTTGCATGCAACATTTCACCTCCCTCGATGACCCAGTCACGCGCCCACATATCGACGATACCAACCCACACCAGGATACCAGCAGACAGCGCGTCCAGTGTTCCTAGTGCAATCAAAGTGTTCCTCGAATTACCATTAAAAGTGTGAAGAACACCAAGCCCAATAGCCATGCCAATAGGTGTGATCAAGGCAAATGCCCCGGCCATAATCGCCTTAGAAGGAAATATGGCTCCCGGAAGGATTGCAATACGAGCGCCGAGTGCCAATCCTTCGAAGAATTGATGAAACACAATCACCACCAGAAGCGTCTTGTAAAATGAGTCCCCGGCAACGACAAGGGTGAGCCCAATCAAGATACTGTGGAAGAGTATACCCGCTTCCATGACAATGACCGAAAATTTGCTGTCGGGCCCAGTATGATCGAATGAGCCGTGATTGTGCCCAAGACAAGCCAACGTGGGCTGTTGCTGTTGGTCCTGAGAGTGGTCATGCTCTTCCTTCTGATGCGTTTGCTGAGACTCAGACGGTATGGTTTCGGCGGAGCTCTTCTTGCTGCGGCGAGCGACGATAATCCTATGGCCAACGTATTCCAACAAGAAAGCAATGAATATACCCGCCATGACTACCGCGGAGGTAGTCGCTTCGTATTCGAGTTCTCCCAAACACTCGTTCGTGAACATAAGGTTTGCATGGGTGTATAGCTGAGGAAAACAGTCAGCAAGTGGTATGTCAAGTCAAAACCGAGGGTACTTGCATGGATGAAAGCTGTGGCGAGGATGATGCCAGTTCCGAATTGTTTGATGACGGTCGAGACAACCCCATTGATAGAGGCATATGGAAGTTTCATCAGGAGAATAGGGGCAAAAACACCAATTCCACTGGTGACAAGGACAACAAACAGTGTGCCAATTCTCAGAGGCACGTTGTAGTCTCTTGCTTGGATACCACACGATGAAGCACTTGTCTCTGATTCACCTTCACTCACGCAGTGTCTGGAATGGCCAAAGTCAATAACGCTCAAACTTGGGGAGAATTTTTATAGGCTTACTCGACACCAGCATGGAAGTGGCAGCTTTGTTTGGCTTCGCTTGAGGATTCCTCGGTGGTGCTATCTTCACTGTGACTGTGTTCGGTCTCCTCGGCTTCCGTTTCTTCTTCTTGGATCAGGACATCGTTTCCATCTCCATCCACGCAATATCTTCGCATTTTGTAAGTTAGTACATTGTCACAAAGATGCCTGTGTGCGAACTTACGACTCGCTTCCATGAGAGTGACACCCAGTGTATTGTGCTGGTACTCCGGTTGTAGGGGTAGATGTGGCCGAAACTAAAACTTCGTGGCCTTCTCCATCGATACAGTAAATGCTTGAGCCATGACTATGGCAGCCAGTTATTGATGACGTTTGTGCTGATGTTGTTGCTGTGGCTGCATATACTCTGGCAATGCCTAGCGATATAAGGAGGGGTCTGGAAATGAGCATGGTGAAGCTGATGCTCCCTTTCGCAAATAAGAAGGATGGGATTGGGATTGGGATCGATGCAATAAATATGTCAAAATTGAGGAGTTTTCAACTAATGGATTCTGGGTGCAGTCCTCTCTAAAAGGCCCGGGTATAGTATTAAGACACATAAGGATCTCACCCCCAAGGTTCCCAATGCCAAGAGAAAGTCCTTTCCATCCTCTTGCCAAGAGCAGGCCTAAATTGCAAATTCAGGTCTCCTCCGAAAAATATCGCTCTTGTTCTCTCAAGGTACTCCCGCCCAAGCGTCTTGGCGACCCTCCGCCGAGCCTTTGTCTTGGCATCAATCTGGGATTTTCTGTGCTGATTGCTGGAGAAGGAAAAAAGACTCTGACGAAAGAAGCGAAGAAGCTCTCAAGGTCCCCTCTTGGCATGTTGCATCATCCGTGTACCGAGAAAGGTGGAGAAGACGTCCCGCTTTCTGTCCCAGGTATTGCGTGGATTATCTATAGACAGCGAAAATGAGCATAGCCAAACTTGGCAAACAGTTGAGAAAGGCTAAAACTGTTCTGTATGAAAGCCTCGGAAGCTTTGTAAAACTGATATAAAAGCTGCCTCTGCCGTGTTCAAAAATGTGATTCCGTAGTTTCCAAGCAAGTTTCCTCGATTACATACAAAAATGCTTTTGTTCAAGCTCATTCTCCCATCTGCGGCAATTGCTGCTGCTCTCCCCACCCCCGAAATCACCGAAGGCAATCAGTCCCAGCCCTTCTCTCGGACTGGGCTTGTACCTTGGAACGCCGGTGCCGTGAATCAATTTCCCATCCATCCAAGTTGCAATGCAACTCAGCGTCGCCAGATTGAGCAAGGTCTTAACGAGACTATTGCTCTCGCTGCACATGCTAGGGACCATATATTGAGATGGAAAAATGAGAGTGAGATATACAGGAAATATTTCGGTGATCGCCCGTCCATGGAAGCCATCGGTGCATTTGATATCGTAGTCAACGGCGACAGGAAAGATGTTTTGTTTCGATGTGATAACCCAGACGGGAATTGCGACCTCGAAGGTAATACGCCTTGCTCTATGTGAGAGATTGTATACTAAATTTCATAACCAAATAGGTTATGCCGGACACTGGCGAGGCGAAAATGGCACGGATGAGACAGTCATCTGCGACTTGAGCTATGAAACTCGTCGTTCTCTCTCAACCATGTGCGGCCTTGGATATACAGTCTCGGAATCCGAAACCAACACCTTCTGGGCTACTGATCTCCTGCACCGCCTATATCATGTTCCTGTCATCGGACAGAACTGGATAGACCATTTTGCAAATGGATACGAAGAGGCCATTGATCAGGCAAAGGAAAATGCAACACTGTCAACGCATGACTCGGAGACCCTTCAATACTTTGCACTGGAGGTATATGCGTACGACATTGCTGTTCCGGGAATTGGCTGTCCAGGTGTCCAACATAAGCATGATGAATCCCACGTGGATCAAACAACATCTGAGAATGTGACTAGCCAGTCAGCTCCTACCGCAACAAATACCAATGCTCCTTCGATAACCTCTGAAGCACGTCAGGTGAGTCGCTCTATGAGTTGCATTGTGGTGTTTCAAAACTAATTTAAATAGAATTGCCATACACACGAAGGAGGCGAGCTCCACTGCACCTGAGATTTCATCCTATCGGAACGACGAAAAGCCCGCCCGGCTAATTGATACGCATATCTAATATTAGCAAGATGATAGCTCTGATGTGAAGAAAATTGATGGGCAATTTATAGCAGGGGAAAGAAGAAAGATGGATCCTATTGGCCCAAGGCACCAGTCTCAACATATTTAGAGATTGTAGCACGATATGATCTATATTATTAGTGAGCCTATTTACCGCCATATATTGAACAAAGCAACAGATTTAAAATTTACATTTTGTATTTGGGGGCCTAGTGATCTTGTTCACTTGGCCTTGACACAACGGATCCAGGGGTAAGGATTTTCTTTTTTGGAGTAAGTTATTACTATCTTCCAGAAATCTTCATCATTGCCCCTTTTATCATAGCATCTATCATTTTATTGATATAGCTGAAATTTTGTATGTTGTACGGAAAACTCCATGCTCATGATATATTCCCTAGTTCTCGTAGGATAGCTATCGCACGGTGCGCATCGTTTTCCTTCTTGTGAATATTAGAAATAGTTTCTGTTACCATTGACATATAGACTGCTATAATTGGCTTATGGTATGTTGATCTAATCTACTCCGTAGGTGCCCTTTTTTAATGTGATTTGAGAAACCTGCAGTCGATTAATTACTGTGTCACGATGATTCCAAGGTTGGGGAGGGCTGAATTCGAGAGACTTATTACACTAGAAATAAGCAATGCAGTCCGTCATTAAAGAGTAGTATTGGCTTAGTAGCTGGTTAGCAGCAAAGCTAAGTTGCATCCTGAGGTCGCTATAGACACTAGCTGGGCTCGTCATGAGGTGTGCAATATTCGCTTAATGCGTGAAACCCATGGTTAAATGTATAGGCAAAGTACAGTCCCATAAGAAGCCTAATTGGCTGAAATGTAAAAATTCCTTACTACCTTTCTGTCTGTTAATATGACATGATGCAGGAGAGCGAGTGTACATTATATATTCCTGGGTATTGGGTATCCAAAAGCGCTTTGAAGTTCTTAGGCAAGTAGATGTCAATCCAGCGAGTGAATAGATGAATAAATATATCTTAATAAACATGTACCGATTTCAAATCTTGTATGATCTTGAACTACATCAACTTGGGCATACATGTATTTTGTTCATGTGTTTTGTTAAATATTTGTCGTAAAAACCACATCAATAATATATATTATACTTGATTAGATATTTTTGAACTCAACATGTTGGACGATGCAAAGCACCTAGGAATTTTCTCTTAAATAGTCTTACTACATCCTGTTGAATAAAACTACTTCGTGGAATTAGTTGCAGCCGAATATGGGAAATTAGCTTTCGGGTAGGAGATTTGGTCGCTGAAAGGAAATGACAACACCACGTTTTGCCTAAAATATTCGAACCTATCATCTGTGGCTGTGAGTGGTATGGAGTAACGAACTACCTATGGCAAGCCTTGTCGGTGGAATTGTATGGTTTTGTGCAGCTTGTACGGAGTATGCATATTCATGATGTGACCTACACACATGGAACGTACGATTTGTGAACTATGTTGTACGTTGAAATAGAATGATCGAGGCACCCCAATTTCAAACATGCCCCTGTCGCCCTATAATCTGTCCTACCGCAAGATACGACAAAATAAGTTTTCTTCAGATGCTAGGGTGGAATCCACATACTGAAGTGGGCAGCAGGGTTACAAACAAAGCCTATTATGAAAGGACATAGAACAGGGGATTGCATGATCGACCGATAAGAATGCTATCTGAGCAATGATCTGCCAATATTAATATTGATTTTGCTGCAGGAGAGGATAATCTACACTATAAAGGGCGTGGGAATGCTCGGGGACGCACGAGATAGCAATCCAGGGGTGAAAAACTGAGTCCAAGCCAATGGGGGTCTTGTATCCCTAGAGAAATACTTCATTTCACTACAAGGGTGTTCCCGAATGTACCTAGAGCCCCTTTAAGAAAATTCGAATTGCTGTTGCCGTGAACCCCAAAACCATCCGGGTGCGCCTCCAGAGGAAACCACCACTCATTCCATTTTATATCAAATTATCGTTTCGACGGGCACACATCCGCCCCTCCACTATTTTCAATAATTATATTGCTTATTGTGACCAGTTCGAGTGATGAAACTGCCGCGGTCCGCTTGGACTTGGAGCGCATTCCAGGTTGATACGGCATTGTTTATGTACGGCGGTGTTTCAACCGTTACCATCCCCGTTGAGGCAATCATAACACCAGCACTCAAGGACAAAGAACCACGCCCTGTACAACGATCCAAATCCAAGCGAAAAAGCCTGAAGAGGTCACTCATTAAGATCTTTTGATCTGGGAATTTGCTCCCCTCCCTTGCAGCAACGTTGGTACATCGATATGAGTCTACACGGACTTGGAGTGATTGGGGCCCAGGTGGCTGCATCTATCAAGAACACCGACGAGAAAATCCCAACCACACCTAATATCGCTCCCGCACGATACTCCATTACGTCTTCGCCTGGGGCTCATAGCCAGGAGTTTGATCCATCGATCGGCGCAAAGCCATGTTCGCCATTCTATCCTCATTCAAGTCCAACTGTCTCGCACGAACAACTCACCTTCGAAACAAAGAATGCGAGTCGGAAAAGCCGTATCAGAGACGTAGAAAACGTGGGCCCATACGCAAGCTGCCGAACTGATAGTCCTCGACGATCGAAGTTGTGGGAAGAAGAGAACAAACCATTGACATGGCTGCAGTCTTTGAGTAATAAACAACGGATGGCACTGAAGGCAGTTGTGGCTGTGGTGACAGTGGGAACTATGATTGCGATCGCATTGGGCATTACTGCGGCGGTGGGAGGAGCAGGTTGGAAAGCTAGTGCCGAAAAAATGGCAACTGGAGGATGAGTGAGTTATTTGAGTCTCACCCACTGGGTTGCCCAGGCGGATTCATCGCTGACAGGACATGCAAGGTCCCTGTTACCATTTTACTACTTTTTATTCGGGGCGATGAGAAACCCGACCACCATTCTTTGTGGTTCACATCATTTTCTCTGGCCTAAGCTTGGTCACTGGGTTTTTTTGGGGTTCCTTTCTTTTTGAAGATGCTATGGAGAACTGGAGTTTGGAGATGAGGACTTTGTTATTCTTAATTGGAGGTTATCCCACTTGTCTACACCAATGACATGTCACATTCGCGCGATCGGGATCCCGCGGATTAAAAATTGGACATGTCGTGGAATGGACCGGAAGCGCTGTATCATATCCTAAGTTATTTTTCCTCCCCTTGTTCATTTGAAATCCGTGCAGCATGAGGTGGTTTTTGGAGCCTGAAAATATAGGCCATAATGTAAACGGGTCGGACCGACCTCGATGCCGAGAGGAAAATTATAGACCCGACCCGTGACCCCACTAGCGTTATAAAAGACCGCAAAGTTTTTCGCGCCTTCTTTCTTTTTTCTTTCTTCTCTATCGAAAAAAAGCAACTGAGCCTGCCACGACCATCGCTCTGTCTTCGGACAAATCCACGACGATGTGTTGCCTTCGGTCCTACGGACTTCGGTCTTACGGGACTGATCGGCTCAGGAGATAGATTCCTCGATAGGAAGTTCGTTTCCTGTGTCCTCTTAAGTGAGGGCGGTGGGATTTGAATGTCGAAGACGGGATACATTCCTTTGCCTCAATTCTGTTTTAGCAATTTGAGAGCAATAGTAGCGACCCTCGTATTGATGCATGTGAGGGTCTTCAGTAGATGGGTAAAGTAACTGAACACTGCCCAGGTAGATCCAGCGTAACCCTCCATATACCTTAAGCTAGGAGTCACTACAATGTTCCTGTTGTAATCTTGACGATGCAGCTATAGGCCTATGTGTGTGTATGCTTGAAGGAGTGATTTCGATCTCAGTCGTTGACATCAGTTGGAATTCGCTACTGTCCGGTCGCACGGTGGTTTAGCTTCTGGCAGGCCACCCCGAATGAAGGACAGTACGGGGTACAAAGATCGTCCATACTTCAGTCTGTTTGGTAGGAGGTCCTGGAGTCGAACCTGACTAATGGCATCACTCCCAAACGACTCATGTAAATTCGGGAATAAATATCCCCCTAGCCAGCCAAGGGGCTTTTTTGATTTCTGAATGCCGCTCCTGGCCAGGCGGTGGACTATCCCTCTCATCTGGAGGAATGCGACACAAGCACCTTTCTAGGGATTATATGACCTCTGTTTATGATTTGACCACGACCAACGGGCATTTTCTCACCTGTTATTGCTGTGTTCCATTCTCGGTTACATTCTAACGGGGTTGCCCACGGCTTGGCCTCATGTCAAGGTACTGTCCCTGTTGATGCAATGGCATTCCCGCCTGCTTGTTAAGCTGGTAATCATGGATGCCACGCAACTACTAAAGGTCTGAACATCTCCTCGAGCTGTGTTCCCATTCATTGTTTCTAAAGGAGATTATTCTTTAAATCAAGCCATTCTTTTACACTGCTCCAAGAGCATTCCCTTCCAGTCACTCCTTTGAACTCCTACGGACAAGAGGATACATATTTTTACAGTAATATATTCCAAGCATCTCAATCATGAAGGGCTTCATCGGCGGAATCCCTGTGGCACTGCTGGCAGTTGCTGCCCAGGCCAAGTTTGTTGTGTGTCATCTTGCTCTCTCCATACAAACCCTCCAACTAACCCAATGTGCAGCAAGAGCGTAATTCCCAGCCTGGTGGTACTGCTATCGGAGGTCCTTCTGGTGATGATGCCGACGATGGCTTCGTTAGCCCTTATTCCGTTGACATCGAGACCAATACTCAGATCAACGAGTGGAGTAAGGATGATCACTCCATCAAGCTGAAGCACACGGATGTGTACCCTGGCCCTACAGTAGCGCCTGTGGCGTTTTCCGGCCCCCAGGTCCCTGGAATGGGACCATTTGGAAAGGGAAAGCGAAGCGTTCCGGCTGGGACTGCCATTGGTGGCCCGTCTGGCAATGATGAGGGCCAGAGCTTCGATATGTCCGTGACTGGTATCTTCAATACCGAGCTCAATGAGTACAACAAGGATGATCACTCCATCGACATTGAGAACAAGCACGTCTACCCTGCTCCTGTCATTCTGCACCCTCCCCCTCATTTCCACGGCCCGGCTTCTGAGGCCTTCAACGCCCCCGAGGCTTTTGGAAAACGCTCCGCGCCACCTGGAGGTACGGCAATTGGTGGCCCCTCTGGCAACGACGGTGGCCAGAGCTTCAGCGCTCCCACTACCATCGAGACCACTGTTACTATCAATGAGCACAACGAGGATGACCACTCTATCGAACTCGAGCATGAGGATACCTACGCCCCCCGTCATGGATATGGCTTTGTCCCCTTCCGTCGCTCTGAGAAGCATGGTCCTTTTGGCTCCGGCGGCGTTCCGCCTCTTGGTCACTTCGAGTCTCATCCTGAGTTCCACTCTGAGCCGCACGTTGAGAACCACCCGGAGCCTCATTACAGCCCCAGCTATGAATCTAACTACGAGCCTCACACTTCACTCGAGTATGAGCTCACTTCCATAAAGAACAACAACAATGGCCCTGCCGCTGGGAGCATCTCGGTTGGCCGACGTGCGTACGCTCCTACCCCGGACGACGGCGATGAGAACGAGGATAATGGGGACAACCAGGGCGTTGAAAACGATTCTACTGACCCCTCCGTTGCTGAGGAGGACGAGGTTGAGTCTCCCCAGTGCTCTGCCCAGGTGCATGAGGTTGTCCACACCGTGACCAAGACCCTGTATAAGACTGCTGAGGCGACACATGTGGCCTACCAGTCGGCTCCTGTCATGGAGGCCAGCGCCACCCCTTTCCATGCCCCTCAGCAGCCAGCCGGGGCTGACCCCATGATGAATCCCTACGGCGCCTCGGCCCCCGCCGCCGGTACCAGCGCTGTTTATGCTCATTCCCCGCAGCAGTCTGCTGGGGCAGATGCCATGATGCGCCCCGCTGCCGCCTCTTCCCCCGCTGATAGCACCAGCGCTGGCTATGATCACTCCCCCCAGCAGCTCGCCGGGGCTGATCCCATGATGCGCCCCGCCGGCGCCTCTGCCTCTGCCCCCTACAACCATGTTTCCCATCGTCCTATGAGCCATGCTCCCGCATACTCCATGATCGCCGTGAATGTGCCTCAGGCAACCCCGGCCTCATCTGCAGCTTACTCAAATGCTACACCAGATAATGTCCATGGCAAGATGATGCCCGGTGGACTCCCCGCCGAGCAGAGCGCGTCTCCTTCTGCATCCGCCTCTGCTTCTGTCTCTCACGGAACCATGATGTTCGAGGGCAACGCTGCCCGCCTCTCCGGGGGATTTGTCTCCGCCGCCGCCGCCGTTATGGGTGTCCTTGCCTTCATCCTTTAGGAAACCGGTCATATGAATCAGGTATTTAGCGGGGTGTTCTTGTCACTGTGGCCTTCGCACTCCATTTTTTTCCGTTCACAATCATCCATTTCCGTACACCTCTTCTGTACCTTACTTGACTCAGCTCTATTGATCAATTGTTCTTTCAAGATACTATACATTTCCAGCACCGAATATTCAACTTTTCCTCCAACCTTTAAATAAGCTCAGCTGTAACATGTCAGGAAAGCCAAGGCAAATACCATGGCTGGCTGGCAACCAACACAATGTCCACATCTATACCGTCACAATCTTATGCATCATAAGTGCAACGCTTAATCAACAAATATTTCATTTACGGCTTGTTGCCCCGAACATCTAGACTCCGGTAGGGTTCGATTGCTTTAATAGCAAGTGGACATCTGGCTTCGCTACTACAAATTCTCAATCCCAGTGACAGCAAAATCCACTTCAACTTCTGGTATTGACTCTCAACTTCTAAAATTTTTTAGTATTGCATATCAACCAAGGGCATTTTCCTCACTTCTTATATGTTGTGTGGGCAATATGAACAACCAATCAATACCATGTGATATCATTGCCCATCATCCCTAGACAACGCCCGACGTTGTGACATCAGTACCAGTAGTAGCAGGACTTGGGATCTAGAGCGGAATATAAGAGAGTCCAGTGCAGCCTGACCTGGTTGGATTAAACTGCGCTCTCCAAATTGAGATCCTTCATTGATCCCTCAATATCTTATTGGAAGTTTCACTGAACATTAAACCACATCAAAGCCAACACCAACCTCCACCTCCAAAATGGTTCGGCAAGACCATCACCAAGGCGGTAGCCTCTCCGAAATGGCCGCCGAAGGCACATCCATGCCCAACGATGCTGGCACGATGAATACCATTCCTTCGGTGCCACGCCCAGACCAGCGCGCTGAGCACTTTGGCTTCGACAACGCAGGCATCGCTAAGCCCTCAACAGCGATGGCAGCTGACAACACCACCGATTTGCCACGCTCGACCAGGGACATCGGTCAAAGCGGCGAGGTCATCACCGGCACGGGCAACACTATGCCGGCCGGCATCGAGTCCAAGCATGCCTACATGGGCGCTAACCACCACGCTGCACATGGTGATACCCGGGATCTCAAGCATTCCAAGTATGGCCGGAGTGAGTTTGAGCGCTATCAGGAGGAGTAGAGGGTCTCCTCGACCATTGGTGTGACCTTGCAGCTTTCAGTAACGATGACTGGTCTCGTTTGAACTCGCGCTATCTGGTGCATGATGTTATAAATGGCGTTTTTCAGATGTAAAACAATTAAATGCTATTCAAAAAGATTCTCATTAGATTTTCTGTGTAGGATATGGCTATTCAATCATTTCAGATTCGTAGCCCGGGTTGTCCAGGTCCAAGAAATCCTTGATATATCTCTTCGAGAACATCTCGCTTTCTCTTGCGATCGGCTTGGGCAGCTTGTTCGGTTTCAGTGGGTTCGCCGTCGGGTTGCCGAGACGCCCATGTCCGAATCGTTCCATCGCCGTGTGCGGAGAATAGCTCTATCCCCTCTCCCGAGGCACCGTTTCCTCTCCAGACAAGGTCGTTGATACGCGCCGCACTTAAAGCACTCGACCGACCACGGACATTCTGCGATCCAGCCGCGAGACCTGGGACGCGGAGACGCTTAATGAATGTCCCCTCGCGGAGCTCGAACATGAAAATCTCACCACGATCATCCTGCTCATTGAAATTCGGCCACAGCAGCGTTTCATGCCCTGGACTCATGGAGCCTCTCGGCACGATTAAGGGTGCCCGTTCAGCCAGGTGCGAGGAAGAGCTATTACGGACCCGAGGGCCGAAATGAACAAGACTATTGGCGCCCGTTGCGGAGTCCCAGACTCGAATCCGGGAATCCTGTCCCGTCGTCACGATGTGACTGCCATTAGAAGTCCACCGTACTCCGGTCACCGGCCCATTGTGGGCACGGGCATGTCGGGAGAAGGCTGGACGACTCTCGTATGAGACCGGTACAGATCCAGTTCCTGGGGCCACTAGTCCCACTGGATCGTCCATGTCCAAGGTAGCGATGGCAGAGTTGTGACCTCCGCGACGCACGTCGAATATGATTACTCGATTGTCAACCGATGCAGAGGCTAGGAGATGTGGCCGGTGAGGTGCCCATGCTACTGATAAGACTGCACCATTGTGTCCTGGGAGACCTTGTGTTGATAGTCCAGATCGTAGGTCTACTAGTCGGACCGCCCGCTCAGACGTACCTACTGCGACGAGCAGTGTCGACCCAGGCTGAGAGGAGAACGAGTGTGAGTATGGTGTGCAGTCCAGATTGAATGTATGGATGGGGGTGATAGAGGGCGATTGCAGCGCCGACATTTTTAATGTACCATCGTGTGCTGTCGAGAAGATCGTTGATGGGACGGGATCAAACGGGTAGATCGAGAGGGAGGTAATCGCATGCGTATGCGCGTCAGCATGAGAGGATTTGCTGACGGACGCGCAAGATTGATGAACGTGTTCAAATTCTGAGCCTCTTGATTCAAGGTCCCAGAGATGAATCGATGGATCGGCACCTCCCGATATCATACTACCCTCATGTTAGATTGATAACTGTCGGATGCTAAGTGGTTGCACACGCACTATCGGCCCTCAAACTGATCGATAGCCAGACAATTCACACCAGACTTGTGAGCAAATACCTGAGCTGTGAGACCTAGCTCTTGATCCAAAGGCGCCACATCATCTTCGGACTGGTCTGTTGGCGTAGCTGCTCTGCGGCTGGAGAACCGTATACCTGGAGCGGGCTCAAGGTTGTGCACTAGCCGGGTTGTTTGAGCAAGATGAAAATCATTTGGAGTTACAGACCCAAGGGCTCTGTTGAGGAGATAGGAATTCATTCATTCATCAGCGCTGATGCTTTTGCAAGGAGAAGTGGGAGTACACGATGATGCTATGCTCCACCGGATTAAAGTTGCGCCGGCGCATTTATCGAATTTGGCAGCTGGAGATCCTCTTTATTCACAAGCCGCTGCATATCCCTGTTCTATTTGCCAAACCTTGATTGGTCTTCCTGGCAAACCTGAAGTATGTCTATTGCCAGGTCACTGGACTTGGATGAAGACAGTTTTATCGAACCAGTTGAAGATGACCAAGAACCGGCAGACGATACGTCTTCTAGGTACACAAAACGCCGCGCCGATGTCTATGATGCCGTAGCTGGTATGTTTTCTAAACTTGCCTAGCTTGTTCTCTCAAGCAGACCAAAATCTAATTGTAACTAGGTCGTGTCAACGCTCGCGGTGTTCATGTCCATGTACCCCGTATACTTGCATCTCAATACCGCGACACAGCCTCGTCAAGCTCTCGAGTTTTGCGTCCCGAGGAGATTTTCTATCGCAAACAGAATATTCTGGCGGAATCAGTTGACGAGAAAACCTACTTCGCACATGAGAATCTTCCCTCTGATCAAGCTCTCCCGAACTCCGAGCTCCTTGAGACGATACATGCGTATGCGGCAGACTACTACGAATATGCTACGGCGGACAACGGCAAAGATGATCATCAGACCATGGATGAGACAGCACTGCTTGCAATGGGGATTTTGATCGAAGAGATGGCCAAGGAGGAACTGGGTGAAACCGGAGATCTGGCCCTGGTTGAAGGACAAGAGCTGTCAGAGGAAGAGGACAATCAGACGGGCCTCGAGAGCGACACCACAAATAAGTCAGCAGTACGAAGGAAACGAGCAAACAGCAACGTCCGGCGGAGATCAAAACGACGCAAATTGGCTCGTTCTGTTTCTGTTACGACCGATTTAGATACCGAGATTGACGAAAGATGATGACTGGATGAGATCGTGTCAGTAATTTCTTATCTGGCGTCAGAATTTTCTTGTCAGGTTGCATCCATTTCTCCGCGGCCGGATTTTCTCGGGGACTTTTGATGCCTGCAGCTGTATCAGGGTACGCGCGATCTTGCAAAGCTTCAGTCAAAACCCTTGAAAGTGAATCGGGTCACCCCATGTACTGCCGCGGCACAGCCACGCTGCACATGGTATCGGCACATATCCCAGTTCCTACTACCGCTATATGGTATACAGAGAGGCAACATTCAGACTTTAATCTGCGTAAGACAATATTTTTTGCTGCGACTTCCTGAACCCCCTCTGCTACACCGAAGGTATTCAATGGAGTTATACACACAGTAATACCTCTAGGGAGTGAAATCGTGGTGATTAAACCGGCCAATATCTAGCCGGCTGGCAGGACCGTCGAGAGTCTTCTGTCGACAAATCAAAATCGACTTTGGATATCTTGGAAATGCTGTGCATCCCGCAGCAGCTTCGATTTAATCATGGCTGGCATCGGGATGACATCCTGCGAGACTTCATTTCTGTTACAGCAGAACCTTGTCTCACTTAACACTTATAACCCAAGTAGGGTCTTCCAGAAATTTGCCGGATTGCATCCCAGGAGAATTAAGTCAGATCCTATCTAGTCGTGGATCTTTAGGCAGTGTTGTGCCAACTCTCGAGAATGTTATCATGAGTAGTGTTGGTAGTCTCTACAGTCATAATTTTAGAAAATGTTCAACGAAAACAAAGCAGATTTACTCGTATAGAGAAAGCCTTCGAATAGGAGAGGAAAGGTTGTTGAATAGGAGATGAACTTGTATTATCTGAAGCATGGGTTTCCAATCTTAGAAGGTGATGTCGTGTGACAGGTAACCCTCCAGTTCCCACCTGGACACCCAACCTCATTCAGCACTGCGCCTCCACCAATGCTTAGCTGCTTCACATTCGTCCAATGAGTGAACGCTGGAATTGTTAAGCTTTTTTTGTTGAAGCTAGGGTATTTGACAGTTTGCAAAATGGTACGTGGCTTTGTCAGATTTCAGGGTCTAGGATCATTTAGAAACTACTGACGCACCACCAGCCTAAACTAACCAAAAGCGCTAAACAAGATTTGATCTTGACACATCTTCGCGCCACTGGAACCTGTCACACGCTCAAGGATCTAGAGAAAACGCTACCGTCGGTTGCATCCATCAATGGCATCCAGGTCAAGGAATACATCCAAACCTTGATCGATGAGGGCCAACTACGAGTCGAAAAGATCGGCAGTGGGAACTGGTACTGGAGTTTCAGCAGCGACGAAAAGTACGAAAGAGAGCGTCGGTTGGCCCAAGTGACCATGGAGGTGGAGAAAGTCCGGAAGTCTTGTGCCGATGCAGAAGCGGTGTTGGCCTCTGAGACCATTCGTCGAGAGGAAGAGAAGGATGACGAACATGAAAGAGAATCCCTCATGACCAAAAAAGCCGAGCTCCAGGCGACAGTCGATCGGGTACGGATTACAGAGGCCCAACTCTCCGGACCCCTCAATTCGCTCAACAGCAAGGGTGTGAAGCAAATCCAGGAGGAGTTAGCGGGGTTCCAACAAAAGGCACTGGAGTGGACAGATAACATCTACATTCTAGAGGAGTATTTGCGCAAATTAGCAAGTGGAGACCGACAAATAATTGAGAGTGTATTGCGCGAATGTTATGGAGACGAGTACGTGGACGGAGAGGGTCTTTGCGAGCTAGGATAGGATAGGATAGAGATTTGAGAAATGAAAAAAAAAGCTTAGGTTTGCTTAGCACATGGCAAGCTTGGGGAAATTATGTGAAACATGGATTAATTCCTAAAAAATTGTTCATAAAAATTTGCCCAGAAAAAAGGGGAAAACTAGCTGAGCCACCAAGAGAAGCTTGACCGTGCAACACGCGAATCGAAAGCCCTCTGGTTAGGTCTCCGCCTCTCGGAGGCTTATCGCGAACCCGCGACTCTCTTTCTCTCCTCCTTCATCTCTCTTATTGTCACATCTCCTTTATTCTCCTCTCTTCCCCCCCCGGCTCTTTGACGACTATAAACCTTTCCGATCGTCTCTCAACCGTTGGCTCGTGCGTTCTCGAGTCCCACATTCCTCTGGACTCGCGCCATCTCCAGTTGCGCCGCCTCTCACCCTCTCCCCGATCCCCGGCCCCGTTCTAGACCTTCGGCTACAACATAGTATCCATCGATATTCTGACTCACTGGTCCCTTTCAAATCTGCCATTCCTCCCAACCGACAATATCCACTCCCTTATCTTGCGACCTGACCTTGCGTCCCAATACGCCGCGAGTTCCTGGCGGGGGTACTGTCGAAATCCTGTTTCGCGTTTCAATGTCACAAGAAACAATGTGGTGCAGTGGCCCTCGATCATAATCCGCATTCCTTTCTTTGGACCCCGGGAATCTTTCGCGCGTGGAACAAGGATACATTCCGTGGACGCTTGGAATCAGACCGTGTCCAGTGCATTGGTCCTGGACGCCAGACCCTTCGACAAGACGATTGATCTACTTATTGTGTCGCTTGGTTGGATTCCTTGACGTAGGCTGACTGCCTACTGGTCTGTCCGACCATCCCCCGCCATTCCGTGCTTCCCCAGAGAATACCGGCGTGTCTGTCCGTCCGATCGGTATCAAAGCGGTTGCAGTCTACCATCCCCACCATCCCTCTCACTCCTGCCACGTTATCTTATAGATGCAGTAAACAGCGGCAGTGTGTCATGTCCGCCAACCCTCCCACCCAACCTACGTTGCCGGCCAGTCGGAATCGCAACTCTCTACTGTCCAAGTTTCGCTCCCCGCTTGGTCAAAGAAACCGAGGCATCACCGACTTCTATATCGATCCAGATGACCCATGGCGTTCCTACTTCCCCGGTGATATTATCAAAGGCACTGTCGTTGTGACCGTTGTACGACCCGTTCGCATCACGCATATAGTTGTATGTCTTCATGGCTATGTGAAGGTGTTCAAGAATGCGATTCCAGCAGGGGAAGCAAACCCCGACTTGGGGTTCCTAGGGCCAGGGCGGGGTCGACGCGGAGCAGAATACTTGGGCAATGGGTTAGCAACCTTGTTTGAGGATGAGGTTGTTCTCTGTGGCGATGGACGCCTGAAGGAGGGCATCTACAAGTTTCGCTTTGAAATGGGGCTTCCTCCTTATGCGCTTCCCAGCAGCATCAATGTACGTTTGCTAATGTGACCTCTTTTATCCAAATATACTAACCAAATGGATAACTGTAGTTTGAACGCGGAACCATCGGATACTCACTTACATCCACCCTTACCCGACCGACCACCATGAACCCCACACTCACATGCCGAAGACGGGTCAATCTTCTAGAAAACATCGACATCGCACCATTCCCGGCACCCAGGGCTCGCATAGTTACATTGGAGCCGATCTCAAAGCGCTCAAAACCGAGAGGAAAAGCCAAGTCAACAACTTCCGACGCAACCGCAGGGCCTGACACATCCTCGGTCGATACCCCTATTAGTGGTGCGGCACCCTCCGTAGATACCAGACCACCGTTGAGCCCTTCGCCAAGCAATGTCAGCTCATCCAGCCGGCCCAGCGAAAGCAGCCAAAGCTTTCGAATCACAATCGATCCCAGTTCATCCGCAAGCACGGGTGGACAAAATAGCGAGGGCCACAGTGGGACCCCATCCATTTCAGATAAGACCATCACCACAAAGACTGAGCTTCTGCGCGCCGGCGTGCTTCCCGGCGATACCCTACCCATCACAGTCACGATCAACCATTGTAAACAAGTGCGCAGTGCGCATGGAATCATGGTTACATTATACCGTCAAGGTCGCATTGATCTTCATCCTGCAATTCCCATGGGTACTACAGCGGCCGGGAAAAAACCGGTATATGAGGACTGCTATCCCCGATCACGGACGGGGCTTGGAGGACTTACCTTGGGAACAAGTCGGACGAGTAGCACTTTTCGCAAAGATTTGTCGCAGACATTTGCCCCGCTGATCGTTGATCCAAGTACCATGACTGCAATTGTAAAAACTTCCATCCGAATACCCGAAGACGCATTTCCAACTATCACGCGGGTACCGGGAGCCATGATCAATTTTCGGTATTATGTCGAGGTCGTAACGGACTTGCGAGGCAAAATCACTTCACCAGATCGCTTCATTCCGCGTTTCAACATGGTCTCCGGTGGTACTACATTTTCGCCCAGTGGGCAGATTCTTAATCCAACCGATTCGAGCGGCGTTACTGCCAACTGGGCCGGCAACATTTTGGATACGGACTCAATCCGCCGTGAAAAAGGTGTGATCTCAGTTGCCTTCGAAGTCGTGGTTGGGACGCGTGATTCACAACGCGGAAAAGCAACAAAACGTACATCATCTACAGCTGGCGATTCGACCACATCACAAACAGCTCCTCCACCATCTGCAATTCTACGCAACCCTGTTGATGGGGAGGAGTGGCCAGAGGCGAGTCCAATGCGTAATTCTAATTCTCATGGTGAATATGGTACACATGAAGGGTATTTCTCCGAGGAGACGGAGTGGGCAGAGTACCCTGAAGAATACACGGAACACTTCCAGCCAATGGACCCTATGGTTGCGCCTCCAGAAGTTGAGGAGCCCGTTGACGAGAAAACACGGGTACGACGTCATGAAGAAGCTCTCTTACCTAGTCAACCGCCCGATGAAGATGAGGCAGGGCCATCTACAGTACCAATGGAGGTCCCGACCGCGCCTGTTTTGCCAGATGATCATCATCTTCAAGACTATCAGCATGTGCCTTCACCAGATACAAGCGAGAGGCCGCATCATGTCCACTCTACGGAGTCCGTACAGACCATCGTTGTTAACGGCGCTGGGCCCAGCGAGCCACATGAACCAGGCGACGATAAGCAAGAGCTTGAGCGTCACCGACTTCAGGAGCAGGCGAGTGCACCCCAAGACGAGTCCAATATCCAGGAACCCAGTGCCGGGCCCAGTGCGCCAGTCTTTAATGAGGATGACCAGCTAGTCGGTGGGACAGCGCATGCAGACGAGTCGTTGCCTCGATACCAGCGATGATGTTGTTATGTACATTTGCATTTACGGGGGATATTCTGGAAGATACCACTTTTCGCATCATTTATGAAACGGCGCTAAAGGCGCTGAAATTTGTATCATACACTTATTTATCAAAATCAATTCTTCAATATAAACTGCTTCCAATTTCTCGATATTATTAGCAAATATGCTTGGACCTCCAGGAGAGGCCTAGGATTTGTAAAAACGTCCTTATCTCCATCCAGGGTTGCCCCAGAGGGCTTGGCATCCGCTTAGCGATACCTAGAGGACTTCAGCCTTGCCCCTGGTCATCTCCTTTCTCTTCAAAATAATCTCATCTGCTTTCCCAAAATCCACAATGGCCTTCAAAAGCGGGTCGTTCGCGACTTTCCTCATTGTCTGCCGTAAGTCCATCGCATCACCAACTTTCCCGGGTCCTAACGGCAAAGAGGCCACGAGACTGCAATAAACTAACACAATCTCCCAACTAGCCACCTGTTTCTTCCTGGGCATTATCTTCTCCCTCTTCCCTTACGACTACCCGATCCTGTGGTCAACGGTGTTGACCCCCGCCGCGCACTATGACTACCTCGAGGCGCACCTCCGCTTCCTGCACGCCTCGCCCCCGCTCATCCCACGCATCCTGCACATCGTAATCTTCCTCGGCCTCGCCGGCCTCCTCACAAAGCTCTACAAGCCCTCTGAATCAAACATGCTCTTCGACGGCGCCTCGCTGGTCCTCTACATGTGCGGCGTGACAGTCTACATTGCCAACATCGTCAAGGGCCTGCGCCTCGCGTCTGCCGGCCAGTACGGCGTTGACCTGGCTACTACTGTCGACGAGAAGGAGCAGATCCTTGGCCGCGAGGACTCGCTCAAGGTTCTTTCTGCTAGCAACACTATTCTCGCGCTTGTCCTTGTTGGTATCCTGGTTCTGCAGGCTGGACAGTGGTACGCGGAGCGCAAGGATGCGCAGGAAGATGAATCGCTTGCTACTAGCAAGAAGAGCGAGAAGGAGTCTGGGGATGCTACTGTCACTGCTTCCGGTTCGTCGACTGCGACTGCTGGTAAGTCCAGTCGGCAGGGAAGTCAGCGTAAGAAGAGCAATTAATTTCAGTTATTGATTGTTTCTCTTGCCTTCTTTCGTGTTTGCCTTAGGGATGTGGATACTAGGTGTGGGTGGTGCCTTACTTGATTTGCTTGGTAGCTATTATTTTCTTTTTAGTCACCTACGCAGACGGGATATGCTGTCGCGAAGGAAAAATATTGAAGACGCCTTTTTTTTCTTAGTTGTCGAGGAGGTCGTCGAATTCGACTTTCGTCTATGTACATATACGATCCATAGATATGGTGTGGTATGGCGTGTCCATACAAGAACAAGATAACAGATAAAAACGAGAGAATATGGCATGATATGCACCCGCATATGGACAGAACAGAAAAGATAGACAAATGATCGTAGATGCATGTAATGTGGACATATGGTATGGCACCGCAGAAGGGGAATCATTGCGCAAGTCGTGAGAGATGGTATGGTATCATATCATGCATGAGAATTTCAAGTTCAACGGAATGAGAATGGGCTCCGAGGGAGATCCGGTGAGCGGGGGCTCAGAGCCTTGGCAAACAATTCCTCGCCGGAATCGTTGCTCTGAGTGTGCGAGATTGGACCCATTGCTGCGCCCATTGCTGTGAACCCAGTGGGATCGCTGGCCCGTTGAGTCTCCTGGAGGAAGTCAGGCGGGAAGAGTGCAACGGGTTTCAGCGATTCAGGGCCCGAGGGGTTAATATGAGAGCTTGGAGTAGGGGTGGGATTAGTATGAGGCGTTGGCATAGAGTGTATGTGCCTATTAGCGACATTGCGGAATGAGCTGAAAGAGGAAACAGCAACATCAGGCGACTGCGGGGAAAGAAGCGATGCTCCGTGGGAACCTAGTTCAAGCTAGTTAGATTCTAGGACATGTCACTCGGCGCAGAAACACATACCGCTTCCTGTCAACCCCCTCTCGCTGGTCTGCAACTTCAGTCCCTTGAGTTTGTCACTCAGCTTGCTGCCGCTGACAGGCGACACCGGGGTGGCTGGATACATGGAGGATGAATTCGAAGAGTCATGGCCACTGGTAACCGAGTCGACAGCACGAGATCCTATTCCAAAGTTCAATTCAATCCATTCCTTCTCCTGAATCGCCATGAGCAGCGCGATTCCTTCCACATTGTTACGTGATTCGTGCTCGATCTCACTCTCAAGAACCTGCAGGCGCTTCTTTGCCCAGATAGTATGCAGGACGCCCTTCTTGCCGGCTGTCCGTCCCGTGGCGCCCAATTCAGGAGGGAAAATGGCAGGGAGAGGATTAAGCTGGAAGATGTCTTCTGGCCTCGTGGAGGCAGGCACAGCGTTATCAGCCGACTCTTCAGTCAAGGAATGGGGCTCATATGACAGAGTGACAACAGGAGGAATGGTAGTATTAGGCGGAAGCAAGAAGTAGCAACGGCGCAGGCTGTCACCCGGTCTTTCGTCAGTGGGCATTGTGGCAGTTTTGCCGGTCCATGAGACATGCCACGACCCCTCCGTCGCAGATCGGGTGGGATCGTCGTCCTCCCACTCAATCATCAGAATTTTAGTGCCATCGTTACCCCGGCCAGCCTCGAACTCGAACCGAGCCATGGCCATTATCGAAAGACCCCCATTCTTAGCGCCTGGAGATGTTTCTAGCTCAGCGAATTCGCTGTCCGGGGTGAATGTAGGCGGTGCTTGAGCCATGGCAATGAAGGGTGCTGAGCACGTATTTGGAAAACTTGAGATCTGAACTAGAAAATGGGGGCGGGCTCTGGCCAAACACGAGGGGCGGAAATGGGAGAGGAAGAGTGCGCTGGACAAGATACAGAGGGCGGATGGGCGGAAGTGGGCAACCACGAACTTGGGCGGGGTTTGTTACAAACGACTCTGTGATCACGGGATCGCAAAAAAGAAACCCTGGAACCTTGGAAGCCTCCAGGGGGATTAGTCGTCAAAGGCCTTGCCGTGTCGGGGTTGCTCGTGTAGTTTCATGTATTGCTGGGATGCAAAGTTGGAGCAGGGGGTCTATTGGTTCCTCTAATTATAGAACCGCCGCCTCTTGGCATTTATGCAACATCCAAGAATTGGCTTTGTGACATTAAAATTTTATCTATGGACACCACAGCTTCTCCAGTGAAATATTTGTTGTTAGCAAGGTACCTGTGTAGTTTTGAAATTGCCAACCTGTCATAATGTTGAGTTAGATAGCCGTGCTCCCGAAACCAAGATGGCAACAGACCATTATCTTTTGCTTTCCTTTTTTTTATTTGTTGAAGAAGAAAGAGATAAGGCTCGAGGGAGAGCAAATAGGAAAAGAGGGTTAGTATTTCTTGAATAAGTCCCAATCAAGAAATCAAAGTTGTCAAAGTTGGTAAATAAATCAACAAGCACACAAACCAGGAGATTGATTATATTTAGAATATAACAGTTATCTCTCGTTGGAATGTGCATATAATGACTGGAAATAATGGTGTGACTGTTGCTGCCTTGTGAGAACAAAAGAAAGAACTAAAAGGAAAGAGATTAGCAAGGTGTAGGCTAGGGTCTATATTGAGGGGTGGTATAAGTATAAATATGTAGGAAGTGCATAGGATGGCTTGATAAACGAGGAAGGCTTCTAAATATAGAGCCAAAACCGACAAGCGCAAAGCACGAGCGCCAACAGTCAAGGGTAATCGGGAGGCGTCCAGGTAGTGCCACTGAAAAAAATCGTGATGTTGTTCATCAATGAATACAATACCCATGTTTTCGTATGAAGACAGGCCTAGGTATGATACTGTATCATACAAATAAGCAACAAGATAGGAGGATGAGGTAGCAGGCCATGAGGAACATGCGCGGATGGTGTGAAAGCCCCTATGCAAGGTCGGGATCAACAAGGTTCGTATGGGGCAAATGGAAGAGACCATGCAGCGGCATTTTGCTCAAGACGGCAAGACACACGAAGAGAAGCAGCATCAATGAAGATTTGTGTTCTAAAATTAATCTTAAGATTGTGATGGAGAGCTTTTGTCTTGCAGAGAACCCAGGAGGATTATCCTGATTGGCATGGACCTCAAGATCTTGGAGAAACGGTCAGCTGAATTCGAGGCTTCATGACCGGTTAGTGGAGAAGGTAATTAGAAAATCGGCCAAAGCTTTTCGTGGTTGCCGCTGGATATCCTTGGTTGTCGGAAATTGATATCCATAAACTGTGTGATCGTCGAGACCAAAGGGAGTCTAAGGCGACGATGACATTCAAAAATAGAAGATATAGGCGCTACTAAGAGCTATTATTGGAACTCGGGATGAAAGAATAATACTCTTGATGATGATCAGTACGAAGTAGAGTGCAGGAGAGTGGGATCTCAAGCTCTTACAGCTTCTCATTGGAAGAGATGTATAGTTCGTGGCTAGCAGACACGGACCAGAGTATGGCTGGGTGGAGCACAGGCAGTTAAACTCATACAGATATGATGTTGATTCGAGAGACAGATCGGTGCTTAAGTTCGGTTTCTGATTCAAAGCTTCGAGTATTGCAAACAACGGAAATAGGCTCTTAGTACTCCATACTGGATAGTTACACCAAATCATCAGAATGAGTCGCCCAAGTCGGAGGCAATATTAAATGAGAGCGGATTCCTTGGATGGAACGCAGACTTGGTTGTTCCGCTTGTATATCTAATGCCCTTGTACCTAACAAAATTTCTATATCTCGATATCCAAGCATACTTCTCTACATTGACGTTGAGAGCCAAAAATATCACACCCCTGTTCATCGTGAGCTAAAAAAAGAGATATCTATGAATAGAAAAAGAGGTACCTATGAATAGAAAAAGGAATACATAAATAGCACGAGATATCACACTGCATATGAATATGCATACCCCTCCTCCCCTCACTATCTCTCTTGGATATGATTGGTCTCATAGGAGAACTGAGTCTTCGCAAGTCTGATTGGTTGTACAGCAGCCGTGAAAATTATGAGAAAGTACTCGTAGAACTACGATGATTGATTTGCCCCTTTTTACCATGTCCCTTGGGTATTGCTCATGAGAGGGGTAAAGTTTGATTTCATATAGGTACACCGTACACAGTCTGGTTGAATTGAGTCAATCGACTAGAGAAGTTCTATATGGATTATGTACCTTCGGCAAATTATCCCTTTTCTATTTATATATATTTGTAGTCCCTACTAAGAAGAGGTCACATGAATTTATTCGCCTTGGCACAAAGAAGCCATAGTAGTATTGTCGGCTAAAAATAACCTTGGGAAGTTCGACCCTTGTACGGAGTAAGAAGGCTGGTAAGAAAGGTGACCTGAATCACGTCACACATAGAGCACCTACATGTACATATGATGTTGACCAATTGGCAATTAGGAACCTAGATTACGGAGTAGTGTCCAAGCGATAGTGGGGGGAGCAACACTCTGAATCCCCCGGGGGTTCCCGTTATTTTTATCCAAAATAAGTATAGCGCCGGCGCTTAATTGAATTCAGCACATCCTCGGTGCCCCTCATTAATATCACTGATTGGTCAGAATGGCAGGGATGTGAGTGGTATGTTATTTTTGTTTTGGGTCCTCTGTGATGATGCCTCGAGGAAGAACCAATATAAACACCCAAGAGGGTCAGGAGAAACTGGAGATATATAGTCTCGGAGAGCAAAGAAACTTTATATATATATATATATTTTTTTTTTTTTTAAAAAAAGGGGTCATGAGTGCTCCTGCTTTTCGTCCCAATGAACATTCGAATGCCATGTCGGTGTATTTTTTCTCTTTAGTAGGTACTGTCAGGTTACACAACTCTCCTGATCACCTAGGTGCGTACCGATGCCTCTCTACTAATATTCAAACCATGAATAGCGCGCTTGATTAGAGATATGAAACACTGGTGTGTTCCATATCCTAGGCGCAACCTTGAAACATTAGGGGGTTAATCAAAAGTGATTTGATCCCTGATCAAACTTCTTCAATGACAATTTGAAACACGGGAGGCGCTATGCGGCCCAATCAGTGGCGTTAGTATCACCGTCACGCCCCAGTCTCGTACATCACAACTGTACTCGGTGCTTGTGTTTGCTGAACGAAGTGGGAAACCTCTTATTCTATGTGCTTACTGGATAGTTTAATAAATGCAAAATTGGAAGATCTCGTAGCATGCATGAATAGTGAAAAAAGATGTGATTTACCGCACTAGTGCTACGATACATTCAATATAGCTCAAGTAGTAAACTACTAGTACATACCTAGTAGGAAATTTGGCCTTTGTATACACCGGTACTGCCAGTATGTGGTAATATTACTTTAAGAAATTCGTAATAGAACAGGTATGTATTTATGTATTAATATTTCCTCAGGTTATTATGTCCTCGGGCCACTAATATTTTTTCAAGTACTTGCGCATTTCGAAGTAGACCGAGGAGACTTACACAAAATCCGAGTAAAGCCTGATTTTGTAGGGGCCGGGTCCTATCATGCTATAGGATATCATATTCCTTTGTTGGAAATGAAGCCGCACGAGTCAAAATTCTTCCGATAACGTCGACGGGCATCCATGCCAGCAGTGAACCTTGGTTTACATTTCAAACTCGATCGATCAAGCTAACCAATTGAACTCATATGCAACTCCTTGAGTTTTGGGGGCTGGTCTGTGGATTTGTACAAAATCCTTGGCTTCCAGATGCATGTTGCTATTGGTACTCCGTATACTCCATAGGGATGGGGCCAAAGGACTTGCTCAGCCTCATTCAGATCCTTTGTTCAAGAATATATACGTGTAGAAAATAAAGCGCCTCTATAGTAGAGTATTCTCTATATGATCAAACGTCCACGGGTGTTTCTAGAGCTTACTTGCGATCCTCAAGATTTGGATACTCGTGACCGGGAAAAGAATGCGTTGACTAAGTACTTTTGTATAATAAATGAGGCTCATACGGATCAACCTTTTAGAGCCTCTTGCACGGGTGACACGTGGTAGAATGCGCGTTAGGAGAAATGGGGGCAATGGTACCCGAAAACATAGATAGCGCCAACACAAGGCGCCTATTCAAAGTGTACATAGCAAAATGATTGTTGGTTTTTACCGATACTATTCACTAGGGTCCGCCATCCATGTCTGGGCGTGGTCAAAGCGGATGTTCGTCGATTTTCGTCCTATCCGATCAAGGATCAATTGTTGGTTAAGCAGCTAAAGCTGGAGATTTAATAAGCCAAGTTTTTTTCCGATTCGGCAGTGTATAAGTGGCGTGACGTGTTCAATACTTCAAAGCTAATATGACAACATGTTGTAGCGTAGGCAGACTATGTACACCGTGCACTTTTGGGCAGAAAGCGCATCCATGGATAAGTATTACATATGTACATATGTAATCAACAGAAAGGTCAATTCCTACGTAGGTCAAAGAAGGGAAAGCACTTGACAGTTCAGTGAGTTATAATGAGAATAAGCTGACCATGATAAACAATGTAAATAATACATAAAATATTCCTCAACTAAGTATTCCATCAGATGCGAGTGTCGGTGTGAGGAAAGGCCCCCATATGTACCGATGTCCAAGGGGCCTTAGTCACGAATGACAGTGTTCCCAAGCCACCACAAAACGTATTCATAGAATTACTACCTCGAAGGTAGACTAACACGGCATCGAGAAACATAAGCAAGCAAGACAATAAAGCACCAGGCTTATAGTGTATGATTTTGAACCAAAAAAAAGGACACCTCGTAACGCCGAATCCAGCCCCCACGCTAAAACCACCTACTAGCCAAATGCATGAATCAAATAGCATAATTCGTAAGCCCAGACTATCAGTCAACTTCCTTGGCTTCCCGACACTTGCGCCGCTTTCCCTTCGGCGGTGCTTCAAGCTGAGTGCGCTTGTAGGTCACCGTGCGCGTGACAACTTGCCTCACGCTGACAGGCTTTCCACTGCGGGGCGAATCGTAATAGCGCAGAGTCCAATCAGATGGTGAGTAGGGTGATCGAAGGGTCGTCGCGCTCATGGGTGTTGCGCTCCAGGGTGTTGCGCTGCGGGGAGAGTCCGCGCTCGGCGAGAACTTCGAGGGCTGGATACGAAGGCGGCGACCAAGGAAGCTCCTTCGAGATGGTGCCGCAGAGTTCGGCGTAGGTGGTGGCAAAGATACAGTCGGGGACCTGACCGAATCGCTAAACGATGACCCACTGAATGCGCTCGCGGGTTGAGAGGTGGGCGATGTAGCAGTGGAGGGTTTCTCGGTAATATACTTGGGAAAGTTGATACCAGCACTCATAGGGCCAGTAAAGACGGGTGTGAGGGCCTTGAGAAATTCTGTATAGGCTATCGGAGGTGTAATAGGAGTCGACTGATCCTCCTGCTTGGTGTAGTCGGAAACACTGGATGTAGAGCCATTATGAAGTTGCGATGGGAAAATCTCAGTCTTTGGCGTCTTTAGAGGAGGAAGAATGGGTTTGACGCTCGGCATCTTGACCAGGTCACAATCACAATGATGTTGAACAATCGAGTTCTTTTGACAGACGCGTGACGATTAAAAAGGTGGGTTGATGAAGTAGGTAGAGGGAGGGGCCGCGGGTAAAGTAGTCGAGGTGGAGCAGACAAGTGAAGGAAGATGATAAAAAGATATAAAGACAAAAAAAAACACAAGGCTCGAAGCGACAGCAAAGAGACCCAGAACAGAAGAGTGTACTGGCCAGCAGCAAAAACCGAAGGACGCGGAGACCGTTTTATCTATCTGAGCAAGGCAGACGGATGATCCTGGTACCGTTGGGCGATACCGGTATTTTCACGTTTGGAACCGTAAAATAACAGAACTGTAATATATTGTGTAAGTTACAAAGGTTGAACAAGGGTTCGAGGCCGAACCGACATCAAAGGGGGCTCCATCTGAGCCCCAAATCCTTCAACACCGGCGGCAACAGTGTGGCAGTGGAACTCAGACTTACTATTTGTGTGCCGTTTTTGCGAGGGCCCAGAAAAAATATCGGCAATGTTTTCCAAGTAGAAATTATTGTTTGTTCCCTTGACAATCGATGTAAATGCAAACAAGGCAACCAAAAAAGTAAATTAGGACTTGACCGTCAAGGCCAGGAAACAAATCAAACTCGAGTGAATTAAGAAGAAACTGTAGAAGAATGTCTCTGGATCAAAACAGCATCGGGTCTTGATCTTTATAACTTTCCATTTTGCTGTTCTTTGGACCGTCGCCCCCTCTGTACCCGCTGCAGAAATGCAAAGATACGCAGGAGCAACATGAGTATCGCTGACGCGCGCTATCTGAATCAAAAGACCCCCTTATGTTATGTACAAGGAACGCCCAGAGAGAGCGGTTGTCCTAGGTGATGCCCTAGCATCCAAGCCGCTGTTTATCCCATGCCACGCTCTGGTTCGTCCAGCCTTGCCGCGCACAGCTTGCAGCTCCGTTGGCGGCTCGCTTTAAGGGGTATCTTGGTTTGAGAATTGAAGACACCCTATTTTGGCTCTAGTGGAGCGCGCTAACCCAAACATCTCCTTTGGTTCTATTGTGTTTTGAGTTAGACGATCTAACAGGGACCTGTGTTTGACATGTGCAGTTTGAACTCTTGGTCCAATCATTCATGTGTTTTACCAGATCTCTGAAGAAGCTTCCTGCCTCCACATTTCTTCAGAAGCTGCATGATATTAATAGCCCCGGGGATTTCTATGTAGCGCCAAATCTATTACAGGGACATTATTCATATTTGTCCCACTAAATTGTTGCTAGGGGGAGCTCTTGACAACGAGCTCTTCTGGGCAGACATGTGGTCATAACAGTCTTCAAAAGATTCTTGGGTTGGATATAAATGATACTCCTAGTTTTTGGCGCTGATAGTAAAGAAATTAGGATCTTAAAGTCTTAAACTCCGTGTTAATGTAATTTATCGTCAAGGTCCTGAGTTGGAAAGATGATTATCGCCACTTGTCTGGGAGTATTCATGCTTTCATTTGGTGGATTGTGAAACAACATTTCCATTTTTGTTGGTAATGGAACCAACACGCTATACCTTCATTATCGCTGTGGCAATCTCACAAGGGGGTTTGGACCTGTTCACGCCGTGATTTACTCATGTTGGCGAAGCAACAAGCGCTTTGCCATATATAGTTGATGCACGAGATGCCTCGAAAGCGCCAGTCGGCACTGCAATATCATTGTGCAGGATCCGAAACAATGAATGTTATTTTAGTCAATTGGCTTTATCCTTCATGTTTGCCATCGGTGATAGTTCCTACATGTGTAGGTTATAAACATAGACATGCCACTCATTTCAAACATCAGACTTCTTACCCAGCTTCTACAAATAATTGGAGGAGAAATGATAACATTTGATTGATATATATCCAGAAGACAATATGTCTAAAGGTTCCAAGCTTGTTAGGTAGGTATGCTCTGAGAGAAAACTGCATGATCAACCCTTCGGGAGATTACAACTCTAACCTCAAACCTTCAACATACTCTAGGGCCTTTAGCATTCAAGACTACTACACATGTGTGTCCTTTACAGAGAGAAGTGAGAAAATAAGTTTGTATAATATCATAATATCTCTTGGATTTCGAGCAAAAATTGAAATATGTACTAAAATAGAAAATTGTTTCGCATACAAAAAATAACGCCTGGCCGCGAAGTGGGTATCTTTTACCATCAAGGTAATGGTGAGCCAGAACGAGAATCAACCTCGTGAGAAATAGAATAAATGAAAATACAAGTAAAACATGCTCCTCAAATAAGGAGGTAGTGCCAGTTATTCCTCTTCATGATGTCCCTCCAGTGGAGTTGCTGCTTCTTGATTTCCCGTCCACCCATAGTGGCGCCAGCGCCAGAGGGGGATTTGGAGCTGTCCAGTCTGGAAATCGGACTGGTGAGCGAGGAGTTGTGAGAGTCATCTCCAGACTGTACTTCAGAGGAATTGAATGGGCCGTCTGTCAGGCGCCACACCTCTTGTAGGAGGCGGTACATGCGTCCGAAGCTACCGAGGTCACCATGGTCACCCAGTGCAGCGACACGATCGGCGAGAACGGATCGGAAGGAACTCGTTGGTCCGGAAACCACGCCGGTCATGAGAAGTGGCCAGACAAGAGAGCGGTCGTAGCCATGGGGACCAGGAGGAATGAATTGGAGCGCATCTGTTACTGCGGTGACCAGGCTCTCATTGCTTGTTTGGCTGCGATCAAAGCCGGGTACGATACTGGAAAGATAGATTTGAGCTGCAGTCCGGAAGATGTGAGACATGGTCTTGGTCAGGGCGTCTGGGCGAATGGCTCCCGTTGCAGGTGAGAATGGGTTCTCCAGCGTAGGATCGGCGGGCGCTGTGTAATCGAGTTGTTGTCCCAGCGCCTGAACATGAGAGCAAACAGCCAAGTCATCGACCCGACCTTCGTTCTTCAGGGAGTCCAGGCAAGCAATCTCAGAGATGAGATACATAATCCGATCATCACATCCCATCATCTCGCGTAAACCAGAGGAGGCTCCGCCCAAATGCTTTGATCGGTACTGATGAGCAAATTCGGGAGTCTTGCCCACCATTGTCGAGCCCAGGATATCAATCCAAGAAGTCAAGCTCATGCTAAATGGGGGAACCAGGTATCCGGTGGAGTCTTCAACCGTTGCAGAAGGAAGTCCGAGTCTGGTTACAAGATTTGACGCGGCCTGGAAATGATCAAACCATGGAATGTCGGGAAGGTAGTCATCCGAGGGGCCAACAGCACAGTGAAAGAAGATCATCGCAAGAGTTGCATCTAAAATCTCATCGTGATTAACATCATCTCCCAGAGCCTGACATAGTTGAGAGATGGCTTCATAACGGTGTCGCATAATATCGTGGTCAATTTGCTCTCCAACTAACCCTTCAGTAGTCTTAAGGTGGATTGCAGCAACACTCAGACAGCAATGAAGATAGCACTTATTTGTTTCCAGAGCTCGGAGAATTGATTGCGCGCGCAAGTGGCCTCTTTGGTGAGCTTCCAGAATGGGGAATATCTGGCGCAACACATTGTGGATGAAGTGATCGAGAAGTGGCCGGTCATGGTCGCTAACAGCAATGGTGCTTTGCACCAGTGTGCGTGTGTGATCAAAGCCAGAATTATTGTCTCCAGGATTAACACCATTAAATGCTGAGGCCTGTGAAAAATATTCATCTCCAAACCATTCATCGCCAGCGAAAGTTGGCATCGGAGCACTGAGTTGGGGAGGTGCAAATGCGCTGAATGTTGATGTCGAAGAATCATGACGCATAGGCACATCGTTGATAAATGTCTGTCGCTCAGTTCGCACATCGACTTCATAGGAAGGTATGTAGGGTCCATGAGGGGCACTTCCTAACCCAGGGGTGGGTAGCTGGGATGAGAAAAGATCATAAGAGTCGCTGTACCTAGGGCGACCATTTTCGTGCACAGGTGAAGTTGGCGATGTCGCAGGCATATGACGATGGCGAGTTAGTGGGTCTAGAGCGTCCCCGATGTTAGTTGAAATGTACGAGAGGTCTGGATCGAAGAAGTACATACCGGAGTAGTTACCATTTCGCTCCAGCATCTTGGTTTGCTTAATTCTGATCTTGATGCGCTCCTTCTGGGCTCTCCGCTGCTCGGCATTTCCCCACCAAATCGGGCGTTTGTATTCGCATCGCACGTTGAGATTAACACAGGCGGTACAGGCAGGATGGTTCTCATCGCACTTCTTTCGACGTAGGCGGCATGTGAAACAGCCTATTCCAATTAGTATAGTTCATTGGGGCGATAGAAAGATAAGGGCGGATCGCATACCAGACCGGGATCGCTTGTGCAGCCGACCATTCGCCCTGTTTCCATGTGTGTGGGGGGCGCATTCAGGCATTGACGTATGCGCAGCGGCAAGAGGCTGAGTAGCAGAGGCAAGAGGCTGGCTAGCAGAGGCAGAGGACTTCTTCGAGGTCGGCATATTGAAATATTGAAATATCGAAATTAGGTGACTGCGGGATGATCGATAACGGTGATTGTATAATCAAAAGACCAAAATCGATTGGAGATGAGAGGTATTATGGTAAAGCTGAACCAGCAGGCTTTGTGGTCTATCAATATAGAAAGAAAAGAAAGATGGTTGGCTGAGCAACTGTTGGAAAGATGATGAGGATGGGGAACTAAAACTGTGGGATTAACGATGCTTTAAAACTCATGATAGCTTGTGGAAGCAGAAGCGGGTGTTTCTATTTTAGAATCCAACTGCACAGTTCATAGATTGAATGCAAGATCGGGATAATTTGGGGGTCATCAGCACGAGTTGGGGTTGGATCATCGCCGAATATTGCTAGACTGGGAAACCAACAGATGTAAGTGACCAATGAGAGTTGCAGAAACGGTAGTAAATGTTGCAATTCAGTCTTTTGAGACTAAATTTGGGACAATTAGCTCCGTTATTTTGTGACTTGAGGTCGCATGGCGGCGTTAGCGTATGCACCTTGGGGTCCAAGTTCCTCGAAGGACTGGATGAAAAGATCCTTCGGTCGGGCTGGGATTTTGTGCTCTCCACTCCGTAACATGGGTGGCTGCAGATACCTCATTGGACCTGGATTAATTTCGGGGTTCGTGTTGGTTTTTAGTTCCTGCCCACTGCGCAATAATCTCATTCCAACCCAACAGTCAGAATTGATTGTTGGTTCGTTTGAATCCTTTGGCAAAACCAACTGAGCGTTAATACTACTCGTAGTCAAAGCCACTGTCACAAAATCCCTTGACCTGCAAGGAACGAAGGCTGCAGGCGGGGGTGAGATGTGACGAGCAACAGGCCCGAGATCAATTTTCGTTAATTTACTACATTCAGAGAAAAAAAATGCCGCAAATGTTTGGACAAATTTAGTAAAAGCCTGATTGCGGGATTCATAACCAATGGCTGAGATCAATCATCTCTAGAAGGCTGGTGGATTGAACTGAAGGAGTAGTGTGACAGTATTAGGTGGAGAAAGCCAAGCTTTCAATCTTCGCATCATAATTGGACAAAGAGGACACAATTGGAAAATTGCTCACTACTTGACTGGGGTGATTGAGAGCTCCGAATGGATGATTAGAGTATGACTAGGGTATAGCCTGTAGTCCCACAGATTGTCCACGGGTGCTCCGTGCAGTTTTGAGCGGGGGATGTGATGTGATAAGACTTTAGCGTCATTTTCAAGGTCCATTTAGCGTGCATATATCCCTTAATTAGCAACACTTAACCGCCCACCTTGAGCATAATTAGAGCTAATTTACTTCACACATTTCTTTTTCTATCTATAGGATGCATACAGAGTACCTATGCATGCAATGATCAAATCTTCAATTTTGGGTCAAATTAACCTTGAGTATCTACATTTGAAAGAATTTGCTATTAATAACCCTTGGCCGAGATCGAGTTGAGTCCTAAAATAGGTCAATTAATTCATAATTTCATAATATCGAACTTCAATTGGTACAACGTAGGGCATTTACTCCATCAGACTGCTAGAATGCCAAGTCACTTTATTCCCTAGTATGTAATTTCCAGCAACGGCCACCTGCAGTTTGACTCTCGTGACTTGCGGCTAGAAGAAATAATGAGTGATCAACCTATTATCGCAGCCAACATGCTTATGGGGTACGAAGACTGCTTGGGAGTTGGAATTTCTCGTATGTTGCGTCAACCCCAACCATTCAAACTACTCCCGGCCTGTTGGAAATTTTCGATCCACACATCCAGCCGACAAACGCACAATGAGGAAACTACGGAGTACTCGTGCCTTTGACCATCACACAACTTGACCCATCACAGACTAGGACGTGTAGATAAATTCTGAATTCACTTAATCCACTTGGAGCTTTAGTTATCGGGAAATAATGATATCAAGTACTCCCTACTCCGTATATATGATATAACTTGTGGATCTCAATTCGACGGTCTGTATAATTAACTTCTGATCAGTTGCCTTACTATTCTGACCGACTATTGAGAGCCACGTATCGGCGATTATTCAAACACCTGAGTGGGTTGTGGTCCATACCGATCGTAAAGGCATCCATATCAATTGATATGATGTCTCTCATGTTGATGTCGGCTTCCGTTCTCCTGGGTAATAGATTGAATTATGATGTATGCTCCGTAAATTTGTATTCCTTATATAAATGACCTACACATTTAGGTAGTCGTACGAGTATACATATATGCAGACTGCACGTGTGACCATTAAACGTTTTTGTCATTTCTGTTCTGATTACGCATTGAGACCTGAGATGCTTCAATCTCAACTAAATCAGCGGTGACGGCAAAGATGAGGTGCTATTCCAAGTGTTGTGAATCCATTTGCCTGGCATGGGGTCGTCCAGTATTGTTCCAAGATAAAGTCCAAAGTCTGTAATTACACAACCATTCAGGCACAACAGTGGCACAGCCGACAGGTTGGAAATAAACAAGGAGTACTCTGTAGGGAGTACGGGATTGATATCTGCAGATATCCGTGTCATCTGGGCCACCCTTGTATGCTGCTACTGAACTCTCATGCAGCCATGCTTTCCAATCTCGATTTCTCATATTGGACGGAGTAAATCGGGTTGGCTCTCATTATCTTATTCTCCGTAGAGCCGAAGATAATCTGTTTGACCTATGATATCGCTGACAGTAAGATTTAAATCATACGATTATCTCGGGCCAACACAATCAAGAAATAGTACGGAGTACGTTTTCCTAGTTGAGCCTGGCAATTTAGGGCTTTGATTTCTTCCACATAAACAACTGCAGCTAATTCATTAATACGGAATTCATCAATACGGGTCGAGGGATATGCGGCACATGGCACATCCCAACCCCCTGGCTTCAGGTATATTTGGGTTTTCAGACCTAATAATCTGGTTTTAACACAGCGGTGAAAGAATTGAAAGGCTGGAAAGATTCGGAAATTGGTTATCAACGTTGCATTCGCGTTAGCCCCCAACTCTCTCAGTGTTGGGTTTCTCGGAGGTTAAAACAATAATTCTACTCTATAGTTATCTTCATAGTATGATTCTACCCGACAACAAACCCTCTCCAAAGGACATAAGTTTGATAAGCATCCTTGCATCCGTGCGCAGACCCTTTGATTAGCCCCCAACATTTACATTCATATCAACGAATAATATGACAGGCATAGAAAAAGCATGTGCCATATTTCAAGCCACCAAGCCCTTAGTTCAGAACTGAGGGGAATAAAACCGGGAATATTTCTAAGTATTGGTTATGGAACGCCTTTGGCAAGCGAAACCCTGGTAACGTGGAGGAAGAAACTAGGGACATGACTCGAGGAATGGAATCGCAATTAAATATAGTAATCTTGAGCGGGAGTGTACACTTCCTGAGGGAATGGCGTAGCGCTAATTAAGAGTTGATGTGTGGTTGTCACACTGCATCGGATCACTAAAAGTGTGAAGCGGGGGAGGGGTTGCTGCATGGGCGCTAACTGCAGACCAGTCACATCTTCATTCTCCGGTTGCTTTAGAGAAATACGCATCCTTTGAGCCAGTTAACGTCAACTGGTCCAAGTTTGGGCCGTGTTGTTTTTGAAATAGTACGAAATAACTACGGTAATGGGCTCTAATTGGGCAATGCCGATGCGAGGTGCTTGCATCTCAACCTAAACTACTGCAGGTGGATCACTACGCATCACAATCACGCATACCCTCGAATTCCTGCTCTTAACCAGTCGCCTCTGTTCTCTGCTACCGACTTTTTACGCGCTGAGTTTTACCAGCCATGGCACGGACATTTTGTCCTATTGAACGAGTCGGGTTGGCTAGATTGTGGCTTCCCGCCCTCCTCGGCGCTATCCTGTTACAAGAGCTAGTATCATTTTCCATTATCTTAGCACACAGTGCAGACTTATTATAACCCAACTGCCCCTCGTGTCACAAACTTCTGTTGGGTTTCCCAGTTCTCGCCACTTTTTCTATTTTTCTATTTTTTTTTTTAACTTTCATATCTAGTTGGTTCACTGCTGTGCGGGAACCACTAATATAACACATTCATTTAATTATACTATATCTTGAAGATTAGTATCCTCACGACTAACGACATGGTAAGTGTCAATGCGAGGGGAGTAATATGATCCCTGCTAACCATTTCAGTTTCAAATGAATTCAGCACTGGCTGCTAGGCGAAGGGTGGTACCTGAAAAGGTAGACACGACAAATCACGACCTGTTCTATCCCAAAAAGACTGTTGAAAAGCCGCGCCCTAACTCAGGGGCCACATTATTCGATGACATCGATTCTGAGCGCGGCGATTGGGATGAACCTTACCGGCAGAGTATGCAATCGGTAAGTGCCCTTATCCTTGTGCCAAAATACGGAAGCTAATCTAGTATCAAACAACCAGCTCAGTTACGGGAGCAACACTACTCTTTCGAGCCCTGAGTTACCAACTCCAGATCTTCTTCCAAGGAATCATATGCCTACCTTTCGGTTAGACCAGGAACAGATCAAGGGTCCTTCCGGTCCTAGTTTGTTCGGAGGATCTAGGGTTTCTAGAGATTGGAGTGAACCTCAAGATGTTGAGGTTTATATTGAGCCATCATCTTTGCACAATTTTGAGCCGTCACCTATCCAGGGTTTCGTCAAACGGTTTCCGTTGTCCCCTAAGACACCGCAGGCCTTTCGCATCCGGTACCCTGACGTGTCTCACATCTCAGAAGAGGAGATTAGGAACTGGACTCCCACTGAGGTTGCTCATTGGCTATATATCAGTGGATATACCGACGCAATCCGTGAGGCGTTCATTGAAAATGATATCACCGGCGATGTTCTGATGGCCTTGACAAAGGAGGAACTCAAGGAGCAACTTGAAATCAAGTCATTGGGCAAACGTCATGAGATTATTGGATCGATTGAATACCTCATGAAGCACATGCAGCCGGGGCAGATTCCGGACGCCCCATCTCAATCCGAGGGGACATTTTCTAATGGGAGATCTTCTCCTGAATTGTTTGTCCCCCAGGAGTACGTCCACCAGGAGTTTGCCTACCAGGGATTTGCTCCCCAGGAGGTTGCTCACCAGGGATTTGCTTCCCAGGAGTTTGCCCACCAGGGATTTGCTCCCCAGGAGTTGACCCCTGGAAGAGCCCCTCCCACAGAGTCATATTACCCAGCGTCTGTATCACACAAAGACGAAGCTCTCTCTTCATATGCCAATGGACAGACTGGGAACCAGACTACGACTGCAGATGCTGTTTCAATTGTAGGAATCGAGGAATTCCTTCCGAGGCACAAGTGCACAAAGGGGGAGCAATGCAGCAAGTTTCAAAAACTCAAGCGGAAGCACCTACAGAAGCTTGCTACTGAATACCCTGGCGCAGATATCCAGGGGGGCGCGGGAGGCGCTATGTTCATAGGTAGCCCCGGAAATCCTGAAACCGCGAGAAATCTTCTCCGACCCACGTCCGAGGCTGAGCTCTCAGTGGCGGCATCTTCTGACGTTTTTGGCCCTCGGTCCGGTCCAAGACTGTCCGAGGCAGCCCTGAGCGAAGTAGGGCGCTTGGATCCCCGAGAAACAATCCAAAACTTCCTCAGACACCAGCATGTCAATGCCTTCCCCCAGCCTGGATCCCTTGGGTTGGACACTTACAACCTCCCACCGGCAGATGGGTTTGAGGAGATGTCTTCGCTAACTGCTCAGCCAAACTCCATGGCTGCAAATTTGCGCAATCTTCCAAAGCTTACAATCCCGACAAGCCCAGTCACAGAAGATATGACAACTGCTGTTACCACCAACAGATATTTCACTCCCACTCATGAGAATGGATCTCCCACTGCTGTACAGCAATTTGGCCCATTCAGTCACACCCATCAAGAACAAGCAATTGAGACCTACCGCCAAGGTACACCATTCTCTGAAGTTGATGTCCCTATTACTGCAATCCCAAGTGACCCGATCTCCCGTGATGTGTCTCAATCTGTGCCCCCAAGCATGCAATACGGAAACTTGTTCCCCCCGTACCGTGCTGCCAGTTCCCTTTCCCGAAGCACCTCAACCCGTCTCGGTGGTGATCTTCCTCTCCGTGATGCCAATTCCCTTGCACGGAGTACCTCAACCCGTCCCAGTGGTGATCTTCCTCTGCGTGCTGAGAATTACCTTGCACGAAGCACCTCGGCCCGTTCCCGTGATGTTCTTCCTCTCCGTCAAGTGAACGAGAACAAGACTTTGACCCCGATCGAGGGTCCAGAAGACCTAATCCGAACCCCCCGCATGAACCAACATGCGTTCGGCGGTTCGCTATCTTCTCTGGCCTCAAACCCGGATGTTACCCATGCGGGATACATGAAGACGCGCAAGACCACCAACATGTTCAGACATGAGTGGACCAAAGACCACTACACACTCCACGGCACCAACCTGGCCAGACACAAGGACGAGCGTGATGCGCACCGTCTCTCACGTGCCCTGGAGAACATTGAGGTTGACAAATATGCCGTCGCTTGCTCATCACAGGCGACAAGCTCCAAGCTGACATCCAAGTTTAAGCGATCAATCCTGCGCAGTGGAAACAATAACACTGACAGCCGTGATGGTACTGCTTTTTCTTTCTCTCTTATTCCAGCCACTAAGGAAAGTCAGAAGAAGGCTCTCTTCGGAAACAACGCTGTCAAGACCCACCACTTCGCTGTCGAGTCTCGTGAGCAGCGTATCGACTGGATGCGTGAGCTTATGCTTGCCAAGGCTCTGAAGAAGGGTCGGGACAGTGGCGATGATATGGTTGTTAACGGGAATGTCATTTGAGTGTTTATATTTGTTGTCGCATTAGTTTCAGCTCTTTGCATGTATGCGTACAATTTGTCTGCTGCTTTTTTGCTTTTCCGAAAGAATTGGGTCTCATTGCTCTGGCGCTTTTGTTGGTACATACATACGTATTTCTTTTGTTACCCCCTTGGACAGAGCCACAAGACGCATCGTCATAGGACGGTCGGACTGATACCCCCTTGATTAGTATAGTTGCATTTAGTTACAGAACAGTTGGTTGCGAGAACTAAACAGAATGTTAATTTGGAAAATCTTACCTCTTATTTATACCATGCGATCCCACTTGATCTCATAGACGTCCCAGTTTATTTGTATATCTTCTTGTGCAAGGTTGTCTGGAGAGATCTCGAGGCCATCGTATGGAAAATGATAACCCTTTACTTGACGTTACACTACTAGGATACAGTTGGATATGGTTCATTTTTATCTTGCAAAGTGCAAAGTCGTCGGTACCATATTCCAAGGCTTGATTTATTCTGTGTCATCCCATCATCCGAACGACGAGATATGCCCACCCATCTCCATAAGCAGAGCTCCTCACAACTTCTTCAATAGGAGCAGACATGGGTATCACAGCACCATGTAATACTGGCTTTGCAAGCACCGGGGTTCTCCGACTGGGAAATAGATTTGGCAGCAATGTGTGCAAAACAGTCCCGATGGTTTGAGGCTGGGAGGTGGAGCCAATCCGCGAGCTCAACATTTGACTTGACTGCATATTCAATGCTGGTATTGAAGGAGGAAGGGGCGATTGCACCACTTTCAAGGAGGAAGACTCAGCATCCAGTGGGAGTGGTAGGAAAATACGGATCGGAACGTTGCGGAAAGGTTGTGAGAGCTTAGGAAGAAGGATGTTTGATATGCGCTGAAAGGAAAGAAGATCGACTGTATTTTTTCGCATTAGAATGGTCTCTATCATTGATGCAATAGATAAATTTCTATACGGAATAGCTGACTCACGTTCTTGAACGGCATTCCAAAGTCCTGACGAGTCTTCTTTTGAGAGACTCATGATGCCTTTGGCTGTACCGTTTCGTAGGAAATCCGCCTCCTTCACGCTGTTTATGAAGGCGTCGTTCATGACCATTCCATCAGCATCAAGCCGAACAAGGTCATGCGGCCAGTCACTAAAGTGTACTACCAGACGCCATGGCAGCGATGACCCGCTCTCGGGGGACTCGTTACTGCTGGCGATGGTCTTTGAGGCGGGGTCTGCTCCTGCATAGAGGTCAAACAATAGCCCGACTGGGTAGTGCCATTTCAGAGGCACGCCCTCAAACTCAAACCAGCCATCATGAGACTGGGAGTTAGGGTCTATTAAAAAATTTGAGAAGAAAGCTCGAAGCTTGGGTAGCAACGAGGGAAGATATGAGATGCGCGGAGATGCGATCTAGCAACTGATCAGCATTTGTATATATCAAGCGAAGGACAGACATACAAGATAGGGGTCGGTCTTGTCAAAGGTTCGACTCTCTGATGAAGCTAAGACAATCTCCAAGGGCAGGCGCCCGTCCCAGACGGCCTTCTGGATAGAGCCAAGAGACATCCGGTTTTCCATCGTGATAAGAGATGAGTCGTTCCAGTAGTTCTTCCAATGTTTGCTTTTCTGCTGATTTTGTTAGGATATATTTAGCTCATAGAAAAATCTACAGTATAGAGAAATACAGTTGATCTTCACATACCGTGTTTTGAATTACTAGATACGCGCTGAGATTCGCATGTCTTCAACCGATAAGACGTGCAGTTTGGAAATGCCCCGCTTTAGATGTGGTCATGATCCAGGAAACGACGTATCCACAAAATTCTAGGGACAGCCAGGCACTCTTTGAGATTGTTCAAGAACTAAGCGTTTGAGATTCAAGGAGATACTGGCGGTTTGTGTTGACATAGCGTGACTTGAAGCGCCCAATGTTGATGGCACGTGTTGATGCCTCAGGCAATACTTTTCAATATTTGTGCCTCAGGTTTCATTTTCTCTTCTGTTTCTCCAATATCTTAGAATTAAAGCAACGATGACTTTTGTTCAATTCATACACAGGCTGTATGATGGGAAGTAAGACAAAGAAGCCATTTAGGGGACTAATATCCTCCAGACCCTCAATATACAGCACCAACTTTCCAATCTTCTATGTTCGTTGACTAAGCTCGTTGACCACCTGGGCATTCAGTTCTTTTGTGAACTTTCTGGATTGCCCAAGATCTCTTTATTTGTGAGATCTTACTATGCAAAATATTTTTGCATATCAAGCGTCTTTCACAATCACGCTGCATTAAACGCTATTCTGGTGCGTTATTCACACTTCTCACCCAACTGTGTTGCATGGAGATATTTGTTTTATCAACATGGCTTTGATTTAATATCACATTAGACCAAATGAGCACAAGCAGCAACTCCATTAAAATTGGCAAGCCATGCCAAGGGTTTAGCTGAAAATGTTTTTGTAATAATCTGAGATGTCTGGAAACTGCCGCCCGAAAACTGCATGGCCAAACACTCTCCCGGAGTGCCACTCTCTGGGCAACATGTGACTCCCTTACAGGCGCAGACCAACTCAAGGCTTGGCCTTATAGCTAGTTACAGTCGACAGGAGGAATGCTGCTCTGTTGAAATTTGGAGCTCCAGTGGCTTTCGTCTTGGAGCCTGCTGTCGACACGGGGCAGCCAAAATGAGAGAAATTGAGTGTAGATTTTCTAAGATATGCTACACATATAATCATTAGACTTCAAGGCTGGGGTATCTGCACTGGTCCAAAGTTCTTCATGTAGCAGTCCAATTTCTGAAAGATCAACCAAACTGAGCATGGTCTCCACAACCCATGATACACCATACCTGTTCATCAGTAATCTGGAGGTTCTACGGGGAAACCCAGATTTGTGGATCTTTTGGGTCAAGGAAGATAGGTATCTACAAGCACATAGCATAGTTCCTCCAGTATTAGATATTTCCCCAAACTTATCGCGAAAATCGTAGAGCGGTAAGTTGTGAGATTCAGGAGCACGATATCTTAATAATATATCTCTAGTATACTAGGACAGATTAGTACCAACAAACGTCCTTTACTCTAAAATTTGCATGTGGTTTGTAGAATTCTCTGGATAAAGATTTTCCACTTTTTCAATATCGATTTCAATGCTGCATTTTTGCCCAGGAGTACCAAGGCCGGGTGGCTACGCCAGGGCTTCCAAGCCGGAACCGGGCCGAAAAGAGCTTGTATAGTTCTCATTAAAACACCACTGGCAACAACATCAGAATTATGTAGTAATGTAACTATACTGAGTCAGTATATTTGCTCATATCTCCCTATTTGTTGGTAGCCCAGATCTGGCGATCTCTGCGATATAAATCCCGGAGTTACGTTTAGTGCAAGTGTGCATTAGGGTAAGTAACTATCCCGGGTCGGTGGGGACCTATGCCGCCACTTCCGGGAGATACTATGGGAGTGTGGGATTCCAGGTAGCGACAACTCATGTAAATGGAAGGATTCCTCCTATGAGCACAGTATGTCCCACTACAGCTGAAAATTGGTCCTCTTTTTTCTATATTTGTCTCGCTTACTCCGGCCGAAGTCGGCAGGGATGAAATAGACTTTTACCCCTTCTTCCATTTGCCGTGTACTTACTCCGTACTCCGTAGCTCTTCGGACATGTATTCGCCTTCCCGAGAGCTCGGCAAACTTCCGGCTCCACACATGGTTAAGGGTTCTCCCCTATAGGCAATGTTTCTAACATCTCCCAGAACAATTGGGGAAACGAAAGCATGGGGTATTCACTTAGCAAATGGGATTTCGCCGTGCCAGTCTCTCCACATTGTTACAGTTTGCAGTACAGTTCCACCCAAACTACGGAGTAGATAGAGAAAAAAATCTGTCACTGGGGGGCGATGAACCTCACCGGCGACCTCACCGACGACCCAATACAATAATATGCATAATCGAACGGCTAAACGCGCGAAACTAGTCTCCGGCGTAGAAGCAAAAGTATATGTCACCAACGTTTCTACAATATACTAACTACACTTAAGAAAACTCTCTTGAATATAATATTTCCATGCACAAACATAGAGAACAGAAACTCTCATCCTGATGTTTTCCTCGAGGAAGTAATGGTACGTAGTATTTCAATATAGGTTATATGTACTACTATGTAAAGCTTATTTGCCGGCTGAATGTTTCCTCTGGGGAAAACGCTACCCCGGCCAATGTTCCACTCGTGGAAATCTCCATGCATGTGTAATCATCGCCGTATCATAGCCTCACCTTTGAACCCCATACTATGCTGCCCCAGTCTATGGGGTTTTAGGCGACGTGTGTTGGGGGGGGCCAGTTAGGGATTTTATACTCCGTACATCCATAGTCCATTAGGATAGCGGATATTACTTATGGCCCCGTTCTAGCACCTCTTAAATCTCTTCTTCCATCTGCCTTCGAGCAAATTTCTCTTCGTCTTCTGATTATCACCTTCTATCATCCCTCTCACAGTTTGAGCTGTCACCTCTTCAGCCATGGGCATTCTCACGCTTGCTGAGGATCGGCCAACGCCCAAGTCCGTTTACAACTGGCGTGTATATGCACTCGCCGGCATTGCATCATGTGGTTCCAATATGATCGGTTATACCAGTGCCTTCATCGGTACAACTATCAAACTCGCCTCCTTCATGAAGGAGTTCGGCCTCGACGAGATGTCTTCTTCACAACGAGATCTAGTTAGCGAAAACATCGTCTCGCTTTTCATTGCTGGTGCCTTTTTCGGCGCCCTGGGAACATACGCCCTCGGCCACTTCATCGGCCGCAAATGGAGTTTGGCTGTTGCCGCCACTGTGTTCTTTCTCGGATCGGGATTACAACTCGGTGCCAACAGTGCACGAGGGCTAGGCATTCTGTATGCTGGTCGAGTGCTGTCTGGCTTGGGTACCGGCATAGCCTCGAATATCATTCCTATATATCTTTCTGAACTAGCGCCACCTGCCATCCGAGGACGACTCGTCGGCCTGTATGAGCTTGGCTGGCAGATAGGCGGAATGCTAGGGTTTTGGATTAATGTGTGTCTCCCTCTCCCGCATTTTCCCCTGTGCTATATTTTCATTTAAAGCTAACCTAGCTATGATAGTATGGCGTCGACCAACACATGCCTCAAAATCACGAGCAATGGATCATCCCATTCGCCATCCAGCTCGTCCCATCTGGTCTGCTTTTCATCGGCGCATTGTGGATCAAGGAATCCCCTCGTTGGCTGTTCCTCAAGAACCGGCGCCGCGAAGCGATGGAGAATCTTTGCTGGATCCGCCAATTGGAAGCTGACGAAATGTATATCACCGAAGAGGTGGCTGCTATTGACCAGGCTCTTGAGCATCAGAGAACCTCCATCGGTATTGGCTTCTGGAAGCCCTTTCAGGCTCTTGCCACAAATAAGAGCGTTATGTACCGCCTGGTGCTGGGCTGCATGCTCTTCTTCTGGCAAAATGGCTCTGGTATTAATGCCATCAACTACTACTCGCCTACCATTTTTAAATCGGTAAGACTGCGCTCCATCTGATGCATTTCTAACGATCGATTAGTTATGCTAACTTATGCTGCCTAGATTGGTATCGACCCCAACACCGTCAACCTGATGACCGGTATCTTCGGTGTCATTAAGGCCATCATGACCTTCGTGTGGCTCCTGTTCCTGGTCGATCAATTCGGAAGGCGCAATCTGCTCCTTGTTGGTGCCATAACTGGATCGATCTGTATGTGGGTTATCGGTGCCTATATCTGTGTTGTCAAGCCCGAAGATAACCCCAGCTCGTCTCTGGACGGCGGAGGTATTGCGGCCATTGTGTTCTTCTACCTATGGACTGCGGTCTACACCCCTACTTGGAATGGTACCCCTTGGGTTATTAATTCCGTAAGTCATTGCTTATTACCATCCTCAATGAAACATTTTCCTAACAAACCATCAGGAATTCTTCGATCCCAATTTCCGTTCCCTGGCTCAGGCTGCCACGACTGCCAGCAACTGGCTCTTTAACTTCCTCGTCTCTCGCTTCACCGAACAAATGTTCGACAAGATGCACTACGGCGTGTACTTCTTCTTCGCTGCACTGTCATTCTTGGCATTCTTCTTTGCCTTTTTCCTCATCCCTGAGACTAGTGGGATCCCTCTTGAAAAGGTCGATCGCCTGTTTGATTGCAAGCCCGTCTGGAGAGCAAACAAGATGCTCAAGGCCGCCCTTGCGGAAGAGGAGGAGCAGTTCCGCTATGAGGTCAAGGAGACCTCGTACCACGAGGAGAACACCGGTTCAATTGCGCCCGTGCCTCGCGATGAAGGAACCCAAAAATGAGCGATACGGTTACAAATGAGGATGTATAGAGTTTCTTATGGACATGTATAGACGCCGCATATGCATATATTGACGTGCATTTTTATGGAATTATTTTTTAATTGGCACAAAAGCATACTGTATGTTGGTCTTCTTTAAGTTAGCAGTGCATAAGTCATTCGTCCATCTTTGGGTGGTGGCAGTTTAATCCAAAAAAAAAAACCAGCGCCGCAGAGCCGACTCCCCCCCCGGTGTTTCCCCCCCATCAACTTCAATACCTCAAAAGTCCGGATATTATCACTCTAGTCCTCTATTAACACATAAGCATCATTTTTAGAAGAAAAAAATCCGGATCAATTACCGGTGCAGCGCAGCAATCCGTGATTGTCGGGCGGTCCGTAGCACTGGCCGCGTGGCCTCTCAAAAAGAACGAATGTGTATTTATCTCATACGCCATATAGGGTGTAAAACCACACGAATCAACAAGTAAGCACCGACACCATTGTGAATTTTCGAACCGCACTGCCATTTGTCCACTGCAACATAGTAACAGCCAACTCATAAGCCTGCATCTTCGCCTCGCACTGCGATGTTCTCTGGTCCGTCTCCATATCCCATGCGCGGAATACTTAAGGATCTTAGGATCGACCCTTCCCATTGATATGACAGCATGTATAAAAATTCTGTGGATTGGCGATTCCTGGTCTGGCCAGTGACAGGTCTAATGGATAATATGCCTCATAGTACTCCATAGTGAGTTGGGCAACAAAGCAAGATTTATTATGCCTCTGCATATGATATCACCATCGGATCGTCCCTTTGGACTTATTGTTTCATTCTTGATTCCAATCTTGGAAGGTTGGGGGTGGCTACGTCATGCATGGATGCCACGAGATCGGGTATGGATCACCACATGGTATCGAAAATCCATGGATGAGATATGTTCCAAGGTTGGGCGTTTATGGTTCTCCCCTCTCCGGCGAATAACGCTGACTTGGCAGTTTTTGCTGAATAATTTCTTTTTCGAATTAAATGTCTTGCTTCAAGGTAAGCAGCATAAGCAAAATATCCAAGTACATAGACGTTAGGATCGTCGCAGGGATTTCCAGGTAATTTTGATGTCTGTCGGGATCAAGAATAGAATCGAAGATCGAGTCTCCTTTACCTCCGCGTCGCATGGCGAAAATATTTTGAAGCGATATGTGGGAGAACCCCAAGTTGATTGAAATCCGGGGCTCACATATAAATATGTGAAGAACTGCAGTATCTGATCTACTCCATAACCTTGAAACGATGTACAACATACAGGGTACAGAGTAGCTCTAGACCATAATCCCCCTATCTGGGGAAGAACTTTGAACTTGGATTAAGTTGCAGAGTTGAGGCCATTTCTATTGGTTGGGAACTGACACAAGTCTTGGACTATCCAATGAGAGATGTGAATTGTCTCAAACGCAATCGCTCCATTCTAAATTTAGGGGGGAAAATCATCAGATCATGCGCTTTAAAGGGGGAATGATCGGCTAATAATCAGGAAGCTCACGGAAAGACCAAACCAACCTTGGTAATGGCTATATTGTAAGTACATATATGTAGTTATAACCTCAAAACTACAAGTATATTCATAGAATCAATTTGTAACAACCTTGGTACGGGTAATTCCAGGGCCATCTTTAGGTAGAAATGGCCTTGGGAGCTATTCACGGAACTTCCTCCTGACCGGTGGCGACTAGAGTTTTCCAAGGATTTCATTTTGCATTTGACGTATTCTCGGGCTTTGTACGGTGTAGAAAGTTGGCGAGAATAAGCCGAAAGAAAGATTTTCGCTAACATCGTCTAGACTTAGGAGGCTGGGGCAGTGTACTTTGGACAAAGTAGAGGGGCAAAAAAGGCTAGCATAACCAAGGTAATAGGGGAACACCATTGTTGATCATGATTCTAATCCTTTCGATACACACTTGCACATCATAAAGAAGATAATATAAAACAAAGCCCAACCCGCTTTTTTGTGAATGATAAATGGTGGTTGCCTGAGAATATTTGTTTCACTGAGCGACCCTGGGCGATCTCCTTGGCTCCACTGAGCGCTTACGTCCTGCTGTGGAGTTGGATATTAGGAAAATCAAGGAAAAAAAGGAACGAGACTCCCATCTTCTCTTTCGACACTCACTCGTTTTGTCGCCATGCAATTGAATGGCTCCCGTTTCGGGGCTTTCATTCTTATCCTCCTCCAGAGTCTTCAGCTTGTACAAGCAGAGAATCTCATCAGAGCCACCGGGCTGACACAATGTTCCGACAGTGCCGAAGTGACCGTGAATAACTTCAAGGCGGTTTTTACACCACGCAATAACTCCATAAGCATTATCTTTGATGGTTATTCCGAAGTAGCCGGCGAGGTGCTCATTGATGTAGAACTCTTGGTGTACGGATACAGAGCTCTCAACCTGTCATTCGATCCATGCAGTCTTGATTTGGCAGTATTCTGTCCTATGAAGGCCATCGAACTCCAAATTCCCACAATCACCGAAACGTTGGGCGACGACATTCTCGATCAAATTCCATGTTCGTTTACATTTCTTTAAATTGGTTTGAAATCAGGTCCCTCGCGGGCCGAAAAAAACGTGTTCTTACTAACAGTTACGTCATAGCAATCTCCTACGGCGTCCCTGACATCGATGCAATCGTCCGCCTCAAGCTCAAATACAAAAGTGGAGGGAAACAGATCACCTGCTTGGAGACCCGTCTCAGCAATGGGAAAACAATCTATCAAGCTGGTGTGTCGTGGACACTCGCCGTCATAACCGGTCTCGGTCTCGTCACCTCCTCGGTCATATCGCTTCTCGGTCATTCGAACACGGCAACTCATCTTGCTTTCCGGTCGCTCGCCTTCCTCGGATTCATCCAATCACAGGCAATGGTAGGAATGACTTCAGTGAAACTGCCACCGTTTGTGCAATCATGGACTCAAAACCTGCAATGGAGCCTGGGAATTGTGAAGTCGAAAGATCTGCAGACAATCGCGACCTGGTTCCAACGCTCCACCGGCGGTCAACCCTCGAGCGTGTTGACGTCCTCCAGTCTTGTATCTACTGTCTTGCAAAAGCGTTCCGCAATCCATCGCAGAGCCGCAGAGGAAGGAAGTCAAATTCTTCTTCGCGGTATTGAACGGGTCGGAATTCGTGCTTCCGTCGAACTGAGCAACATCTTTATGACCGGTTATCTATTCTACTACTTTGTCACCGCAGTCGTCGTGGCTTGTGTAGCTGTGGTGCTGCTGGTCCGAGCGCTTCTAGCCAAGAAACAGACATCACTTCCAGAATTAGACCGCACTATGGGTGCCGCCGGAGATTGGAAATCTATTCTCCGCAATACCTTCTTCCGGTTGGCATGCATCGGGTACCCGCAGATGTGTATCCTTTGTCTCTGGGAACTCACTCGTCGGGATTCAGCCGCCGAAATCGTCCTGGCCGTTACCATGTGGGTAGTGACAACCGGCGTCTTGGCCTTCGCCACGTTCAAGGTATTCCAACGCGCGATACGATCGAAACAGCAGCACAACACACCTGCGTACACTCTTTACTCCGACCCTGCCACTCTGAACCAGTGGGGTTTCCTGTATATCTACTACCGCGCTCCAGTCTACTATTTCCTTGTCCCAACCCTGGTCTACACTATTGCTAAAGGAATGACTATCGCCTTCGCCCAGCCTGCACCGGTCGCACAGTCGATCATTCTTCTTATTGTGGAAATTCTCATGATGCTCGCAACCGCCATCATCAAGCCGTTCATGAGCAAGGGGGCAAATGTCATTGCAATCATAGCGACGGTACTCGCTTCCCTGAATTCGATCTTCATTCTTGTCTTCTCCAATATTTTCGACCAACCTCCTCTCATGACTGGTATCTTGGGTGTGCTCTTCTTCATCTTGAATGCAATTTTCACTCTTGTGCTCCTGATCTACCTTTTGATTGGTATCGTTTTCGCCATTTTCTTCAAGAAGCCCGACACCAAATACAAACCTCTTGGCGACGACCGCAACTCTTTCCTCTGGTCGGGTACCGGCACGACGACCGAGTTGTCATCCCTCGAGAAGATCGCAAGAGGCGAGGAGGATGCAGAAGGTCACCCCCATCCCGCGCCCGTGGTCACTGCTCCACCTAGTGACGAAGATGTGTCAATGGCAGCTCGAAGACCATATAATGATGTTGTGGATCCTTCGCTGCCGCTCTTCCCGACCAGCTATGATCATACTCGACGATCGTCGTGAGGATCTAGAGCCAATCTCTCTCTCTATTTTTTTTTCCCTTTGTGCTCATATTTTCAACCATTCTCAAGCGAGATTTCTTTAACTACTGCGTTCGATGCATAGGTGTTTCGGGTGGCGATTGTACATATTCACAATTTTGATGTTTTGGGCCTCGCGCCAGGTACTATGTTTCTTAGAAGTTCTTTACTGTACATATGTAGTTTTACATTGAACATGAACACCCCTTACTACTGAGGACTTTCATTATATGATAGTACCGCTACTGTATCTGGAAGACATGGGAGTCAGACCAGGCGTAGACTAACAGAAGGAAATACCGCGCCTCTTTACTATCCACATCCTGTGGCTGAGCTGTCGAGCTAAACCCCTTTCTGCTTTCGTCTTACCTTCTTGAAATCTGTGCATGCTTCATCGGCAAATTCAGACACACCATGTTTGTGCTTCTACTATTGCTTGACTTTGTCAACCAATCACTCGCCCAGTCCAATTCGACGGCCCTGGAAGGCTGGCAGTTTGATGACAGCTCACGCTCAAGTTGGGACATTTTTTGGACATGTGTTTCAACAATCCTTGCCTGCACATGGACAGCCCTGCATATTTCTGTTCCAAGTCGTGATCAGACACAAGCAGTATATATTTTTGTGAAGGCAATGGCATGGGTGGGCACGATACTTGCCCCGGAGTTCATGGCTGGAACCGCAGCCGAAGAACTATGGCAGGCAAGATCTGCAGTGGCACGATGCAATGCTGCTTTCCGCATAGTAAACAGCGAACGCGTTGACCCAGACCCCTCACCATCGGAGGTTTCAGAAACAGAAAAGACAGAAAAGCCTGAGGGTCGCTGGCGCACTATCCAGGGGTTTTGCCTCGGTATGAATGGTGTTCTTCTGCAGACTAAGGACGATTGGACATATCCAGTACGCTGTAGCAATGTTGTTGCTCTGATCAAAGCGCGCGTCATCAAGCCATCTCATTTGAGGATTCGAGACATCCAAGACCGCGCCAAGGCGGACTCCTTTGCCAAAGGATTTACCCTGCTCCAAGCCTTTTGGGTAACTTGCAATATTATTGCCAGACGAGCATACGACTTGCCAATTACAGCCCTCGAGATTTCTACATTGGCTTATATCGCTTGTGCTGCCGCAACATACATAATTTGGTGGAATAAACCAAAGGATATGGTAACACCAATCACAATTTATCTGCCATACGATCGTGATTCCGAGAGTATGCCGTCTCAAGTCAGAGATATCCTAGACGAAGAAGTTGGGAACTGGCTCCACTCGGATGATATCCCTGAAGACACTGACTCTCCGGTATGGATTATCTTTCTCACATTTTTCTATTTCCAACTTGCTGTGTTGTCAATCGTTTTCACACCTTGGTCGTGGAAGAGACAGTGGAAAGTGTTCAAAGATAAGCTGGAAGTGGTAATGCAAAATTCTCAGGGTCGAAGCCCACTGGCGAAGCCCTCTGATGCCAGCACTGGTGGCCCCCGAGATGAGGAAAATCCCCAGGAGACTGAAAAGACATCATATACCAACGATGGCGACCATCAAGAAGATGAAATTTCTGAGAGTGCCATAACAGCATCAGGGTCCGAACAACCAAGAAATGAGCCAAAAGTCGACGGAATATTGACCGTAACGGAAACTTCCCAAGGAAAAGAACCATTGATCAGGTCTTCTGAAGCCAGCGAAAATGATCCTCGAGATGTGGAAACCCGTCAAGAACCCGAGCAAGTATCCGAGGCCCAACATAAGGGCATATCGACAGAAGACGACGAAAGAATGACGATCACGGAATGGACCAACATCGCCCATTTCTACATGTTCGTTTCACTGGTCTTTTGCGGAATACATGTTGCTGCGTGCGTATTATACCCTTGAATATTCTTCTCAATGCCAGATAAAGCTAATAATCGAAACATGTAGATGGAACTCCGCGTTCCCAACACAGGCAGAGCAAACGGTATGGCGAGTGCCCTCGCTATTTGCGCTCTGTATAACGCTGCCTCTGTACTTCAAATTCCTTTGGTCATTCTACTGGCTCCGGCGTACACTGGGTAACAAGGAGAAGCGTGTCTCAAGTGATAGCTGGTCAAAGGCACCTGACCTTCTTTTCATACTGGTGTGGTTTTGCTGTTACGCAACTGCACGCTGGGGAAATGTCATCCTTATGTTTATCTCCCTCCGGGCATTGCCTGCTGGTTCTTATACCAGTGTGGATTGGTTAACATCGATTCCCCACATCTAATTCACATATAATATGTTCTAAATTTGCTGTGACGACACCGTTTGTGTTCTTCTGGTTGAGCAAATTCAGGGTTGGACCATGATTTTCTTTTTCTTTACCCTCGCTTCAAAAATAAAAGCAGAGGAAAGAAACGAACCGCTATCAAACTCATTTTGGTGGTCTATGCGTATGAATAATGGGTCTAAGGGCGCCCCAGGGGTACCGGCTGTGCTGTCATCCCTTGATTCATGCAACCAACTTGTGAGCCTAATACCGAAACGAATGCGTGTAAGCGAAGGCTGAGCATATTACGATCCTCGATTACACACACCTCGAAGATGTCATTCTAAGGCCTAGAATAGACTCGTCAGCTGAACCAAGACGGACTTTGGGCGTACCGATCCGATTCCAAGAAAGGATTACAGCCAATCCGAGGAGACGTGACCGGATCTGCAGCCCGATATGGTGGCTTACCGGCAACGGCAAACCCGTTAGATAAAATAAGCCGGCTGTATAGGCCCCGTTCACACGTGTGGGAAAAAAAAATACTACGTTTCCAGCCAATCTCAGTCATTCGTTTCGGGTCGACTCGCTATTTTGATCTCGTGGCATGGCTGTGTGAGGAGCACGGATTGCAATGGGAACAAGCTGTAGCTGCAGTCACTTTCGGCACCTGTACTCCGTACCGGCGCCCGCTGTGGATGAAGTTGAACTATCGAGTTGCTTTTCAGGCTGAGGCGTCGTGTAGTGATTAGCAAGGTGCGTCAAAGGTCCCAAAGAGGAATATGTATGGCCGATCCCTTCCTCTTCTGTCAACGCCCTGGTTGATTTCCCCCTTGTATTATTCATTTGGGCACAAGGTTATATTTCTTTTTCTGATAGATAAATCAAGGAGCGAAGAAAGGTCCCATTGAGTTTTCGTAAGCTTCAGGGGCAAGGGTCCAATATCTAAAAAAAGAATCAGTTCTTGACTTCAAATTCTCCAGAGCTGAGATCGTTGCGGGGTTGAGGGTTGAGGGAAGATCACGAACGAAAACGCCATCACATTTTGTACCACCAAGTCAGCTCAGCTGAGACGAGTGATCGGCTTTAGGGAGCGTTCAGGCTTAGCGAGCGAAGTGATCGACGCCATAACATATGGAGATAAGGTTGTTGGAATTCCGCTAGACGTGCCTTGCATACCCTAAACAGGGAACTTTCTCAAACATTGTTCAGGGAAATGAGCAAATTTGGAGATGCGAAGGAATAGCAGCTTTGTTATCTTGAAACACCGATTTCTATATGGCAACTGTGGCTTGGGCTTAGCCAAAAGAACCAAAATTGAAAGACCAATAATGCGCATCTATCTGCATAGTTCGTGTAGTACGGCCCACTACCCTCGGTCCGCAAAGTCTAGCGGAAATTCGTAGTTCTTACCGACGATGCTTATTTTCAAGCTAGAGATCAACGCTAACACACTCGGTAGACTTTAGCGAGATGTCCAAGCTCGTTACCATATCTCGTAAACAAACGCCTTGAAGAATCGGGTCCTTTGATCAGCGAATGGGTCCAGGTCTTCGTGGCACTCCAAGGCAAACTGCTATTGCTAATACTTTCCTTCATCGGGTGCTCTAGCATTTGGACTCATCATAATTGGCTTCAGCAAGGCAATTCATGTGCCCCTTTTTACTTAGGCACGCTCCAATTTGCAGTTCGCGGAAATAAGTCACTCGGAGATATTCGGATATCGAGTGCATGATCTAAGCATTCCTGTATTTGTAATTACGGAGATACAAAATAACTCTTAGGGCTCAGGCTGGCATGGGCGTATAGACCTGCTGGTACTATCAAAATGCCCTAATTTAGACTCGCCGTTGAGGGATCTACAGCGTTGGTGTCAAGAAAGGGAAATGAAGGAAACATGCAGCAGGCGCTCGTGGCCCGACGAATGCCGCATCATGAGCCTTTTTTTTATTTTATTTTCTCTTTTTGACCTCTTAGAGCTGAGCTACTGGGTCAATACATGACCATGTGATCGACCACGTTGGCCCCCGACATTGTTTCACCATAGAGGTTTGCGTAGGCATCCCACGCGAGGATATCAGCCATTTTGAAGCGCTTTTGCCGCAGAGGATGGCTTGGGATTTGTTGGTTTCACGAAGGTCTAGACCGAAAAATGAGGTTTGAGTGATTTTGTGCCTTGTTTGACAACTTCGTCGAAGATCCGTTTGTAGAAACTCGGATTGATTTTTACTCCACCCCCTCGCTTCATTCCACGACACATATGTCCAGAGTCTGGATATTCTCAGACCTGAAACATGTGGTTGACCATGTGCTGGAGAAGAATGTTGTATTTACGCTCAGGATAATCGTAAAAACGGGTCTTGTTCCACGAATCCCGATGCGGCTGGTACCTGCCTCCTAGCTCCGGTTACTTGCAGTTGAGCCAATAACGGCAAGCTTGTCGCTTGTTTTGCATAGATGAGCGGAACGGGTATGTGCTTTTGGCTATGCATCCTCGGGGTTTCCCGCCTAACGAATTCCCGATCTGGTATGGCTCATGCGGACTCACTCTTGGCGAGCGTTGAGCTCAAGGGTCGAGATGCCGTCACAGGCCCATGGCAGGTGGAGTCACTGCAGTCAATGAAGATCTTTTCCTCGTCTCCTCTCTCGTTTGGCTGGCACTGCCCATGTGGGCTATGATGCGAAGCTCAAGCTCGCGTGTCCGGCCCTAAAGGCATGCCGTCCGCGTGCATGGAGTCAGACCGGCAATGTATATATAGGAGCTCCCACTCAGCTGTATCATGGCCATCACCCACTCAGCAACTCATCGTCTCTACAGCTTATTTCCTATATAAACCGATCAAAGCCAAGCACACACCTCGCTCTTGAATACCACACTATCACAACCTTCCTTCTTTCTACTAGGCCTCTTCCCTGAGTCTTGACTCTTTGATCCCTCTGAACCTCCTGTGAGAACCTCGTATCTATTACCAGCAACCAGTCATACACCATGTCTCTCCCGGAGTCAAGAAACACAACGTGAGTGTACATATATTCAAATCCATCCTTTTATCAACCAACTAACGAGCTTTTCCCCAGTGCTACCAATGGCACCAGTACCAACGCCGTAAGCCAAGGCAACATCAGCCAAGTGTCTGGAAGCAATCGCAGTAGTGTTGATCTATTTGCACGAGCACCAGCCTCCGAGGGCCCTTATTTTGCCGGTGCGCGGATGCCAGAGAGATCAGCACACCTCACGGGGCTATCAACTCAACTCAATGCTATGGAGGAAATTCTGAAGACTGGAAGTTAGGAAATGAAAGAAAATGAATTTAAAAATATATTAAATAAGCCTAGTAGCGAGAAGTAGAGTGATAAATATACAAACTAAGATCAAAACGCAAGCATCTCTTCGGCTACGCGATCGAGATCGAACTTGTCCAGGTGTATCAAGTAGTTGTAAGCCAAGATTTTGACCAGCTAGCTCTGTGCATCATCGAAGTGCACACCGACATGGCTTTCGCTCGAGAGGTTCATTAAACACACTAGATTGTTGTCCTCCTTCCTCCACGGGCATTACGGTAGCGTCTTGGGGATCCGCTAGTCCCTGATTAGCCATATGTTCTAACAACTGGCCAACTCGTTGCATCTGGGCTGCCTGCCAGGCAATAGTAGCTATGGCCTAGTCTTGAAGACCCGAAGGCCCTCATCCCTCAAGAGCGAGTTGGCAGGTACATAGTCACAAGAGCGCAGTAGTGAACCATACTCTTCAACGGCCCGAGGTCTTTCGGGTAGTCTTCTATGGCGACAGCTTTCATGTCGGTACTAGTGTAATCTCTCACTGGACTGTCACCCGCCAACGTCTGCGCTGGCTCTTTTTCTGAGCTCACCAAACTACTAGGTCTTCTCCAAGAGCTACAGGTGGAGGCCTGCGATTGCAGGAGGGCCTCATGACGTCCCTGAGAAGAAGCTGAATTCATAATAGTGGAGGTTCCCTGGTTAGGCTCAATATGGAGCATCTCTTCGACTATTTGACTGCGATGCTGGGGAGTCCTTTCCTCAGGGTCAGTTCCGTGGTATAGTTATTAGCAGTCTTGGGCCAAGAAATATATAGGTACGTCATAGTTATCCTACTGGTACACATTGTGAAGAGATGATGTCCCTTCTAGGTGCTATGTATGTATGTATGTATGTAGCTATATTGTATCTCAGATAATCTAATAGTACCATCATCCACCAAGCCATAATATGTACCATATGAGTGTATATATTCCTCCAAGCACCTTGCTTATAGTATCTCAAAGATGTAAGATGCTACTTCCTCGTAAATTGTACTGGGGAATTCATGTCCTGCTTCGTAGAACTTGAAGACAACATTGCCACCCAGGGCAGCCGTGGCGTCAGGAACAATCTCACTTTTGATAATGATTAAATCATTATCACCACACAGAATGTGAACTTTGTTATCTCCAGGCCTCTTATTTTCGTTGCTTGAGGTCTCGTTCTGTGCAGTCAGATACTCGCCAAGACGCACCCAATTATTCCATTGGCGCTGTTGTAGGATCGGGCCATAGCGCATGCTAGACATGAATGCATGAACAAACCCTGTATGATTATTCACCTGCCACGCCACGGTAGATGGGACATTGATGTGGGGGTAGCTTCGGGACAGAATTTGGGTTGCTGCAGCGCTTTGGGAAGGCAGTTCCTCGGTGAGTGCATCCGCGGCATTGAGCTTCGTGTCCTTGGGCTTGGGCGTGACCAAGGGGCCTGCACCCAGTCGACGGCGAACCAATGATGTTAAGATATTCTCAGGCATAAGCCCCTTTGAGTAAAGGAGTCGAGTCTGGAAACTGATATGCGAATCGCGGAGCAAGCCTGCAGGCGCTAGGAGCACCAATGACGAAATAAGGTGAGGAAAATAGGATGCAAAGGTAGCGGCAATACCACCACCCAGAGAGTACCCAGTAAGGCAGAATTTACCGGACTCTGCACCTGTCCAAGAGATGGGCGAAGACGTCAGAGCGAGGAAGATCTGTGTCGAAAAAAGACGATCATCTTGTGGAAGATCAGCAGGGCAGTCGGAATATCCTCTTCCAAACCTGTTTTCTTCGGGTCAACGATAAAGCAAAGTATTGAATGTTGTGCAACACGTACAAGTCAAATAGCATCACACGACAGCCACGGTCCACCAGCGCATGGGCCACCCCACCAAGCGCAATACACGGCGTGGTGATGCCATGCACAAACAACACCTTGGGTCCATCTTCTGGGCCCCATTCATACACTCGGATTGACCCGTACGGGGTAAAGACATCACGAGCACCGGGTAGGACATCAGTGGGGAGAGGCAGCTGGCCATTCTCCAACTCGGATATGCTGGCCGAGACTGCCAATCGAGGCGAGGAGAAAATTGTCTTGGGGGATTCGCTTTGAGCAAACCCCGAACGAGCGATTAGACCAAGTGTAAATGAAGCCCCGGCCACTGCTAGTAAGGGAAGCTTTGATTCGTTGTCTGAAAAAGCACCAGAGAGGAAATCCACAGTTTGACTGTACAGGGACATGGTTGCGATTGCGGTTAAGTTACCCCTGGAACGAGCAAGATCGAGGATTGCAAAGGTTTTGTGATGCAATATTGACTATCTAACTGATGCTGAGAACAATGAAGGAAAGAACTAGCAATAGCAGACGAAAGGAAGAAGTTGGGGACTATGTATTCTGTTGGGAAGTGCCCCAGGGCTGCTGACCACGCGCTGAAGGTTGAACCCGTGGACGTTAGGTATGTGGATGATAAGATTAGATAAGACCCCCAACCGACCTCGGTTCGAGGTACACGAACTTGTTAACCTGCATACCTACATATGCTGTACAGACATACCTACATATGTCGTACAGATTATTATAAGCAACACTGTATCTGTGTCTCAGCAATAATATACATTCAAAAAGACGCCTAAAAAGAACATCTAAAAACACATCGCACGTTTCTTCCATTTAACGTCCTTGATATCAGGTTTTCAAACCCTCACGTCGTCAAGCATAGCAGCCGCATGAGTGGCTGACTATTCTCGCATATCATGATAGAATATATTTACTTCCTGTTGAGTCAAAAATTGGCCCCTTCTTTCTAGGGTATTCCGCAATACTCGGATGGCCTTCGGCACAGGCAGCCTGTAGAGCAGAGCCTTGACGACCATTTTGAGCGTTAACTTCCGCGTTATTGGTTATTAATACGGCCACGGAAAATTCATCGTCTCCATAATTGACGGTTATATGATGCTTGATAAGTATTTCCAGTGTTGACATGTGTCCCCTACAGGACCTCGCGTTCGGTTCATCCCGCATCACCAGTTCTGCTAACGCATCATTCTAATGTCCACGTTCAATTAACCTTGCAACAAGGGCTTCTTATATATTTGAAGTTTGAGAATAGGTTAAGGTTGTTTCAACCCCAAGGCCTCTAATCATTCGCTTTGCCTCATAAAACTGAATTCGCGTTACTGCAACCTTCACCAAAAGACCTGGTGGTCGATGAACCACTGCTTTCTGGTCGATTACTCATGACTCTCGTATCGTCTTCCCTTCTAGACTGGCAAGAGCCTCTGCGGATCAGTGTCTATACGCAAATAATAGAGTATATTTTGAGCGAGAAAACTGTATGGAGAGAGAAATGAAGAAAGGCGAAAGTACTCTGGATCTTACGATCTTATAATACTTGTAGAAATACTTATACGCAGCCTTAGAAGCCAAACCCGGGCCTAAAGAGAAACTTTATACAAGCACAAATGACCATCTTACATGTATTGACTTTTGTATTCAACATTCCTCGAGTACACATTATAAAGACATGCGCTAAAATAAATTACAATTTGAAATCTAGTCATTCCGACAAAGGAGGGAAAGATCGGATGAAACTGAAAAGCAATAGGTTAGCGACCTCACAAAATGGAACTTGAGGGACAAGAGCACATACTGAGCAGGGCACTCATACCCAGCAGGGTTATTGTGAAGATAGAGCTGGTGGTATTCCTCCGCATCCCACCACTGACCTGCCGGCAGAACCTTGGTAGAAAGCGGCGTTTTGTACCACTCCTTGCTGACTTTTTCTGTGATTTCCTCTGCGATCTTCTGCTGCTCTTCCCCGTGCGTAAAGATCGCACTGCGGTATTGTGTGCCAACATCCGGACCCTGTCGGTTTTCTGTGGTGGGGTCGTGCATGCGGTAAAAGAATTCGAGGAGCTGGCGGTAGGTCACAATTGAGGGATCAAAGGTCATCTGGAGGGCCTCGGCGTCTGTGGGGAGCCAACAGAAATAAATCAGTATTTAAAGATGCGATTGCGATAAGGAATTTCGCGCCATTTTTTTTTTTTTTGTCTCGGGTAGCACTTACGGCCAGTTGAACCGGAGCAGACAGCTCGGTATGATGGCGAGGAGGTGTCACCACCGCAGTAGCCCACCTTGGCGTCGAGGAGACCTTTGCCGTTGCCGAAATTCTTGCGGTACAGGTGCTCAACGCCCCAGAAGCAGCCGGCTGCTACGGTTGCGGTCTGTGTGCCTGACATTGTGCGTGATCGTGTCTCTGGGGTCAAGGAAAAAGCTGAGCTAGTGGAGAAGGAACGGAAAAAGCGTGAGAAAACACTCGAGGCAAGCGGAGCGGCGAAAGTCATCGGAAATTGTGGTGGATGGTGGAGACGTACTTGATATAAGTGGGGATGGTCGCAGGTTCGGAAGTGAAAGGGGATGTACAGATTGCCGTGGCAGCGACTGAAAGGAAGCAGTTTGAGGAGAATATAGCTGTGTAAAGTGAAAGAATAAAATCAGAAATAGAAGAAGGGGAAAAAAGAGAAGAAATAGAAGCTCCAAGAATTGGAGCTTGATGGCGTCATTTCTAAGCAGCGGGGGAATTCGACAGGGATTGGTTGGTTAGGGCTTGGCAACCTGATTATTATTCTTATTGTACAAAAGCTATTCAGCTACCAACAATGCAACAGAGAAATGACAGCCCGAAATTCCTTGAGAATTCTGTCGAACGAAAAAAAGAAATGTGGTATCTGCTACGCCAACAAAACGCCGATTCCAAAGAATTGAAACAAAACAAAATCAAAATGATTCACCAGAGTCGACTACCATGCTTGTGAGTTGTGGTCAGCAGGAGGCGCTGCCATCGCACTGAGACGGATGGCATCTCTGCTGGATAGGCTGATAGTTCGAGGTCGACCGTCTCCGCCCAATGTTGTGCGGCGTCCCGTATGCTTCATGACTGGGAGAGTATGCGGACTCAAGACACGAGGCTTGGCATCGTGTTCTCTCTCGCTCTTGACCATGCGCCGTGCTTGTGATGCGGTAAACATGTGGTTGTCTGCTGGTGCGGTCCCATGGGTGTTGGAAGTCGGGCTGCGACGACGGTGAACTCGTAGGGCATTGGAGGATGGATTGCTGAACTGTCCACTAGCAATCCGCCCACTAGACATACGTCGCATGGCTGAATTGATCTTAATCGCCTCTTCCTTGTCTGATTTCCAGTTGTCCCTGTTTTCAGATGCTGGACTGCTCGAAAAGTTCCCGCTGGGGCTGCGAACTGCAATCCGTGATGGACGGTCCGTCGGGGTGCGGTTCATAAAGCTGCTTCCCTCAATATCACGAAGTGGGGAGCTCTCTCTTCTTGAAAGAGGAAGGCTGGATGATGGCGGTGGTGCCAATGGTGAGCTGCCATTTCTCTTGGTCAAAAATCCTGCCTTAAAGCGACTGCTGTTCTTTTGGACGTTCAAAGTGGACTCAGTGGGCTCGGCAGGCTCGTCAGGGGTAGGAGAGACAGAACCTGACGGGCTAACAACCCTCGGGATATTTCGTGGAATAGGAGATCCTGATCGAGGGGGCAACCATGACTCTTCAAAGCTGGCTTCATCAGCAGAGGCAGAGTCCTTCTTAGGGGTCTTTTGGAACTCGGTCAAAGGGCCTTCTTCCTCATCGTCCTTCCATCGGACAGATCGTTTGGGAACCTTTACTTGAGTTTTCTTCGGCGTAAAGCTGACACTCTTCCGACCAGCAGTGCCTTTGCGGCGACGTGGAGAGCCTTTAGTTGGCGAAAGAGGAGCGCTGAATGTGACTGGGGGATTGTCATTTGCTACTGGTGGCAAGCTCACCAAGCTGAAGCGCTTCTTTGTTTTCGTGGGGCTTGGGGGCCTGGCAGAGCTGACATTCGGGACAGACAGCATGGTACCATCTGGTTTGACGAGGTTGGCTGCTACATCTGAACAGTCCTCTAACATCTTTGTAAGGATAGTGTGCCCCTTTTTAATAGCCTCGTCTGCATTTAGCTGCATGATATCCTCGATGGAGTTCATCATCTCAAACTGTGCTTGCAACAGAAGCTGCACAGCAGCAGCTTCTCCAGCCTTGTCTTGTTCTAACACAGCTGTCAAGGCTTCACGCTCTGCGTTGGACCGAAGAAGGTCTGCTTCTCGGTTCAAATTCGCGTAGTCGCTGTTATCGGTAATATCAAATTCTTGGAGCTGCTTTGCCGCGTTCTCGACCGCCGAGGTCACCGCTCGATCCCAGGTGCTTTTTGATAATTTCCGGTTATAATGATGTCTGCTACCTTCCAGTTCGAGGAGGATTCCCTGTGCAGATTTGCGAACAGCATATAGGCTCGATAATCCTTCCTCGGTTTCATGTGCGGCGCAAACGTTATCAAAAGCCGCAATCCAGGACGATAAAATGCCAATTCTGCGGCCAATTTGCCTCAGTTTCAGCATGTTGTTGGTCTTCTCTTGCCTCTCGGGCAACGTGTGTTCGTAAGCATTGCGAATCCGGGCAACACCCTCACGTAAAACAGCGTCTTTCTTCTCGCCCTGCTTGTGGAACTTGGCAAATGCTACCTTTTCATGGTCCTTTGCCTGCGCTTTGAGCTCATTGATCAAATTCATTTGCTCATCGATCTTGACCAAAAAGTCCTTCACATGTCGATTAACATTGAACACATTCCGTGTGACCTTAGTCTGGATGTTCTTTGCTCGATTCGCATATCGAAGAGTATTTTGGGTCTCATCAAAATGCTGGCTTGAAGGGCTGACGCAGACAATCATGACTGTCTTGCAATTGCCACCAAGAGCAAATTTGAGTAATCGAGTGAGTTTTGAGTTTCGGTAGGGGATGTGATTGCGCTTTCTCGCATCGCAAAGTGCATTGATGCAGCTTCCCAGGGACAACAGAGACTTGTTAATATTGGCGCCTTCGAATAAACGTTCTCCTCTATTCTGTGTCGCGCTGGCACGCTCACTTCCTGCTAAATCAATGATACTGAGAGTTGCCATGGTGTGAGGCTCATTGACGTCCGCGTTTCGATCTTTTTGGGCGATGTTGATTTGAAGCACGGCATGCGATCGGGACGATGTGGCATTTGCTGCGGTAGGAGACATGGTGCGGCGCTCATTGCCTTGAACGATCATGTCCATCACCTGCCCCACATTCTGCGGGTGGTGACTTGACAGCCCAGCAACTGAGACCGACTGATTGGAATCCTCCCGTAGCATCAATCCACCCTTTCCACTGCTACCACTAGGGACAAGCAAGTCACGAATGGTTTCGTTATAGATCTCGAGGTAGGAAAGAGAAATTTCAGTTGACTTTTCGCCTGCTCGTTCGTCAATCCGCTCAAACAGCTCCTGCATAGTGAGAAAGATGATGCCAGGCTGTTGGGCAGTTCCGGTGATTGTATGTGTCTTTCCACATCCGGTAGCTCCATATGCAAATACCGTCGCGTTGTATCCATCGAGCACGTTGTCGAGTAAGCCGCGTGTTGTAGATTCGTATACTTCCCCCTGGGAGGCATTTTGGTCGAAGATGCGATCGAATGCGAAGGTTTGGTCCTTGACGCGCTTACCGTTGGGCACCACGCTTCTGGAGAACTTTTGGACAGGATTGTCCTCTGGGGGGTCAAACACCCTAGTCCAGTTAGAATGCTGGACCCAACATTCAAAATTAATGGAATACTTACAAGCATCGGTCATCAATTACTTTAACGATAGACCGTAAACCCTTCTGGTTAAGTTTCGGTGTCGGCGCACCAGCGAGGGAACCATCGCCGAGGAACAGAGGACCCTCGTCACATCGTGTGATTTGGGCTGCCTCCCTGATAGTAAAGGGGCGGACTCTGACTGCAACGCTGATCGAGGAAGCGCCATCGGGGGCAGCCATGTTGAAAGTTTGGGTCCGATCAACCCCAGGTCGCGAAGCCGTTTGGCGGGGCCGGTACGTCAGGTAGTTGGCGACACCCTGCAATAGCAAGGCCAACGGGAAAGATTAGCGGTTTCGGGTTGAAAATGAGGAATGTAGAGAAATCGAAGAATGGATCTAAAGTAGTATGGGGTAGGGGTGCAGTATTCTCCGAGGGGGGCTCCTTGAAGCGATTTCATTTGTTGATGCGCGTGCATGTTGTCATCTAGTGGTTGCTCCGGGCAACCCTTGTATAGTGGTAGTGGGCATTTGGGCGTGGCAATACCGCTACTCCCATACTAACGGTTCCTGTCCCCCGATATATTGGGTGTTGCAGGCGTTGTACACGTCCTGTCTGCTCTGTTTACACTCACTATTTTCCCATATCCATCACCCATTTGTGGTTGATATTAGGCTTTTTATAGTATTAACCCCGGGATGCTTAAATAAAAGCCGTAGGAGGCGATCATGGCATTATCATGACATCAATCAATCAAATATTGTACATAGCAAAGTCATCTACACTGTTTATGATTCTTTCCACCTTCTTCTCCTGTCTAGGTACAAAACTGAGAAGGGGAAGAAGATATCTCAAAAGATATCCAAAAAGACATCTAAAAACATGATTTAAGAAGACCATCAAAAGACTGTATCACAAGGCCGTATAAGGGGCCGACTATTCTTGCCTACTATCACTGTAATAATTCCCCAAAATTACTTACAGTGATTGCTAACGATAATAGTGATTTTTATCATAAAGTGCATACATATGTTTACTCTAGAGCTATGGCCTTTGTTGTTGCTGTTGTCTTAATATCATGTTTCGCCGGAATAAACGCCATGCGATGCTTGTAATCACCAAAGCCCTCTCCCTGAAACGCCGAAAGCCGCAGACGTGGATCCTCTGACCTAGTTATTTCTTGCAAGTCATAATGGCCCCCATCATTCTCCCTGCTCCTCCTCCTCCTCTTCCTCCTCATAGATCGGCATGACAACATCCCAGCCTGGATCCTCATCGTCAAGGTCCATATCAAGACCGTCATTCTGACCCTCACTAGATTTGTGGAAGCGGAAGGCAATTGACTGTCCATTCTGAAGACCCGCCTCCATTAGAGTTACTGGCTTATTCCCTGACTCTGTTTGGAGGCGCCTCCAGCCTTTTTCGGGATCCGCTCTGTCAACTGGCTCGCCCAACTCAATGTTGGAGGAGTCGTCAGGAAGAAGGTCACCATTTATGTCTTTGACTTCTCGTGATTTTAGAGCTTCCAGGAGCTTTTCTTTGGTGAAGTCGAGAGATTCGTGGGGTTGGAGCATCAGAAGCACAGTAGTTTTATGCTTCTTAAAGAGGAGGGTCACAGCGCTCGAGGCGGTTCTGGATTGCTTGGGCGGCTGCTCGGTAATTAGCCTCCTTTTATTCGATGATATTCAATTGAAAAGGCCAATTCACGTACCATTTTGGAGATTGCGGGGGAATTAAAGGGCAAGTCGCGACTGGGTAATAATTCATTTGGGAATGACGGAAGGCGGAGAATCCGGCGGGACTCCGAGTTCCGCCCTCCGAACTTCTGAGCTTCGCCAGCATCAGTTGCTCACATTCACCAAGTTCTCTATAGCCAAACATCGAAGCTTACTGCTAGCAACTTCATTCATTTGTTACAGACTTCATCATGGAGGCCAATCACGCCCCATCTCCCGACTCCTCAAGCCATAATTCTATCGTCCTCAAGGTCGTCCACTGGGACAAGCTGTTTGAATCTGACAGTCCTCCACGGTTAGGCATTGAGTTTGGCAAGCGGTTACCATATGCTACTATGTCCGCTTTTTCGACAGGGCTGGCACTAGGGTACTATCACGGCAGCAAAAAGGCAGGGCTCGTGTTTCGAGCTGAAAACGCGCATCGTTTCCCCACGACATCCACAGGGTGGTTCCAGTATCATAAAACTAAAAACTATATTGGTGTGGTTGGAGGCGTCAAGGATGGCATGAAGATGGGATTCAAGCTTGGTGCTGGCGCACTTGCATTCTGTTTGTTCGAGGAAACAGTGGACTATGCTCGGCATGACGAGAGAGACTTTTTATCGACAGTCACTGCTGGTCTCTCATTCTCCGGAATATACAGCTTGCTTGGTAAGGAAACTATTCTGCTTAGGCACCATCACTGGAGGAACCAAAGCTGACCTAGCTTATTCACACAGCTCGTCACGACGTCTACACTGCCGCCCGTACAGCGAAGCTTGGGTTGAAATTGAGCTTGACCTATGGTCTGTTGCAAGATGTGCTTGAGACTTTGAAAGGAAACCGGCCTGCCTACGTTGATTTCTTCCTCGGTAACCGTCGGTCTAAGGTTAGAAAGGAAGGATCAATCTGATCATAGGTGGGCCCATATCACAATGCCTTCCTAAATCCTTCCGCGCGGATGTTCCAGTCTCGTGGCACGCTTGGGATATCCTCAATGCCGAGAACCAATGTGATAGGCTTTCCCGCTTCACTCTCTCGGATGATCTTTGGCTTTCGATCGAGAAATGGCTGCCATGTATACTGTTACAGGTGGTATACATTTGAAATTGGCGAGATGAGCTGCATATCCGTGTCAATGCCGCCCCTTTTACTATTTCTACGCCCCCATCGAGCCACTCTGAGATCTTTAGTCTGGTGACCATCCTGGCCTTTCTACACCTGATTCTGTTCCCCGACAACAACGCTCGCGCCACATTCTTGGTTGTATTATTTGCTTTTTTTGATACCCATTTGTCCAATTAGCATCAAACAAGATGAACATTTTTGTCCTTGGGCTGCTCATAGGGACACGTGACCCATCGCCGGATTCTGTGTGGGAGTATGACCACGCCTCAAGTTGATTGGCAACGCCATTGTGGCGTGACTAAAGTGCATTTGAACTAAGATCTTATCTGACATTTTATAAGCAACCTTGGAAGTTAAACGTGTTAAGTAGGGACTACTGGGTAAGCAGGTAGTATAAAATCACCTAGTCAAGTTTAATGGCTGCCACGACACAAACATGCATATTTCTAAAGTAAACTAGAAGATTCAAGACCCTAGGAACAAAGTTGGCATATTTTCCCAGGCGTTTCTTTTTCTTTGTTTCCGGGGATAAGCAAAAAAGATAGACAAGATCGGCCCGGACGCTGCAGGTTCAAAGGATGCGATTGACCGCTCAGTGCTGACGTCCCCCACTAAAAAAAAAAAAGAAAAGAAAGAGAAAAAAAGGATTCAAGGCTGACATATTTGATCTACTCCGTATATTGCAATTCACTTAGATACTAGAAGATAATTCAACCGAATCTTCCAAAGTGGATGTTCTCATAGAGTTTCCGAAGGTTCCCAGCTGATCGGTGGAGAAACCGCATTTGACGTCGATTCGGAAAACCCCCCACCTCACTGAAGACCTTAGCTCGAACTTGTCTTGACCTTTTTTTTCCAACTTCTTCTCTATATCCTACATCCATGTCTGTCCGTTAAACTCTACATTAGCAACCCATTGGGCGCTGAAGATGCCGATGCGAAGTTCGACGCTGCTTTCGTCGACGTCATCGATTTATTGACCTCTTTATGTCTGGGAGAAAATAATTGAACCATCCGTCTCACATCCTCATTCAGAATCGCAACTTAGATCACAATGCGTCGCCATGGCAGGTCCAGTGGTGGTCCAACCAAAGCCGTCTCGCCCTTATCCGACACGGTGTCCCTCATACGTTCGTTCGATTCGGTCATGAACCCAAACCGACCTGCGCGTCCCTCGCCCCTAGCCTCCTCCCACATCAAAGCTTTGCCTTTGGAACTGGTAGATCGATTGCGGTCTTTCCCGCTGTTTCAAGCTACTCCGGAATCCTTTTTGATCGAAGTCGGACAGCACCTGCGCCCACAGCTCCACGCACCCAACGATTACATCTTGACGGAAGGTGATGAGGCAAAGGCAATATACTGGCTGGTGCGGGGTGCCGTCTCAGTCACATCGCGGGATGGCGAGAGTATATACGCCGAGCTCAAACCCGGGGCGTTCTTCGGGGAGATTGGATTGCTCATGGACCGTCCTCGCACTGCGACCATTATCGCCCGGACTCGATGCATGCTGGTCGTGCTAACAAAAGACGACTTTCGGAATATATTGCCTCGGTATCCGGAGGTCGAGCAGGCGATTCGGGAGGAGGCACAGGAACGGTTGATGATTTTAGAAAAGAAAAAAAAAAGAAACATCCGCACCTGCACTGGATCTGTCAAGCCCGGCACGAAGAGGCTCAAAACGACTACGTGACAGCTTTTCAAAGGATCTAGCGGTTGCAGAGGATGATGGGGACTTGAACACCAAGTCCGTGTACAAGAAGAGGAAGTCACCGAGCCCCGGTCGGCGGGATGGCTCCAGCGCACTGGCAAATGGATTGGTCAACGTACGTCTCTTACTAAAAGAGCTGCCGCTTTTTTCTGGGTTGCCTGCCGATATCCTCCACTATCTTGGTCTCAATGCCCAACCGCGATCTTTCCCTCCATTTACCGACATTATAAAACAAGACTCCCAGGGCCGTGAGCTCTATTTCATTGTTCGCGGCGAGGTGGAGGTTCTTACGGAAAAGGCAGAGGTGGACCACCCATCAACAAACAAAAATAGCCCAAATGGGCTTGTTGAACGGCCGGGAGTTGAGGTTAAGGCTAGGCTGAAGCAAGGTCAGTACTTTGGCGAGGTGGTCAGTCTAGATTTAGCACTTCGGAGAACCGCTACAGTTCGATCTGTGACTTCGGTTGAGTGTTTGATGCTCGACGGTGACGTCCTTGGTGAATTTTGGGAGAAATGCCCAAGTGACGTGCGGGAACAAGTTGAACAGACTGCCCAAGCAAGGCTTCAGGCAGCAGCCGATGGCGATGTTGTCATGTCTGACGAGCCAGATCCGCAACCATCTATGGGTGATCTCGCCCTCGATGACAGAGTAAAGATCACATCATCGCGCCGACGGTCAATGCCATTACTTACTCTCACTGAAACCGAACTGGATGGACCACATCAGTCCTCGAGTGTTGAGGACCAGGACCAGGCTGTGTTGCGGCCCTCCGACCCCGATCCATATCTCAGCTTGGGTCTGGATAAGGTCAGGATGCGAAGTCGACGCGGGTCGCTAGCACCGTTGGCCCCCGAGGAGATGTCAGGGGAACAGCAGCGGTCATCCCCCACGGAGCCGCGCTCTGCCAGTTCTTCAAACCTTGCCCTTCCCGAAACTGCCAGCCTCTTCAAGTCATATCAGACTGAGCGACCCCGGATTGATGGTTCCAATGGAATACTTCCGGACAGCGTCCTGCTAAGCATTTTCCAATTCCTTGAGCTCCACCACCTTCTTCGGATGAGGGCAGTGTCGTCCCATTGGTCAGAGCTCTTGTCCAGATCTGCCGACGTGATTCATGATCTAGATTTGAGCATCTACAACCGTAGAGTTACAGATGACGTTCTTGTTAAGATCATCTGTCCCTTTGTCGGCAATCGACCCCGATCCGTGAATATCAACAATTGCTTTCACATCACCGACGAAGGCTTCACGGCATTGGCCACGACTTGTGCCCCAAATACCACCGTGTGGAAGATGAAGAGTGTGTGGGATGTCACGGCCTCTGCCATTCTTGACATGTCCAGCAAGGCTACTAATATGGAGGAGGTAGACTTGAGCAATTGCCGCAAGGTCGGAGATACACTTCTCGCCCGGATCATTGGATGGGTCGTGCCTGCCGATCAGAAGATAGGCGAGAAACAGTTATCGATCAAACCCACAATCCAGACAGCAGAATGTACAGTGTACGGCTGTCCAAAATTGAAGAAACTCACTCTCTCTTACTGCAAACATGTCACCGATCGATCTATGCATCACATTGCGTCTCACGCCGCTGGTCGGATTGAGGAAATGGATTTAACTCGTTGCACCACAATCACGGATCAAGGGTTCAGATACTGGGGGAATGCTCAGTTCACCAACCTGCGAAAGCTTTGCTTAGCGGATTGCACGTATTTGACGGACAATGCCATCGTGCATCTAACTAACGCGGCCAAAAACCTGGAAGAATTAGATCTGGTAAGTCTAGACTTTGCTGGGCTCTGTCAAACTAAAAACAAAATATCATGGTTTACTAATCGTGACTAGACTTTTTGCTGTGCATTGTCAGATACGGCAACCGAGGTCCTTGCTTTGCAGTGCTCACATTTGAAGTATCTTAATATGGCGTTCTGCGGCTCTGCAATTTCCGATCCCTCCCTAAGGAGCATCGGTCTCCACCTACTCTCTCTTCAACATTTATCGGTCCGTGGCTGTGTTCGAGTCACTGGAGTGGGTGTTGAGGCTGTTGCAGAGGGCTGCCACCAACTCCAGATTTTCGATGTCAGTCAATGCAAAAATCTCGGACCCTGGCTTGAGGACGGTGGTGCTATGCACTACCAGCCGAGAATCGAATTCAAAACTGTCGCCCCGAACAAAAAGATATTTGAATGAACAAGCAACCCATACAAAGCTTGACCTTTTCATTTCACACCTCTCTACCCTGGTTTCTGTACGGCTATCTTTTCCCTCCACAACGACGCCTGGAGTGGCTCCCGACCATCCGCCCAGTTGCATGATACATTTATTGGCACATAGTGTATGCCTCTATAATACTTTTTGTTATTAATTTCTAGGCTCATTGTTTTCTAGTTTTTGCTTTGCCATGTACCTGATCTCGGCGTTTGAATTTACCGGGACAATGTGTTTCACTTTTGGATTACATTCTTGTGTTGGGTTGCAGGTTCTTGTTTTTACATTGTTTGGGGGGGTTTCGGGTCTAGCCCGTGGGCAGGCCAAGCATGGCCGGAGTTCAAAAACTGAAGGCATCTATGAGTTACAGGGAGTTTGTCTCTTTCCCTTAGTACTCAATGCTCTTGGACTATCTTCTATCTTTTCTTACGACTTAATGCTGCACGTCTATCTGATTTGATCGACATTTTTTGGTGTATTTTAGGGTTGATACTATCTATTTCTAGTGTATCTAAAATTAAACGTAGAAATTTATTTGACTATAAAGCTGAAGGTCTTGTAACATATGCTCTCTCTGTTCGAATAGAGGCAGCCCCTAGTTTCTGTATGAAAATGTAACCACTTGCACAATTTCTTACATTACACCCACATAGTCCATATCTCTCTGGTCTTGGAGATTGTAAAGACAAATTTCAACTTATAGCCTAAGAATGATCTTTGTGCCGCCTTTTCTACCACCTTTGTTATCCCTTTTCTTTACTAACATCCTTTATTATAGGGCCTTGTCTCAACTCGTTTGATGTCATGTATAAACACTCTTGAGATAAAGACAAAGGGCCCAATATCATTATATCATACCCTTACTATCTATCCCTCAGCTCTCGATTCTACTTGGTGTTTATATAGCCCATTTTATATCGACCTTCCCAGCCGGAAATCTGAACTCATCGGCTGAGATCTAAGGTCTTTTTTCTATAGATATATAATACCTTATCGCCATCAATCCCTACTCCCCCTTGGAAAACAACAAGCAGCATCCCGGGCAGTTATAATGGCGACTGCTTTGATATCTTGCGCACTCAGCATAGTGTCCATACTCTGCCTTCAATTTCTATGTATCTCACAAGGCCTAGATTTCTTTTCTCTATGTCCATCATATGTTGTTTTGGATGGTCGTGTCACGATCTTCTCGCTGTTCATGGATACTCTTTCCACGGTATTTACTTCGTGATACTATAGATAGTGCCTCTTACAATCTGTCAGTCAACTGATCAATGTGCAGCCCCATTTGAGCCTAAACAGAGCATCCATGGATATGCTCTCTCATACTCGACAAAATCATTAGTCTGAATCGCTATTCTCCTGTTCTCCTTACCTACATAGTAGCCCAATAGTAATAAAGACACTCCTTGATACATTTAGGTAATTTATTCCACTTTCCTATATCAGATTCCTTAGATCAATTTTAGAACAATTGAGCTATCTTACCAAATACAAACCGTAATATCGTATGCTACGCTACACATAAACAGCTCGGGGAATACTTGGAAAAACAAAGATTTCTTATTAACATCTTCGCAGTCATCACGAGCTAGTCATAGAAATCATGGAATGCCCTTTCACAAGCACCTTGACATTCTAAGGTTGCTTAGGGCAATCAATATGTGCAACAAAGCAAAATCAACAAACAAGAGTATAAAAAAAAAGGCTCAGGCAGAAAACAAGGACAGATCTCAAGGGCGTAATTTTTTTCAGCCTTTTCAGATAATATGGTGGGAAACGGAAAAAAATGAAAGAGCCCGCCCATGGAGAATGCGAGGGAAAAAAAACGCCCGAGAAGACCTAGGAAATGGTCACTTGCAAATGACCACCTCGAAATATTTCTCAAAAATTGTTTTGAGATCAATGACACGACGCGCTGTCTGAGGGGAGTCGTCCGAACTGACAAACACGGCCTTGAAATCCGGACAGATACGCTTTGCTGCGTTTCCTTGGAAAACGATTTCATCGTCTTCCAAATCCTCTAGTTGAAGATTTAAGGAAACCCCGGAATCAAAGCCATCGGCAAGAACACCCTTTCCTTCGGTATGAGCAGTGCTGTCGGTGTCTGCGTCAGTTCCACCTGGAAGTATGACGGCCAGGTCGTTGTCAAGATCAACCAACATGTCCTTGGTGGAAGCTTCTGCACTGGTCAACACAGGGAACTCCTCACTGGCGTCGCCTTTTCGGCTCTCGGTGATTCCATGCCCCCGCTGGTATGTTTGCGATGCATTGGGCAGCACGCACTCAAGGGAGTCGCACGCAGGTGAACTTGAGATTTCTGGCTGGGGTAGGACTGGAACAACACCTTCTTCAACCATCGGAGTACAGTAGTCATCGACGAAGAAGTCCGGACCTCCCAAGGTGGCATCGGCCGCAGGGATAATGGTCTGGTGGATGGATCTAGCGTCACCCTCCACCCGGACTGAGCCCTCCGGAGCTGGCTGATCGCTGCTTACAGCAGCAGGCCCCTCTGGCAAGCACTGCTTTCCTTTTGGTTCCAGGAGAACTGCTTGGACTGCTTCCATGCTGACTACCATATTTGGTGGCAATTGGACGAATTCCACGTCTTCGGTGAAATCCAAGAGCACACCTGTTGCCGGTGATGCGCCTGTCGTGGTAGCTTGAGCTGCAGGGGGCTTGAGGTCGTCATCAGGGCAGTTCGAGCTCCCTGTGCCTCCGGAAGTGCTTGCTCCTGCCTGAACCCGGGCGTTTTGTCCGCCGCTGGCGCGACTTGCAGGCGCTTCTGGTCCGCCCCTGTTGGTTGGGTAAGGTCTGCGGCCGCCATTGTAGGGTCCACGGCGGGTTCCGCGTCTGTAACCATTGGAGGGAGGCTGTTGGTGTCACAATGTTAGCATTCAAATCATTTGTATTTGGCATAGATTCCAGTACTCACAAGGCGGGGAAGCTCCTCGTCTTGAAGTCCAGGACAGGGGGTATTGGCGAAACATCTGTTCTCAAACAGGAGGGCGAGACTTCCTTCGATGTTGCACATCTCAACGGCAAGCAACATCTCATTGCTTTGAACAAGCTATTTGTCGGGAAAGTTAGCGTAACATTTTGAGGTGAAACTGACAAGATTAGTTCTGACTTACCCAGCTATGGCAGTCGCGAAGGAGGGACTGAGCTTTGCGCATTTTGTCCAATGTTCGAGCAGCCATTTTGTAACGGAAGTATGATGTTATGCGGAAGTAAGAATTTGATGAGAAGAGCAAGAAGTAGGTGATGAGTGCTCAGTGTTGAGAAAGTGCAGTGAAGCGTCGGGACTGCTGGTAGCAAGGCAAAGAAGAGTGAGGAATTGAGAATGGTTCATGCAGTTGTTGAAGGTTATTGCTGAGGACTAGATACATGTCATGAAAAGCAATGGTAGATGAGAGAGTAGAAGAAGGAAGAAAGATCTAAGGAATGTTTCATTTATACTTCAACCCTAGTCTCGGCGCCAGTGCCATTCTCCAGTTGAGATATGATCTTACACACTGCCACTTCATCCTACTTATGCCGTTACTTTACCTATGTCCCTTTTACTTTTGGTTATCTAGCACCTACTTCCTACTTATAAACACTGTGTGGCCTTGGAAGCATCGATACATGTAGATTTTGTTAGTATATTATCTGTTCAAGATAGCTAATATACATGATAGATTGCACATTGGTCTACGTAGTGAGATCCTCCATTTCAAGCTTCCTATTGATAGTTCCAACTTTCCAAAAGATAGTATCTTCTTACTTACAATATCCCTCACTTCTCAGAACATCCGTTTGCTGTAAACTTTACTTCTCTTTTCTATTCAACATTTGAATACCTCTACTCAATAAGCAGCTCGCCAGAACTCACAAAACTAGGATGAGCACCGAGCGTCGTCAAATTGAACTCACTCTTGTCGTCATTCTTGGGAGGTAACCGCTTTATACTCTCGCCCCCTTGGGTGCCCTTCGCCCATCTGTGGGTAATTTATGCAAGCTCAATATACATTAGATAATAACACCAGCTACCACCAATCAGCCCGAGACGTGGCAATTGTTGCGGTCGCGGACGATTCATCCGTGGGCCCGTCAATGACAATTCCAGGCCACCGCCAGTTGTATTCCCGCGAGTGTTGCTGTAGGCGTTCGAATTCTACGGGCTTGATCTACTTTGTGTCGAACTGGTGTGGAGGACGGGATAAATGTCTCCAAGCCCACTAATTCTGTTACCAAACCCCTGTCATCAGAGGTATTTATTGACTTCGATGAAGATATAAGTTGGAGTGTTGTTGGGTATTGTGGCCACCATGGAAGCGTCTACCGCTTTTTCCTTCGCCCACACATTGCAGAACCAGCCTGCTGTTGGTGGGTTTGGCCATAGTGCTGGACACCCTGCTCCATCTTCATTCGCCCAGCTTGTAGTACAAGGCGTGCCGGTGTAGAATGCCAACGCTGGCCTACGTGCATACTTCAAAATTACCAACCATTAAGGCGTCAGCCTGCTTCCACAACTGGAAACTCGACATAATCCACCTAATGAGGAAGGGTCACAGCATCAAGTGCATCAACGAACACCTGTACTTGCAAATCATTTACGAAGCAAAAAATCAGCTGGAGGTGTGTTGATCTGGCTAGACCGCGACTGATTAGAAAATAAGACATGTATTAACCCTCTATACTTGCAAGGAGCAATGTATATGGGTTATTGCTTCCTTGCTTATTTTCATTTTGTTCGATGAGAGGTTACGATTCGGGACATTATATATATATATATATATTGTATATATATTGTGTACATATATGCTTAAATCTATATAAGTACTCCGTACCAACAAGTACTGTGGAGTTGACATAGAGGCACTAAGCTGAAAGAGGCAATTCAGCACACTGGCGCATGGAATTTGACGAGTTCGACATGAAGAAAACGTGCTTTGCATATTTTAAATCAGACCGACTCTATTCTTCCAGTATGTTCCACGGAGTAGATAATGGTATCATTCAATGCAGTCTGATAAGAAGTTTGAATGCAGCGAAATCTCACCAATAATCAATTCCCCTTACATTATCCCCCGTGATAAATTCCTTGGCTCCCAAATTGTATATAAAAACATCCGAGATATCGTACGGAGTAGGACTAATGACGCATGTGTAGGGAGTAGTATGTGTGTATATGTAGATCGAAGATTGCCACATTCCTTCTAGAAAAATACCTGAAAACAATCAGTTGCTAGCGAAGGGGCGTAAAAACCATAGAAGTACTCCGTACGGGTCTAAGGGTTATGCTTATCCGTTATCAGTCCCCCCCTATTTTCGCCGCACTCAGCCACTCATACATAACCGAGAACGAAAATGGAGTAAAAGGAGCACGATCTCTCATTTTGAGCCCGTGCTCAACACTAGTGATCTGCGTCGCTGCCCAGTGCTTGGTGTGTGTCCACTGGCGCCTGGCGACTGGCTGACAACCAAAAGTATAAGGTTGGGGGGTCTTGGATCGCCGTTCTCATAGGCAGGGGCAGATTCATTCTCCGGTCAAGTCTTGGGGTTGAAGGTGAGCTTCCTAGTGCGGAATATAGGCGCTATGCCCAGGTGGTGCCGAGGGCGCCGAGAGGCAAATAAGTGTAGCGAGTTCTTGGAAGCTTGTGGCAGCCTAATTCGAGGCTGGCGTTTTGAGTAAGATTATCGAATTTTGGGGCTGATACCTCCTCTTTGTCTCAATGGCCACATTATTTTTTGACCCCCGACTAAATGGGATCAGCTAGGCCTAATTAGTTCGGCTCAAGGCGCCTAGGGAGCGGACATTCGGAACTCCGATCCAGGGGTATCAAAGGGTACTCTTTATAAAGCGACGAATTTCACTTTACACTTCGGGATAATAATATAAGTAGTACCCCATATATTGGAGTAAAACATTCTATATGCACTTCGAAGACGTCCGAACTACATGCCGATCAATGTGTGCTCCGCAGATCGACTGCTGAAAGAAAGGGACAGTGGAAAGTACCAATGCTCGCGCTAGTATTATATGTAATTTCCGACTACAAACACCTGGGGGATGTCTCACTTTCAACGGTCACGCATTGACGGTATTTTATGAAAATTGGTCAGATGGGCTAATTTAACTGAACGCTCGGATTGGCTTGGCCAAATTACTATGGAGGGATGACCTACGGACTTTTCTTTGTCATACCACGTTGGGGCTCGGAGCCTCGGGAAAGACTGTATTATTCATACTTGTATGTACCCGTGGACATACATAGTATAGTAGGGTTATTTGTATCTACTAAGGGGAAATTGGCAGAATTACAAAGAAGGTACCATTCAATACTACTTGTGCACAGATATAGATACCACAGAGCCTCTCCACAAAAGGAAACATTTGAAAAAAACAGAAAACAGAAAACAGAAAAACTAAATAAAATTAAAAAATTCAATTAAAATTCAAAATTAAAACAGTAGCCAATCAAAATCCTTCTATGGTTAGAATTGACCCTTTTTTAACTCCGACCCGTGGACCCTACCTTCCGAGAGGGGGCGGAACCTATCCTAATTAGGATTAGCATGCGTTGATTCATGTTTTCCTGTTTTAATGTTTTTCATGTTTTCAGTTGGGGATAAGAATATCAGAGTATTAAAATAACTATTTCCCCCGTCTTCGTTCTCTCCAGCGTGAACTGCATTCGTTCTGTTCTATCTCTCACCCTCGCAGTGAATATATCTTCACTTGCTGCCTGTCGTTTATCACTCTTTACAATACTTACATTATCCACCCCTTTTTTTCTAACTTCCCCACACTTTCTCTCATTACCTGTGGCTTAGATTCAAATTCTGTCATTTCGGCTGTACATACCAACTGTACATAATAATGGTTCGCTTTGTGACACCTTTGATCCTGGCCTCGCTGTCAGTGGCCGCTCTTGCTGCACAAACTTGCAACAACAGCAAACAGTGCAAGGATGAGAAATACCCCTGCTGCTCCCGTGAGTGTGATCCCAACCCCCCTCCACATCGTAATCCGTAGCTAACGGTCCATTCAATACAGAATATGGAGAGTGCGGTACTGGTGCCTTCTGCCTAGGTGGTTGCGACCCTCTCGCCTCCTTCTCTCTCGATTCCTGCGCCCCTATGCCCGTCTGTAAGAGCAAGACTTACACCTGGGACAACCTCGACAATGCCGCCACCCAGGACAAATACCTCGGTAACTCCACTGCTGCCGACTGGACCTACAGTGGAAAGCTCAAGACCGAGGATGGCAATCTGATCATGACCATGCCCCCCAAGAGTGGCGGTTCCCTCGTTGCCAACAACCACTACATCTGGTACGGCAAGATTTCCGGCAAATTCAAGAGCTCCCGCGGCAAGGGTGTCGTGACTGCTTTCATTCTTCTGTCTGATGTCAAGGATGAGATCGACTACGAGTGGGTCGGTGCTGATCTGACCTCCGTGCAAACCAACTACTACTGGCAGGGTGTTCTGGACTGTAAGTTGAGAGAAAAAAAAAAAAAATCATCTGATCCGAATACTCAATACTGACTCTTGATGAACTAGGGCAAAACGGTGGCAATATCAGCGTGGAAGGTGGAGACACCTACAATGACTGGCACACCTACGAGATCGACTGGACTCCTGAGAAGGTTGACTGGGTCGTCGACGGTACCGTGCACCGCACCCTGAAGAAGTCCGATACCTACAATGCGACCTCCAAGAAGTACGAGTTCCCCCAGACACCCTCCCGCCTTCAGATGTCGCTCTGGCCCGCCGGCCAGCCCAGCAACGCCCAGGGTACCATCGACTGGGCCGGTGGTGTGATCGACTGGAACAGCGAGGATATCCAGAACGCCGGTTACGACTTTGCCACCGTCGGTGAGGTCAGCGTGGAGTGCTACGATCCTCCTTCCGATGCCACCAAGAAGGGCAACAACGCCTACATCTTCACCAACTCCGCTGCTATGGAAGCCGACGTCGCCATCACCAACAACAACACCGTTATGGGCTCCCTCGGCGCCACCGGTCTCGACATGGATCTCGGTGCTGACAAGCCAAGCTCTTCCGCCTCCAAGGGTTCTTCGACCACCTCTGTTGCCAACAGCATCCCCACCGGAGCCACCGTTGGCTCCGGCGGCATGGCCACCAATGATGATTCTGGCTCCAGTTCCGGCTCCAGCTCCAGCTCCAGCTCCGGCTCCGGCTCTGACTCCAGCTCTGGCACTTCAACCACCGGTGACTCGGAAACTTCCACTTCCTCGGGCTTCACCCAGGGAACCACTACCCAGGACAGCGGTGCGGCCGGCCAGAACGAGCGTGTTCTCCGTGGATCCCTCTTCGGAGTCCTGGTGGCTCTTGTTGTCCTCGTGACGCTATAAATATTTTCCTGAATTGATCTATATATCATCGTTGTATCATTCTTATTTTCTTCTTTCTTGCCATGCACAGCATTGAGTACTCTCGCTTCGTGTCGGTCTCTGACTGAACCTTGAACAAATCACCCTAATGAATAACTTTGATCCTTATATCTTTCCCCCTTCATTAGGTCATGATGTTCAACGGTTGACTGCATACACATCTGCAATTTTCCTCCATGTTTCGTTTGATATACCTACCTGGCGTTTTATTTTTTGACTAATTCATGCTTTATCAATTTCTGATTTATGCGATGTACCGCTACTCTGGTAACGATCTATGATTCCCTGCACATGACTGGAAAATTGTCCCAGGTCCATCGTGATCTTTTCATATATGGGTGACTTCTTTCCAAATCTTATACTCACTTCTTTAATCCACCTACAGCACATGAGTAACCATTCATTGTAAAGGCTTTCATCTCCTACATAGATCGATATGTAAGTACTTATTTGCCATATTTGCCTCAGCCTGGGCAAACCGAAAAAAAACCCTAAACTACCCATCCTTCCACTTGGCCTTCCTCAGAGCAAAACTGACGAACCTCCTTCAAGCTCATTTCATAGGTTGCATCAAAGCTTCCCTCCTCCCCAACACAAATCAAGTAAGTCATGCGAGCATACCGTTCCACCTGCATCGCTCTCTCAGGCGCAACCCTAAGCAAAGACCTGCAAAGGATAATCCACGCAACGACAAGATTATCCATAACGAGCCCCCATTTCTTCACTACAAACGGCCCCTCCACATCACCCTCCAACCCAGACCCCTCAAGCACAAATCCAACCCCTTCAAGGGCCCGAATCACAGCCTTCCCAGCTTTCTCCCACTCCTTCCGTCTTCCATAAACCCCAGCAATCAAAGTAAGCGGCTCCCACAACCCAAGTCGCAGCACCTGGTCCAGCGGGCGCGGATACGTCTCAGCCAGACGCTCGACCAGCATCTCAGCGCGCTCGTGGCTAAGCGTCGAGTTATTATCCAGTGCTATGGCAATCTGCTCACGCTGTCTGACCCGCATCTCGAGAACACGAGGCTCAGTGGCCCTGATGTCAGCGCACATGGCGCACGAGCACTCGAAGCCCCAGTGGCGGAAGTCCATGGGCTGGTTTTCGGGCGAGGGGAGCATGTACCACATTGTCAACTCGGTGTCTGCGGGGATATCGTCGGCTGCGCGGATGATCATCATGTCGCCGATGAAGGCGCGGTGTGCATTGCTCATGCATGAGTGGTTGATTGTTGAGGCGTTGGGCCAGATGCCGCAGTTGTGTAGCTTTTCGGGGCTCCCGCTTGCATCGAGCGCGTCGGGGATATGGTTGCCTCTTGAGGAGGTTGGGCTGCCGAAACCGTTGAGGGAGATTATGCGGGCGATTTGGAATCTGTAAGTAGGTGGGATTTGTTAGTTTGAGTGTTTGTTTGGGATGGAGTGGTTTGTTTCTGATTTACGTGTCTACCACCGGATTTCCATCAACAGACTCTGTTGAGACCTGCTTGAATCCGCTGCTGTAGAGGTTGGTTATTGTTGAGGTTAATGATGGGTTCTTGTACAGCTTTTCGACGATCGACGATGCGAGCGCGAGCTGGCCTCCTCGCGTGGTCGTCCACAGTTCGGTGTTGATATGGAGACTGCTATTCCATTTTGGCTTGCTAGGGTGCTCGGTTGCGTATGCAAAGGCTTTCTCGCAGAGGAGCAAATCACCGGCTTTGACTGCTTGTGTTGTGAATAGGCCTCGTCCTTGGGACTCGGTTTGCCGGACTGTCACCGGGCCGATCCATGTCCCATGTCCCAAGAGTGGTGGGTGGGTTTTTGATGCCTTCTCCTGCATATCCTTGAAGTTGTATAGGCACTTCTTTTGCTCTGCAAGGCGTACAATGGCTTCGCGAAGATCATTCTTGGCGTTGACATCTTCCGGATCTTTCTTGCAGAGTTCGATGAAAACATCGCAGCTTTCCCGGAACCTTTGCAGGTAGTACAGGGTTTGGCCTTTACCCCTAAGGGCTATCTCGGATTTTGGGCCTGCTGGAATGGCATCAAGATCACGCAGACATGCATCCCACTCATGGGCCTTGAAGAATGCCATGCCTCGGTAGTACAGAAGGTAATGTCTCTCTTCCTCTGTCGGCGAACACTCCAATCCTTTGGAACAACTGTTATTATAGTTAGTATTGTTCGCCGTCGAATAGTCTGCTGGGGCTTTACCGTGCAGTGGCAGAATAAAATCTACCCCAGTTAATATTCTCGATACCCATGCTTAGCCAATTCCCAGCCGTCCACTGAGAGGTTTCATGCTCTGGAAGCTGTTCTCGCCAAGCTGATGGAACCATATTGTCGAACATTGGGATGAACATGATATCAGAAATGTGATCAACTTTGATCCCATATTCGACACCCGGTATCAAAGTCAAGTATGGCTCCTTCACAAGCAAGATCTCCCCTTTTCCAGCAAAGCCATCATGGCAGCTGAGTTTCTCGTTCAACATTCGGAGCGGGATCGCATGTTTCTGTTCGTCTTCCACGATGACCGTAACTGCAGCCATCTTCTCTGCCCGGGTGATTGATCTGACTAGAATGTAAGAGCCCCTGTGATGAGTTTCAAAAAGCAGGTCCTTGATCATGACCCTTTTCAGGTCTTTCAGCGAAGCGAGACATGGTGGATAGATTGGAGGCGCAAAAGAGACATCCACCATGCCGGCGCTATCTTGGCCACCTGGTTGATCTTTGCTTCTCTTCTGCCAAAAGATGAATTTCCTCAAGAGTTCATCCCGTGTCAATGCCGGCTTGAATTGCTTGCCCTTGAGGGCCTCGGCGGCTTCGAGGGCCTGGTTGTGCTCGCGCAAGAGCTTTTCGCTCTCTGGATCATGGAAAAACCTGTCCATCTTCAAGGCTTTTTTCCCCCTGTTTGGGGTGTTAGTCTACTGATGAGGTAAACAACTGATGGAGCTTGTTGTATACCGATGATATCGAGGATGAATACGATTAAGGTAAATGATGATGACGCGAGGTATTGCGCGAAGTGAAGGCTATTTGCATGTGAACAAACAGTGAAGAAGTAAGGCTTTTACGCGCCTGAGTAGCAAACCGTGATCTTCGAATATTCTAGCTGGGATGATACAATCTGATCTGTGGACGTGGGGTCTCTAGCTTTAACCCATCCTAGAAATCTGAGGTTATAGAATTAAATAGTGCATGTTCATGCCCACCAGGCTATATTAAAGAGATGCCTTGGATAATTCAGTCCAAAGGCAAGGTCGACGTTTCCTCATAGAAGAGGCCGTCATATAGTTAGGCATTCTGTGCTGAGAGATGATGACTATGTACCTACCTACACATAAGCAGTCTTTCATAATACCAATCAAGGTAATGGTCGTCGAAGACCTTTATTGCCCTCGATATGAGAATTGGGACTACTAGGAATATCATCAGTTGAGTAAGACAGGTACGTACATATGCTTTTCATGTATGATAGCTTCATATAATGCTCATATTTTCACGGGTAAGAACATACGTAGATTGCAATCTATCACAGCTTGTAGTATTGAGTATTCGGCTTTGTCTATGTTCTGTTTGACTACAACCTCCTTTCCGTTTATCTTGCCATGCTGCCTTCCATATCAATCCTTCCATTTTTCTTTCTCTTCACATCTTGTAGAATGTATGCATGGCCTACACTGCATATATACTCTCCCAAGCTTAGCATTTACATCAACGTACGTTACTCTCAGTAAATACCTTTACCTACCTGAGAACCTACAGCTTTTCCTTTTACAATGAGTTACATACACCAAATTATGTAGATAATATTCTCTGTTATGTGGTAAAGGGTAGCAACATAGAAGGCTTGATATTCAGCTCACTTTCAATTCGTTTTCACTATGCTCTCTAACTCGCTTTTATTCACTATGCTCTATCAAGGGCATTGCTTTATCATTGCGCAACGTTCCTTCCTCGTATATGAATTTCCAACCTCTCAGTTTTGAGACATCTTCTAACGCAAAGTCATCCAGCATCTCACTCAACTCCACGGATTTGCTATTCGACAAAAGTCATCCTGGCTCGTCTCATTACACAAATCAATTCAGACTTCACACCACAACCAACCAACCACCCTTTCGAGGTTCATAAAGTAAGGATACAACCAGCAGCGAGTGCAAACACGCACTCTACCTCGAACTGTACCAACACGGGATAAAGCTCTCTCCAGGCTGAAACAGAGAGCAAATAGCATTCATCGTGCGGCATTCATACGAGCTGGTTCACGATGTGCCTCTTTGTCGAGACCCACTACTCCAATTGCAAGCATACGTGCTTCGAGCTTCACCTCTTTTGCCGCGAAATCCTCCGGCAACTAAACCGGATCAACGATCGGGAACAGCTCAGAGACTACGCGTTGCCATTTGATGCTGATTGTCCTACCTGCCAGCCATACACAATCACCATGAAACCAGCCACGCTGCATCCGGACATGAATTATCTGAGTGTGATTTTGGAGAGCAATATCGTGTACCAGATAATGGATTTGGCGGAGAGCTGTCCCGAGTGCAATGAAAAGGGATCGTGATTTTGATCTATCTTTGATCCATCTTTTGTCGGAATATGGGCAGCTGGGGGAGGAATTTCTTTTGGTGATGAAGTGACATGTATGTCCGCACATTGAAGATAATTTACTGGGTGGGTGATATCAAAGTCAGAGAAGAGAATAGCACCCAAAATGCCAGCCTTTATTGCTATTAATATCAGTGCCAGCTGTACGTAGATGTCCAAGGAAATGAAAGATCTGCATTGCATATAAGTATGTATGATGAAACCTAAAACCCCGAGATATTCACAGTGCGGCCTAATACAGAAATCCAACAAAAAAAGAAAAAAATGTCATGTAGTGATAGTCATTCAGTGGGTAGCCCCGCATCCACAATCATCAGCAGATCGCTTCCTGAAGTCTCCATGGTAAGTGTCCAGTCCATCGGTATGGAAGTTCAAGCCCAGACGGTCACCCATCCAGTCATATGATTGCAAGGCTCCGGACTTGGTATCCTGGAGCAACTTGGTGACATTGTCGACATCGAGATCAAGATAGTTAGCGAGGAAATCTCCCACGTCGGTGTTCTCGTTGTTGCCAACCAATGGCCAAGCGTCCTTGCTAGACGACGCGTAGATGTTGACGTCAACAGCTATAACAAAATTAGCATACTATCACAGGTCACTGCTCGAGATTATCTTACCAGAATGGCCATGAGTGCTCCAGCCAACCTGAGCGCGACGGCTGATCATGTCCGCGAACGCATATGCGGGAGTGACTTGGGGGTCTGGGTGGAGCAAGGCATCGACTTCATTGTCCGTAGCATCATCAATGCCAAGCCCATCTTTAATAAGAGTTTGCCTGACCCAAGCCTGCTTAGTCGAATCCTTGGCGTCCTTACCTGGCCCAGAAAGATATGCTTTCAGTTGAGCAGCAAGGTATTCGCCAGAGTGGCTTGCCTTGTCCAGGACACCTGGAAGCCACAGATACTCAGGGTAGCTCTTGTGTAGCTGTCGTGCTGCGGCAAGACCACCAGTCTCGTGGTCGGATGTGCTCACAATCACACCGGGAGTGGGGTCATTCTCTAGGAATTCGAGCGCAGCAGCAAAGGCCCTGTCGTATGCCAGTACCTCGTGAACCTGAGCAGCAGGGTCATTGCCATGGCCGGCATGGTCGATGCGGGAGCCCTCGATCAGGATGAAGAATCCTTGCTCGCTGTCCTCAGTAGCCTTACTCAATGCCTTTAAGGCAGTGCGAGTCATCTCCTCCAATGAGGGATAGGTATCATTTTGGGTACGTCGGTCAATCTCATACGGGATATCCCCGCTAGCGAAGAGGCCTAACAGCGGTAAACTGACATTATCGCCGCCCTTAAGGCTATCGAAGCCCGCACGGTCATCGATATAACCAAATCCATTATCAGTAGCAACCTTGACCAAATCATGATCATCACCACGGCAGCTGCCTTGCTGTGAGTTGGGCAAGAAATGGCACCGCCCACCGCCAAGCAGAAGATCTACTACCCGACCGAGAGGGTGTTCTCCAATTTCTTGGGCGGCAATCAGATCTTCGTAGTTCCGCATATTGGCATGGGAGGCAAAGCATGCTGGAGTCGCATCCGTCAGTCGAGTAGTCACAACCAGACCTGTCTTATAGCCCGCCAAAGCAGCCGCCTCGAGCACAGTCCCGCAAGGCGAGTGGTCTGGCAGCACTGAGATAGCAGAATTGTAACTCTTGCGACCGCATGAAAAAGCAGTCGCTCCAGCCGCAGAGTCTGTCACCAAGCTAGAGCTTGAGCGTGTTCGTGAAGTTCCGATGTAGTGCTTATCCAAGACAAGGATATCGTCGAACGGCAGATCATGTGTGTATTGCCGGAAGCTTCGAGTCAGCGAGAGACTAGTAGGTCCCATACCATCAGACACCATGAAAATCATGTTCCGCTTGCCCGTCGGCTTGCCTCCAGGGCCCCAGGTTGTATTTGAGCCATGAGGATTGTGAGGCTGAGGCTCTGCTGCCTTGTGTGGGTAGATCACGGCCAGCACAATCACCAAAATCGTTGCAACAACGGCCCATGAAAACACTCCAATTTCCCGCCAGGAAGGCCAAGCTCGTCGTTTGTTTTGATCGGTCGTTCGCTCGCCGGTCAGGAGAGCGTAGTCCTCCTCCTCATTTCGGATCGACGAGCCGTCGTCAGAGGACAGGCGCGGAGCTAGGAGGGACGACTCTTCCCGCGCCATAGCTAATGTAAAGTCCGAATCAAGATAAGCAATCAAATCAAGCGGGCCTCGGTATATTATAATTGCCCTGGAAAGTGTGAAGACAAATCTACAAGGTCGAGAACTTTGCGACCTTCCAAGTTTGTGTTGACTCAAGTGGACCCCTGACCGCCGTGGGGCCGGAGGTGAGGAGATAAGGATAAGATAATAATCGGGCTCACATGATACGTCACGTTCCTGCATCACAGCCCTAGAGGTCGGGTGACATGTAACTATGCAATGTACTCCGTACAAGAACTAAATCTACCATTTCGTACAACCGGGGAATGTAAGGAGATGAATTGTTTCATTTTGAATCGGCCCAAACCATACACTTAAACTATCGACATGATACATACTATCTCAAAACAACCTATAACCCCTACCTAGAGAGGTCTAGCCTTCCATCCAATAGGAATCATAGCAGCGGCAATCTCAGTTACACCGCGTTCCGTAGCAAGCAGATTGAACTGCGCAGCCGCATTCCTGGTATCAAGGATATCCACCCGAATGCCCAACGAGTTGATGTGACGCCTAGTTTCAGGTGAGAGTGGGAACATCGAGCCACCAAGACCAAGAATGAGCATATCTGTGGCAGAAATGTTAGAGAATCGAAGATTTTGTAGTCAAGCTCAAATATGTTATATCCGCGGACAAAAGTACATATCCGAGAACCAAAGAATCAGAAAGAGCCAACATACCAGGTTTTGGCCAGACGAGATTCAACAACCCCCAGACCGACTCATCAAGCTCAAACTGCCCTTTTGAATTGAGCATAGCATCCTTAGCGACACGGTCGCTCTCTGCGCCCTCGACAGCCTTCCACGGCCGCCATGCAAATGCCTCACCGCCGACCAGCAACAACCCATCGCCGTTGGTAAGCTTGACGCCATTGTTAAGATGGAATCCGGAATCGAGGCACGCATCAATGGCCGTTGTCGGCGCAGCGATGTTGCCCAGCACGTTCAGCGCATCAAAGTTTGTCTGGGTGTCTTCTTTGGACTCTGGGCCGCGGTCGCGGCTGACGGGTTTGTGTGCGTGAGAGCGAGGAATCATACGGGTTGGTCGGATGGGGGAGCTATAGTTGCGGCGTGTTGAGGGTATTTCGGTGCGAGGATTTGAGACGAGGCATGGTGCTGCGGTTGCTGATGGGATCTGGCAGACTCGAGTCAAGTTCGAGGTGCAACGGGTGTTGACTAGGGAGGTGCGCAGGACGCGCAGGAGTTGTGGCGACGGTGGATGCATTGATGCGAGGTGTTCGATAGATTGGCTGGTTTGGGTTGGTTCTGTATTATATAGCCACCTAGTGATGTAGTGGCTTGGATGGTAGTGAGTGTCACGTGAAGTAAAGCTTTCTGGCCGCCGGTCTTGGCGAAAAGAGCTAGCGGTCCCGAGACGTACATCAACATGCACTAACGTGCCACTGCATGAGTCTAAACGTATCACGCACTAACACGTACTTTTGTATGTCGTAACAAGGATATACAAAGAAGAACAGCTGGACATTCTGTGGAAACTGATGGGTGGCTCTGAGTCGAGTGGACATGGACTTTGAGTTGAAACCCTGACCTATATAAGATAGTTATAGATACACGAAATTAAGTAGTTACAACCCACGTTAATTGAATTTTTTTTTTCTTATATTAATACTGAGCCTAGCAATTAATCTATTTTGATTTTGCAGGAGTCCCAACCCTGACCCTCTGCGCCTGGATTCATATGAAACAAGGACAAGAGGAGAGATAACATCGTACGCGTCGTAGACCCAAAACGCCAATGAAGAAAAAAACACAGAAATGAAAGAGAAAACGATACCTGGAACAACGAACGAACCGAAAAATGAAAAAAAAAAGCATGAAAAAAAGTGAAGCTCTCACTCCTCAAGATGAGACATCAAACTTGATCTCATGCTGCCTCCGATCATTACTGCCTCTGGGGACTTTTCTTGCGAGGAAATGGAAAAACATATGCACATGTTGAAGGTTAAACAAGAGTGATTCCCTGTCCCTATTTAGCGGTCCGGGCATTGCTGATTTAGCTGTTTCGGCGGCTGACAACGTTGCGGTCTTCGTCCGATTGACTGGAGCTGTCATCACTTGTAGCTGCAGTGCGGATTCGCTCAGCTAGTTCCTGAGCTTCTGCCATGGCCTTTTGGGCGCGGATCTGCTTACGCCACATGCTAGCGTAGCGACCCTTCATAGCCAGAAGCTCTTCATGGGTGCCACTTTCAGCCACTTGACCCTCTGACAACACCAAGATGCGGTCTGCGGTAGTGATGGTGCTGAGACGGTGGGCGATAACCAGCATGGTACGACCCTGTGAAAGCGTAGATAGCGCCCTCTGGATATGTTCCTCGGTATCTGTGTCTAAAGCTGCGGTTGCCTCATCCAAGAGAATGATGCGCGGGTTCTTAATGATGGTGCGAGCGATAGCCACACGTTGCTTCTCGCCACCACTAAGCCGTAGGCCACGCTCTCCAACCTTGGTATTGTAGCCGTCAGGGAAAGCAAGAATCTTGTCGTGAATACTGGCGGCACGGCAAGCCTCGAAAACATCCTCATCAGAAGCGTCTTGGTTGGCGTACTTCAAGTTGTACATCAAAGTCTCGTTGAAAAGCACAGTATCCTGAGGCACAACACCAATGTTCTGGCGGAGTGAATCGATGGTGATATCCCGTACATCATGCCCGTCGACACAGATACGGCCATTCTCGGTGTTGTAGAACCTGAACAAGAGGCGGAAGACAGTGGACTTACCTCCGCCAGACTCCCCAACCAAGGCGGTAGTGGTTCCCGGCTGGCAGTGGAAGGTAAGGCCGTTCAATGCGGGTTTGCGCGCATCGTAAGCAAACTCAACATTCTCGAACTTGATATCACCATTGCATGTGGCCAACGGGGTAGCGTGTGGGCTATCGACCACGGTTGGCTGTTCACGGAACAATTCTAGCAGGCGTTCGGCATTGATTAATGCGGATTGGATAGATCGATAGAATGTGCCAAAGAAATTGAGCGGACCCTGGAGTTGGACCATATAGGCCAATAAAGACACGAACTTACCCACAGGGCGCTGACCAATAGCAACCTGGTAGGCACAAATGAAACACATTACCAATAAGCCCATCATAAACACAGTGTTTTGACAGGTGTTCAGCAGTGTCAGAGAGAACAACACGTGGTATTCGGCTTTCTGGAAGTCACCCACGGCACCCCGGTACCGGTTAAATTCGTACTGTTCGGCGTTGAAGTACTTCACTGTCTCGTATGAGACCATAGAGTCATTCCTAGAAGGAGCATCAGTTAGTTCCACATTTATCTTTTGAGTGTATAACGAATAGCCTCGTGCTAACTTACTTGACGGCATCTTCTTGTCGCGAGGCATTGACCATCTGTCTTCTGATCTCTGCTCTCCACTGAGCCATGCGAATAGTGACATAAAGATAACCAAAGGTGGAAATCCCGACAGCTAGAGCATAGTAGACATCAAATGCGACCATGAAGTACACAATCGCAATCACAAGATCGACAAGCATCGGTACCATCTGAAAGGTGACCTGCTCAAGGAAAGTATTGATCGAGCCGCCCTTGCTCAAGGCGGACAGAACTTCGCCGGTCTTTTTTCCGAGATGGAAGTCTAAGCTAAGACTATGGACGTGTTCGAACGCAGCGGTGGAGAGCTCCATGTAAGAATACTGGCTCACAGGGATCCAGAGGCTAGAGCGCAGGGAGCTGAGTAGGCCCTGGCTGCCCTGCAACCATCGGTACACTACATACAGGCAAATTTGAAGCCATGGCACTTCGAAGTCCTCGCCCTCACCTCTGGCAAGAGAACTTGTAATGACTCCGATTTGGTAGGGTACCAAGACGTTAACGACTCGCTGGCATATGAGGAGCCCAAAACAAAATGTGACAACTAGTTGCAGGCGGCGGGATTTGGACGGCCATAGATACGGGAAAAATAGCGAGTATCCGCTCAGGTACTCCCACCAGCTAGTGGAAGGAATAGTCGTCGGACGCACCCATGGATCAGTAGGTTTGGAAGCTTCAGCGCGAGGAGCTCCGTTCGTTGAGCCATATGAATGGCCGTTGGCAGTTCCGTTCCCATGTCCATTCGCGTGGCCATTTTCTGCACCACTGGAATCCAGAAGTCCCGTGGCTTCTGTGGCTCCATTCGCCCGTTGGCTTGCCTTCTCGTGGCTCTTCATGCTGAACGATTGACATGCGTAGAGAAGAACCAGTGCAAACAAAATAAGGATGCGCACACTATTCGATCCCACTTCCAGAGACTCCCATAGTGTAATGCTTCTGCGGACCCGACCACCTTCTGGGTCTCCAACAATTGGCTCGTGATGAACCGAGGTGTAGATTGAGAGGGAGGTGCTAACAATAACCAATTCGATCGGAATGGCAACCGACCAGCAGACAAATTGGGCGAGAGTAGGCGAGGGAGATGTGTCTAGCATTGCCATGAGCAGCACTGCGTAGACGAAGAACGATCCGACGACGTAAACCTGTGATAAGTGTCAACGACTGTTGAGAAACACTCAACCACCCGAATCAAACGTACCACAAAGGACTGCCCTCGCCACCAGTTCTCTGACCTGGCCACCATCACATGTATGATATAGATAGTTGCATCGGCAATGAAGGTCAGGAGAATGGCCACGGAAAGCAAATTGAAAACTCGTTTGACGTTCCGCGAGAACTCTTGGGGTTTGTAGGCAGTCACACTTCGAGTTCGCTGAGGGAGTGGTCGCCCTCCAGGACCAAAGTATTGGGATTCATGCTTGCTGGCTTTCTTCGCAGCGATGGTAGTGTTGGCCACGAAGGCCGCGACAAAGAGGATAAGAAGAAAGATTGGGTAAAAGGTGCGCAAGTATTCCAGCAGCTCAAGGGCTGCATGGGGATCCATTGCCCACTAAATATCCCAGAAAAGAGTGTTTCAAGCAAAGTCCATGACAAGAGTGCCTCCTCGAAAGAAAGATAGGAAAGGGAGGTTGCCGGGTTCGGATCGGAAAGGACTGGACGGGTATGGCGAAAGATCGACGCGAACAGTGATGGCGGAGAGAACCAGGTTTCCACGTGGAAATTAAAGAAGAGAGTAAATTATGGAGAGGTTTGGAAACAAGAAGCAAATATAGAAAAGAAAAGTATAGGAAAAAGAAAAGAAAAAAGAAAATACAAATGCTTAGTATTTTTCCTTAATTTCCTTATATTTTCCTTATATTTCCCCCTACTCTCTTTTTTTCCTTTTAATTTAGACTTAGAAGGGAAAGTTGGAACTGTTAAGTCACTAAGAGGCAAATAAAGGGAAATATAAGGAATATAAATATCAATATGCCGGAGTTACGGTGTGTGGATTGGAATTACAGGTTACTGCAGCTAAAAAAAAGGTGGATACTGTTAGCACTCACTAAAGCTTCCGACCTCGGGAGTTCCAAATTGCCTCTATATCTATATCTCCCGAGTTCTGTTTTAGCACTTTGTTTGTCTCCTATATGTATATTATATATATATATATATATATATATATATCAATCTAGTCATTCTAGAGCAGTCTTTTATACCTAATAGTCAAAATTCAAATCACCCTAGAAGTCAAACAGGGGGCATAAAAGGGATCGTCGATCGATAGATCGAGAACAATCCACGCATATGGATAATCTATTATGACTTCACTAATTGCCAAGGAAAACAAAACATCATCTGAGCCTGGTCATTTATACCAATTAAATCCAGATTTACTTCTTTTTTCTCCGTGATGTGTGTGATCTTCAGCTTGGATTGGTTGTCCGAGCTTTACTTGATGTACGTGATTAGCTGAGTGTCTCATATTTGCCTCTTTCTTAGTGCCTGTTAGTCATTTGAGGTGGCACTCCAAGAGGCGCAGTCAATGGAATTGGTTGGCCACTGGATTATAATACATTTTGATGTACGTAAAATTGTAAGTATGTCATAATCTCCAAAGATCTATGTTTGAAGATATATATATATCAATCTACATACTTTGTATTCCCCATGTGTCTCGTGTCTCGTGTCCCATATCCCATAATCCCGAACCCTCGGTTTGAGGTAAGACAAATCAGAATCACATTCTTCTTAAGGTTCTTTCAGATATAGTACTATATAGGTATATTCTTTCTTTGGACACGTTCACTTCGGAGAAATTATTCAAGATCACATTCTAATCTGATCTCTCGTATGTGTTGTCTCCTAGACCGCTCCTGTGTTCCGGCCCGATTCGCTTTCAAGAGATAGTTTGAGAAATACAAAATTTAAAGAGAAAAGTACTGGATTCGGAGTACAACTACCTAACGGGTGCCCTATACGTGAGGCATAACATCCTTGTAATGTTGCGTTATAATTGTACTATGTACAAAGTTCAATGTCAGACAGTAAGGCATGGATCGTCGGTGCCTCAGGGATCTTTCCCTCACCGCTTGCATTTCGACGATCTCAAACTTCCGCATCTTTTCTCCCTTTCTGGTGGTCGTGTGCCATAATGGAGACCTAGCTATGAACGATGTCGGACCTCTCAGGTTCGCGATCTCCGGTCCCTCCGCCTCCTCCCCCTCCGCCACAGAAGTATTCAAACCGCGCCGCAAATGCCCTCGCTAGATTCGCCCAACCCTTCTTCGCGGGCTCGAGACCACCTAGTCCCCAAAGCAGTCGTGGGGGTGGTCCCCGGTCGATCAGATCCAAATCACTGTAAGTGTTGCAGCTTTCTCACACCGCTCGTATACCCCTACTTTCCTGATTTACTCCCCGTGATTTCCTCTTTGTTCTCACACAAACTGTGACCCCCGCCATTTGGTCGGAACTAGTGTTATCGGGGAATTACATTTGAGCCAATGGAATCTTCAGTTTCTAATTATATTCTTTCCGTAAAGACCAGGAGAACCGCAGACTGTGACCCACAAAACAGGCATCGCAATCACGGCTTTAGACATCTCGCCTGAGCGGACACATGCGGTTATCGCAGGCAAGGAGATTCTCAAAACCATCCAGGTCTCACCAGACCGCTCGTCAGAGGAATTCAATATTCGAAATGCAGTCATTAGCTATGCATCTACCCACCACGATGTGGGCGTTTCGATGCCACACAAGGACCAATTGAATGTGAAGGACGTAAAATGGTCACATGGCAACTATGACCGGATAATCGCAACTGCAGTCGCAAATGGTCGGATTGTGGTTTACGACCTACAGCGGCCCGGCCTCCAATTATGTCGTTTCCATGGTCACAACCGCCAGGTGCATAGGCTTGCCTTCAACCCTCATCTTCCTTCTTGGCTCCTATCCGGCAGTCAAGATGGCACAATTCGGATGTGGGATCTGCGATCCGCCTCTGCAAACCGGGGAACTTCCACGTGCGGCAGCAAACATTCGTACCAAGGCAACAGCGATGCCATCCGAGACGTCCGGTGGTCTCCTAACGATGGAGTCATATTTGCAACTGCTTCAGACAGCGGCGCGATCCAGATGTGGGATTACCGAAAGGTTAACGCCCCACTGATGAGAATCGCCGCTCATGATCGCCCATGCTTCGCAGTCGACTGGCACCCCGACGGAAAGCATATTGTGAGTGGTGGCACGGATCGCCAGGTAAAAGTCTGGGACTTTTCTTCATCTGCGGAGCGACGGCAGAAACCTGCATTCCAGTTCCGAACGCCCCAGGCGGTCACAAATGTGCGGTGGAGGCCTCCTTCTTGGGTTGGTGAGTCTCCTGCCTCAGGAGAATGGCAATCGTCTCAAATTGTTACGTCCTATGACAAAGAAGACCCACGCGTTCACCTTTGGGATCTCCGTCGCCCGCACGTTCCATTCCGCGAGTTCGATCGGTACGATTCACCCGCGTCAGATCTGCTCTGGCGCTCCAAGGATCTTTTGTGGACAGTCGGCGAGGCCGGGGCCTTTACCCAGACCGATGTTCGGTATGCCCCAACTGTGGTCAACCGCCGACCCATGTGCTCTGTGGCCTGGAGTCCTAATGGCGAGTTTGTTGCATTCAGTCAACAACGGCCCAGACGACGTCCTTTGGGAGTCAATGCTACTGAATTTTTACGGCCCGAAGAAGATGAGGACAGCACTGGCGAGAGATCACTAAGCCAAAGCCCCGCAGATGACATATTTGATGAAGCTATTTTGGCTAGTTCCCTTCGGAATCGGCCTCACACGTCGGCCGCGGTTCGATCATCCAAGTCCTTGGGCAGTACTCCACCTGGACCAGTGGACTTTATACCGGTGCTCCCTCTAGAACAAGCATTGGCCAAACTCGCAACCCCAATGCCTAGTCAGGTGGGAGTCATTACGGCTATTCCCGGTGCCACAAATGACTCGGCAGTCTTTCGGTATTTGGCAAGTCACTATACACCATTGATGGATGAGCACAGTGAACATAGAACGCAGGCTGACGTCCTGAACTCTTTGATTGAGTCGCTGGACCATAACGCTGAATGTGCAGATGAGGTATCCTTGGCCAGATTGGCTCAGACCTGGAGAATTGTCAAATTCACTATTCTTCAAGAACTCCAATGTAGAGCTAGAGATCACCCAGCAAAGGTTGGCCTGAAAGACAGGTCATCTAAGGATGGAGGCTTGATAGACAGGTCACGACCCGATGATGGTCGACAGGACAGAGTCAAAAGTCGGTTATTCAAAGGGGTCATGGAGGCGGTCCCCGAGGCTGAAAGCTCGTCGAATATGACCACTCCTCTTGCGCGACCATTGCCCGATTCCCCAAAAGACTCGTGGTCGAGCACTGATTCCCAAATCCCCTCGTTGAGCGATGGTGCAATCGATCTTGACCCTCTTCCGCCATCAGTCTTGAGTGACCATAATGGTTGGGGGATGTCAGACGGTATACCCTTGCCACGTGGGCGACTATCATCAACCGATGATACTCGGTCATCCAAATATCAATGGGGCCCTACACAAGAAGACTTGGACAAAGAGCAACGGTCTGCGCCTCGGGCAATTGCTGGCAAAGCAGATTGGCGTCTTCATGGTGACCCAGACTTCCCTCGGGAAAATTCCGAGGATGACTATGACCAAAAGTTGGAAGATAAGCGTGCAGCAATTCGTGACTACAAGCAATTTCCCAAGAAACCCTTGACTCTTGAAGCACAAATGGAATCTAATCGGCCACCTCGTACCGACCGCTATACTCGGCATGATTCTTCAGAGAGTTTTCCAATGTTCTCTACATCCACCGACAGCTCGCACCCCTCCAAATCTATTGGTGCATCATACTCGTCTACTGGACAACCTGAGGTATCTAAATCTCTGGATTCTGGACAATCTGCCACAGCGTTGAGAAAAGGATCGATTCTAGCTTCTACACGCGAGGAATCGGAGGATGAGCTCTTTGACAAGCTTGCCTTAGAGACTGGTCGACTTCATCTAGAGCGCCCTTCGAGTCCTCTCCCTTTGATCACAGAATCAACCCCTCTTGAAAGACAGCAGCAACCTTTCCCACCAGATGATATACCTTACCTCGGCACACTGCCTCACTCAACAATGGGCGGTATCTCACGAGTCCAGATTCCACTCACGCCAGACGGAACAGACTTGAAACCGTGGGGGATTGAAGCGATTCTGAAAGAATCAGTCCGATATTACCACAGCAGCAGTAGCTTAGTTGATATTCAGGCTGCGGCCCATCTTCTCCAGAAGCTGCATGTGCTTTTCCGGGACTGCGAACAAATTCTCCCATATGAAGAATGCGAAACGGTCTTCAAAACTTACAATGAGCACTTGATTCGGCACTCAATGGACCTCGAGGCAGCAGAGCTCCGCCTATTTTGTGTATCAACATATCCTACCGTTTACGAATACGCTCAGACAGATTCATTCATCAACGTCTACTGCTACACGTGTCAACGACCATTTGAAAATTCTATCCAAGATAACAGCCGCTGCTATCGCTGCAGCACACCTCAAGCACCATGCTCTATTTGCATGAGCCTTGATCCACCCCCGGAATGGGTTGCAGAGCAGCAAACTGCACCGATTTCTTCATCTACTCTTACGGGTTCCGATCCAGACTCTGAAACCACTTCAAACTATTCAACGCAGTCCTCAGTTCCCACTGAGCCTGTCCCAGCATCGGAGATCGAGGTTCTCGAGCCCTTCACTGTACCTCGGCCCAAAGGATCCGCCCTCTGGACTTGGTGCCAAGGCTGCGGCCACGGCGGCCATCTAGCCTGCATCACAACCTGGCTCGGCATGTCAACCAGCGAAGGCGGCTGTGCCACAGCCGGCTGCTCGCATGACTGCGGGCCTGGCCCACGTCGCGAACTAAACCGCGAGGCCCTACAGGCGGAATCCAAGCGTCGGGACTCTGCCAGTCGCTCTACCGGTGTCGGACTCGTCAAGCGTGATCCCTGGACTAAGGGTGAAAGCAAGGCCGTTGAAAAAGTCCGCGGCATGCTGGGCGTTGCCGGTGTTGCCGCTGCCACCGGTGGTAGTGGTGCTGGCCCGGTCACTTTGACAAACAATACTTCCTCTCCGGCGCCGGTTTCACCCGGTGCCATGTCGCCCAAGAGAGTGCGGCTTATTACCCCGAATGAGCAAGAGAAGGAAAGTGTTGCATCGGCTCGCACGGTCCCTCCTTTGAGGGACTGAGCTTTGAGTCTTGGGGTAACGCTCAATATGTACTATTATTAGCGCGTGTTTTTACTTTTACGTCTTCACTTCGCTTTCTTGTTTTCTATTTCTCTTTGATTCCCCAATCGCGATACTTTTAATGAATCAATCCACAGATTTAAGCACATGCATATTTCAGCTCTCAAATGTGTCTCTCCCTAGATAGCATGTATCGTATGTACGCCAATGGCAATTCACTCTGAATCGCTTCGAAAATGACAAGCACATTCCTAGAACATGAAATCACTTCCCTTCGTCTAGAACCTTCGCTTCTTCTTTGCAGGAGCTTTGCCTTTAGCCTCAAGCGACCTCTTTAGTTCCTCGCGTTTCCGGTTAGCCCGTTGGTCTTCAGTCTCCGGCTCTGCAGGTGGAGCGGAGGGGACCTTCTCCGCCGCTGGCGTGGGAAATGGAGACTCCTCCTTTTTAGGGGCTTGTGACTCAGCCTTCGGTTTAGCAGGCGAGACTTTTTCGGGTGACATGACCGTGTCAGAACTAGGTAGCGGAGACTTGTCTCGAGCTGGTTCGGAGGCTTTGGCTTTAGCTTTGCCGCCTATAATGCCAAGTTTCCCGGAACGTTTAGCTGGTGCCGGTGTTGAAGATACAGGAGCAGGTTCCTTGTTAATTTTCTCTTCCTCTTCTGGTGACTCTAGAGGTTTTGGAAAGTCGCGGGCTTGTGCTGGAGGGGAAGGGGCTGGTGAAGGCGAGGGCTCTTTTGCTTGCTTTTTCTTGCCACCTATCATGCTTAATCCGCCCTTTGGCCTTTTTGGTACATCGTGAACTTGCGCTGGAGGAGAGGGGGGTGGAGAGGGAGATGGCGAGGGTCGGCGCTCAGTTTCTTTCTTGCTCTTGCTGCCAATTTTACCCAATCCGCCCTTTGCAAGTTTCGGCAGTTCTCGGGCCTTTGGCTGAGCTGCAGTGGGATCTGGCGATCTTGAAACACTGGGAATCCGTCTCTTACGTGGTATTGGTTCGGGCTCGGAGTCGGAGTCTGATGCCGTGGCTTCGTCTTCCTCCGAAGGCAATACCGTCGCAGCAGGACTTTTCTTTCTGGGCTGTTGCTCGGGTGATAATATTTTGCCTTTTCCATGTTGGGATTTTAGTCTGGGAGGGGTTTCTTGTCGCTAGATGAACGGGGTTAAACTATACTTGGTGTTTGTGATTAGGAATAAGTCGTGGCATACCTGAAACTCATCTACATCGCTGCTTCCCGTTGAATCCCCTTCTGCGTCGAGGTCCTCGGTTTCAACCGGGTTTTTCCTAATTTCGTCCTTGGGAATTCCCTGTTCGATAGGAGAGGCTTCTCTGGCGCTAGTTTCAAAATGCCTCGCAAGTTCGTACCACCATTCACCCTGTGATTCGGTGAAGGTATCCAAACCATGCGAATTACCTGATTCCGAGATCTCCTGGAGTAAATTGGTGGCTAGACACGCACCATCTGATACTCCTGTCTCAGCAAGCCAAGTCTGTTCCTCGAACGGCGCAATACCCTTGACAAATTTAGCGGCCTCAGGTCGCGTAATAGTCTTGCGAGACGTGCGTGATCCTGCGGCGCTAGGGAACACAGATCCTAGGTCAACACCAAGTATTTCCATTTTATCAAACAACTTGCCGAGGACGTAGTCTTTCTGTTTGATTTGGTTCAAGAGTGAGCGTTGGCGGGACTCCCACTCCGCTTCCTCTCTCAGAAGCGGAAGTAATAGATTAATGGTCAAGGATGATAGGGGTTCCTTTGATAACTTTAAAGACCACTTGAGGGGCTTCAACGGGGCGGGCAGCTTGGTTGTTATTGTGATTTGAAGAGAGTCGGTTTGTGTTCCACTGCTTAGGATTACACTTTTATTGCCCTTTTGTAAAGCTTCTCCAATTTTCTCCAGGAGCACATTGAGCTGTTCTGGATCCTCTCCGGGATCGATCGTTGTGGCATCTTCCTCTGCTCTCTTGGCGATAGCTTTATGGGCCAGCCGCTCTGACCAGATGTAGGTGAGGTCTGTTATGTGGATCTCATAGCCTTGTCGGGTCCCTGTGTACTGGAAGAGCAAAGGAGGTAAGCCCTGCTGGGACAAGTGAAGACGCTGCCATCTCGAAGGCATGGCTTGAGCGACCTGTTGATTTTACAACGCGGAATTGTGAAGTTCCAAAGTTGTCTCGTATAGCTGCCTGGGGCCATAGGGAAGGTTTGCCGCCCGCTTGACTTTCCCGCTGATCTCCCGAACTTCTGACTTCACGTTTCGACATCCAAATTACGTACGTTCGGGTCTAGCTTTTGCTTTATTCCTTACTTTTCGCTATATCCTTACGATTTCTACGATGTCTGCGCGATTCCCAGACCGATCAGACTCAAAGCGCAGCAGGTCGCGATCGCCATCTTCGTGGCGTCAACCTCAGAAACACCCTCGTCGGGACGACGGAGAATGGCGCGATCGACAAGATTCGGATCGCAGATGGAACAATGATAGATCGGGCTCTTCGCATCAGCCTCGCAACATGCGCGATCAAGTCCGGCTCAACTTGATCCAGGAAGACCAGCAAGAGCGCGAGTGGGTCGCACAGGAGGATATGTTCGTGCTGAAACAGGCCAAAAAGAAGGCAGAGATTCGAGTCAAGGAAGGGCGCGCAAAGCCTATCGACTGGCTGACAGTTACCCTCCGCATCATCGATCCTACGCGTGATCCCTTGGATGATGAGATAGCAGACTCCGATCTGGATGTTGTGGACCCGGATGGTGTGTTTGAGGGACTCTCACAGACTCAACTGCAGGACTTGGAGAAGGACATCGATACATTTGTGAACCTTGAGAAAAACGCGAGAAATCGTGAATTCTGGCAGGTAATGTTACGCGTCTCCGCTATCTATTGGACACCCCTGTTGACCACTGTTCACCCTACAGACAATGAAAGTTATCTGCCGAGATCGCCAAAAGACCGTCAGACCCGAGGGCCGTGCATTGAACTCCGTAGCTGCCGATATCAACAAATTACTAAGCCCGAAGTCCTACGAGCAGCTTCAAAATCTCGAAGTACAAGTGAAGCGAAAGTTGAACTCGAACGAGCCGATCGATACAGATTACTGGGAAGAGCTACTGCGCAGTCTGACTGTGTGGAAGGCCAGGGCCAGTCTGAAAAATGTTTATAAAGCCATTATTGATGAGCGCGTTCGCGATCTGAGGAGACAGCAAAGACAAGAAGCCGAATCAATTCGGGAAAAGCTAGCACCTCTTGCTCCAGTTATCGTTGAGGGTGAGGCCACGAACCATGCTGAGTTTGAAGGCCTGGATCCAGATCCAATGCTTCAGGTTCGTCCGGAGGACAAAGGCCTGGAGATCATGGATGAGTCCGCATTCCTTAGCCAAGTGGTATGTTTTAAGGTTCCCCTCATTTATTTCAAGTCACATGCTTACCAACCACACAGGCGCGTGAACGCCAGAAAATTATCCGTATGGGCTTTGTCCCACTACGGCACCGGGCTGCAGAGAAGTCCTCTGCTGTAGTGTCGACTCCGTCGTCTGCCAACGTCCCCACGGCCTCTGTATCCACGCGGTTCTCGTCCATCCCGAACGAGGACTTCTCGCAAGCGACCAAAGCGCTATATGAAAGGGAGCTTGCCAAGGGTGTCAGTGAGAATGAGGAAATCTTCACAGGCGAAGAAGCCGTGAGCACGAGCTCGCAACCTCAATGGGCCGGTAAGCATCGACCTCGAAAGCCGCGATACTTCAACCGAGTCCAAATGGGTTATGAATGGAACAAATACAACCAAACCCATTACGACCATGACAACCCTCCACCCAAGGTTGTACAAGGTTACAAATTCAACATCTTCTACCCCGACTTGATCGACAAGACTAAGGCCCCGACTTACCGGATTGAGCGTGAGAACGGTCGCAAGCGTGGCGAGTCATCGGCTGAGGCAGGCGAGGAAGACACTTGTCTCATTCGGTTCATGGCTGGACCTCCGTATGAAGACCTTGCCTTCCGAATTGTCGACAAAGAATGGGATTATAGTGCCAAAAGAGAGAGAGGTTTCAAAAGTACATTTGACAAGGTATGCTGTGATACTAAATGATCTCCCCCCTATCTCTCAACTGACATAATTATTTTCTTCCAGGGAATCCTTCAACTTCATTTCCAGTTCAAAAGGGTAAGTCGATTTTTTTTTTTTAGTTTTAAAAAGATGATACTAACAGATTGTCTCAGATCTATTACCGGAAGTAACACATGCGCAACCAACGATTTCCACATGGGCGTCATATCGGGATGGGGAGAGTGGGTTATAGTGTATGCAGGGAGATGTTCGGGGGTATATTTTCCAGTGATTGGACTGGGAAATATTTCCCCCAAAGTTTTTGCAGAATAAGCCAGACTTGATATCGTGATATCAGATGCTTGATCTAACAACCACGTTCTACATTGACGACTTCATCATTCCTCTCCCCCCAACCCCCCACTATGATCGTTTTTTAGGGGCAGCCCAAACCTTCCTCTTGGCCACGACTTAGCGTATCGACACCATATGTCTCTTTTTTTTCTTTTATTTTTCTGTTACCCGGGTACTCGCAACACAGTCGACGTTGGGTGTCCTTTTAGGTGACACTATCCCGGCCTGCAGGAGCAGGATGTATTCCTGGATTCCGGCTGGATGGATGCAGGCTATGAGAAAAGAAAAAAAAGAAACAATTTGACTACAAAAACCTAGACGGCACATACAGTTAACTTCCAGAAGGCCCGGAATGAAGCCGGTGTAGATGAATGGCTACTTCCTGCAGGTTCCCATTTGACCATTTGACCATTTGACCATCCCTTTCTGGCTAGGCGTCCATGTAGCACTAGATCCAGCCACTTTGACTTCCCGTTGGCCATTGTATGAATCTCTGTTCCACGACTTGGGTATCCAGGGCGTTTTTTTGAAATACGAAGTAGATCTATAATACAAGAAATCCTCTTAGGTCCAGACCGTCTTTTAGAATGCATTTATGAGGTTATTTGCAGAAGGAATATGATGTGTTGGCATGGGATCTCTAAACTGTACAGCTCCAGATTCTGCTTGAACATTCTTTGAGGCCTCTTGTCTGTTCCTTTCCCCTTCTTATTCTTATTCTCGTTTTTGTTTTTATTCCTTCCTCTTCCTCTTCCTCTTCCAAAGTTTCCATTTGCCTTCTCTCATATCTTTCTATTCTCTCACTTTCATGCTTCCGTTTCTTTTTCCCTTTCTATTCTTCTGTCATCCAACCCATCAAGTCACTCCCACAACTAAGCATTGCCTTGCCAAACATGGATTTCTCATTCCATTCGCATCATTTCGATAGGGTGCAGATTTCAGACCAAGATTCCAGGCCTGATCTCCCGTCACACCCAGAACCGACTCAGAGCACTGGTAATTTTGCAATGAATGCCCCGGCCTTCCAAATTAGTGTACCTAACTGGGCGAGCTGGAGATCTCACCCAGCTTTCATACATGCTCCCCAGCATGAAGGTTACATTTACCCTCGCATTGCTGATGCCGACTACGGCTTGGGTCCGTTGCCTCAGGAGCTCATCGGGGACCCAAATGCGTGTCTTGATCCTTACTCCACGAATATCACCCCCACCACGGCTGGCACATCCTTGGATGTATTGGCCCCTCAGAAAGGAGAGAGCCAGTCAGATTGGTCAATATTGCAGCCCTCTCATGTCTTCAAAGACCAGCCATACAACTATCCTCAGGTGGAACCTCTTCAGCCTCCTCCAGACTTCCCGCCGTCGCCTCTTTCTGAAGTCTCCTCCTATCAATCTCCGCAATCGCTCATTGCTTCGAGTCCTGCTATGACAAGCCATGCAGGAGACCGCCTTTCGCCACGTTCAAGCACTGGTGACAATAAAGAGGAGCGTCCTGGACACCCCCCATACTCCGTTCTCATCTATCAGGCCTTGAAGGATGCCCCCGGGCACAAGCTTCAACTCCAAAGCATTTACTCCTGGTTTGAAGCGAATACAGACAAGGGAGCAGACCCGAATGCAAAGGGATGGCAGAACAGTATTCGCCATAATCTCTCAATGAACGCGGTAACTCTCTCTTCTCTCTTCTCTCTTCTCTCTTCTCTCTTCTCTCTTCTCACTTCTCACTTCTCACTTCTCATTCTTTGATTTATTTGTTGCAATACGATTACAATATGCTCAATTCAAGGTCTACTTTATTTGATATCAATACTAACTTTCAGTCTAGGGATTCGAAGCCGTGAAGGAAGAGCTTGGACCGGGTAAAAAAGCAGTGAACTTCTGGAGACTGACACCTGAAACCATCCACAGCGGTGGTATCCAATCAACTACCCGCTACCGCAAGCTCCAACACCAAAAGAAAGCAACAAACTCAGGTCATCGTGGGTCCACACGTCAGCCCTCGGAGTCCAAGAGGGTCCACGCCACAAAAGTTGTCAAATCACACGGCACGAACAGTACTCATAGCGAGAATGAAGCACATCAGCAGCAAACCACAAGCAACAACCCTAGCATGGGACATGAATACGGCAATGCGAGCTTTCCAATGACACAGACATACATGCAACACCCCATGGGTCCTGTTATTGGATGCACCCCCATGTTACCAGGCAACAATACGGTCTTCAGCGATACCGCGGAACCAGGGTCAGCATTTGACGTGGGCCATAACCATGATTGGTATGCTCCAGAGTCAGGCTCCAACAGGGTCCATGACCCATTCGAAGGTCCCAGTCAATCGGCATGGGATTGGAAAAAAGAAAATTAAGAAAAAAAACAAAGGGAGGGAGGGAGAGGTGTGGCGGAGGTGATGGAACAAGATTTAGTTAGCGATGAACAAGCCCGGAGAAGCTGGTGTGCATGTGCTTTTTTTCCAGTTTTCTTTATTTTCACATCTTTTTTTTTTCTTTTCAAATCTTCGGGCCATTGGTTGAGACCATGTCGGCCATTGACCACACTAGAGGCATGGCGTTATTTGACAGTGCCTATTTATCTCGCTATTTGAATTCAGATTGTATTTGGCAGGCATTCTACAAAGTGAGCCTCGAGGCAGAGGAGATCTATCTACTTTTTTTTTGTCTCATTTTCATCATGATACTTTGCTTTTTTCGTTATTTGCCCCCCTCTGTTTTTCAGTCCGCTCTATCTTTCAGTCATTCTGACATGAGCAACACATATTTTCTTTTCAAGTGTATCATAAGTCAGTATTGTTAGTAGTGATGTTTATGAGCTTTGACTCTGTGTGACAGAGAATCCCCACCATGCTCTCTCTCCAGATGTCCCAATTAACACTGGCACAAGATACCGGGTCCGAGCATCCCTATATCATTAGTTCCCAAGCACAATCAATTGTGCCAGGGTTCATATTGAGATCTATCACAAAGAGATAGCGTCAATCATCGTTCTCTGTCATGTTCGTCAATGGACCTTCAATAGTGCGCTTGATTTTAGGCATGTAGCTTGTGTGGTTTCACTTCTTTCGAGTCCCACATGTCTCCAATCATTACAAATGTATGTCATTGGTAATGTTGGGCATAAACAGTGCCAAGAAATGAAAATATTCACATCTTTTCAACTTAGCCCCCGACTTTTGTATTGGATAAACAGCGACTCACCCATGTCAATGCATTGGCATTGTTCTTGTCTGTAGCACGGACCACATGCTGTGCTGCTGAGAATGCTTCATATGCTTGCACAGCGGTGTCTCAAGTGACAGGAATAGCCTCCAACCATAGTAAAAGGAAAACTTGTTAAGCGACCACCTGCATACTTCCATAGATTTGGGAATATTACAAGAGGTACTTTATGAAATACAAAATACGATAGAGGGCATTTGCCGCCTTCTTCTTGCTAGTCTCCTTTAGTCTCTCTTGACACCAGATCCAAATTCTGTCCTTAATTAGCCACGTTGAGCAACCCCACCAACACCCCGCTATATCACTCGAACGACTTCTGCAGTAAACCAGGGTGCTCAGGTGACGCGGACATTCTTGGCTACATCGGCTGTATCGGCAGATGTGTGTTTCCTTTTCCAATTTCATCTTTCCTCCCGGTCATTCCCCACTTCCTCTTTTGCCGATGTCGCAGTAAAAGGAAATCCGATACCCTCGTTTTGGGCTAACAGATCGTGGGGGCGGTACAAACCCATTTTTCACCAGAGTGTATTTCCGAATAAATCAACCCTGATGAGACTACTGACAAGATATGGGGGCTCAATTGTAATTAGGGCATAATATTATATTATTATTCATTATCAAGTTTCTTCCCTAAGTTCAAATGTATGCTGTCTTCCGTCAGGACATTTATCTACACACTTATCAGGAGGTTTCATATTGCAGTGTCATAGGGAGATCGGCAATGGCACCAGTGAAAGAAGCGATACAATGTGGGCTACTATATTTCCTGGGATAATACGAAATATATAGAACAGAGGGAGAAAATAGTGCTCCTGTCATATACAGTGATTAGATTAACACATACTTCTAGATTAGCACGTATTTACAGATTCGCATCTGGTATACTATACCCTATCTACAGAGTATACAGGTACATACTTGGAAAGATACCACTACATATGTATCTACCTGTCCGGGTATGAGCAACATGCATCCGTAGAGCACGCAGTGCAGTAGCTTCTGTGCTTTACAGAAGGAGCCACTCATTAAACAGCACGTCTGTGCACCGTTATACAGGTGACAGCTGCAATGACGCTCACAATGCGGCTGAATATGCTAGTGCTCCGTGTCTGAAGTTGAGTTTCGAAGGTCCCCTACGGGCCGTGCCGATAGAGATTTATTTATATTATTATATGTTAGGTAAGATGTTCGTATTCTACTCAAGTTGGAGATTTAAATCACTGGGGGGCTCTAGGGTGAACTTTGATAGTATTATTAATCTAACCCTAACTGCCCAGGGGCTGCTACCTAGGGCTATTATGCGCCTATCTATTTAGTGTGTAAACTAATGTCCTCAGCGCCGATTTCTTTAGCGCCCGCTTGGACCTTCACCAAATTAAACAGAGTATAAAATTCTCTTGTGACAGTCTGCAGCTTAATTAGTGGCCCAGGCTTTGATTCCTTCCAAGGTTGTTCGCTATTAGTCAGTATATATTAAAGGCGAGTGGATTGGCCGCCCAACCGACGGACATGCGTCCCGTACTATTAAAAGAGGTATAGTGATATTGCTAGCTTCCTTTTATTGAAGGGAGCTGAGGTTTTATAGTGAATCTTACTAGACTATCGACGAACCCAATCAGCCAGTGAGAGGAGCCACTCTCACTGTGATGGCGTCAGTATCCCCCGGAAGCTGTATCCTCACCCCAATATACAATGTACTCTATACTTTGATCTTCTCTTCTTTCTCTCTCCTTCTTTTGTTTTGCTTTTCCTTTTGACGTACATACCAATATGTCACGTGTATATACACAATGCAGTCATCAGAAAGGATCTTCGCACTGATTCTTGTGGAGAGGTTTGGAGTCTTTCATGCAGGGTAGAGGCAGCCAGTATTAATAGCCTCAATTGCAAGAACGAGCACCGTCAGGCACAGACTGCCCCACTGTTCAGCCCGAAAATATCACTTTATGGGTATCAAACCGAACTCAGCCCGGGATCATCCTAGACCGATTTTGATCTATCGATTATCTCGAAAAGGTAAATTGGGAACCGGAGAAAGGGGTGTATTCCGTTGGTCTCTTCATTTTTGACCTGCATGACATCGATGCGGGTACAGGAATGTCACTTGATATGTACTCAGTAGCCGATAGGTTACCCAGTCTGCTGGAATCCGGGATTGGCAGACGTATCCCGGTACGCCCCGGAGATTTTCTCTTGTCACATAGGCTACGTTGAAGGTCTTTTGAGAGAGCTGTTACATCTGATATACAATGTAGTATCAGTAGCCCTTTTCTCTGTATATTATGACTCTCTGTTGCCCTGGTGGAAACTACACGAGCCTGCCGTTAGGCGTTTGTGGGATGGAACGGCCCGGTTCGACAGCTGTCAATGATGCATACGCTCGAGCTTTCTTTGACAGGCGCTAACCGTCGGAGTGGATAGTCTAAGGAGGCAATGCGACACAGAACAATCGCCTGACCGCTTCTTAGGCCGATTCCATTGTCTGTTGTCATCCGTATTCCTGGATCCCATCATGGAGGCGACAGTGAAAATTCCTTTTCACAGTAAAAGAAAAAAAGCCACATTCGGATCAAGACTGGCAGCTTACTCTATTGGCTGCTTCGAGGCACTGGGAATTGAACAAAGTCGCAGTGGCCACGTACATTGCATATGCGCTACGTACTTATGTAGTAAAACAATGCATGGAAGTAGAGGGATCAATATTCATTGGTTTACTTTAGCAGCACTTTGACCCTTCCTTCACTATATATTGGTGTACGTCTGGGTGTTACAGGGACACTAGATCTTCTTTGGGGAGGAGATCTATTGTTGTCACACAGCCCACTTGTATGTTGACTGCTTACAAGAACGTCCGAGCATAATGCTATATTTCGCTTTTGAACTTTAAAGTTGAGAAAATCCATCTCATATAGTACATGTACTTAGACTGATGAACATGGCCGTCAATTAGTCATAAATTCAGTGTATCTTCAGCCAATCTCATCTGCAGCCTTGAGGTCAAGCCACAGAGGACCTGCAGGATGGAGCTCCTGCCTGAAATAGCAGTTCAAGATATTAGCAACTTTGAATCAAGAATAGAGATTCAATTATGCCACTATACTTTTTCCCCCATGGCTGATCTTCCATAAAACATATAATGCAACAGAAACAATTCTTTTTGGCTCAAATTCCAGTGCCCCATAGATATCTTTAGATCTAGCTAACACATTACATGTGGAATAAGGTGATTTTTTTCTACAGGCAACATATCTGAGACTTGAACTAAACGAAATATTCTATAGTGAAAGAAGGCCCTATGAGCCTCGCTGACAGGCGGTGTCGCTTAACCCTAAACCTAATGCATGACTAGTCGGAGTCTCAATCTACCAAACTCCGCGGGTAAAAAGCCCCCTAACGACATTAACAGAACATTTATTTTATTTTACGGCTGTCTATAGGAGTCAATAGTAAGGAGATATGTATGCCCCTGTCAGTTATGCTTTTGAAGTTACGAGGCGCAGATTCTTGGCAAAGAAGACCACTTCTTTGATGATTAGGTCTCCACAAAGTTATACAACATAGAACAAGCATTAATTTTACAGCTTACTCAGGTGTACTATAGAGTTGCTCATCGCATGAATGATGTCCTCTATCTACTTATGTTGACATTGGAAGATTGGTATAATTGGTATAATAGAAGTGATGCACGTTCATGTCAAATGAAGGGGTGAAATTGCGATTTTGGTATTGGTTTAGGTGCTTGTTGCAATATTGGGACTCCGTGATTCCGTATATTTTCTACTTTGGTGGCAGACCGTCGGTTAATCCCCATGACCCAGAGCTTCAAACGTGAGTTGAAAAGAGCTGAGAAGAATTCAAGGTAGACAACAAGAATGACGCATGCTCTTCTCTTGAAGCTGCAGACAGCGTTGAGAGAGATATTTCTATGTATTTATTCCTAATAGAAGATGACCTGGACCAAATCCTTCAGTTTGCTTTACCCATTGGTTGTAAAAAAAAAAGGCAGTTGGACTTCCGTCTAACGGGAAGCCATGTTCTATATACATAACCAACATTGATGCATGCAGGGCTGTAGGGAACTCAGATATCCTATTAGGCACCACATAGAGTTTTGCAATGTTTAGAGATATTC